TCACTGGATAAAACACTTGCTCGGCTGATATCACTTTTGAACCTAGGACACAAGCCAACAGCATGCCAACGTTCTCGTGAAGATCAATCCGTCAGGAAACTCCTTCTGGAATGGGACAAGTTTCTTCTAAACAAAGGAGTTCTCTATCGAAGTGTGAACAGTTGTGATGGAGTTGTACATCAAATTGTGTTACCAACCATACACAAGGAGACAGTTCTCAAGGGCATCCATGATAATTCAGGCCATCAAGGCAGAGACCGTACTCTCGACTTAATTCGAAACAGGTTCTTCTGGACTGGCATGAATGAAGATGTAGAGAGATACATTCGTAAATGTGGAAACTGCATCAGACGAAAATCACCTGTAACAAGGAAATCAGCAGAGCTAGTCAACATTCAGACAACCCAACCAATGGAACTAGTGTGCATGGACTACTTGCAATTGGAGGAATTAAAAGGAGGATTCGGGAACATTCTTGTGATCACAGATCATTTTACAAGATATGCTATTGCCATACAAACCAAGAATCAATCCGCCAAGACAACAGCAAGAGTTCTTTTTGATAATTTCCTTGTGGACTATGGATTTCTAGCCAAACTCCTCAGCGACCAAGGGAGAAACTTTGTAGGCAATATCATCAAGGAGTTATGTCAACTGACAGGAATTCGGAAGACTCGAACCACACCATATCATCCCCAAGGAAACGGAATGTGTGAGAGATTCAACCAGACTCTACTGAACATGTTGTGAACCCTTGAAGAAGATAAGAAAACTGACTGGAAGACTTATGTTTCTCCACTGGTTCACGCCTACAATGCCACAAAGCCTGAGAGTACAGGATACTCACCTTTCTACCTTATGTTTGGTCGACATCCACGCCTGCCTGTTGATGCTTTCCTTGGTGATGACCACACTACCACGACTGAATACATCAACAAATTGAGAAAGAGATTAAACTTTGCCTATGAAAGTGCATCACGTGAAGCCCATACGTCATAAGAAAAGATATGATGCTAAAGTACGCGCCTCAACTCTCCAACCTGGTGACCGTGTCCTTGTTCGCCTTGTAGGACTTACTGGGAAACACAAGCTTGCTGATAAGTGGGGACGGGATGTGTTCCAAGTTGTAAACCAACCAAATACGGACATCCCAGTATTCACCCTGCACCAGGAAGATGGCAAAGGACTGAAGAAGACACTTCATCGGAACATGCTCCTGCCACTTGTGTCAATACCAGCGGAACCAGTGTTTGGACATCAGAAAAACAATGAAAGAAAGGCAGGGACAAAGAAATCCGTATCCTTGAAGGTGAAAGAACACCAAGAACTCATGGAGTCAGAAGATGAAAATGCCGAGGAAGTATTTGTATTGTTACCAGATCCGATTAGTCCACCAGTGTCTCAGGTTACTGGATCCAATGGAACTAACTTTGGTCGAGATCTAGAAGAAAGAACTGAAGCTAATAGAGAGGAATCCATGGAAACAGTAGGAACTGTGATGGAGCTTGAAGACTCATTTCCTGCTGACACGTGTCCTGGACCATCATCTAACAGTTCTCCAACACGCTATACTTCCAGCCCTCCTGAACAGTCATCTGCTTCAGCGGAAGATGACCCGGTACAACGTCTGCTCATGACGAGGATGTAGTTGCAGACTCCACTGATCATGTGTCAGAACGGAACTCTGATATGGGGAGGTCTACCCGTAACAGAGCTCCTCCGTTTTGGCTCAGAAATGGCGATTGGGTAACTGACTACAGTATTCTTGCCAAACCATCTGTTTCCTCTGATAAAGATGTTTTCCTTTCTGAGGATACATCATCGGCCGCTGGTATCTCTGAATCGTTTGAGGCTTTGTATAGTTGTGCTGTTAACTTTCAAAGTTTCGGACTCATAATGTGGGTAAGTAGTAGTATTAAGGTTTCACTTTTCTCTGTTTGGATGCTTCAGCGCATTTTAATGTTGAGGACAACATTTCTCAAAGGGGGGGGGGGGGGGGGGGGAGGTGTCGCCGGATTTACTAAGGGTAAGTTGCATAGAGTTATCTCTGTTTCATTTTACGGACGCTTCATCTCTCAATCTTACTCCTGGTTGGCTTACCAGCAGTATCTGGTGCTGATACCTGGGGTGTGACGTGGACACTTTCAAATGCCACTTTATGTCACGCCATTGTCGAGGGAAGACATTCTTTCTTCCTCGACTCATCAATTCATGTTGATGTGATTTATATATTTTTACAGGTATGTACCCTTGTCTATCTACTTTCTTTATGGAAATCTAGTCAATAGAATAGGTAACGCGATTGTAGAAACTTAATCATTAATGTTGTAAATTGTGAATATCATACTCGGTCAAAAGGCATCGCGTTGCACGAGGTTACTAATTCAAACACTAAGTTTTAAGCACCATCCTGTAAGTAAGATTGTGAGTGAAAGATCTGGTTAAGTTCCATTTGTTTATCATGTATATATATTTTATTATTACATAAAAGATCATAAAAATGTTACTTTGTTTATAATGTGGTGACGTCACACATAACGTGTGCCGCCGAAAACATTTATTGCTGCATTTATAGAATATAAAGTAACAGCGTTTGAATATTATATTGTGCCATGCTATGCAACGTAATCAAATGCGACTTTATGTCACGCCATTGTCGAGGGAAGACATTCTTTCTTCCTCGACTCATCAATTCATGTTTATGTGATTTATATATTTTTACAGGTAATAAATCCTTTTATACCTCATCGGCACCACCTCAGTTCCCTCAATTACATCGTTGGCAGAACCCGCGACATAAGCATATATATATATACAGCATATGTACAACAAATGGCCGGTACTAAAAAATAAGTTCGTTATATAGGTCAGTTCGTTATAAGCGTGTTCGTTATAAACGTAGATATTCTGTAAAGCCCTTGGGATTTACAATTTTTTATAAATAACTCGACTTTCCATTGGTCGCCGGTACTACTTTTCATTCATTCGTTCGTTCTGTCAGTCCATCACCCACGTGCTGATTGGAATGGGTCATCGCATAATTCTGGATTCTGATTCCGAATATTTATAAATAACTGCAACTAGATAAATATTCCACATCCGTCCATCCATGAGGTGGTATGCATGTCTGGCATCAACTTTAAAATTGACGTATTGAGCTACTGCAAATTTTTTTGTTTGTTTGTTTTGTTTGTTTGTTTAACGCCCCACTCAGCAATATTCCAGCTATATGACGGCGGTCTGTAAAATAATCGAGTCTGGACCAGACAATCCAGTGATCGACATCATGAGCATTGATCCACGCAATTTGGATCGATGACATGCATCAACCAAGTCAGCGAGCCTGACCACCCGATCCCGTTAGTCGCCTTTTACGACAAGCATAGTCGCCTTTTACGTCAAGCATCCGGAATCTTCACGGGTCACTAGTTGAGATGGGCCAATCAGTAAAAGGGAATTGGATATTTGACAATTATTAAGGGGGCACGGGTGGCACAGTCGTCTAATGCGCCGCGATTTGCTGTGCAGAGTTGCGTCCCTTGGGCACGCCAGAAACCTATGATTGTGGGTTCGAATCCCGGTTCGCCCCAATTATGTTTCTAGGTTTGTCAGCACCATCCTCGTGCTCGTGGGTTTCACCGAAGCGGTAAACGTCTGAGGCCTACATCGCTTCGGGCTTTCCTCCCACATTAAGCTGACACGCCGTGATATAACTGGAATATTGTTAAAAGCGGCGCTAAACCCAACTCACTCACTCACTGTGACCCGAATCAGCATCCGAGCCAGAGCGAGAGGGTTCCACGACACAAAAGTCTTATTTACACTGGAGGTGGGAGAGCCCAGCAGACAGTAAGCTCGCTCCTTGACCCTTCATTCAAACAGTCTCTAACATTGACAAGCTGGTGTACAGTGAGTGAGTGAGTGAGTATGGTTTTACGCCGCTTTTAGCAATGTTCCAGCAATATCACGGCGGGGGACACCAGAAATGGGCTTCACACATTGTACCCATGTCGGGAATCGAACCCGGGTCTTCGGCATGACGAGCGAACGCTTTAACCACCAGGCTACCCGACCGCCCCAGCTGGTGTACAAACCCGAGGGGATTCTCACTTGCGTAAATCGATGCTCATTTTGTCAATCACTGGATTGTCTGGACAAGAGTCGATTATTTACAGACCGCCGTCATATGGCCTAAATATTGCTGAGTGCGGCGTAAAACGACTAACAGAACAGGCGGACATAAACCAATGTAATATCTTATTATCCTAATACAGTAAACTACGGTTATAACGAACGCGCTTATAACGAACTGACGGATATTACGAACTTACTTTTTGGTCCCGATTACTTGCTGTAGTCATGCTGTATATGTACTTATAATGAACTACGGTTATAACGAACTAAAATTAGTAGTCCCTTTGAGTTCGTTATAACCGTAGTTTACTGTAATTCAAACAGCAGTTGTACTGACATCATCATTCATAAACAACTTATAACAGTCCAACAAACGTTAACACTCTCCAGCCATACACAGACTAATGTTACAACTACTTGATGTAACAGAAAGATTGCACACATTAAATACATAATCATTAATTACATAAACCAGATGTCGCCATTCCCCTTTATCGTTGTCAGCCATGTTGGAATTGATCTAGTCTGTCTTACAGACCCTGATACAAATATATCAACTACAGCCCATGCAAGGCTATAATGTTTGGCAAGTCTAGATTACTGCAGTATGAAGAGAATCACTGGGCTCCCTTTTTATTATATTTTTATTAAGATAACTGAGCAACTGTTTTTTCTGTACGATATGTTCATTTCAGAGACTATATGTTAGTCTAGATTTATGTATCGTGTCAGGTATCAACACTTTGAGGTGTGAACAAAGATGTATGACAAAGATGTCTTGATGTGTACAGAGTTTACTTTGTGTTACAGCGACTCCTTCGCCAGCAAAGTGCAAACTCCTCCATATCGTTAGCAGGAGAGGGAACATGAAGATAGTACGGAAGGTCCTGTCTGAGGGAAAGGAAGACATCAACTGCAGAGCGAAAAAATTGAACATGACACCGCTAATGACGGCAACAATGGTTAAACACCTATACGTGGTGAAGCTCCTTGTGCAAAGGGGCGCCGATGTGTTACTGGTGAACAAGCACGGTGAAAACACCCTTTTATTGTCCTGTCAGGTAGGAGCCGTGGAGATCACGAAGTTTTACCTTTCTCTGAACGTGTTCGACATCAACTGTAGAGGAAGGTGGAACAGCACACCGTTGATGAGGGCAGCACGGTATAACCAAGGAGAAATGGTGAAGTTTTTAGTGAGTAAAGGCGCCGATCTGTCGCTGGTGGACGGCAGCGGTAACAACGTCCTTCACACCGCCTGTCGGTCAGGAGACTTGGCGACGATTAAGTATCTCCTGTCTCTGAACGTGTTGAACATCGACGCCAGGAACCGGAGCGGGCGGACGGCGGCCAAAATTGCGAAATTCAGGAAAAAGCAGGATCTGGTGGATTTCTTGAAGTTCCAGGGCGCTCAGTGAAGTCAGTGCAGTGTTTGTGTAGACGGTGAAGGAGGACGGTGTCACTGACAGTGACGTGGTGTGCCGTTTACGTCTTCGTGTTTTTTCTTTCAATTTTAAGATAAAAATGTTTGTTTGTTTTTGAAGATTAATAATTTGTCATCAGTTGTGTTTGGAACTTCGCCTGACGTCACCAGGTACGGAAAGTGTATACTGAGTGTAGATGGTGTATTATTAGTAAACATCGCATCTCGTGATATAATTCTGTTTGAGTTGTATGTCACAAGTTTATAACTAATCGTGAAACAGACAACAACCTGTGTATTTACATCTCGCTGCGCTCAGTGATCTCAGACTGAGCCCGAAGTGATGCAGGTCTCAGACGTTTACCACTTCGGTGAAACCCACGAGCACGGGTATAGTGCTGACAAACCTAGAAACATAATCGTGGCGAACGGGGACTCGAACCCACAATCATAGTTGTCTTGCGTGCCCAAGGGACGCAACTCATCATAGCGATTCGCGGCGCCTAAGACGACTGGGCCACCCGTGCCCCCAGTCGAGTTGGAGATGTACAAGTGGTGATTTAAATAATTACTTTTGATTTTTACATATCACAAATTAATTGTAAAATACATTATTACATAATTCACGACGTTTTACACCTACGAGGCCGTAACTATGATATCCTCAGTAGGAGCTTCGTGGAAATTTCTGTTAACTTAAAAGCCCAAACACAAGGTTGAAAGTATATGTTAATCTGAAGTGCCTGACAAAGTAAATGCGTCTTCATGTGCTCAACCTGTGGTTGACGTCATACCCCTGGTCTTCAGTGTATTGCTCTTTAAGGTATAATTATTGGTTTCAGCCCTTTGTCTCTGCCTACAGGGGGCACGGGTGGCACAGTCGTCTAAGGCGCCGCGATTCGCTGTGCAGAGTTGCGTCCCTTGGGCACACCAGAAACCTATGATTGTGGGTTCAAATCCCGGTTCGCCCCGATTATGTTTCTAGGTTTGTCAGCACCTGACCGTGCTCGTGGGTTTCACCGAAGTGGTAAACGTCTGAGACCTGCATCACTTCGGGCTTTCCTCACACATGAAGCTGACAGGCCGTGATATAACTGGAATACTGTTAAAAGCGGCGTTAAACCCAACTCACTCACTCACTCTCTGCCTACACTGTGTGTGTTCGGACGATGACGTCTTGTGTATATAGCAATCAGTGGTTCTCATTTGTCCTTTTCTCTTGTTATTAATTAATTATTTAATCAACGATTGGGTTATTATCTAGATGTGATCATAGGTGTGTAGAATGTTTTACTGCATTCGGGTAAGATGGAACAGATAAAAGGTGCAGTGCAATACCCATGGATTACAGATTGAACATCATAACTGTTTTTGGCATAAATAAAATAGCCCAAGTGAGCCCCGAAGTTATCACAAATTATATTTAATAGCTGATAGCTTTATAAATCCATCAAAATACCAATGGCCTGGCTGCGTGGAAGATATATTGAACTATTGTGGTCCTACAGCCGTATTTCATTCACCCCAACATTAAAATAGAGACTTGATTGCAGCAGCTGTTGAGAGAACAATGAACGATCGATTGTATCAAATTTGGCGTAGTACAGTCGTACCAAGCACTAAAGGATTATACTACAAATGTTTTGAAAAGTACCTTTTGCTATCACACCTACTGGGGCGGTCTGGTAGCCTAGTGGTTAAAGCGTTCGCTCGTCCCGCCGAAGACCCGGGTTCGATTCCCGACATGGGTACAATGTGTGAAGGTGTCCCCCGCCGTGGTTCGTTGGTTGTTTGGTTTGTTGTTTTACGCCGCGTTCGGCAACAATGAGAGATCGTCTTGTTCAGACTCGATTATTTACACAGACCGCCGTCATATAGCTGGAATATTGCTGAGTGCGGCGTTAAACAACAAACCAACCAACCAAATCACAGGACCACGTGCCACTGCGCGGTCCTTTCTGTCACGAGATACACGCGTTGCTTGTGTGAAACAGACTTGGCACCGGTCGAGTGTACTTCTGTGAAGGGGATTGTTGACGAACCATGCAAGTATTTGTTTTTTGTTCGCTATAAGACACACTTTATGAATTTATTATGCTATATTTGATTGATATTTTTGGGTATTACTGCTAGACTGCTAGAGAGAGATTCGTGTACCTCGACGTAAAGAGTAAAGAGACTCTCTACTCACACACAGCCAACGGTCTCCGAGGCGACTATTCCTTGTTTTAGTCCCTTACTAAGTGGGGGCACGGGTGGCCCAGTCGTCTAAGGCGCCGCGATTCGCTGTGCAGAGTTGCGTCCCTTGGGCACGCCAGAAACCTATGATTGTGGGTTCGAATCCCGGTTCGCCCCGATTATGTTTCTAGGTTTGTCAGCACCATACCCGTGCTCGTGGGTTTCACCGAAGTGGTAAACGTCCGAGACCTGCATCACTTCGGGCTTTCCTCCCACATTAAGCCGACACGCCGCGATATAACTGTAATACTGTTAAAAGCGGCGTTTAACCCAACTCACTCACTCACTCACCCTTACTAAGTCTACCACTAGACCACGGAGGCGGTCTCTCAAAAGGTATTACAGAGTCGAACAAGTGTGTGATTGTGTTGAGACACTGAATGGGAAGAAGTTCATCTTTGACAGGGCGGGGATATGAAGTGGTTGGGGGATAGAGGGGAAGAGATGGACTCATGTTGTCAGTAATTTTGTTGCTGGGACGGGGGGCACGGGTGGCACAGTCTTCTAAGGCGCCGCGATTCGCTGTGCAGAGTTGCGTCCCTTGGGCACGCCAGAGATTTATGATTGTGGGTTTTAATCCCGGTTCGCCTCGATTATGTTTCTAGGTTTGTCAGCACCTGACCGTGCTCGTATGTTTCACCGAAGTGGTAAACGTTTGAGACCTGCATCACTTCGGGATTTCCTCCCACATTAAGCTGACACGCCGCGATATAACTGTAATACTGTTAAAAGCGGCATTAACCCAACTCACTCACTCACTGTTGCTGGGATGGGAATTTTTATGAAGCTGCAATTACGCATGTTAAACTTAATTGGTCAATTTTGTTTTGTGATTATCTGAACAATTAATCTGTCGCTTAATTAGTTTTAATTGTGAGAACATTGACGTCGTCAATGACGAACACATAATATTGCAGAATAGGATATCACTTTACTCCTCCGGTTACCGAAAGATCAAATAATAGATAACGTCTAAATTATCTTAATATTCAGAATGACCCAGAGTGGAGAAAACGCAACACGGGTTTTTGGCTGTTAGGAGAAGATTTGAAAAGATTTATAAACCCACAAATTATAAACTTCCGCAGAAAAACGTTTCTTGACCTAACTCCTCTTTCGGTGTTTGCTTTCAAAACAAAATATATGTTGTTGTTTTTGGGTGTGTAACGACGAACTCAGCAATATTCCAGCTATATGACGGCGCTGTGTAAATATTCGAGTCTGGACCAGACAATCCAGTGATTGACATCATGAGCATAGATCCACGCCATTGGGATCGATGACATGCATCAACCAAGTCAGCGAGCCTGACCACCCGATCCCGCCAGTCGCCTCTTACGACAAGCATTCGAAATATATGAATGGACGGGGTAATATATACTAGTATATACTGGACAAATAAGGTAATATGTAAATAAGTATAATACATGTGAATATGTACAATGATAAGATAAAGCAAAACTTCACTACGCTTTGGGAAGAGCCTGTGTAAGTCTTAAGGCTGGGACGAGTCCAAATTTACTACCCGGGTACTCGACACACTATTACCCGGCCCTCCCCGGATACCCGTTATAGGTCTCAAGAGTTGGGTACAAAATATCCGAAGTGGAATTGTTTTATCACAGCCCTGGCAAAAACTATTTAGATACATGTATAAAACGATCTGACCATGCATACACTGCAGTTGATAGACGCTTTATCCTTACTCGAACATTTAAAAGTCAGAACGAATGCTTGCATAGTGAGAAAGAAATGTGAACATTGGCTATACTTGTAGTGTAACCATTGAGTTTCATTGTTAATATCATTATAGTATATATCACGTGACTAACCATGGGTCCGGGTAGTCATGTGGGTACCCGGGTCCTACTCAGGACCCACCCGACCCGAGTACCCGAGTTACCCGTCCCAGTCCTGGTAAGTCTGTTTCCCGACTGCCCGGTTCTGTCAGATAAAGGACAACAGTCTCGCAGCAACAGCTGTCGCTGAAAGTGGGTGTAAATACAAACAGAGCGATGTGGGTCAGCTCGCACGGACACTGTGTGCCGATTAGTGATATGAGCCTGTCCCATATGTTAAATTCTCTCCCAAAACGACGACAAACTGAGTTCACTCAAATGAGTGTGAATAGTACTACTCACGTCTTGATAGGATACTCAGCCAGCTCGCACTGTTAAAATCGTAATTATAAGACAACAACGTATTTAAATGTTAACTTTTGTTTATTATAAATGAAACTTAACGTACGTCAGGTCCAGCCAAAGTCGAATCCTATTCGTACATTCTCAAACAACCAGACAAACACCGGCTCGAATTAGTCCGAACCTGTTGTTTTTAAAATCCTTGCCCACTGAGATACCATGCCGCAGTTTAACATGGAAATCCAACTCAGACACACTTTACTGACTATAAAAGACAACAGTGTATTAAATGTTCACTATTGTATATTTCAATGTTCTCTTTTGTTTATTTCGCTAGATCCAGCCCAAATCGAATCCTACTCGTACAACATTTCGAAACAACCAATCACACACACACACACACACACACACACACTCTCTCACCCCCCCCCCCCCCCCCCCCCCCCATACAAACCTAACCTGGACTGGACTCTCCGACTATCCCTATGAAATGTTGAGTGGTATGGTACATTAAAAATGAAGCGACAGTAGCAACAACTAGGTATGTGTGACGCCTACTTTTATTCAATAACATGCGAGACGACCAGCATGACTCTGCAATGTAATTCAGTCCACACAATGGGAAACGGATGAGCCCTTGTCCACCTAAAACACCACAAGGTCGTCATGTGACAGTCACACGGCCAGGCTATTGTGTTTCAGATCAGTGTCAGCGGAAGTGTATTCAACGCAGTCATGTCGACGAAGTCGCTGGGGAACTTTGTACAGTGTCCTGTGTGTAGGACAAGGTATGTTTGCTAGTGTATAATGTGGATTAGCCATACTTCCAGTGTTACTGTGTTATATACGCGCATAGGCTTCCATTACCTAACGAATCGTTTCCTCGCAGTATTGTTTATAGTTACAGCGCGCTCTTCTTTTCCGCACCCGCACAATATAACGGTGTTGTCCAAAAACTGCACCGGTTCAAAACGCCCCAAATTTATATGTCTAAAACGGCAACAGATATTGCTGTCGAAACGATTATCATGTCTATCTAAGTAAGGATAAGAATTTATGGATGAACAACTTCTTTATTACAATTAAGAGCGACGTTTCGGTGTAGTTTCTAACACCGTTATCAAGCAAGTGATAGACAGAGTGTGGTTGACAAGTATATATTACAGGTACTGTTTATACAGTAGAGTAGATTTTGTTATACTTCTAAGTGCCTATCAAAGAAATCATCTCTATCTTTCGGTATGTGTACGGAAAACAAAGCACAAATCATTCGGCATATATTTATTCCCCAGAGATAACCCTTTCCGACTTCATTAAAAAGGCAACCTATATTTATCTAACATTTATAACATGTTCCATGTTTATGCTGTAGAATCGCCATAGAATTTCTGTATCATTGTATAAACAATTTTCCCATTGAACACAGTTCAAACCATATGTTACCATTCAACACTTTATTTGATTCTGATATTATGGCAACAATACGTATCTTTTCAACATATATTGTTGCCAAACATAAGCATCATACATTTATTAAATTATCACTGTACATTTGCATTTTATAAACTTACATTTATTATTCCGACGAAAATAATCCAGTTTTGTATTTTATTTTAACTATATTTGCATTCTCATATTGTGCATTCAGTTGCCAAACATTGTTGCCAAACATAATCATCATACATTTATTAAATTATCACTGTACATTTGCATTATATAAACTTACATTTATTATTCCGACGAAAATAATCCAGTTGTGTGTTTTATTTTTACTATATTTGCATTCTCATATTGTGCATTCAGTTTCACGTCCACGGTCTCTCGCCGTTGTTTGCTTTATCTTTCCTCTTGTGTAGAGAGGTTGGTTGGTTGGTTTGTTGTTTAACGCCGCACTCAGCAATATTCCAGCTATATGATGGCGGTCTGTAAATAATCGAGTCTGGACCAGACAATCCAGTGATTAATATCATGAGCATCGATCCACGCAATTGGAATCGATGACATGCATCAACCAAGTCAGCGAGCCTGACCACCCGATCCCGTTAGTCGCCTTTTACGAAAACCATAGTCACCTTTTACGGCAAGCATGGGTTGCTGAAGACCTATTCTACCCCGGAATCCTCACGGGTCTTGTGTATAGAGGAGTGAACTTCTGTGTGAGAAGTGTGATTATGAGAGGTGTTGTTAATATTGAGGTGAGGGGACGAGATACTTGGTTTAACGTCGCGTTCAACGTCACTGCTCTTACGTATACGCCTCCGTGAACTAGTGGAAGAGCGTCCGCACTGAGAGTGGAAGGTCCGGGATTCGATCTCCGGCCGCGTCATAATAAAATACATTGAAAAGTGGTACTTTTTGTTACCCTGCCTGGCGCTCGGCATACAGGAGATAAAACCAGGACTGGTCGGCTCGGAGTCAGTATACTCTGTCTGAGTAGGGTATTAATGATAAAATGCGGCATGGCATCTCAGTGGGCTAGCACTAACAAATCGGCACTAGTCCGGGCTAGTACAAGCAGCCATGTATAAAAATGTAAAAAGCTCGAACTAGTCGGGACCTGTTCCGTTTTTATAGTGCTAGCCCACTGAGATACCATGCCGCAGTTTATCATGAGTATCCCACTCAGACAATGTACTGACTCCGAGCTGACCAGTCCTTGTTTTAGCCCCAAGCTACCTAGCGCCGGCCAGGGTAACAACAAGTACCATATTGTTACGTCTTTGTTATGACGCGACCAGGGGATCGAACTTCCGACCTTCCGCTCTCCAGTCGGGCGCCCAATCGACTGGACCACGGAGGCGGTTAAGGAAATAAATAAATCATTATGCATAAATCACTTATTATCGCAAGTGAAATATAGATACACCTGTAATCCTTTTGAAATAAATAGTGAGTAAACAGTAAACTAGGGTTATAACGAACTCAAAGGGACCACTAATTGTAGTTCGTAATAACCGTAGTTCGTTATAAGCATATGTACAACATAATTACAACAAATGGCCGGGACTAAAAAATGATATATCGTTATATCGGTCAGTTCGTTATAAGCGTGTTCGTTATAAACGTAGTTTACTGTATTTAAATTATATCATGGCGTATCACTTTGATATGGGAGGAACCCAGGTTGAAGCAGATTACCCATTTCGTTAAACGCACGAGTGAGTGAGTGAGTTGGGTTTAACGCCTCTTTTAACAGTATTCAAGTTATATCACGGCGTGTCAGCTTAATGTGGGAGGAAAGCCCGAAGTGATGCAGGTCTCAGACGTTTACCACTTCGGTGAAACCCACGAGCACGGGTATGGTGCTGACAAACCTAGAAACATAATCGGGGCGAACCAAGATTCGAACCCACAATCATAGCTTTCTGGCGTGCCCAAGGGACGCAACTCTGCACAGCGAATCGCGGCGCCTTAGACGACTGTGCCACCCGTGCCCCCGTTAAACGCACGATCACTGTTAGGGTGCTTACAAACCTGGAAACATATTCCATAGGGAATCGGGGATCATAATCACGCTTAAAGGACTCAGATCCGCACAGCAAATGGCGATGCCCTAATGCACCCGGCCCGTGTCCTTCAAAGGTTGTTTGCCTCGTGTGTTTCCGTATCGTAAATAACATATGTCATGGATCCCATTCAGTTAGTTTCCTATTCCTGGTATATAATATTTACGATGCGGAAACACAAGGGGAATCATATTGTTATCGTACAATGACATCCTTATGTGATCAATTATTAAGATGTATTTTTACTGAATGACGTATTTTCATAAACCGGGTATGAATTCAACATTGGAGTGATCATGAAGCGCCCCATTTGTCACATAGTGCCAATGAAATACAGCCATGTTTATCTACACAAACCCGCATATCGGGAAATCAGACAATAATGTATTGATCAAGCAGACATTGTTTCGATGTAGTTGCTGCTTATCGGACTTGTTTATCGCATCAGTAACACTGTCCGATACATGATAAATATTCAACATGCGATTCTGTTAAAAAATGAATATAGTTTTCGTATAATATGCAATAGTCGCCATGCATTGTACATATTCCAGCGCGACAGCATTTAGGTGAGGTGAGGTGCAATGGGGTTTAATGTCGCGTCCAAGACTATTGCACTTTTAAAGCGACGTGTGTGTGTGTGTGTGTGTGTGTGTGTGTGTGTGTGTGTGTGTGTGTGTGTGTGGCTGTTTGTACTAGTGCAGACTAATGCCGACTTTATAATTCTAGCCCACTGAAAGAACATGCCGCAGTTTAACATGAATACCCACTCAGACACAGTATTCTGACTCCGAGCCGACCAGTCCTAGTTTTAGCCCCTTAATGCCGAGCGCCAGACAGGGTTACAACAGGTACCATCTTTTAACGTCTTTTGGTATAATGCGGCCAGGGATCGAACCCCGGACCTCTCTGGGCGGACGCTCTACCTCTAGACCACGGAGGCGGTCCAACAGCAATAATATAGTTATGAGACGAAGGCGTATCATACACATTAAGGAAAAGTTAATTTATCTTCTCATGATACGGCTTTACAGTACACAATAATCAAAAATCGACTAGTATAACTATAAAGATAGTCATTTAGTTTCACTTCATATTCATTTTCCTCACATGACGGTTATCGCAATATGTTGGGAAACAGAATAAACTCTTCATAAAAAAGCACAACCATTTCCTATGCGAACATCCGGGTTAGAATAGGTCTTCAGCAACCTATGCTTACAGTAAAAGGCGACTATGCTTGTCGTTAGAGCCGACTAACGGGATCGGGTGGTCAGACTTGCTGACTTGGTTGATGCATGTTATCGTATCCAAACTGCGCAGATCGATGCCCATGATGTCAAGCCGTCATATAGATTGAATATTGCTGACCGCGGCGTTAAACAACTAACAAACATAATCATTTACTTAAAACAGAAATCAGTGATATGACCCAACTGATATTCACTGGTAACCATTCGCACACACAAAAATATGTCAATAAATATTCATTACTGTACATAGTTTACTTCTTCTCTGAGGTTGGTTTCGGAATTAGTATAGTCTTCGAAATCACTATTTACTTACACGTGTATGAATTGTATCTACAGCCACGCCCCCACCAACGGAGCGCTGAAGGATGGCGTCTATGCTTCTACCTGTGAAAACTGTGGCCACTTCTTCAAGTTCAAGGCCACAGGTCCTCTCAAGTCCTCTGTCACCTTCACCATCAATGGGACTTCCTACACAGGTACATACACAGCTAGACCCGTGAAGATCCGGGGTAGAATAGGTCTTCAGCAACCCACGCTTGCCGTAAAAGGCGACTATGCTTGTCGTCAGAGGCGACTAACGGGATCGGGTGGTCAGGCTCGCTGACTTGGTTGATACATGTCATCGAACCCAATTTCGTGGATCGATGCTCATGATATCAATCACTGGATTGTCTGGTCCAGACTCGATTATTTACACACCGCCGTCATATAGCTGGAATATTGCTGAGTGCGACGTTAAACAACAAACCAATCAATCAGCTACACCTTATTAAAACAGTAAGGGTATGTTCGTATCTCTCTAAAAATAAATATTTATAAGAAAAAACCGCTTGAAAGATATTTGTTCTCATTTCAGTTGGCAACCAGTATGCCGCAGCTCTGTCCCTGAATGAGTTCATGAGGTCCCAGGGTGTGTCCTATGGCACCAAGGTGATGTGTATGGAGGGAGGGTGTGGCGTGTGTCTCGTCACTACCACACTGTATGATCCCATCACAAAGGCCGTGCAGACCTACACAGTCAACTCGGTACGTCATACAATACGTCATCGTTGTTAGAAGAAAATACTGTACATTTTGGTAGATAATACGTGACTGTGCCACATCCAAACGAAGACACCCGATAAAAGTATACCGATATGAATTAAGGCAATACCAACATTTACGTTGATATTTCTGTAGGCAGTGTCCCATAATTATTAAGCTGGCAATGTCTTAAATACGGAAGCCTTTTAGGTAGGGCCATTTGTTTTTTTATTTTTTTTCGATACTATCTTGAAATTTCAAGATACTGAGTTGATATTTCAAGATACAGAAGTTGAAATTTCAAGATACTACCTTGGAATACAAGATACTATCTTGAAATTTCAACTTAGTATCTTGAAATTTCAAGATAGTATCATGAAATTTCAACTTAGAATCTTGAAATTTCAACTCAGTATCTTGAAATTTCAACTCAATATCTTGAAATTTTACCTTCTGTATCTTGAAATTTCAACTTAGAATCTTGAAATTTCAACTCAGTATCTTGAAATTTCAACTCAATATCTTGAAATTTTAACTTCTGTATCTTGAAATTTCAAGATACTATCTTGAAATTTCAACTTATTATCTTGAAATTTCAAGATAGTATCGAAAAATGTTTTAAAAAACCAAATGGCCCTAAAAGGCTTCCGTACCTAAACATATAACACATATTCTTAAATGTCTGATTTCCGATAGTGTCTGGTACCACTCTACACGTGTGACGGGATGCAAGTGACAACAATCGAGGGTCTCGGCAACCCCAGGGACGGCCTACACCCGATACAAGACCGTCTGGCACAGTACAATGGCTCTCAATGTGGCTTCTGTAGCCCCGCCCAGGTCATGAATATGTATGGGTAAGGTCTTCAAGACTTATACTTAAGTTACAGATTCATAGATTATTCCAATGGTCCAGAAGCAAACTGTCATGTCAAGCCTGTCCATCATTCGATGCAGCAATTAGAATATAGACAAACAGGATTCCATTTCAGAATGTGAATTTGTGATAGAATCTACAATGTTCAATGAGGATAAGGTTGATCACGCTAGTCGAGCTACGATCCGCTGAATCACAGAATTTTCCTAATATTATTAAAACGTTTGCAACCTCGGTCACTTTCCTGACGTGAGATGCCATGATACTTGAAATACTTCTCAAAGCGGCATTAAATCACCATTAAGCAATTAAATATGAAACCTACGTATACTTCATCACGTTTCTTCTTTGGCCAGTCTTCTGAAGAGGACACCCAAACCTACGATGCAGCAAGTTGAGAACGCCTACGATACCTCTATCTGCCGTTGTACAGGTCAGTGTCACAAAGGGGCGATCAGGTAGCCTAGTGGTTAAAGCGTTGGCTCATCTCGCCGAAGACCCGGGTTTGATTGCCGACATTGGTACAATGTGCGAAGCCCATTTCTGGTGTCCCCCGCCGTGATATTTCAGGAATATTGCTAAAAGCGGCGTAAAACCAAATTCATTCACTCACTCAGTTTCACAAAACAGCATTTGACCGTAGAGCAGTACTTTCATGATGAAAGTCACAGTCAAAGAACATATTTCTTGCCTGTTTGTTTCAAGTATTGATTATACCTTTACAGTTATGGCTTTCTAGAGTTTGATTAATAAGCACAATAACACTCTACACCTCGCAGCCTCCGTTCTTGAACGATTGTTTAATGCAAATAAGCTATATTCGAACATGAGAGATTCAAACTGTGGCTATAAAGACACTGAAAATATCTTCAGTAAGATTTCAGAATGAGTGTTCCCCAAAGCAATGGTGTGTAAACTTACTTATATGTTCAGGGTACCGACCAATTCTGGATGCCATGAAGTCCTTCGCTGCTGATGCTGCACCAAACCTTCCTGGGGGAGCCATTGACATTGAGGTAAAATATGGTTATATATTTGTGTTTCAGCGAAACCAAGTAACTAATGCACCTCACGACGGTGCCTTGGATGGGCGGAACAATAACTCACTGTCATGTTTTTACTAACCACAAACAGTGTGGTTTAGTATTTTAGTATGAACTACAAGGATATTTGATTTCAGGAACTGGACAAGAAGATATGCAGCAAAACCGGGAAGACCTGCACTGGACACTGCTCATCTGAGGGACAGACCGACCCGGAGCACGTCCCCCTCCACATTGTGCTGCAGGGGTCACAGTGGTACAAACCCACCACCAGACAGCAGCTGTACGCCCTCCTCGGCCAACACAAGGGAGACAACTACAGACTTGTGTTCGGAAATTCAGGATATGGTAAAGAATCACTGTCTGGTGGACATTTTGATATATAAACTGCATGAATACGTGTCGTACAGTTAGGCATCCTGGTATTTGTCTGATGATGTCCAATTGAACAATTGAAAAATTCGAGAAAAAAAAATTCGTCAAAGTATTTTGTCCAAACGTAAAATAGATGACACCTCATAAAAGGTTTCAAGATGTGTAGTTGACTCAGTGTCAGTCATCTATTTTTCATGTTTTTGATGACAAAGCAAAACTTCTACATCGAGATGTGAACAGTTAAATAACGAAACAAGTTTGGACCTAATCGCATATTACATTAATTTTTAAACTTATCCTATCTCACACTATGCATTATTCTTTCTTCATCGATCCTAAGTGGAAAACGTGTTTCAACAAAGGTTTGCAGCTTCTGAAAAAAAACAATTCACCCTAATGGGGGGGGGGGGGGAAGGCTTCACCCAGGATGGCGACCTTTGTGCGAAAACATGATTTAGGCGACCATTGAGCGTCCTGGCCAGGCTCTGATCGCTAAAAGGTGGCACAAAGGTCACAGCCCTGTTCAAAGGGGACTTAACTCATCTCCCAACATGGTCACCTCCCAACAATCTGGGTTACACACACACTCCATAGGCTAACAGGCTGAACACGTGATTTCCCGGGCCAGCTCATTCTCTTTCTAACATCCAGGATGTGGTGACATGCCTGTAGATTGAGACTCCCTGATTTTTTCCTTGCGCTTCTTTCGATGTTTTTCTCGCGATCGTATCATGGATGCTACTGGAAATCCGATACGGTTTTCGCGTGACACTATCTCCAAGACATTTCCGTGACTGACGTCCAAGGTCTACACCAATTTGACCGTTGGTGCTCGAAGAACAAATCTTCAGGACACATCTTCTCAGATAGAACTGACGTATGCCTGATATTGTTCCGTGGATTACGCCATGATTGTCTCTAGTTACAAAAAGATTGAACTTGTTTCCTGAGTTTATCCTATTTTCTCGGGTATCCCAGACCGAATGTTTTCACTCGCCTGTGGAGTCTTCACGACGTCGCAATATGGCGCGGTCGGTTACCGGTGTCCCGATCCTTTATTACTCTCACCTCTGCTTTCGGCATGTGTTGTTGGGTATTGGTTTCACGGTCCACGTTCCACGATATACTGTGTGGTCGGGTAGCCAAGTGGTTAAAGCGTTCGCTTATCATGCTGAAAACCCAGGTTAAATTACCGACATGGGTACAATGTGTGAAGCCCATTTCTGGTGTCCCCCGCCGTGATATTGCTGGAATATTGCTATGGGCGGGGTAAAACCATACTCACGCACTCCACGATATACTCTTCTTGTCAGAACCTATCTCTTGAACCCCTGCATGGATCTGAGGGTTAGACGTAGCGTTAAAAGAGATGCTAAGCAGGTTACGTCTTATCATCCGTGAGATGTAAGTTACCCCAGCCTTGTAGAATTTATTGGGTGGATCTCCATCCGAATCACTAGTAAGTTCTTGAAAAGCTGGAAACCTTTGTTTGATCACGTTGTCCACTTAGGATCGAAGAAGAAAGATAAATGCACGGTCTGAGATAAGAGATATGTAATTTATTGTCAAATTTGCAAATTCATGTATCGGTTTATATTTTCATCGGAAAATCCAGATGAATGTTGTTTAAAAGTAGTCATATTGAAGGCATTATGATCGATAATCAGTGCAGTAGTTTTAGCCACATTCTTTATAAGGAGGCCCCGCCATTATAACAATGAATGTGCGACATGCACACTACAAGTTACATAGTTTTCAATGTTGTCCAGGTGTGTATAAGGAACTTAGTCCATGGCTCTATGACGTCCTCATTGATCTACGTGGGATCCAGGAGTTCTATGACATTTCGGTAAGTTTACATGTATGATCTTGGCACAAATAGTGTGTATAAAACCTGAGTCTCTTACAGGTTAATTGGATTTAACAATGCTTTTAGTAACGTAACAAATGTTTTATTTGGGATAACACTTTCTTACTAAAGTACAGATTCTCGTACTTTTTGGGGGACGGGACTCAACCCCAAAAAATTACGGGAATCTGTACTTTACTAACAGAGTGTTATCCCAAATATAACATTTGTTACATTTGACCACTATCTAAATGGCATGGTGTATTCATAGCTTTTAGTAACATTCAAGAATATCACGACGGGGACACCAGAAAAGGTCATCCCACGTTATAACCGTGTGGGGAATCGAACCCGGGCCTTAGGTTGCTTGTAATTGTGCACGTTGGTGTGCTTTGTTGGTCATACTATCGTTTACTGGGTTGCCTTGGCCAAGGCTCAAGTGTCCTGTGAAGATCCGGGGTAGAATAGGCCTTCAGCAACCCATGCTTGCCGTAAAAGGCGAATTTGTTTGTCGTAAGAGGCGACTAACGGGATCGGGTGGTCAGGCTCGCTGACTTGGTTGATGCATGTCATCGATCCCAATTGCCTGGATCGATGTTCATGATATCAATCACTGGATTGTCTGGTCCAGATTCGATTATTTACGGACCGCCGTCATATAGCTGGAATAATATATATAGTGCGGCGTTAAACAACAAACCAAACCAAACCAATAACCAAGGATCAAGCATTTGCAAGCAGTTATTAATACTGCTGACCGCAGCTACCGCATTTACTCATTACTCATGAAAGTCAACAAAATGTTCTTTATAATGAAATCATTTCTTATACAACAGGTGGACTCCTCCAGAGTGATGTTTGGTCCAAGCATCACCCTGACCAACATGATGGAGGTGTTCGAGACAAACGGCACCAACCCTGGATTGTCCTACTTCCGGGATTTCGCCAGCCACGTGGCTGTCATTGCTAACACTGGCGTCAGGAATGTGAGTAGGCTTTGGTTCCGTTGACATCTTCCCTGTTGCGTTTCTATTCAATCAACGATACCTAGAGTGATATGAGATCATTACTAATTAATGTCCATGACAATGTCACATACTCAATCATTATCTTATTTCTGTGATTCGGGGACACGGGTGGCCCAGTCGTCTAAGGCGCCGGGATTCGCTGTGCAGAGCAGCGTCTCTTGGGCACGCCAGAAACCTATGATAGCGGGTTTGAATCCCGGGTCGCCCCAATTATGTTTCTAGGTTTGTCGGCACCATACCCGTGCTCGTGGGTTTCACCGAAGTGGTAAATGTCTAAGACCTGCATCACTTCGGGCTTTCCTCCCACATTAAGCTGACACGCCGTGATATAACTGGAATAATGTTAAAAATTGCGTTAAACCCAAGTCACTCACTATTTCTGTGATTCTAAAGCCATTGCCACACCATACATTACACAAACATTGGTGAGGTGAGGTGAAATGGGGTTTAACGTCGCGTCCAAGATTATTGCACTTATAAAGCGACGTGCATGTACGTGTGTGTGTGTGTGTGTGGCTGCTTGTACTAGTCCGGACTGATGCCGATTTATAGTGCTAGCACGCTGAGATACCATGCCGCAGTTTAACATGAATGCCCCACTCAGACACAGTATACTGACTCCGAGCCGACCAGTCCTTGTTTTAGCCCCTTAATGCCGAGCTCTAGACAGGGTAACAACAAGTACCATCTTTTAACGTCTTTTGGTATGATGCGGCCGGGGATCGAACCCCGGACCTTCCGCTCTCCGGGCGGACGCTCTACCACTAGACCACGGAGGCGGTCCACAAACATTAGTAATGATTCTTTCTCATTACTAATGTCGATCCTGGCATCACAAATTAATTACAGTAATATGAAAAAATCGGGTTTCTTGAACTTATTTTGAATAGCATATAGTCTAGGGGAAAGATAATAACAGTTAAAGCTTCAGGTGTTCTTACAACGATGCCCTGCCCTGGCGGTAGTGCCTGCCTCACGTGAAGGTCAAAGGGCGTTTTGGGCGTAGACTGACGATGAAGCGAATCAATAAACACAGTCACTTATTGCATTGACCCATCTTTGGGCCTTGATGACATACAGTAAACTACGGTTATAACGAACTCAACTGGGCCACCAATTGTAGTTCGTTATAACCATAGTTCGTTATAAGCATATATACAGCATAACTACAGCGAATAGTCGGGACAAAAAAGTAAGTTCGTTGTATCCGTTAGTTCGTTATAAGCGTGTTCGTTATAAACGTAGTTTACTGTATTGCCACACAGCAACATGTATTTCAAAGTTGTCTTGTAGTCCAGATAACACTCATATTTTGTATGAAGTCGAATAAACTTAAATAATTGCGTGCATTACATCGACGTATGAAGATACCAAATTGGATTCGTGATTTAGTTGGGCAGCTGGGCCGGTAACCTGATGCTGAAGAACCTGCACACTGAGTTCCCGTCTGACGTCTTCACCATTTTTGAGACAGTCGGAGCAACTTTGACAATCGGTAAGATGGGAATACCTTGATGAAAGAATTATGTATTAGGTGTCATCATGATATGCTCCTGGTATAGTCGGAATCGTACAATCGACTCTGCTTTTCGCAAACAATTTTTTTGGATCAGGAAAGGGTTTTGTCGCTTTTATTTTATCACTAAAATATATTGCAATTTTAATATTGATATAGTTAGCACTTATTTTAAAAAAAGATATAGATTGATAAAAGAATTCTTTGCAATCTACTCAAAAGGAGTTCAGGACCACCCGATTCGTTGATATTACTATAATATGTCATTTTTTCAGTAGTATGAGAGAATCAGTTAGTTCTCTACTTACTTTGAGTAATATACAAACCCTGGACTTCTAGTATTGCAGAGACCAACGGGAAAGGAGTGAAACTCTGTGGTTCTAGTGAATTTGTTTATCGGAAGTAGTTGTTCCCGTGTTAGCATACACAATATTTCGAAGTCACACTTTAAGGTTTCTTTGTCTGACAAGCTGTTGTACATATCGTATTATACAATGACTAGACATAACACCAAACTTACGAAGGAGAACTCAAATTTGAGGGTTTTTTCAAATTTTATAGAAAGCCCATGGGGTCCACCTTCATCCTACATTAAATCAGTACATCCTAAACAATCAAAGAAATACAGCTTCCAAATATGTGATTCTCAATATATCATTTAAGGGCAAGATCTCAATTTATTTTCTGTTTGACTATATTTTTTCTTGAGAAAAGTCATCTTTCCTTCTCTTAGTGATACCAGTACCTGTTACAGGTTCGAGTGATGGAACGGAGACATCATACAGTCTGATTGACTTCCTGAACCTCGACATGAAGGGCAAGGTCATCCTGTCTGTGACACTTCCAACATTCCCATCTGGAGACGTGTATGTCAAGACCTTCAAGATTACCCCCAGACATCAGGTAAACGCCTCAAGTACATAAAAATATACAATTTGAACTGAATAATTATTAATACGTTACTGTGTAAGTGTATATGTGCCCATGAGAAAAAACAACTTTGTCGCGGAGATGACAGGCCTTATTTTTGTTTGGTTTTTATCCCCCGTCCAACAAAGTTGGCGGGGGATATAGAAACGGGTTCCGTCCGTCCGTCCGTCACGATTCGTTTCCGGAGCATAACTCAGAAACCGTTCAATATTTTTTCATGAAACTTTGCAGGTCTGTCAAGTACATGCTGAACTGGTGCCTTTTGCTATTTAGAAATTTTTATTTTTTACGTTTCCATGGCAACAAGATGAACTTAGGTTCTGTGAGGGTAGGGTTCGTTTCCGGAGCATAACTCAGAAACCGTTCAATATTTTTTCATCAAACTTTGCAGGTTTGTCAGGTACATGCTGAACTGGTGCCTTTTGCTATTTAGAACTTTTAGAAAAAAATTATGTTTTACGTTTCCATGGCAACAAGATGGACTTAGGTTCCAAACTCTTCTTTTTTTTACAATTTCCATGACAAGTTCCACCTCGGTTAAAAAAGGTTAGGGTTCGTTTAGATTTAATTATGTCATAAATTCCGCAACTGGGGCGGGGGATATAGCCACGTTAGTGGCAAACTCTTGATGTTTGTTCAACGCCGCAAGCAGCAACAGTCCAGATTTATGGCGGCGATCTGTAAACATACGAATCTGGATCAGACAATCCAGTGATTAACTCCATGAGCATCGATCCACGCAATTGGGATACGATGACATGCATCAACCAAGTCATCGTTGTTGACCCCCTATCCCGTTAGTCGCCCCTTACGACAAGCATGGGTTGCTGAAGACCAATTCTAAAACGGATGTTCACGGGGAATCAATCTAATGGCCTTCATGAAAAAGTTTATCTGGCATTTGCAAGTAAATTATCATCCAGCATTGCTTACTAAAAGTGGTCTATGTTGTCATTAACTGAGTGAGTCATATTCCCACAATATGACGACAGCGACACCAAACATGGGGTTCACACATTGCACCCATGTGGGAATTCGAATCTTGGCCTCCGCGTGACGAGCGAGACAGATCGAGATTGTGATCGCGAGTAGGTCAAAGGTTTCTTGTAATTACTGCAAAGTAGATACATATAGTTTCAAGGCAATTGGCAAACAGTGAAATAAGTGTCCAACATATTTCAGAATGCCCACGCCTATGTGACAGCAGGCTTCAGGATGCAGTTGGACAGGAACAACAACTTCACTGTCAAGACAAAGCCATCCCTGGTCTATGGTGGCATCAGTAAAACGTTGGTACGTTCAATTCATTGATAACAACGCTCTGGATTTCTTGATACTAATGTTCATACTCTGAGGTTAGAGTTGTTTAATGTTTCAACACACAAACTTACAGGTCATGCTGATGTCGACTTCTCAATAACAGTGTCACACTTGCTGTGAGTAAAATTTCATGTGTCTCAAGGGGGCACCGGTGGCTCAGTCGTCTAAAGTGCCGCGATTCGCTGTGCAGAGTTGCGTTCCTTGGGCACGCCAGAAACCTATGATTGTTAATTCGAATCCCGGTTCGCCCCGATTATGTTTCTAGGTTTGTCAGCACCATACCCGTGCTCGTGGGTTTCTACGAACTGGTAAACGTCTAAGACCTGCATCACTTCGGGCTTTCCTCCCACATTATGTGTCTCATACGCATTAAGTATATATAAATTGTTATATGACTATTTCCGTAGGTCCATGCCGGCAACACAGAGACATATTTACAGGGGAAGCAACTGGGAGATCCAGCAGTACTCAAAAGTAAGCGCTAAGTAGAGTTTAGTTGATGTAAAATTAAACAATATCTTGTGGATTGATATGACGATACTGTTATGCGTTTTATAGTGATGGTGATGGATGGGCGAGAAAAAGAAAGGACGACATGTCAATCTATTTTCTACCCTTCACTGAGTTCTACCATGCATGTTCTACCTGAGTTGAAGCATGCCAATAGTCCCGAGGCGTTCATCGTTTTGTAGACGACGCTTCCCAATCTGATCACAGATTTTGCATTACAAGAATAGAGAGCTTACGTGATATTGTGGATAATGAACATCAACTGAACTGTCAAAATCAAGAAAGACCACTCGACCCGCATGCACGAAGGACTTGCCCTGTCCACCGGCAGTGTTTAAGGTGTATTGGGGCGATAGGTTTGGGTTCCGAAACCGTTCTGGCAGTCATATGTTACAGCTGATCTTTCTCCTGAATGGTCATAGTATTTATATTTCATGTTCCCTACGCTTTGTTGAGAGTATATAGATATTAATGACCATCTGTGACGACAATCTCAAAACATGTCTCGTTAAGGACAAACAGTTAAAACCCATATGAACAATTAATTACCATTTAACCTGAATTTGCTTGTTTCGTAACCTTATAAAGGAGGCAGAATCATTTACTACATTGTATAACGTATAATAAACTCACCTTTAAGTAGACGTATTTTGTGCCAGTTTCATCATTGTTTCTTGACCTGTCGATCGATGTGGTACTCCAACATTGTTAAACTGTTGTTTCGAGACATGTGTGTATAGTTTATTGATCGTTGCTCATTTAACAGGTGCTATAGCAACTCTGTCGGCCGAGCTGGTCCCCGACACCACCCCTGGCTTGTCCAGTACAACCTACAGGAAGAACCTGGCCGTCTCTCTCTTCTACAAGGTCAGTTAAAGCCTTATAAGCATGCACAGAAGATGCAATACTATTAGAGTAAATGTGATACATTAATTCATTTTCCGACTACTGTGCATATTGGTCAATATAAATCAGTGACTATGCTCTCTGGCGTTTGTCATATGCTGGTCATCGTAATGTATCAAGGCTGACGTCATTAGCAAAATGACTTCAGGAATTTGAACCCGATGAGGTCCTAATTACAAATTCATTTCAGTGCGTGCTCGGCATGTGTGGTGAGAAGGCAGCAGCAAGATTCCGGAGTGGCGGCAACAACTTGATAAGGCCAGTTTCATCAGGCACTCAGACATATGACAGTCGTAAAGATGAATACCCTTTGACTGAACCTATGACCAAGGTGGATGCAACCCTACAAGTAATAAATATCAGTTCACCAGTCTTTTAATAATGACGTCGTCTTATTCTTCATCTGCTTGTTCTTCCGCTTTTTCTTCTGTGTCTTCCTCTTCTGCTTCGTCTTTTCCGCTTCATTTTCTGTGTCTTCTTTTTGCTTCTTCTTTTACAGTTTCTTCTTCTGTCTCTTTTGCATCTTCTTCTGCTCCTTTTCCCGCTTCTTCTTCTGTCTTCTACTTTTTGCTTCTTCTGCTTCTTCTTTTCCCGCTTCTTCTTCTGTCTTCTTCTTTTTGCTTCTTCTGCTTCTTCTTTTTCCGCTTCTTCTTCTGTCTTCTTCTTTTTGCTTCTTCTGCTTCTTCTTTTACAGATTCTTCTTCTGTTTCTTCTGCATCTTCTAGTGCTTCTTCTTTTCCCGCTTCTTCTTCTGTCTTCTTCTTTTTGCTTCTTCTGCTTCTTCTTTTCCCGCTTCTTCTTCTGTCTTCAATTTTTGCTTCTTCTGCTTCTTCTTTTCCCGCTTCTTCTTCTGTCTTCTACTTTTTGCTTCTTCTGGTTCTTCTTTTCCCGCTTCTTCTTCTGTCTTCTTCTTTTTGCTTCTTCTGCTTTTTCTTTTCCCGCTTCTTCTTCTGTCTTCTTCTTTTTGCTTCTTCTGCTTCTTCTTTTCCCGCTTCTTCTTCTGTCTTCTTCTTTTTGCTTCTTCTGCTTCTTCTTTTCCCGCTTCTTCTTCTGTCTTCTTCTTTTTGCTTCTTCTGCTTCTTCTTTTCCCGCTTCTTCTTCTGTCTTCTTCTTTTTGCTTCTTCTGCTTCTTCTTTTCCCGCTTCTTCTTCTGTCTTCTTCTTTTTGCTTCTTCTGCTTTTTCTTTTCCCGCTTCTTCTTCTGTCTTCTTCTTTTTGCTTCTTCTGCTTCTTCTTTTCCCGCTTCTTCTTCTGTCTTCTTCTCTTTGCTTCTTCTGCTTCTTCTTTTCCCGCTTCTTCTTCTGTCTTCTTCTCTTTGCTTCTTCTTTTACAGTTTCTTCGTCTGTATCTTCTGCATCTTCTAAGGCTTCTTTTTTCGCTTTTTCTCTTCTACTTCTTTTTTCTTCTGTTTCGTCTTTTCCCGCTTCTTCTTCTTCTCCATTTTCCGCTTCTTCTTTTAATTCTTCTTCTACTACAACTTCTTCTTCTGAAATGCTATTGTTCTGATCGATTTTATCATTCTCAAATACATTTGGTGTTTGCCCAACTCGCTGTACCTTTCAAACAGAGCTGTATTGCATTAATTAGTAATGTTACACGTGGTCATTTATGTGACAGTAAACAAGGAGATAGAAGCCAACGAGGTATGTACATGTTTCATAGCATGTTCGTCTGATATCGATATATTACATTCATTATTAACCGCCTCCGTGGCCTAGTGGTAGAGCGTCCGCCCGGAGAGCGGAAGGTCCGGGGTTCGATCCCCGACCGCGTCATACCAAAATACGTGAAAAGATGGTACTTGTTGTTACCCTGTCTGGCGCTCGGCATTCAGGGGCTAATACAAGGACTGGTTGGCTCGGAGTCAGTATAATGTGTCTGAGTCGGGTATTCATGTTAAACTGCGGCATGGTATCTCAGTGGGCTAGCACTATAAATCGGCATCAGTCCGGTCTAGTACAAGCACTCACACACACACACACACACACACACACACACACACACACGTGCATGCACGTCGCTAAGTGCAATAATCTTGGACGCGACGTTAAACCCCATTTCACCACCACCACATTCATTATTAAAGTACATAATTTGTCAAAACATCAACGACCTTGAAGCCTATCAAAGAACCCATTTGCTTCAGACATCAGGCAGGGTGCAGTACGTCAATGATGTACCTCCCGTTCAAGGTGAAGTCTTCGCATCCTTTGTCATCAGCAGCGTCGGCAACGCAGAAATCGACAGCGTCGACACATCTGCAGCCCTGGTAACCATTACAGTCTTTATTTAAACCCAAAAGATCGAAACTAAAACAAACCGTTACTTTCTAATCAATTCCACGAAATCTTATTTTCAAATCAATTAAAACGCCTATTCGAGGTAAAGGTTACAAAAAATGATATCGTGAAAAAGCATTATTTGCCGATGTTGACTGTGTATGTATGAAGGAGTACCATTAAGGTAAGTGTCACTGAGTATCCTCCATGTGTTCTGTATTAATGCATTGTGTCTTCAGAGTTCTCCTGGAGCCCTGAAGTACATCTCTGCCTCTGACATACCGAAAGGCGGCAGCAACAGTTTCAGACAGCCGGGTGCTGGCGTAGAGGAGGTACTGACAAGAATACTTCCGTCATATCTTTCTCTGAAGTTCCAAGAATTAATTATGTATTATATTCAGATGTCCACTATTTGTCAGTATATTCATTGCCATGGGTAGACTGAGTGGCAAGAAGACGGTGTATGAAGAGGAGTTGTAGAGGCAGAAATACTCATTGTTAATTTTGGTAGTGAAAGGGGGGCGGGGGGGGGGGGGGGGGGGGGGGTCGTGGCGGCCAAAATGGCATTATGCAGTAGAGTTTTTAGAAAAAGAATGTATTTAGATATGTTTTTGTAAATTTTCATTATTTAAAAATCGGGTGTGGTGTGTTTGGGTTGGGTGGTGTGGGGTGGGGCATTCTTTTTAATCGTCACAGCGGGTGTTTGTTTGCCCCCTGACTGACAATAGACTTTGCAAGGCACCACCACGTACCACATTCTGTCGACTAACGGGATCGGGTGGTCAGGCTCGCTGACTTGGTTGATGCATGTCATCATATTCCAATTGCGTGGATCGATGCTCATGATGTCAATAATTGGATTGTCTGGTCCAGACTCGATTATTTACAGACCGCCGTCATATAGCTGGAATATTGCTGAGTGCGGCGTTAAACATCAAACCAAACCAAACCAAACCACATTCTGTTGTTCATCTTCTTCTGTTCAACTTCTCTGACATTCTCTGAACATACGATGTCATCTACATCACCCTCTAAAAATATACAAAGATGCAAATTGAAAATACAAATGCAAAGATATGCATGTATCTGTATCCTTGGCGTCAATTGACCTCTCGATGTATGATACCTTCCATAGCCACTGTCAGTACATGCTACCATGTCATAGCGAGCTTTGTTTCATCTACCAGATATTCTGCAGTGGCCGTGTTCTCTACAGCGGACAGCCAATTGGCATCATCGTTGCAGGTAGGTGTTTGCAATATTTGTATATTATACTCAGCAGTAATCCAGCTATATGACGGCGGTCTGAAATAATCGAGTCGGAGTCAGACAATCCAGAGATCGACATCGTGAACATCGACCAACGCAATTGGGATCGATGACATGCATCATCCAAGTCAGCGAACCTCACCTCCCGATCCCGTTAGTCGCCTCTTACGACGAGCATAGTCGCCTTTTACGGCAGGCATGGGTTGCTGAAGACCTATGCTAACCCGTAAGAAATTTCATCACAGTGCTTACCATGACGTCACAGTAAAATGAAATTACTAATCCCTCTGCAAGGAAGATGTATATGATATTTCCACACTGAAGAAACTGGTTATTACTGTTTACAAACACACAGAGTTGGATGGAGGATTTGGGTTGATAGTCACCTGAATGGCTTCGAAGCTCAAGTTTTATCAACTCGTCTTCATATATTTGACAAAAGGCGATTATGCTTGTCGTAAGAGGTGACTAACGGGTGGTCAGGCTCGCTGACTTGGTTGATACATGTCATCGGTCCCAATTGCGTTGATTGATGCTCATGATGTTAATCACTGGATTGTCTGGTCCAGACTCGATAATTTACAGACCGCCGTCATACAGCTGGAATATTGCTGAGTGCGGCGTTAAACAACAAAACAACCAATCATATATTTGAGCTCGGAAAACACTTAGGTGATCAGATTCTCTCAATAATTGACTTTAGAAAGTCTCAATTCCCTAACATACCATATTGTTTGTTTAATGTCAGTGGACAAACTATCAGCGGACAGAGCAGCCAGCATGGTGAAAGTTACCTACAAGAACGTCCAGCCTCCCATCATTACAATGGAAGATGCCATTCAGAAGAAATCCATATTTCCAAATGTGGCACAGGAGTTCAAAGTTGGTGATGCTGCAGGTAAGCAGTCATTTACGAGATTAAGAAATTATCCTTATACCTTACTGAAGTTGTTTCCTTGTCGTGTCAGACCGCCTCCGTGGTCTTGTGGTAGTGCGTCCGCCCGGAGAGCGGAAGGTCCGGGGTTCGATCCCCGGCCACGTCATACCAAAAGACGTTAAAAGATGGTACTTGTTGGTACCTGGTCTAGCGCTCGGCATTAAGGGGCTAAAACAAGGACTGGTCGGCTCGGAGTCAGTATATTGTGTCTGAGTGGGGTATTCATGTTAAACTGCGGCATGGTATCTCTGTGAGCTAGCACTATAAATCGGCATCAGTCCGGACTAGTACAAGCAGCCACACATACACGTGCATGCACGTCGCTATATAAGTGCAATAATCTTGGACGCGACCTGCTTGTCGTGTCTTTAAAGTTCTATGGTGTTTTTCGAAGCCAGAGACTCAGAATAGCTCAATGGTCCGTGTTTGTCACGAACTATTGTTAAGGGTTATCTCCTGAATAACTTGATCGATGTGCGTTATGAACGTAAGCTGCATTTGAAATGAGATGAAAATTTCAGCTGGCAGTTACAATGTTTCAATGATTCTTTATAGCCGCAATTGCGACATCGGACAAACACGTTTCTGGCCGTATCAAGATGGGTCACCAGTACCATTTTCATATGGAAACACAGGTCAGTATCCGCCTACCTTCATTATGTCAATTGATACACGACTTCTTTTGTTTCAAAGGCACGGGTAGCCCAGTCGTCTAAGTGGCTGTGATTCGCTGTGCAGAGTTGCGTCCCTTGGTCATGCCAGAAACCTATGATTGTGGGTTCGAATCCCGGTTCACCCCGATTATGTTTCTAGGTTTGTCAGCACCATACCCGTGCTCGTGGGTTTCACCGAAGTGGTAAACGTCTGAGGCCTGCATCACTTCGGGCTTTCCTCCCGAATTAAGCTGATGCGCCGCGATATAACTGGAATACTGTTAAAAGCTGCGTTAAACCAAACTCTCTCACTCTTTCGTTTCATTGCTTGGCAATTACTCATCGTTTGCACTGATGGTTTTGCCATGCTGTTCATGACTTTGTAAGGTTTTTATGTAATCAAGTACTGATGCTTTGCAGTTTCTGGCACTTTAAAATTAAAGTCCTATTTTGTTTAAAATAGGTGAGCATCTGCTACCCAGCCGAGGACGGCGTGGGCGTGAGTCTTCTGTCGTCCACACAGTGGACGGATCTGGAACAACTGATTGTAGCCAAAGCTCTCAACATTCCAGAAAGCAGGTTGGTTGGTTGGTTTGTTGTTTCACGCCGCAATATCCCAGCTATATGGCGGCGGTCTGTATATAATCGAATCTGGACCAGACAATCCAGTGATTGATATCATAAGCATCGATCCACTCAATTTGGATCGATGACATGCTTCAACCAAGTCAGTGAGCCTGACCACCCGATCCCGTTAGTCTAGAAAGCAGGTACGTACCTTGTGGTGGATAATGGCCGCTGGATGGTGCCTGGATTTGTCTGAATAAGTAATAAAATTGTATTTTGTATTTTTTGTAAAATGTGTTAACAGTTTTGGACTTCTTTGTATTTGCTAGTGTCAACGTTACAGTCAGACGTCTGGGAGGATCGTACGGTGCCAAAATAACACGTGCTCATTTATCGGCTTGTGCAGCGGCTATCGGCACACACGTCATGAGGAGGTGGGTGATAGGAATAAGCGTTGTTTCTGTCAGCAGGGCTCGTCTCCGTGGTCTGGCGGGGCAGTCGGGTAGCCTAGTGGTTAAAGCGTTCGCTCGTCACGCCGAAGACCCGGATTCGATTTCCGACATGGGTATAATGTGTGAAGCCCATTTCTGGTGTCCCCCGCCGTGACATTGCTGGAATATTGCTAAAAGCGGCGTAAAACCATACTCACTCACTCAGTGGTCTAGTGGATAGAGCGTCTGCCCTGACAGTCAGCATTAAGGGGACTAAACAAAGACTTTTTGGCTCGGAGTATACTGTGTCAGAGTGGGAAATCGATGTGAAACTGCAGCAAGGTATCTTAGTGGGTACTCAGTGGGCACTATGAAACCAGCTTTAGTCCTGACTAGTACAAGCGGACACACGTGCATGCACGTCGCCATTTAAGTGGAATAATCTTGAAAGCGACGTTAACCCTCATTTAACGTGACCTCTTTCATCAAGGTGATCAATCGATTCTTTAATATTGTTCGTCTCTACAGCTAGGTATTCATGCCTTACGGTATATATTTTCTCACATTTTAGATAATTTTGAAATCAGTTGTTTCCGCATAATTTAGTTCATCATGGTGACCTTTTTCAGACCTGTTCGACTAAATATGAACTTCCATACCAACATGAAGACCATCGGAAAACGATTCCCGTATCTTGCGGATTACACAGTAAGACACAAGTATATGTTATTTCAAGAGGCGACTGACGGGATCGGGTGGTCAGGCTCGCTGACTTGGTTGAAGCATGTCATCGATACCAATTGCGTGGATCGATGCTCATGATATCAATCACTGGGTTTTCTGGTCCAGACTCGATAATATACAGCCGCCGTCATATAGATGGAATATTGCTGAGTGCGGCGTAAAACAACAAACCAACCAACATGACAAATGTTTACAAATGTGTTTCTACAGTAATACAAGTTATTAACACAGGACAGGTCCCCGTACAAACAACTAACAGAGACACATACATTTTGTTGCTATTTTGAACTTGAATAAACATGCGTTTAACATGTGTACATAAAGAGTTAATTTAAAGCAGGATGTATGAACACATTCTCTTCCAATCAGGCAGCACTGTTTGCCAGCTGGTTATTTTGGATACGGAATGACTGGTAATACCATAGAAGGGGGATATGCAGCATTTATGCTCAAAGTTCAAAATAAGCAACTGCACTACATCTTCAAGGAATGTGAAACATCGAATTGATGATCTTCTGGTGAATTTGACGAGAGTTTTTACGATTCGAATTTTGAAATGTCAAGCACATGGAATGCTTCTTTCAAGGAATCGCCGTTTTAAAAAAATGTTTAATTATTGGCTTTGTGTTGATAGGTTGGTGTGACAAATGAAGGTAAACTGAACGGAATCCAGTTTACCGTGAATGCAGACTGCGGTATGTCCCCCAATGACTGTTCGTTGGCTTCATTCCCACCATGGATGGACAATGGTGAGTGCCAAGTATACATGATGTTTCTACAGTCGGTTTGTTTGTTGTTTAACGCCGCACGCAATCTCATTAAAATCAGATCTTAATTTTCGCTACGGCTAAACAAAGATCTGAGGACATCCCATTACGGGTCACGTCAGAACGACCTTTCGCGAATTGTGACCGACCAATAAAATGACTGACAAGAAATCGACATTAGCCAATCAGAAGGCAGCTTTCTCGAGCTTCACGACACAAGTTGCAAACTGGCGACAACGCTTCGAAACATATTTTGACGTATTCTCGATTAAAAAAACAAAAACTGATAAGAAGAACTTTCTGGAATGGCTTAAAGATGGCCTAGATTGTATGGATATAATCATAAAACCCGTAACTGTCATTCGGAATAGCCCGTGTTAAATATTTCGTGGTTGCGTGATTAGAAAACGCATTCCGACTGTCACTCTCGTGATCTGGTAAGCGACGCTCTGATTGGTTGGATGAAAGGTCGTCCTGACGTGAACCTTAATGGGATGTCCTCAGATCTTTGTTTAGCGGTAGCGAGAACTAAGATCTGATTTTAATTAGATTGACGCCGCACGCAGCAATATTCCAGCTTTATGACGGCGGTCTTTAAACGATCGAATCTGAACCAGTGATTGACATCATGAGCATTGACCGACGCAACTGGGATACAATGACATGCAACCAAGTCAGCGAGCCTGACCACCCCACAAACATGGATTGCTGAAGACCAGTTCTAACTCGGATCTTCACGGTTATTTGTATAGTATCTATCTACATATTTGGCATATGAAACATGTAGCAGTACACTGTTTACTCGAATACTGTTAAAAGCGGCGTTAACCCCAACTCACTCACTCACCCAGTGGATAATGGTGGCTATTTGTTCTGTTGGCAGCCTACTACTGTCCGGCGTGGGATTTTAAACCAGTCGCCCTGAAGACTAATCTCCCAACGAACACTGCTTGTCGGGGACCAGGTAACACCACAAACATTAATTTATAATTAAAATTTTAAATTTAATTCATTTAGTATCTGAAGTCCGTTTAATGCGAATTGTGGTTGCTTTGCAACAGCATAGGGCTCGAACAGCATATTATACATGCTCACATCTACCGTACAACATTGTGAGGGTTAACTGCGCGTGGCTGTATAACTACATACATAGACAATAATACAGCAATTGTTAGTGCAATAATAATAATTATAACTATAACAGTATTATTATAATAATAAAATAGTAATAATACGGCAGTGGTCTGTGACTGTTTTTCAATGTATTCATCTACGTTTTGCAATTGTTGAATTTGTTCAAAAAGAATACATTCCACAGGTGTTTAACTAATGGTTAAGGCAAAACGCATTCATCACTTACTTTTGGCATCCACTTAATAAAATGAAGGGTTATATTTTTTCAAAATTAATTAGTACACGTGAGAGTAATTTGAACTTAAAGTATATCCATTTCTTAGGGTCATGTCCCGCCATCTTCATCATGGAGACGATGATGGATCACGTGGCCAAAGTCTTGAACCAAGACCAGCTAGAGTTCAGGAAACTCAACTTGTTCAACAAAGGTCAAGTGAGTAGATTTCCAGCATACCACGTTAAACAGATATATGTTTTCGTAAATTAAACCCCCAAACCCCAGAAAACACATGCCATGGTTGTAGCAGATCACCACCCCAATCCAGGAAAGCACTAATACATTTGTTTCTCTATCCACAAGACCACTGAGTGAGTGAGTATGGTTTTACGTCGCTTTTAGCAATATTCCAGCAATATCACGGCGGGGGACACCAGAAATGGGCTTCACACAAAGTATCCATGTCGGGAATCGAGCCCGGGTCTTCGGCGTGACGAGCGAACGCTTTAACCACTGGGCTACCCGACCGACCCCTTCAATCTGAGATGGTGTGTCCATTAGAGTTTAGGCAATGGCAACATCATTAATTAAAACATGTTTCAAACTTTGCCACGTGCAAGTTGAAAATTCGCGTATACAATGTTCAGGTTAAAAGAGATTGTACACACGGAATGGAAAAGACTAGATTTGTGTTTTGGTGGATACTCTTGTTAAATATTCTTGTTCAAGATGAAATATTCAAGAAATATCACAAAGGTAGTCATTATGTGATTAACGAACACGTCGCCATATTTTCCGTTGGTTGTAGTTGCATAACTCTCGAATCAATATTAAGTGTACACCATTGCTCAACAGTTATTATCCCCCGCCCAACAAAGCTGGCGGGGGATATAGAAACGGGCTCCGTCTGTCCGTCCGTCACGTTTCGTTTCCGGAGCATAACGCAGAAACCGTTCAATATGTTTTCATGAAACTTTGCAGGTCTGTCAAGTACATGCTGAACTGGTGTCTTTTGCTATTTAGAAATTTTTGAAATTTTTATTTTTTACGTTTCCATGGCAACAAGATGGACTTAGGTTCCAAACTCTTCCTTTTTTTACAATTTCCACCTCGGTTAAAACAGATAAGGGTTTGTTTAGATTTAATTATGTCATAAATTCTGCAACAGGGGCGGGGGATAAAGCCACGTTAGTGGCAAACTCTTGTTTAACTTATGATAACTAAAATAATTATTCGAATTTTCACTAGGGCCTGACACATCAAAAAATGAAAGGTTTGCAAAGAGATTCCCATATCCTAAAAAACTGTCAAAGATCCCTAAACCTGATTTATATTTAAATAAAAAATATGAGAAAATAAATACACTTGATGGCTTTGATCAACATTTTCAGAAAAGTGCAAATGGAATGGTTTTGGAATATTGCAACATCAAAGACATGGTGGCTCAACTGGAGACGTCAGCCGATGTCCAGTCCAGAAAGCAACAGGTCACAGCCTTCAACCAGGTACAGCAACTTCTGCAGCTTGCAAAAACAATGTTAAATATTGTCAGGTTAGGGACTGGGGGAGAGACAATTGACAACCTGTTCTACAAACATGAAACAGGAATTCGTTGTCCAAATAGTACCTGGTTGGTAATAAATACCCTGGAACGACTCGTCGCAAAGTGTTATCGTGGGATGTATGCGTGGATGCAAATGTCTGCATACATATTTTTTTTCTTTTAAAAGTCGCTGTCAGCAACATTCCAGTTACGTGACGGTGGCTGCAAATAATTTAAACTGGACCAGACAATCCAGTGATTGACATCCTAAGCATCATTCAACGCGATACGATGACATGCATCTATCAAGCCAGCGGGTCTGACCACCCGTTCTCGTTAGTCGACTCTTAAGACAAGCATTAACTACTTAAGACCAATTCTAACCTGACATGATCCTACTTTTAACATAGTTCTACGAGCTCCTAACGTGTGGTGAAATCTTTGCTTTTCTGAAAATGTATTTTAAGTATGGTTATGTCCATTACTCTCTCACTCGATGAGCATTATAGTATCTTAACTTCCCTATTGATTGGTTTCAAGGCGAACAGATGGAAGAAGAAGGGCATTTCGGTTATGCCTCTCCGGTGGGACTTGAACTACGCTCACGCCAACTACAACGTCTACATGACCGTCTACCACGGGGATGGCTCCGTCGCAATATCGATCGGCGGTGTGGAGAATGGACAGGGAATAAACACCAAGGTTTGATATATGTAGGAAGAGTGGACGTACGCTATATACACAAAATAAGGAACAGTGTTGACATGATTGCGCAAAGGCAAGTGAATTGGTATCAACAGTATTTATGCCCAAAGAGATCAGGATCTCATACATTCACCACTTTGGTAAAAGCTGCGAGCAGGGCAATGGTGCTGACTAATTTTGGATTTATATCGAATCGAATCGAATCTAGGATTCGAACCAACGATCATCGAGTACTGCCTCCGGTAATGGACGAAACACGCGATGGGCTGTAGCTTGATGTTTGGAGCGCCCGATCATCGCGAACACATGGTGTCATCACTAATCATATAATCCAATCCATTTAGTATGATCCAATCATATAATTGTCACCATATTAATGCCGTTTACGCCAAATGCAATGTGTTCAGGCAGATAATCGAGACTGATTATGCTCTGGCGTTGACGTTTAATATACAGGTGTTCAATCCATGACACGATGATGTTGAAACTATCTGATAACCGTTCTTTGTCATTGGTGAAAATGAAATGGCATGATATTTCATAACAGATGATGCAGGTATGTGCCTTTGAGCTGGGTATTCCTATGGACACGATCAAGGTGAAGCCAACGACGACTCTGGCGGACTCCAACTCCATCACTACAGGAGGCAGCATCACCAGTGAAGTCAACGCATTGGTAAGGTATTCACCAGACATACAAAATCAAATACTTGCATGGCAGACCAACACACTTGGTATATTAATGCGTCCCTCAGATACCAGACAAGCATCCAACATTGCAAAACACGAAGGAGCAAACAGGTTGGTTGGTTTGTTGGTTTGTTGTTTAACACCGCAATCAGCAATACTCCAGCAAAATGACGGCGGTCTGTAAATAATCGAGTCTGGACCAGACAATCCAGTGATTAATATCATGAGCATCGATCCGCGCAATTGAAATCGATGACATGCATCAACCAAGTCAGCCAGCCTGACCACCCGATTCCGTTATGCGCCTCTTACGACAAGCATAGTCACCTTTTACATCAAGCATGGGTTGCTGAAGACCTATTCTACCCCGGATCTTCACGGGTCAGGTGCAAACAGGATGCCAGAGAACGTGAACGTCAGGTCGTGGCCAATCCGACTGGCCTTTGAGTGAACCCTTACATGTTTGTTTGTTGTTTAACGCCGCACGCAGCAATATTCCAGCTATATGACGGCCGTCTGTAAATTATCGAGTCTGGACCAGACAATCCAGTGATTAACATAATGAGCATCAATCCACGCAATTTGGACCGATGACATGCATCAACCAAGTCAGCGAGCCTGACCACCCGTTCCCCTCAGTCGCCTCTTACGACAAGCATAGTCGCCTAATACGGCAAACATTGGTTGCTGAAGACCAAATCTAACCCGGATCTTCACGGGTCGAACCCTAACATGTAGTAAATTGAAAAACATTTTTGGTATTCTTATTACTGTATTGATAGACCTTCAAGGCATCAAGGCAAACTACGATTCCACTTTGTAAGGGACCAAGTTAAAACCAACCCACTATGTTAAAGTGTAAATGTGTAAGTTCAAAATGCTAAGAATTAAAACGTTTACCTGATGAGCTACACATTTCGATATAAAACTAAAAGCATCTCTGAAATATGTTGACATGAGCCCTGCGTACATGTACTAAGGACTTAACGTGCCCATGCAATTTACTCTTCAAGGGAGTCATGCAGTGCTGTCAACAATTAAAGACCCGGATGGCTCCGGTCAAAGCCAAGATGGTCAACCCTACTTGGCAGCAGCTGGTTGCTAAGTGCTACAGCGAAGGAATGGACTTGTCAGCCAGAAACTTGTGAGTGTGCAGATATTAATTTTACAGTTGGTACCCGAAAGACGTTCGTGAGTGTTTGCTGATACAGTGATGGAACTGACATTTCGGGCGATAACCTTACCCTGCTATCATTATGATGGCGTTGTGGTCATGGATTCTACCTAAATACAATGTCCCACAATGCACCTCTTGACCTCTGTGTCATAACCGGTACAGTTTCACTGTCATGTCTTAAACGACATCAGTCTGATCTAGAGATGAAATGTTGCCAATGGACAAAGCTAGTTTTCGATATCCAAGCCAACATAGGGAATAGTAGTAAGATTAATAAAACATCCAGCAATCACACTCACTCACTCACTCACTCACTCACTCACTCACTCACTCACTCACTCACTCACTCACAATCATATGTAAATTAAACCGACAAAGCACATTCCATAATCATAAGAAATAACTGCTGAAGGCAGAGTCCATTGTATGATTCCGACCATATCATAAGCATGTGTTTATGAATCACTATCAAATAGCTATAAGTGTTTTTGAAAGGAATGAAAAGGATGGACAAAATGTATCTGCAAAATGGATTTATGTGCATGTTACCCACAAAAACTAAATTTCGGAACGCGTATACATACATATGTTTTCAGCACCAACCCTACAGGCGTCAGCACTAACTACAACATCTACGGTGCAACTTGCACAGAGGTCGAGGTGGACGTTTTGACCGGGGAGAACCAAATCAACAGAGTGGACATCCTGTATGACTGTGGAGAGAGGTGAGATCAACAGTGTGGACATCCTGTATGACTGGAGTGAGGTGAGATCAACAGAGTGGACATCCTGTATGACTGTGGTGAGAGGTGAGATCAACAGAGTGGACATCCTGTATGACTGTGGAGAGAGGTGAGATCAACAGAGTGGACATCCTGTATGACTGTGGAGAGAGGTGAGATCAACAGTGTGGACATCCTGTATGACTGTGGAGAGAGGTGAGATCAAAAGAGTAGACATACTGTATGACTGTGCAGAGAGGTGAGATCAACAAAGTGGACATCCTGTATGACTGTAGAGAGAGGTGAGATCAACAGTGTGGACATCCTGTATGACTGTGGAGAGAGGTGAGATCAACAGAGTGGACATCCTGTATGACTGTGGTGAGATGTGAGATCAACAGAGTGGACATCCTGTATGACTGTGGAGAGAGGTGAGATCAACAGAGTGGACATACTGTATGACTGTGGTGAGATGTGAGATCAACAGAGTGGACATCCTGTATGACTGTGGAGAGAGGTGAGATCAACAGAGTGGACATCCTGTATGACTGTGGTGAGAGGTGAGATCAACAGAGTGGACATCCTGTATGACTGTGGAGAGAGGTGAGATCAACAGAGAGGACATCCTGTATGACTGTGGTGAGATGTGAGATCAACAGAGTGGACATCCTGTATGACTGTGGAGAGAGGTGAGATCAACAGAGTGGACATCCTGTATGACTGTGGTGAGATGTGAGATCAACAGAGTGGACATCCTGTATGACTGTGGAGAGAGGTGAGTTCAACAGAGTGGACATCCTGTATGACTGTGGTGAGAGGTGAGATCAACAGAGTGGACATCCTGTATGACTTTGGAGAGAGGTGAGATCAACAGAGTGGACATACTGTATGACTGTGGGGAGAAGTGAGATCAACAGAGTGGACATCCTGTATGACTGTGGTGAGATGTGAGATCAACATAGTGGACATCCTGTATGACTGTGGAGAGAGGTGAGATCAACAGAGTGGACACCCTTTATGACTGTGGTGAGAGGTGAGATCAACAGAGTGGACATCCTGTATGCCTGTGGAGAGAGGTGAGATCAACAGAGTGGACATCCTGTATGACTGTGGAGAGAGGTGAGATCAACAGAGTGGACATCCTGTATGACTGTGGAGAGAGGTGAGATCAACAGAGTGGACATCCTGTATGACTGTGGTGAGAGGTGAGATCAACAGAGTGGACATCCTGTATGACTGTGGAGAGAGGTGAGATCAACAGAGTGGACATCCTGTATGACTGTGGAGAGAGGTGAGATCAACAGAGTGGACATCCTGTATGACTGTGGATAGAGGTGAGATCAACAGAGTGGACATCCTGTATGACTGTGGTGAGAGGTGAGATCAACAGAGTGGACATCCTGTATGACTGTGGAGAGAGGTGAGATCAACAGAGTGGACATCCTGTATGACTGTGGATAGAGGTGAGATCAACAGAGCGGACATCCTGTATGACTGTGGAGAGAGGTGAGATCAACAGAGTGGACATCCTGTATGACTGTGGAGGGAGGTAAGATCAACAGAGTGGACATACTGTATGACTGTGGAGAGAGGTGAGATCAACAGACTGGACATCCTGTATGACTGTGGGGAGAGGTGAGATTAACAGAGTGGACATCCTGTATGACTGTGGAGAGAGGTGAGATTAACAGAGTGGACATCCTGTATGACTGTGGAAAGAGATTAGATCAACAGAGTGGACATCCTGTATGACTGTGGAGTGAGGTGAGATCAACAGAGTGGATATCCTGTATGACTGTGGAGTGAGGTGAGATCAACAGAGTGGACATCCTGTATGACTGTGGAGTGAGGTGAGATCAACAGAGTGGACATCCTGTATGACTGGAGTGAGGTGAGATCAACAGAGTGGACATCCTGTATGACTGTGGAGAAAGGTGAGATCGACAGAGTGGACATCCTGTATGACTGTGGAGAAAGGTGAGATCGACAGAGTGGATATCCTGTATGACTGTGGAGGGATACAGAGACGATACGGTGAATGTTGTGATTCTAAGGAATTAGTGAGTGAGTCTTTCATATTAAAATGCATGTATTCCTTTTGTTATAGGGAGGCGTCAATCTGGTCAAATCCTCGGCGAAAGGAATCCCTTTGTGATTCCCGAATAAGACGGATTGGTACCTAAATCAATCTGTACCACATTAATGGTATAGGTGTATAAAAAACACGGACAAATAGGCTGTACACTCCATCATTATGTTTCTATTTTCATTGCTCCAGCATGAACCCTGAGATTGACATTGGACAAGCTGAGGGTGCGTTTGTGATGGGCTTGGGCTACTGGATGACCGAACAGATGATCTTTGACCCCAAGACTGGCACCGCCCTGACGGATGGCACATGGGTAAATTTAGGGAAACAGTTGTCAATGACCTTCTGTGGTAAACCATGGACCTATACAGGATTAGGTTCGTGGGTAAACCAATGGATTTCTCATAGAGAGACAAAGTAAATTATGTCAAAGTCAAGCAGAGCAAGGACTCGTGTTTTTGCACCTTTAAATATTTCATAAGCTAGCCAAGAAAAGTTGTTTGATTTCACAAATAAGTCACAAATGCTGTGCACAATTAATAACAGTATTGGGTATGAAATATAGACTATTTTATATTTGAACAGGAATACAAACCACCACTTGGAAAGGATATACCTATCGATTTCCGGATCCAGTTTTTGAAGAATGCCCCGAACCCTCGAGGCGTCCTCAGGGCAAAAGGTATTTATCATACCTCTATATTGGAATAAATGAGATCCGATTGGTTCACGTGATCGTGATAAAATACTATTTATCCCGCCTTGGAGGAAGATACATTTAAATTGCTGAGCGGAAGAATACATCCATTGTACCCCTCCAGAAAGAACACAGGCTGCACGTGGATTTCTGAGCGGAAGAGTAAATCCCTTGTACACGCTTCGAAGCAGAACGTCACACTCTTTTTTGGCCCCGAGTCCATGAACGCCACGAATAGCACAAGTTAACCTCAGCTCAATCGAACAGCTGTTTTCTATCAATTTACAAGTTGTTATAATTCTTTTTCAATTGCAGATTAAAACATGTCGGCAAGATAAATTCGTTGAAGCAGAATCACTCGGGGTACACGTGATTATAGGGGTCCTTCGTTGGGTTCTACAATCATAAAACCATGTGTACTCCGAGTGATACTGCTATTTATACTATGTTTTTTTATTCTTATATTCATAGTTTGATAACATATTTCATCTGCTCACCTTTCATCAACATGGATAGCCATGTTTTTCGTTGGCTGCGTCAAAATATGTTAAATGCAAGCCACACACACACACGTGTATCTACCTCGCAATATGAGTGCAATAATCTTGACAGCGACTCTAACACGCATTTCACCCACTTCACTATCTGTAAACAATTATTAATTAATAATTAATAATTTATGTTTCAGCTGTGGGGGAGCCGCCCCTGTGTATGGCTGCATCAGCGTTGTTTGCTGTGAAACACGCCATCGAGGCTGCCAGAAAGGAAATATCAAAGGATACATTCTTCCCACTCGGTATGCAATTGATTTAGTTTTGAATTGCCCAGACCACGGTCATTCCCGTTTTTCCTCATCAGTTTCGGATAGCTTATGAAACAATATATTTATCTGAGCGCCCTGTCAAGGAGATCATCGCAATGATCCAGGAACAATATTGTTTATATGTTCGTCCGTAGCGGATGACTTACTGTGTTTCCCTGACCTGATCGTCTTTAAATAAAGCTTATCTCTGGGAATATACATCTTACAGTCTGACATAAGGACGACACACCTTGACGAGGTGTCATTGTTTCTTCTTATGTCATAAAGTGTCTGATTGTGTTTATTTCAGACGGCCCAGCGACGGTGGAAGTGATACAGGGAGCCTGTCAAGTTGACAACTCACAACTGGTGTACGGGACATGAATCAGCTGGCGTACGGGACATTGATCATATGGTTTATGGCACGTGAATCAGCTGGCGTACGGGACATTGATCATATGGTTTATGGCACGTGAATCAGCTGGGTTACGGGACATGGATCATATGGTTTATGACACGTGAATCAGCTGGTGTACAGGACCTGATTTATGGGACGTGAATCATGTGGTGGTTGTGACATCGACAAACGTTTGGGAGCTATTCGTACATAAAATGAATGTGACTGTCGCACTCTGATTGGTTGAAACAAAACGTTGGCATTCTGCACATAACATTCTGCGACCTTCTGGACTTTTCACTGCGCATTGGTACTTTTCCTAGAGTCATCATGTCTGCTCTGACCCAAATTTGAAATTGTTCAATTGTTACTGTTTTCTGTTTATGAAGCAAACTGTTATCCTGGTCGTTCGCTAGTCATTGACACACATATATTGTGTGATGAAGAAGTTAATGTCGCAGAGCTGTTTCAGTACACCTTGGAGTGCTGAGCGAAATTACCCATACCTCCAATTCCAATGTGGAAACGAGGGCACGGGTGGCCCAGTCGTCTAAGGCGCCGCGTTTCGCTGTGCAGAGTTGCGTCTCTTGGGCACGCCAGAAACCTATGATTGTGGGTTCGAATCTTGGTTCGCCCCGAATATGTTTCTAGGTTTGTCAGCACCATATCCGTGCTCGTGGGTTTCACCGAAGTGGTAAACGTCTGAGACCTGCACCACTTCTGGCTTTCCTCCCACATTAAGCTGACACGCAGCGATATAACTGGAATACTGTTAAAAACGGCGTTAAACACACCTCCCTCACCCAATGTGGATACACACTATGATAACACAGACAAGTACGAACACAAATCTGAAAACACATAATCTCTTAAGAGTGGCATGTAGGCATGTCTCGATTGTGTAATATAGACATATTCGACTTATCAGGACGAAGTGAGAACCGACGACTGCAAACGTTTAGTGAGTGAGATTGGTTTTACGCCGCTTTTAGCAATATTCCAGCAATATCACTGCGGGGGACACAAGAAATGGGCTTCACACATTGTACCCATGTCGGGAATCGAACCCGGGTCCTCAGCATGACGAGCGAACACTTTAACCACTAGGCTACCCGACCGCCCCTGCAAAGATCTGATACTGAAAATAATCTTACGTCACATCTACACAGTGAAAAGGGTAAATGCCATAACTTCTACATACATGTATAACACTAGCAATACAGTAATGCAGCCCATGTGAGAATTAGTATAGATACACATAAACAAAGAAATAATATTTACACCTTTGGCAAAGTTGGGTAAACCGGTTTACAATATGTGACATCGAAAACCGGTTGAGAAACAAAATTATAGCTGTTTCGTTTGACTGCAGGCTTTCATTGGTCAGCAAAACTTGACAACTGTAATTGGGCAATGATGTTGTTACGAGTTACTTTCTTGATATGTCTTGCTATGTTGTTGTTCAATCATTAATACTCACCACACATTTACAGTTTTTAAACCCTGTTAGTCTATGTATGCACTTTGTGTTGTGTTACAATGACAAGCCACAAAACAGACACCGGAGTAAGACTTGAACTAAAAGAAATATAAGACTATGTATTCTCCAAACACTTTCATTTGCAAATTTACCTCGCTATGCTCCCGAAATGAATAAATACATTTGTTTCATTTGTTCTTTGTGATCTATTCTTTAAGGAACGTCGACGCTTCGTAGAATCCATCCATACATGTGATTCGTGTACGACTGCCTCGGACTCCAATGCGTCATGCGTTGCTCTACTTTGTCTTTCAAGTTGCGTTTCATCTGTACTGCTCAAACGAAGTTAAAGAACTCCAAAATTCTTTCATATTGCTATAATCATGCCAATCCGGTGTTTTTTACATTCTTTGAGCAGTATGTGTTTGCCTTTCCGGGACATAATACACGATTCACTCAAACAGTTCAGTAACGGTCCATTTGATGGAGTATACGAAACCTCTTCGGGAATCCCCGAGTCTTCGGGACACGGCCTCAGTTGTACCAAACTCGTAGTGACTAAAATGGGGATACCTTATGTCTGAGATTTTGTGTGACACGGGTCGTTGCTTATCCTCTGGTCGACACAAGATATGTTCAGGTCCTTGTGATAAAGCTGGAATATTACTAAACAATAGTTCGTTCACATGACGCTCTTTACACAACTGTCCTGCTAGATAAAATTAAAAAGATGTTAAACTCTCAAAAGGGCTTCAAAGAAAGGGCTTCGGATTTTACCACAATCTTTAATGGATGTAGTTACTTTGTTGAAACTCTACTCGGATATATTGTACCCAAACGTGAGTTGCTGGATTTCCTGATTGACAACATCTTTGTCTGAACTTTACTTTACTGCATTTAGGTTGTAGTCCACGACGTAAGAAGAACATACAAAGGCAAATTGGGATGACATTCAGAGGACAGTATTTCAAATAACATTTCATATAGTATGTTATTTCACGTTTTTATCTCAAAGAAGCCACCGCAGCTATGGTAGAAAGAAAGGACGAAAGCCAAATGGAACCATTGGTTTGGAAAATTTGTTTCCCCACCTTCAGGAACCATTGGGACTGCACAAGACGATGCCATGTGGCTTTGGAGGAACTCAAACAGCTTAAGCAACATTTGCTAATGTGTGGGTCTACAAACAGTAAGAGCTCAAAGTCTCGACCAGAGAGTATGGCTTTTACTATTGTTTGAAACGTTTGGCCAGTCTACGGAATCAGAATAAGACAGCATGTTCCTGAAGTAACATTTCAGACAAATGTTCCACAATATTACAAATCAGGAGCCACAACTAGTTTCATTTTCTTCAATACGAACACAATCTCATCCAAGTTGTTCAATGATAGAAATGTTTTACAGTAAGTAGACTTGGCAGCTCATAATTAAAATACCATTACCTGGACTGCCATCATCATACATCACATTTGCAACAATTTCTCGTGCAGCGATTGCTTTCGTCAATAGTCGCACATGTGAACAGGCTTTACTATTGTCTCGTTATAACGCCAAATCAAAATTGGATATTATTTTCAAAAACGGTTTGGAAGCGTGAGACGGTGTACGGGACTTGATCAGCTGGTATATGGGACATTGATCAGCTGGTGTACGGGACATGAATCAGCTAATGTACGGGATATGAATCAGCTGATGTACGGGACATGAATCAGCTGGTGTACGGGACATTGATCAGCTGGTGTACGGGACATGAATTAGCTGATGTACGGGACATGAATCAGCTGGTGTACATGAATCAGCTGGTGTACGGGACATGAATTAGCTGATGTACGGGACATGAATCAGCTGGTGAACGGGACATTGATCAGCTGATGTACGGGACATTGATGAGCTCGTGTACGGGACATTGACCAACTGATGTACGGGACATGAATCAGCTGATGTACGGGACATTGATGAGCTCGTGTACGGGACATTGATCAACTGATGTACGGGACATGAATCAGCTGGTGTACGGGACATTGATCAGCTGGTGTACGGGACATGAATCAGCTGGTGTACGGGACATTGATCAGCTGGTGTACGGGACATGAATCAGCTGGTGTACGGGACATGAATCAGCTGGTGTACGGGACATTGATCAGCTGATGTACGGGACGTGAATCAATTGGTGTACGGGACGTGAATCAACTGATGTACGGGACATGAATCAGCTGATGTACGGGGCATGAATCAGCTGGTGTACGGGACATTGATCAGCTGGTGTACGGGACATGAATCAGCTGGTGTACGGGACATTGATCATATGGTTTACGGGACGTAAAATGAATGTGACTGTGTCGCAGTCTGATTGGCTTAAAAACGTTGTGGAATGGTAAACTTTTGACCCGTGTTAGGCAACTTGATTATACCTTAATAAGAAGATGAGGAACGATTACAATCAAGCAGTTTACTGTCAGTGGCGTTGTGTTTACAATACAGAACACAAGATATAGAACAGCAATATATGGTATGTAGAATGAAAACATAATGACACCAACATAATGACCTATGACTACATTTGTGAGTAAAATCATTATAAATATGCTTGGCGTATTACTTCGCTATTTACTAAATGTAGATATACATATTCACGATAAACGACAATAACAATAACCTCATGATGATGGATGGATGGAGGATGGATGGATGGATGGATGGATTGATGATGGATGGATGATGGATGGATGGATGGATGATGGATAATGGATGGATGGGCGAAACCGCATTATCGCGGGTTCGAAAAGGGAGCTAACTCCGTTTGCCTAATCGAAAGTTCGAGGTGGGCCCACATTCGAAACTAAACGCACTTGTTGTTGAGAATATGTACTACGTAAACAAACCCGCATTACGAACTGCTATTTTGTCTATTTAAAATAAGTATTATGACTTATAATTGGATTAAAATGTACGTTTTGAATACATCACGGGCAATGCAAATGTCAACAAAATCTTAAGTTATTGTACCTTTGTGAATAACATATACAGTTGTCCGATTATATTCGACAATGACTTAAATACAAGTCATACATCTCATGACAATAGTCAATAACACACAACGACCTTCGAACTCTATCAGCATGACTGTGCGCTGTAAGTCTAGCTACACAAATACAGAAGGTGGGATTAAAGATACAGGTACACGATACAGCGCATGCGCAAATAGGCATTCAACTAGGTCACTGATAGGTATCAGGGCTTATCGTCATCGCGAGCGGCGGGAGACAACGTAAACATGTCGACGAAGTTGCTGCGGAGCTTTGTACGGTGTCCAGTTTGTAGGACAAGGTATGGTTGATTAGTGCTCTATTTCAATGTAATATTGGCTTGCAAAACTTATAAAGCAACCATTGTATTTTGAATGTGAAATTCTCATGTATCATGTTATGACTTCTGTCTCAACCCAATATGCTTAACCAACATTTTGCGTAGTTAAACAGTTTGTTTGATCATGAACTATTATTATGGAAAATGTTCAGTTGACCACTGATGGAGGAGAGAAAGTAATGGCTTTTTTTCTGTGGTGCCTTTTGTAAGTAATGTATTTGTCTATCCGTATCTACTGTTATATGATAGTTTTAGTGGAGTGAGTGGAGCCAGTGAGTGAGTGAGTGAGTGAGGGAGTGTAGTGGAACGTGAGTGAGTGATTGAGTGATTGAGTGACTGAGTGAGTGAGGGAGGGAGGGAGGGAGTGCAGTGGAGCGTGAGTGAGTGAATGAGTGAGTGAGTGAGTGACTGACTGACTGACTGACTGATTGAAATATTGAATGAGTGAGTGAGTGGAGCTTGACTGAGTGAGTGAGTGAGCGAGTGAATAAGTGAGTGAGTGAATGAGCGGGTGAGTGAGTGAGTGAGTGAGTGGAATGAGTTAGCGAGTGGAGTGAGTTAGCGAGTGGAATGAGTGAGTGAGTGAGTGGAGCTTGACTGAGTGAGTGAGTGAATGAGTGAATGAGTGAGTGGGGCGTGAGAGGAGAGTGATTGAGTGAGCGAGTGAGTGAGTGGAGCGTGAGTTAGTGAGTGAGTGAGTGTGGTGGAGCGTGGGTTAGTGAGTGATCAAGTGAGTGATCGAGTGAGTGAGTGAGTTAGCGAGTGGAGTGAGTGGGTGCGTGGGCGTGAGTCAGTGAAGCGAGTCGAGTGAGTGAGTGGAAAGAGTGAGTAGGTGAGTGAGTTAATAATTAACGTCACATTGACAATATTTCAGACATATTGTAACGAGACCACTTCATCTTTCAAGAGTATCTACAATTAAAGCTTATTATAAAACTGTCGACAATGGACAGTAAAACAACTAGAGTATCACAGATTTGGAATTAGAACTGGCATTTACTCTTAAAATATGACTGTTCATAACAATACATAATAAAAGTGAGCTATATATCACCAGCAACCTACTAGGGACCATGATGACTTACGGTACTTCTGCTACCTACATGGTACCCCAGCAGGATTTACACCATCCCTCTGGCTACTGGCCATTGTCAGATAGTTAAGCCAAACATTAAAAATCAACAAGAATACAACGAGTAAAATCACAGAGAAATGAAAAAAAATTCGAATGATATGGGACTTACCTGCCCTCTCAGGGGACAATTGTTAGTGAGTGAGCAAGTGAGAGTGTGATTTGGTATGGTTTGGTTTGTTGTTTAACGCCGCACTCAGCAATATTCCAGCTATGTGACGGCGCTCTGTAAATAATTGAGTCTGGACCAGACAATCCAGTGATTAATATCATCAGCATTAATCCACGCAATTGGGATCAAAGACATGCATCAACTAAGTCAGCGATCCTGACCACCCGATCCCGTTAGTCGCCTTTTACGACAAGCATAGTCACCTTTTACGGCAAGCATGGGTTGCTGAAGACAGTGAGAGTGTGAAGTGAGTGAGTGGAGTGAGTTAGTGGAGTGAACTGAGAAAGTGATGAGAGTGAGATTGTACCCCGAAGGCGTGAGTTGCTTCTGATGGCATCACTTCAACTGGTTGTGACTGAAGTATTTACATGTCGCCGTGAGGTTTGTATTGCTGACTGCAGAGGTTTGTATTGCTGACTGCAGAGGTTTTAATTGCTGACTACAGAGAACATTCATTCACTTGTACGACAAAGAGGTAGTAGTTGTTAGAGCATGACTAACCCTAAACGGATCTCCTCTACAGCCACGTGCCCACAAACGGAGCGCTGAAGGATGGCGTCTATGCTTTTACCTGTGAAAACTGTGGCCACTTCTTCAAGTTCAAGGCCACAGGTCCTCTCAAGTCCTCGGTCACCTTCACCATCAATGGCACTTCCTACACAGGTACATACACAGCTATGACTGTAATTGTTGGTACATGTCTTGATCAGGATACTGTGATACCTCGTTGCTTAACTGAAGTCAATTGAATTCCCAAACGGCTTTGTTCTACAACCACATCCTCTTTATGTTTGTTGTCACCTTCATCACAACTGGGGGGCACGGGGAGCCCAGTCGTCTAAGGCGTCGCGATTCGCTGTGCAGAGTTGCGTCCCTTGGGCACGCCAGAAACCTATGATGGTGGGTTCGAATCCCGGTTCGCCCCGATTATGTTTCTAGGTTTGTCAGCACCATACCCGTGCTCGTGGGTTTCACCGAAGTGGTTAACGTCTGAGACCTCCATCACTTCGGGCTTTCCTCCCACATTAAGCTGACACGCCGTGATATAACTGGAATACTGTTAAAAGCGGCGTTAAACCCAACTCACTTACTCACTCACTCCTATTACAAGCAGGGGTTGTGAGGGCAGCTCCGACATTACAGTGTGAGTTCGTCTCGCCGAAATCTGATTTGGATTCTCCCACTGGCACAACGTGCGGCCCGTTACTGATGTCCCCAAAAAGCGATATTATTTGAAAATCTGTAAATGCTGCAGCGACAAAAGATTGATGTGGGAAGATGATCCCACAACTGGGGCCGCGAGACTTTATGGTTCTATCTTTAATGTCAAACATTCTCCAACTTTTGAGGTACAATTGACCATACTCCTTCTACGAAGGCTTCAAAGAGCTTCATTCGATTCTTCCTAAAAAGTTATTTGATCAGGGTTACAACATTTAAGGCCTTTCTGAAGCTTTCATTTTTTTACAGCTGAGGGAATTGATAGGTAACCGTTAACCCGATCAAGGACGTCTATTGTACCAGAATAATATCGATCTGTCTCGCAAAGGGGAGATGCAACATCAACCCCCTCTTAAACTTCATCATGCATTACGAACATTGGATACATTCAGCATTATAGGACAAACCCCTAGTCTCCGTGTCACGTATTTCGTTATGGCATAATATAATTATTACCATAATTCATGATTCCAGTTGGCAACCAGTATGCCGCAGCTCTGTCCCTGAATGAGTTCATGAGGTCCCAGGGTGTGTCCTATGGCACCAAGGTGATGTGTATGGAAGGAGGGTGTGGCGTGTGCCTCGTCACTACCACACTGTATGATCCCACCACAAAGGCCGTGCAGACCTACACAGTCAACTCGGTAGGAATGCGTTATTATCAATACAATTGTCTGTCCGCATATTGCGCTAACATCATTTCTGTGTAACACAAGTGTTTGAGTGCGAACAGGATTGCAGTTATATCGCGTCCTGTCAGATTGATACGGGATGAAAACCAGGTCTCAGACTTTACCATTTGGTGAATCGAGAACGGTGATGACGATCCGAAAAAATTTATAAGAGCGAACCGGAACTCGAACCAACGATCATAGGTTTCTGGCACGCCTAAGGGACGCAACTCTGAAGGACTAGCGGCAATAACGTCGTATCATATTGCAAGGCTCTTGATTCCCAAAGCGATTTGGCAATGTTTTAAATGAAAAATACATGTCAATAAAATTGTATTACATAGTATAACAATTGTGACGTTCTGATTTTTATAGTGTCTGGTACCACTCTACACGTGTGACGGGATGCAAGTGACAACAATCGAGGGTCTGGGTAACCCCAGGGACGGCCTACACCCGTTACAAGACCGTCTGGCACAGTACAATGGCTCCCAGTGTGGCTTCTGTAGCCCCGCCCAGGTCATGAATATGTATGGGTAAGTAAGATATTCAAGATACATGAAGAAGGTCATTAATATTGACGGGAAAGAAAAGCAAAATAGAAGCTGTGACCACAAAAAGTCACTCTCACACAAAGGTACATTAACCTCACATTTGTTTTCTCCAATTCTAGAATTGTTCTAGTCGCATTTGCAATAACAGGGCCTGTAGGGATTGAACATCTTCCCTAAGTAAGGGAATTAACTGAGTGCAAAGTCAAGTTTCCACCCTTGTAGAACTAGGCTGGAATTTCTCAGCTCGATCGTAGCGTCACCGGTGGCTATGACAAGTTATTTCCCTTCGATGTCCCTCTTATCTACCAATCAGATTCCACCTCTCATATCACTTGCATTTCCTTTTCAAACAAATAGTGCGCCCAGTCAAGGCGATCTGATCAATCATTAAAATTTATATTGTAGTAAAACGGGTCTCACTTCGCGAAGTGCATCAAATCTCGTGACCACCTTGATAAAAACACATGAAAAGATTTGGAAAATATCTATTGACGCCGAGTTGGCGGTGCACATGCTTTGCAAATGCCACAATAGACCGATATCTGCACGGCAGTTTACGACCCGGATGTCGGTTTCGTAACGCGATTTTGTTTGGAGTATGCATAAACTCGTTAGTCCAACCAAAATATATCTCCATTATTCCAGCCTAGTTCGGCAAGGGAGGAACTAGACTTTTATAGTGAGTTACCTCCTTGCCTCGAAAAGATGGGGACTGAAGCGCATTACAACATGTAATGAGAGCTATAGAAATCAACCCTTAACCATATTCCCGATAAGGTAACAAAGTGGTTGGGGTTGTCACTTTGAAAATCATACTTAGGACTGTCTCACTACATATTTGAAAGTAATACGTCAGATTATGACCCCAGAAGATCCTTCAGCAATCCATGCTTGCCGCAAAAGGCGACTATGCTTGTCGTAAGAGGCGACTAACGGGATCGGGTGGTCAGGCTTGCTGACTTCATTGATGCATGTCGTGGTATCCCAATTATGTAGATTTATGCTCATGATGTCAATCACTGGGTTGTCTCGACCAGACTCGATTATTTACAGACCGCTGTCATGTAGTTGGAATATTGCTTAGTGTAACGTTAAACAACAATCAAGCAAACGTTGGAATTTTATCATGAAGTATTGAATACAACCAATTAATATCTAAAACAATGTCACTCAACGGTATTTTTAACAAGTTTTTGTTTTTCGTAAAATGACACAAACAACATCGTTGTTTGTTTGTTGTTTAACGCCGCACTCAGCAATATTCCACCTATATCGCGGCGGTCTGTAAATAATCGAGTCTGGACCAAACAATCCAAGGAATGACATCATGAGCATCGATCCACACATTTGGGATACGATGACATGTATCAACCAAGTCAGCGAGCCTGACCACCCGATTCCGTTAGTCATCTCTTACGACAAGCAGAGTCGCCTTTTACGACAAGCGTGGGCTGCTGAAGACCTATTTTACCCCGGATCTTTAAGGGTGACATCTAACAAAACGGCCAAAAGTTTAAGGTTTTATAACTAGTTATCAATGGCCGTGTGTATGTGTTTCAGGCTGCTGAAGAGAACACCCAACCCGACCATGCAACAAGTGGAAAATGCCTATGATGTCTCAATCTGCAGATGTACTGGTCAGTGCGATGAATGATCAAAATACATAATCACTCAGTGAAAAATGTATCACTGCCCTATAAAGGAATTTGCCTACGAAGCGTTCATCACGATTACTACATGACGAAATATCATGTCATAGTGTGCTTCACCTCATGGACAGACCGACTCCATGGTCTAGCAGACAGAGCTCTATCCGGAGGGCGGAAGGTGGTTCGATCCACGACCGCGTCATACTAACAGACGTTAAAACATTAACGTCATAAAACAAGGACTAGTCAGCCCTGAGTGAGTGAGTTAAAATTTACGTCACATCGGTAATATTTTAGCCATATAGTGACGAGAACATTAATACAATTTAAACTTAGATGAATAAAAACCTGTCAACGACGGACAGTATAATAACTACTATCACAGTTTAGAAGTAAAACTAGTTGCGAACAATTAAAAGAATAATCTATGATTCGACAGTACATTATAAAAATGGGCTAGAGATCACCAGCAACCAAAGTTAGGCCACCTTACTGGGGACCGTGGGGACTTACGATACTTCTGCTACCTACACGGTCCCCTAGCAGGATTTACACCTGCCGGTGGTGATTGTAGTCAATTTTAGCCCCTATTTAAAATCAACAAATATTCTGCCATTAAAAATTACGGTAGGAATAACAAACTGAATGATTGGGTCTTATGATACCCTCTCAGGAGGACAATTATTTTACCCTACTTCAACCCCCTTCTAGGGCACAGCCACAAACAATCTAGGATAATAATTATACACTACCATTTCGTAAAACAATAACTATGTACATCAAAATTTATCAACTAATTCTACTACTTTTAAAAAACTTATTATTAAATGAGAACTTAGATTAAAAAGAACCTTTATGGATGAAACTTTAAAATATTGATCCCTTGTAATGGCAAAATCAATACAGTCAAGCAGTACGAGCTTGACGGTCAGCCCTGAGTCAGTATGCTGTGTCTGAGTGGTGTATACAGGTAAACGTCTTCATGGAATCTCATTGGGCTAGCATTATAAAACTGGCATCTGTCTTGACTTCTACAAGCCACACATACACATCTTGAACCCTACGTTAAACCCCATTTATCTCATCTCAATTAAAACACTCTTTGTGAAAGTTCTTTTTAAATACATCACACCATGTGTTCCTACCTTGTAGGTCCATATGCATTCCATTAATGAACATTTCAAGCTTCGTAGTTATATTATATTATATTATTTTTATTTTAATGACTAATGACCTCAAACTCGGTATATTGTTTCCAAGATGAAACATATAACATGCTTCATTTATGAACGGGGACCGCCTCCGTGGTCTAGTGGTAGAGCGTCCGCCCGGAGAACGGAAGGTCCAGGGTTCGATCCCCGGCCTGCGTCATACAAAAAGACGTTAAAAGATTATACTTGTTGTTACCCTTTCTGGCGCTCGGCATTACAGGGCTAAAACAAGGACTGGTCGGCTCGGAGTCAGTATACTGTATCTGAGTGGGGTATTCATGTTAAACTGTGGCATGGTATCTCAGTGGGCTAGCACTATAAATCGGCATCAGTCCGGACTACTACAAGTCAGGACGAGAACAAGCAGACACACACACACACACACACACACACACACACACACACACACGTGCATTCACGTCGCTATTTAGATGCAATAATCTTGGACGCGACGTTAAACCCCATTTCACCTCACCTCACCTATTCATGACCGTTTCATTTTGGCATTTAATTACAAATTGCTTCTTGCATTTTAGGTAACAAGTGTCACTGGATGGCTTTTTAGTCAGTTTTACGTATTTTGTATTATATCAATCGATGCTATAGAGGACACGCGAGTTGATTGAAATAAGACATGTGTCGACGACAAAGTATTACCAGTTTCTATTGTGATTCAGATTCCTTTGGGCGTAAAACGGAAAATAGAGGTGAAAATTATGCTATGAAGTATCATTAAATATGCTTGTCCCTAACGTTCTAACCAGCTAAAATTGGTTTGACATGACATCATCTATTTCACGCAACATGCCCCTCGTTACTTTTTATCATTTGTATTATAATTTGTGAAATCTAATAAGTATAATAAATGCTATCTTAATTTTTTTAAAACATGCACACATTCAGAGGTTACCTGTCTGTGCATGGTTACCAGAGACCACGAGCATGGCTTCCGCAATACATATGGAACAGTTCAAACAATTGGTCTGCTTGTACCTGTGTTCTTCAGGGTACCGACCAATTCTTGATGCCATGAAGTCCTTCGCCTCAGATGCCTCACCAAACCTTCCTGGAGGCACCATTGACATCGAGGTGAATATACTTGAGGCTATATGAGTATCCAATACCAAATCAAAGGAGACTATATTACTGCAACAGCCTTCTGTTTGGTGCCACTAAGGAGCGACTGGGGCGACTGCAAAAGATCCAGAACACAGCAGCCAGGATTGTCCCAGCTAAAGCATTCCTCTTCAGAATTTCAATTTCAGAGTGAATTTGATGTCTTATAGCCTTGTAGCCATCGTTATCAACGATATATTTTGTTGCGTATGGAGCATATGCCATGTATATGAATTTGCGCTATACAAGTATACATATTATTATTATTATTATTATTATTATTATTATTATTATTATTATCATCATCATCATCATCATCATCATCATCATCATCATCATTATTATTACAATTATCATTATTTAGTTGACATAATCTACAGAGTGTCTCTACCTGAAGAATCAATAATTCAACTTTAAATCACATGTTAACTTTCAAAACCATGAATGTTCAGGAACTTGACAAGCAGATATGGAGCAAAACCGGGAAGACCTGCACAGGACGCTGTTCATCTGAGAGACAGACTGACCCGGAGCACGTCCCCCTCCACATTGTGCTGCAGGGGTCACAGTGGTACAAACCCACCACCAGACAGCAGCTGTACGTCCTCCTCGGCCAACACAAGGGGGACAACTACAGACTCGTGTTCGGAAATTCAGGATACGGTAAAGAATCTGTATCTCGTGGACATTTGGCATATAAAATGCATAACTACGTTTCTCACAGCTGAGCATGCTGGCATGTGTCTGAAATATAACATTAACAAATATTCAATAGACGTAGTGATTCTGCGATGCTTTTTAAGATTTCTTACATGTCCAATTGAACAATAGAAAACTTCGAAAAAACTACATTTTTAGAAATTCAGGATGTCATACCAGTAATTTCCAAATAATTACGTACATGTAATTAAGAGAAAAATTACACGCGCATGTATTCCAAATGGGATATGCTTCTGAACATCAGTTCAGTATGAACCAATGTGATGATTTCGCTAAATGTGTCTTATGAGTGAGTGAGTGAGTGAGTGACTTGGGTGTAACGCCGCTTTTAACAGTGTTCCAGTTATATCACGGTGTGTCAGCTTAATGTGGGAGGAAAGCCCGAAGTGATGCAGGTCTCAGACGTTTACCACTTCGGTGAAACCAACGAGCACGGGTATGGTGCTGACAAACATAGAAACATAATCGGGGCGAACCGGGATTCGAACCCACAATCATAGGGACGCAACTCTGCACAGCTCAACCACTACCTTAGACTGAGTGATTGGATGGTTTATATCCCTATCTGCAGCAGCTGTCCTATTACTGCTATGTCAATAGTCCATATTCAAGAGTGGTCTCTTGATAAGGGCGAACCGAGACTCGAGAACGTACGTTTATTATTGTCCGATCACACATTGCATACAACGGAACCTTAACCTCACGTATTGGTACTTAATGTATATTCCGCCTCAAAGCCCACTTTTTTAGCTTTCTTTGAAGCTTTGATTGAATACATTTGAATCCAATGAAAAAAAATCAATTCGTCAGGTTATAGTGTACAGCTGTAGTATGTTTGATTTATAGTCCTTCTTAAACATACTGATAATATTTTGAAACTTTTGCGTAATGATGAACAAAATGGATTTTGAATTACTGGAACCGAATTTATTACAACTATCGGTTTACCTGAGCGAGCCCGCTCCATAATGTTATTATTGTATTCTGTGCGTTTGACTGACATACAACGGGGAATGCTTCGAATCTTTAAAGTGGTCTTGTTTGTCTCCCAGGTGTGTATAAAGAAATTGGTCCTTGGATGTACGATGTACTCATTGACCTGCGTGGCATCCAGGAATTCTATGCCTTTTCAGTAAGTAGATTTTTAATTTTTCTTTTTTTTAAATATTTCAAATAAAACTTAATATTAATTGAAATGTAAACTGATCACAATAATGGAAACTTGCCTTACTTCCACCAGTCCTTGGTTCAGTGTTACTTCTTCCATAGATTGACTCCTCCAAAGTGATGTTTGGTCCCAGCATCACTCTGACCAACATGATGGAGGTGTTTGAGAAAAACAGGACCAACCCTGGATTGTCCTACTTCCGGGATTTCGCCAGCCACGTGGCCGTCATTGCTAACACTGGAGTGAGGAATGTGAGTAGTGAGTGAGTGAGTTGGGTTTAACGCCGCTTTTAACAGTATTCCAGTTATATCGCGGCGTGTCAGCTTAGTGTGGGAGGAAAGCCCGAAGTGATGCAGGTCTAAGACGTTTTCCGCTTCGGTGAAACCCACGAGCACGGGTATGGTTCTGACAAACCTAGAAACATAATCGGGGCGAACCGGGATTCGAACCCACAATCATAGGTTTTTGGCATGCCCAAGGGACGCAACTCTGCACAGCGTATCGCGGCGCCTAAGACGACTGAGCCACCCGTGCCCCCAGGAATGTGAGTAAATGAAATGACAGTTTCTGTCAACTCTGGGTATATCCTTCCACTACAGAAAACGTATTATCATTTGGCGAAGCTGTGCTTCTGTTTCCACATCATAGGTGCCTAGTCGTTTGTGCACAATACACATATATTTTATCAGTCTGAAGTTGAACAATTTTAGAACTTATCAAACACGCTTATCATCTTCACTTTTGCAACAGACACATATTGGAAAAAACCTCGTTGCATCAAATATTTACTTCTCGATATGCCGCTTATTTCGAAGTCACTTGTTTGCCTTGATTGCATCAGTGTCAACAGCGTTGCATCCCGCTATAAATCTCAGGATCCATTATCACAATTCCTACCATTATGGCAGAACTGAATTTCTGAGAAGACAGGGTGTGTTTCAGTTGGGCAGCTGGGCAGGTAACCTGATGCTGAAGAACCTGCACACTGAGTTCCCGTCGGACGTCTTCACCATGTTCGAGACAGTCGGAGCAACCCTGACCATTGGTAAGAGAATACCACAATAGGAAGTTTATGAGAAGGTTCGTTAGCTAGGATAAATAACTGAAGTATGTATGTTGCAGGATCGAGTGATGGCTCTGAGACAACATCCAGCCTCATGGACTTCCTGAGTCTAGACATGAAGGGCAAGGTCATCATCTCTGTCAGTCTTCCATCGTTCCCTTCGGGGGATGTGTTCATCAAGACCTTCAAGATTACACCCAGACATCAGGTATGATTTGTGTACATTGCAACCCTCTGTCCCAATTGAGTGAGTGAGTGAGTTGGGTTTAACGCCGCTTTTAACAGTATTCCAGTTATATCGCGGCGTGTCAGCTTAATGTGGGAGGAAAGCCCGAAGTGATGCAGGTCTTAGACGTTTACCACTTCTTTGAAACCCACGAGCACGGGTATATGGTGCTGACAAACCTAGAAACATAATCGGGGCGAACCGGGATTCGAACCCACAATCATAGGTTTTTGGCGTGCCCAAGGGACGCAACTCTGCACAGCGAATCGCGGCGCCTTAAACGACTGGGCCACCCGTGCCCCCTGTCCCAATTGAGTAAGGGGTTTAGAGAGAACAAAACTAAATGATGATATTTGGTTTTGAAACCCACGTGGTTTCTGCCCTCCCGATTGGTATCACTCTGAACGTCACTGGTGTTCAAGGTGCTAATACCACAATTAAGATGTATGTAGCTGTTGCTGAATAGCATGCAGACACTCACATCGCCCTGCCTTTTACAGAATGCCCATGCCTATGTGACAGCAGGCTTCAGGATGCAGCTGGACAGAAACAACAACTTCACTGTCAAGACAAAACCATCCCTGGTGTATGGCGGTATCAACAAGGCGTTGGTATGTTTAAGCAATCTTAGGTGGACATAGTGCAACCTGATCTTGGAAGACAGACTGTTTAATACATTTTGCATTTCATTGTAAGGTATTCTTTAATGATAAAAGCGACAATACCCATCTTATAATCACACGAAGACTGCTGAAAGCACAATCCGTTGTGTGATGCCGACTTAATCATAAGTATGTGTGAATCACTATCAGATTGTGATGATACCAGGTGCTCGGGGAAATGCGATCGTATCCTACCTCACATGTGTCACCCGTAACAAACGCATCCAGCTCATGTCATGCAATACTCTTATCTTGTCAAGGCAATTGTCAACAACTGAATAACCATTGGATATTTCCTCAGGTGCATGCCAGCAACACAGAGACGTATCTGCAGGGGAAACAGCTGGGTGATCCTGCAGTACTCAAAGGTGATGCACGAACTCTTGCTTGATGACATCCACTGATGCTCTTCATGCTAACTAGATGCTTTGTTTGTTTGTTCGTTTGTTGTTTAACGCCGCACTCAGCAATATTCCAGCTATATGACGGCGGTCTGTAAATAATTGAGTCTGGACCAGACAATCCAGTGATTAATATCATGAGCATCGATCCACGCAATTGGGATCGATGACATGCATTAATCAAGTCAGCGAGCCTGACCACCCGATCCCGTTTGTCGCCTTTTACGACAAGCATAGTCACCTTTTACGGCAAGCATGGGTTGCTGAAGACCTATTCTACCCCGGATCTTTACGGGTCGCTAACTAGATGCACAAGAGGAATAGTGTCCCTTCAGAATCGATACCTTGTAGTTGGAGTGTTGCACTTAGTTGGTTGTATATAGAGAATTTATGTTCAGCAATATTACACCCAAAGATGGGGATACAATGCTTGATCCACATGATCTACAATAGGGTCTATATGTTTAACCCTGGATATAAGTTTGTTATCTCCGGAACAAGTTACTTGCCAAATCTCACAGGGCCCAACGTTTACCCAAATCAATTAAGTGTGCATCATATTGTATTAATTATTTGTATCTAATGCTGACGAATCCGTGTTGCTACGAACATTGCATTCATTGCCAATGATACAGAAACTGAATGTTATTCATGTGATAATCAGCGTGCTGAATGTCCCCTTCTTTTCCACTTTCAACGTCGTTATTCTGTAAAGGTCGTGAGACACTGAAGAACTATAACTGTAATAAAGTAAGACAAGTTCTATGGATGAACAACTTCTTTATTACAATTAGTGCGACGTTTCGGTGTAGATCCTAACACCTTTAACAAGCAAGTGATGAAGGTGTTAGGATCTACACCGAAACGTCGCACTAATTGTAATAAAGGAGTTGTTCATCCATAGAACTTGTCTTACTTCATCACACCAACTTCTAAACGCCACTTAAAGAAGTTATAACTGTAATAGTTCGCTACATCCGCCTTTTTGATGTATCAACGAGCGGATTGATTGTGCTCTAACAGGTGCTATAGCGACTCTGTCGGCGGAGCTGGTCCCCGACACCACCCCTGGCTTGTCCAGTACAACCTACAGGAAGAACCTGGCCATCTCTCTGTTCTACAAGGTCAGTACCCGTCATTGTTGTCTGACTGACGCTCGGGCAAGTCTGTATTACATTGCAACATAATATCCCCATGTCGGCTGGCCATCTCTCTCTTCTACAAGGTCAGTTATAGCCACGGCTGTCTCGATGTGATCTTCTGAAGCAAATACTCAAATTGAGTCCTGTGCAATAGCATGTCCATGACAAGTATACTTCCAGATTTAGTGATGACGTGTCCTAACCATTGCAAGGTACTTTTAAAGACCGCCAGTTAATGATAAATCTGCTAAACTCTGAAAATCCTGATATGATCCATGCTGTTTCTGTATTCTTAAAACATGTCTTTAAAATGAGGAATGTGTCACTTGATATAAAATCGGATCATGTACATCGCGTGACAATGTTAATATCCAATCTGCATTGTACTATTGGCCTTGATGCCTAAAATACTGAATAAACTGTCTGTCTGTCTGGGCCTAAGCAGATTTGTCCGGAGTGAGCAGTTGGTGGGTACAATAAGACCAGATGATGTGCATTCTGGAAAACTATAACCACATCCTTCGTCTCCTCTAGTACTAGTTCAACTGTTTGAGTACGCCCGCCATCAGCAATTGTACATACGGGCAGTTCTCAGTCATTGAAAAACACTCAAGTCTCAAATCAAATATTGTGCTCAGATGCATCAATTGTATGAACAATTCATCTTCCGCATATTCACTGCTCAGAAACTATGCCGTGTGAAGTGTGCTCTCCCACTGAGGTGAGGTGAGGTGAGGTGAAATGGGGTTTAACGTCGCGTCGAAGATTATTGCACTTATATAGCGACGTGCATGCACGTGTATGTGTGTGTGTGGCTGCTTGTACTAGTCCGGACTGATGCCGATTTATAGTGCTAGCTCACTGAGATACCATGCTGCAGTTTAACATGAATACCCCACTCAGACACAGTATACTGACTCCGAGCCGACCAGTCCTTGTTTTAGCCCCTCAATGCCGAGCGCCAGACAGGGTAACAACAAGTACCATCTTTTAACCTCTTTTGGTATGACGCGGTGGGGGATCGAACCCCGGACCTTCCGCTCTCCGGGCGGACGCTCTACCACTAGACCACGGAGGCGGTCCCTCTCACAGTGACTAATATGGGGCGGTCAGTAGCATTTTCTCCCCACGCCCGAACCCCAAGTTGGATTCCTCAGACGGGTATATTGCTCTTCTGGTGTCCGCCGCCGTGAAATTGTTAGGTTATTTTTATAACAGCGCTTGGTGAACCAGTGATATGAAAGAATCGGGTGGTCCTCAACTTATTTTCGGTAATATATAAATATATAATTATCTGGGCTTTTCATAAATAAACTTTCAGTATGTGCTCGGCGTGTGTAGTGACAAAGCTGCAAGAAGATTCCAAAGTGGAGGCACGAACTTCATACGTCCGGTATCTTCCGGCACTCAGACATATGACAGTCGTAAAGATGAATACCCCCTGACTCAACCTATGACCAAGGTGGATGCAACCCTACAGGTTTGTTGTTTGTACATGTTGGTCAAATTTGTTTGTTGGTTAACTCGGCACTCAGCAATATTTCAGCTTTTATAGTGAGTGAGTGAGTTGGGTTTAACGCCGCTTTTAACAGTATGCCAGTTATATCACGGCGTGTCAGCTTAATGTGGGAGGAAAGCCCGAAGTGATGCAGGTCTCAGACGTTTACCACTTCGGTGAAACCCACGAGCACGGGTATGGTGCTGTCAAACCTAGAAACATAATCGGGGCGAACCGGGATTCGAACCCACAATCATAGGTTTCTGGCGTGTCCAAGGGACGCAACTCTGCACAGCGAATCGCAGCGCCTTAGACGACTGGGCCACCCGTGCCCCCTCAGCTTTTATAAGTAGGTCTGTAAATAATGGAACCTGGGCCAGAAGATCCAGTGATTGAGAGATCTACGCAATTGGGATAGGAGTGAATTGAACCTACCAAGTCACCGATCTTGACCACTTGATCCAGGATAGGTTTTGGGGACCTATATTCTTACCCGGGATTCCCACGTGTTCAGAGTTTGAAGCGAAATACCCACCGTGAATGTATACCGATCCTCAACCATCTCATTACACGTCATGTACATGTATGGTATCCACGGCGTCTTAATGGCACCATTGGGTAGAACCTCTCAGACATTAAATGGTGGTCAATCAGTGGAATCTCCTTATTGGGGGACTACCTGTCATACAAATAATAATGTTCTTCATAGTGGTGTCAAAGAGCCAGGATCGTCATTAAACTTCTTTGAAACTGGGTGTTCTTCCATAAGGAGAAGGGGTACGGGTGGCCCCGTCGTCTAATGCGCCGCAATTCGCTGTGCAGAGTTGCGTCCCTTGAGCAAGCCAGAAACCTATGATTGTGGGTTCGAATCCCGGTTCGCCCCGATTATATTTCTAGGTTTGTCAGCACAATACCCGTGCTCCTGGGTTCCATCGAGGTGGTAAACGTCTGAGACCTGCATCACTTCGCGCTTTCCTCCCACATTAAGCTGACACGCCGCGATATAACTGGAATACTGTTAAAAGAGGCGTTTAACCCAACTCACTCACTCACTCCATAAGGAGAATAATAAGAGTGTTATGTTACAATTAATTATTTGCACTAAATTAGTGTGCTGCACTATAACGCCATATTTCGTGTGTTTCAGACATCGGGTCGGGTCAAGTACATCAACGACATACCCCCTGTTCAAGATGAAGTGTACGCTTCCTTCGTCATCAGCACCGTGGGAAATGCAGACATTGACACAATCGACACATCATTAGCCATGGTGATACAGATATGAAATGTAGACCGATTGAAAGTTGTGAAATGTGTTCCCATTTGTTTATCCGATCACATAAAAAGTATTTAAAATACAATTATTTTGCATCCAAAATGTTTTATCTTCAAGATTGTTAAAAGTCAAGCAACAGTATAATTAGAAATATGAATTATGAAGACATGTCAGCGCATCAATGAAGTAATCCTTGGCATGTCATCTAAACAAGGCTAGTTATTTCTGTGAAACTGGCAAACTTTCGAATTATCAAACTTTGCAAGCTTGTCTTCGTGTGATCAGACTGACTGGTGAATGTATGGGAAGCAAGAGATGAGGAGCTCAGATCTTTGCTAACTTTCAGGCATGTCATCCTTGCTTACATTTCAGTCACTTCCTCGTTGTCACACAGTTGTGAAAGCTCAGGAACACTTACTTGGCCCCTCACCATCACTCACACACTGGTTGGTTGGTTGGTTGTTTAACGCCGCACTCAGCAATATTCCGGCTATATGACGGCGGCCAGTAAATAATCGAGTCTGGACCAGACAATCCAGTGATTAATATCATGAACATCGATCCACGCAATTGGGATCGATGACATGCATCAACCAAGTCAGCGAGCCTGATTTATGCTCATGATGTCAATCACTGAGTTATCTCGACCAGACGCGATTATTAACAGACCGCTGTCAGTAGCTGGAATTTTGCTGAGAGTGACGTTAAACAACAAACAAGCAAACGTTGGAGTATTATCATGTAGTATGGAATACAACCAATTAATATCTAAACAAATGTCACTCAACGGTACCTTTAACAAGTTTATGTTTTTTGTAAAATGACACAAACAACATCGTTGTTTCTTTGTTGTTTAACGCCGCACTCAGCAGTATTCCAGCTATATCGCGGCGGTCTGTAAATAATCGAGTCTGGACCAGCCAATCCAGAGATTAATATCATGAGCATCGAGACACGCCATTGGGATCGATGACATGCATCAACCAAGTCAGCGAGCCTGACCACCCGATGCCGTTAATCGCCTTTTACGACAAGCATAGTCACCTTTTACGGCAAGCATGGGTTGCTGAAGACCTATTCTACGTACCCCGGAATCTTCACGGGTACACTCACACATTGACTACCATCACTCGATTAGTATGACTGAACTTAATGTCTACAAACAGGCATGAAGAACAAATTCACTTACACGAGGTGAATACTCGGAGTATCTTATTTTAACGTATCACATAGTGCACTATATGAACCGTACTCTATTCTATCTCAACAGAGCTATCCTGGAGTCCTGAAGTACATTTCTGCTGCTGATATACCAAAAGGAGGCACGAACAGTTTCAGGGAACCTGGCGTCGGGATTGAGGAGGTATTGTTGAGATCATATTCTTTGTCCATAGGCAACTACTGTGTTCCTCTTGTCTCATGTCTTGTTGAGTTGGCATCTCGAGACGGCCTGACTGCTTATTGTGAACAGATCATTCATACATAACGCAACCCATCCTTTTAGTGTGATCTTGTCCTGATGGAAGAAAAGTCTCGTTCTGTCTATCATTAGTTGGTTTATTCTAGGTCGGGTGATACTGTGATTTGTGTAATTGCTATTTGAATTTTTGTGAAGCGTTAGAACAAACGTAAACCAACCAGCTAGTATACTCCCAATCGTCCAAATATGTAAATCTGTAAATCTTCTGAATAACATGACCAGAAACCTTGCATTAGAGATTATCAATATTACCTGTGTTTTATTGTTTATTTAGGGAGACGGGAGGCCCCGTCGTCTAAGGCGCCGCGATTCGCTGTGCAGAGTTGCGTCCCTTGAACACACCAGAAACCTATGATTGTGGGTTCGAATCCCGGTTCGCCCCGATTATGTTTCTAGGTTTGTCAGAACCATACCCGTGCTCGTGGGTTTTACCGAAGTGGTAAACGTCTGAGACCTGCATCACTTCGGGCTTTCCTACCACAATAAGCTGACACGCCGCGATATAACTGGAATACTGTTAAAAGCGGCGTTAAACTCACCTCACTCACTCACTCACTATTGTATAAGTCCATTGGGTTTCTAAAGATGCCTATTCAAATCAATGATGACAAGAAAATAGAGACCCCGAGACTGGGCCACGATGTACAGCTCAGTCTTGGCCCAACGACACTTATATATCCTTTGCAACTGTGCTTTAATAATAGAGTTACTGTAGTTGTAGTGCTAAGATCGCCTTGTGGAACAAGACCTGGTTTCAGGATTTTCACGACACCAGTGAGTGAGTGAGTGAGTGAGTTGGGTTTAACGCCCCTTTTAACAGTATTCCAGTTATATCACGGCGTGTCAGCTTAATGTGGGAGGAAAGCCCGAAGTGATGCAGGTCTCAGACGTTTACCACTTCGGTGAAACCCACGAGCACGGGTATTGTGCTGACAAACCTAGAAACATAATCCAGGTGAACCGGGATTCGAACCCACAATCATAGGTTTCTGGCGTGCCCAAGGGCTGAACTCTGCACAGCGAATCGCGGCGCCTCAGACGACTGGGTCACCCGTGCCCCTTTCACGACACCATGAAGAGATTGAAAGTCTACAGTGATAATTTGAACTGAATGGTCAGTTTTCTGTCCCCTCTTTCCAAAGTAGTACCATTCATGTCTTGTAGATATTCTGCAGTGGGAAAGTCCTCTACAGTGGGCAGCCTCTTGGTATCATCGTTGCAGGTAGGAATGGGTTTGTTTGATCAGAGTTAAAACACTCAAGGCCTCAGTAAAGCATTCAAATGTTTCATGTTGACATTTGGAGGACATTTCAAAATTGACGCATCTACTAGTATATGTTCCTGTGTTTTTTCGGATGAACAGTTGACTTGCCTTTGCATGTGTTTATGACGGGGGATACGCTCATCTTTTCGCGAACACCTGGTATCAACACTAGTAAACTGTTATGCGATTCATAATCAGATGCTCATGATACATTCGGAATCGAACAGTACAATCAACTCTGCTTTTAGCAGAGATTTCATGTGAATATTGAAAGGGTTTTGTCGCTTTTGTTTATTTGATTGATTTGATGTGTTGTTTTCTTTAAGTGGACAAACTATCAGCGGACACAGCAGCCAGCATGGTGAAAGTTACCTACAAGAACGTCCAGCCTCCCATCATTACAATGGAAGATGCCATTCAGAAGAATTCCGTATTTCCAAATGTTGCCCAAGAGTTTAAAGTTGGTGATGCTGCAGGTAGGTATAGCATTGAGTATAACACTATACGCGCAATATGATACAAATGTTGACTTTTCTGCCTGTAACTTAATGTCCTTTACACCTATCTTCACATGTATGCACATGTAAATTGTACCGGGGGGTCACGATTGGCCCAGTCGTCTAAGGCGCCGAAATTCGCTGTGCAGAGTTGCGTCCCCTGGGCACGCAAGAAACCTATGATTGTGGGTTGGAATCCCGGTTCGCCCCGATTATGTTTCTAGGTTTGTCAGCACCATACCCGTGCTCGTGGGTTTCACCGAAGTGGTAAGCGTCTTAGACCTGCATCACTTCGGGCTTTCCTCCCACATTAAGCTGACACGCCGTGATATAACTGGAATACTGTTAAAAGCGGCGTTAAACCAAACTCACTCACTCACTCAATTTTACCACGTTAATAGATAGTTAGTATCATCAGTCAGGACAAATGCAACCCACACAAACGTGAGCAATGGAACAGATTTATTAAACAAACGTGTATTTCTGTTCCAGCTGCAATAGCTAGCTCTGATAAACAAATTTCCGGGCGAATCAAAATGGGACACCAGTACCATTTCCATATGGAGACACAGGTGAGTAACCCAGAAATGAGTGAGTGAGTGAGTTGGGTTTAACGCCGATTTTAACATTATTCCAGTTATATCGCTGCGAGTCAGATTAATGTGGGAGAAAAGCCCAAAGTGATGCAGGTCTCAGACGTTTACCACTTCGGTGAAACCCACGAGCACGGGTATGGTGCTGACAAACCTAGAAACATTATTGGAGCCCCCCGGGATTCGAACCCACAATCATAGGTGTCTGGCGTGCCGAAGGGACGCAACTCTGCACAGCGAATCGCGGCGCCTTAGACGACGGGGCAACCCGTGCCACCAACCCAGAAATGAGGTCTCCTGCCAATAAAAAACTGGAAAACATACAAAATTAGTTTTCAAATGTGAATTCTTTAGGTGGATGGTCAATATATGTCTTGTCTTGCTGACCCGTGAAGATCCGGGGTAGAATTGGTCTTCAGCAACCCATGCTTGCCGTAAAAGACGACTTTGCTTGTCGTAAAAGGCGACGAACGGGATAGGGTGGTCAGGCTCGCTGACTTGGTTGAAGCATGTCATCGACCCCAATTGCTTGGATCGATGCACATGTTGTCAATCACTGGATTGTCTGGTCCAGACTCGATTATTTACAGACCGCCGTCATATAGCTGGCATATTGCTGAGTGCGGCGAACCAACAAACATGCTGGATGTCACGTATTGTTGTATTACTGTGTGTGGATAATCAATATATGCATATGCATTGGAAATGCGTTGATCGTGAATACCTAGAAAGTAGAATTATGTGACACCAACGTGAACAATAGTTACAATGTATTGATGTTTGGGAAACGACCAATAACAACAGACAATCATAGCTGCATCACATAACACATAGTGTGGTGGATTCGTGACGCCTTCCCTGATCTTCTCAACAGGTGAGCATCTGCTACCCAGCCGAGGATGGAGTGGGTGTCAGCCTCTTATCGTCCACACAGTGGGCAGATAGGGAACAACTGATTGTAGCCAAGGCGCTAAACATCAACGAAAGCAGGTATTTGTGACAAGATATTATTTTACGGATACTCTATGGGTTAAGAATACAGACTACCCCAAAATCCAACTTTCAAACTTTCTTGTTTCAATCAATAGACCTGTGTAGTATAAAACACCCAACTAAAATTATAGTGTTCAAGGCCGTAGTTAACTTTTGTCGACAGGGGGGTGGGGTGGGGTGGGGGTGGGGGCAAATATTTGTACAAGTATCACTTGTCCCTAACTAGTATTTTCATGATTCAAATATTAAAGTTTTCTATAAAAAATCTCTTCAGTTTCATTATAATTTTGAAAATGTTCCTAAAAGTTCAAAAGTTATTTTCGTGGATGAGCATGATAGACGTATCTTCTTGAATATACATACATGTATGCGATATCTATCTAGTAATGGTATGATTCAGCTGAATACTAATTTCGTAGAGGGGAATGTCCGAGTAACTCTCCATTCCTTGAAAATAATGGCGCAGAGGCCCCGCAGGGGCCGAGGCCCATTATTTTTAAGTAATGGAGAGTTACGAGGATATTCCCCTACTTAAAACTCATCCCTACTTTTACACTTTGACAAAATATTCTCTAGATGAAAATATTTGAAAAATTGAAATGCTGCTTCAAGATAATGTACAGTTGACAAGCAGCTCTCCATTCCTGAAAAAATAATGGAGCGTTCAAACAATAGAATGACGTCACAGATGTGTTTAAATTATCCATATGGGACAGTGGGGAAGGCCGGTGGTTAAAGCGTTTGCTCGTCACGACGAAGACCCAGGTTCGATACCCCGCATGGTTCAATGTGTAAACACAATTCCTGCTGTTGGCTACCGGGATATTGGTTGAATAGAGCGGCGTAAACCTCATTTTTCTCAATGTGTGTTGTGTTCCAGTGTAAACGTGACAGTAAAGCGTCTCGGAGGATCGTACGGAGCCAAAATAACACGTGCACACTTACCAGCTTGCGCTGCCGCTCTCGCCACACACGTCCTGAGGAGGTGGGTCAAACGACTATTAACAGTCATATTCTCATTTTGCTTAAGAGGCATAGCGTAAAAGTTCTTCTCACGCCATCCAAATGTTTGATGTCTTTTAAGTGTATTAATGTGACTGAACGTTAAAAGTATAACAGACAACTCACATACGCTTTGCGATTATTTACAGACCGCCGTCATATAGCTGAAATATTGCTGAGCGCGGCGTCAACAAACAGACACATACGCATTGTATTTGAAGAACTTCTGTTATGTATTTCAGACCAGTGCGATTAAACATGAACTTCCACACCAACATGAAGACAATCGGGAAACGTGCACCGTATCTGGCAGATTATAAAGTAAGATAAATACCTCATTTCAAATATATCTAATTGATCAAAAATGGCTTAAATAAAAGCGATAAAACCCGTTCCATATTTATAAGAAATCTCTGCTGAAAGGAGATTCCATTGTCACATTCTACTATATCATAAGCATGTGTTCATGAATCACTATCAAATAGTGGGCAGTCGGGTAGCCTAGTGGTTAAAGCGTTAACTCGTCACGCCGAAGACCCGGGTTCGATTCCCGACATGGGTAAATTGTGTAAAGCCCGTTCCTGGTGACCCCGCCGTGATATTGCTGGAATTTTGCTAAAAGTGGCGTAAAACCTACTCACAATGAAATAGCGATGATACCTGCTTCTCCGGAGTCACACGTCACAAATGCAAACGCATTTATGGTACAATCTACCCACTTAAGATTATTAGTTTCATCCTAATGTAATTTTCGTTGCAAGTAAGTAGCATACATGCTTAAAGCTATATTCAACAAATATGATTACTCATGTACTTTTCGTGCATTTCTTATCCTCGTGCAAGGTGGGTGTGACAAATGAAGGTAAACTAACTGGAATCCAGGTGACCGTAAACGCAGACCTTGGCATGTCCCCTAATGACAGTCACTTGGGTATATTCCCACCGTGGATGGACAATGGTGAGACCCCCCCCCCCCCCCCTCTCTCTCTCTCTCTCTCTTTCTCTCGCTCTCTCTCTCACTCGCTCTCTCAACGACGCAATAATGCTGGGATATTGCTACAATCGTTCACTGTCACAATGGCCCTCATTGTCCCCATGATGATGTTAAAGAATACATGACATGTTCTTCCATGATGCTCCTAATAGCTAAACTTAAGAGTTAGCTCGTAACTTTATCAACTTACGATATATCGAACATGTATTCCGGAGTATCTCACGCACAGATACATGGCTTCTACACAGTGGAGCGATGGAACGTATATTTTTTAAGTAACTAAAAGTCCAAAACACAAATATAATACCTGTATCAAATACAGTAAAATACGGTTATAGCGAACACGCTTATAACGAACTGACGGATATAACGAACTTACTTTTTTGGTCCCGACTATTTGCTGTAGTTATGCTGTATATATGCTTATAACGAACTACGGTTATGACGAACTAAAATTAGTAGTCCCTTTGAGTTCGTTATAACCGTAGTTTACTGTACATAACAATCGAACGACCATTTTTGGTTGTTTCATTTTTAGCAACCATCGATCGTGAGTGTATACTTCTTGCCTGGCAGTTTAGTAATTTGCCTCGTTCGACATAGAAGCACTTCTCTTATAAGCTGAAATAAATAGTTTATGTTGTCAGCGTACTACTGTCCAACGTGGGACTTCAAACCAGTTGCCCTGAAGACTAATCTCCCGACAAACATTGCTTGTCGAGGACCCGGTAAGATCTGAAGCTTATTTCAAAAAGTGCAAAAAATGACGTGTCTCGAAAGTATCAATGGTAGTACAATGCATAATCATATATGCATCATTTCCACTGCGATGTCCACAGCAATCATTTCCAGAAGACAGTCACCACAGCAATTATAGTGTTTCATATGTGCATGATTAAACGATGTTCGAAAATGTTTGGCGTGTGTATTTTCAACCTACTGTTAACAGAATGTACAAAGATCAATACCTACACTTGTACTAGCGTGTAGTGGAATTGAAATAAACCATTTGTGTTCAAACTGGGGGTCAAACGTTCAAACTAATTAAATTTCAATTGAAATTACGGGGTTCAAATTGGGTTCCAAGTTGAAAACATAATAGGTTATCTCCTCAACGTAGAAACGCCGTTGATGTAAACAAAATAATTCGTAATCACACTTTTAAACCAAATATTTTTTTCTGGAGTCATTGCGTATTTTATGCAGCTGTTAGATATTAAAGTTTATCTATTTGCTAGGATCGTGTCCATCCATCTTCATCATGGAGTCAATGATGGAACACGTCGCCAAAGTCTTGAACCAAGACCCTCTGGAGTTCAGGAAACTAAACCTGTTCAGCACAGGTCAAGTGAGTAGCTCCAAAAAGGCCAAATCAAACCAAATCACATATTTATTCAATGTCCGAAGGGCAATTCTATATTTGGATATATGTACACGTTTATTTCTTCACGTGGATCTGATATATTTCAGAATATCAAATTAAATCATGGTATAATAGTTTATACAAAGCCACTATACATTGTATGGTATCATCGTTCTATGTTATAAAGTTCACAAATGTTTCAGTTTGGTTGTCATAGTCATAGGGTCAGATTTGGAGAGTATCTCAAGCTGTCGTATGAGCCGATCACACATGCTGCTTAACGATAATACCCCAGGCCCTTCATTAGGTACAATGTGCTTTAAAATGTTCACCCGCAGAAAATTATTTCATCATTCATAATTATCCTAAATGTTTTATGTATTTTATTTCTTTTACTTGTTCCTTCTCTATGGTGTATATTTCGCTAAGGTATGTATATATACTCATATACCTTATGTGTATGTTGGGATAAATGTTTATGTTTACTTATTAGTGTGAGCAAATTATGTACATATGCACGTGCGTATGTTTACTTGCTTCTCAGAGTGAATTTTTTTTTTTTATTATTATTTTTTTTACTGTCTCTCGTAGCCCGTTTGGGTGGCGTTTGTACATGTGTTTTAATGTATCATGCTGCGATGGCTTTGATCTTCTTTATGTACAAATGCAGATAAAAAAAACCATTGATTGATTGATTGATCAATATTAGAAATAGCGAGTTATAAATGCATTTTACGCTAACATTGAGCCAAGAAAATATACGTGAAGAAGATCAGATTGATTCGACAGTACGGATAGTGTGTTTCCTGTTTCCAGAAAGCTGCCAATGGAATGATTCTGAAGTACTGCAACATCAAAGACATGGTGGCTCAGCTGGAGACGTCAGCCGATGTCCAGGCTAGAAAACAGCAGATTGCAGCTTTCAACCAGGTACAAACGTGTCCGGGCGCTGCTTTGTAGTATTCACAGTGATCTGCATGATAACCGCCTCCGTGGCCTAGTGGTAGAGCGTCCGCCCGGAGGGCGGAAGGTCCGGGGTTCGATCTCCGGACGCGTCATACCAGAAGACGTTAAAAGATGGTACTTGTTGTTACCCTGTCTGGCGCTCGGCATTAAGGGGCTAAAACAAGGGCTGGTCAGGTCGGAGTCAGTATACTGTGTCTGAATGTGGTATTCATGTTAAACTGCGGCATGGTATCTCAGTGTGCTAGCACTATAAATCGGCATCAGTCCGGACTAGTACAAGCAGCCACACACACACGTGCATGGACGTCGCTATATAAGTGCAATAATCTTGGACGCGACGTTAAACCCCATTTCACCTCACCTCACCTGCATGATAAACTTTAGAACTCTTTAAATGAGGTGACAGTTTAGCTTTGCTGACAACCTATGTTTAAGGTAGTGGTGTCCACTAATCACTCACTCGACGAACTTTCTCTATTTGTTGATATCAAGGCCAACAGATGGAAGAAGAAGGGCATTTCGGTTATGCCTCTCCGCTTCAACCTGAACTACTCAAACGCCAACTACAACGTCTACATGACCGTCTACCACGGGGATGGCTCCGTCGCAATATCGATCGGCGGTGTGGAGAATGGACAGGGAATAAACACCAAGGTTAGTTAGTATGTTAAAATGATGCAATGAGGTTATTAATGTTCATGGGTTCTCGATTTGTTCATAATACCGTTTTAATCAACCTACACGTATTGATGAACTGTGAACCTTCTGCATCTATGTGGACCGCCTCCGTGGTCTAGTGGTAGAGCGTCTGCACAGAGAGCGGAAGGTCCGGGGTTCGATCCCCGACCGCGGCATACAAAAAGACGTTAAAAGATGGTACTTGTTGTAACTCTGTCTGGCGTTCGGCATTAAGGGGCTAAAACAAGGACTGGTCAGCTCGGAGTCAGTATACTGTGTCTGAGTGGGGTATTGATGTTAAACTGCGGCATGGTATCTCAGTGAGCTAGCACTATAAATCGACATCAGTCCGGACTAGTACAAGCAGCCACACAAACATACATACGTACATGCACGTCGCTATATAAGTGCAATAATCTTGGACGCGTTGTTAAACCCCATTTCACCTCACCTCACTTCTGCATCTGTGTGAGAGCGAATGCTTAAGTTAGAAGTGGAAGTTTTAAGACAAATAAGGTTTCCTTGTTTCATCTGATAGACTACTGTGACTGTCAGATTAAATATTATGAGCACATTTCCACGTGACAAAGGTTCAGATGCGACTGCAAACATGCTGTAATATATAATGCGTCGATGGGTCAATTTACATTGATGATACAATAGGAATTAAGACATTGTTGTGCCACGACAGATGATGCAGGTCTGTGCCTTTGAGCTGGGTATTCCCATGGACACGATCAAGGTGAAGCCAACGACGACCCTGGCGGACTCCAACTCCATCACTACGGGAGGCAGCATCACCAGTGAAGTCAACGCATTGGTGAGATGTGTTACTCTATATAGGGTCAGGCGCTTGGCATAATAAGTTGAAGCTCTCTGGAGCAGCAACGACGGGTTTTTTAAAACAAAAACTCGTCTAATGACAACATCTTTTGACATACCCGTCAAATTTCTGAGTCTGAGAACATGAAGGCAATACACCCTGATCTTTCTTTACCCTCCCGCCTCCGTGGTCTAGTGGATAGAGCGTCTGCCCAGAGAGCGGAAGGCCGGGGATTCGATATCCCGCCGCGTCATACCAAAAGAGGTTTAAAGATGATACTTGTTGTTACCCTGCCTGATGATCGGCATTGAGGGGCTAAAACAAGGATGGGTCGAAGTCAGTTTACTGTGACTTGAGTAGGGTATTCATGTTAAACTACGGCATGGTATCTCAGTGGACTAGCACTCTAAATCGACATTAGTCCGGACTAGTACAAGCAGCCACACACACGTGCATCTTGAACGCGATGTTAAACCCCATTTAACATCACTCACCTCACCTTGCTGTACCCTACATTATCCTTACTCAGACTACACACTACAGTACCAACCCACGGCTACATCATCATCATAACTGTCCTTATAAATCACACGTCAGTTTAAAAATAGTTTTTTTGAAAGACTACACATCGAAATTATAATTTCCTTAAAATGTGTTAAAGGGTGTCACGCTATGCTGTCAACAATTAAAGACCCGGATTGCCCCGGTCAAAGCCAAGATGGTCAACCCTACTTGGCAGCAGCTGGTTGCTAAGTGTTACAGCGAAGGGGTGGACTTGTCAGCTAGAAGCTTGTAAGTTAAAATTATTCTGGATGTCAGTGTGTTGATGTTAGCGCTATACACACTCAACTCGTACAGAGAACAACTTGTGTGCCAGTTGAAGTTGTCATAGCACAACCATTGCATTTAGATTGTATATATTTTCAGCACGAATCCAGCCGGTGACAGTACTAACTACAACATCTACGGAGCAACGTGCACTGAAGTTGAGGTGGACGTTCTGACCGGGGAGAACCAGATCAACAGAGTGGACATTCTGTATGACTGTGGAGAGAGGTGAGATCAACAGAGTGGACATCCTGTATGACTGTGGAGAGAGGTGAGATCAACAGAGTGGACATCCTGTATGACTGTGGAGAGAGGTGAGATCAACAGGGTGGACATCCTGTATGACTGTGGAGAGAGGTGAGATCAACAGAGTGGACATCCTGTATGACTGTGGGGAGAGGTGAGATCAACCGAGTGGACATCCTGTATGACTGTGGGGAGAGGTGAGATACAAAGACGTCGCCAGTGTGAAGTGTGGAGAGTTGAGCGTGGAGTTGGAAGTGTGGTGTGTGCGTGTGGAGTGTGGCGTGTGGAGCGTGGAGAGTGGAGCGTTGAGTGTGGAGCGTGGCGCGGGAAGTATGGTGTGTGGAGCGTGGAGAGTGGAGCGTAGAGCGTGGAGTGGGAAGTGTGGTGTGTGGAGCGTGGAGAGTGGAGCGTGGAGCGTGGCGCGGGAAGTATCGTGTGTGGAGCGTGGAGAGTGGAGCGTGGAGCGTGGAGTGGGAAGTGTGGTGTGTGGAGCGTGGAGAGTGGAGAGTGGAGCGTGGAGTGGGAAGTGTGGTGTGTGGATCAGGATGCATCAGACTATAGGTTTGAGACGAGGGTACGTGGGCGAAACACATATTACTGGTAGAGGTGTATAAAAAACACGGACAAATAGGCTGTACACTCCATCATTATGTTTCTATGTTCATTGCTCCAGCATGAACCCTGAGATTGACATCGGTCAAGCTGAGGGTGCGTTTGTGATGGGCTTGGGCTACTGGATGACCGAACAGATGATCTTTGACCCCACGACTGGCACCGCCCTGACGGATGGCACATGGGTATGAACAGTAGCAAAAATAGAAAAAAAGTGGAAAAATACTAGCAGAAAAAAACATTTTAACCGGTATTAATTAACAATGTGCAAAGCGGTTCTTTCATAAATAACCTACTGACATAGCCTAGACATAATATGACTAGACCATGACCTTGAACATGTGACCCATTGTCACATTCAGTCACTGATATTGATGAAATTAATTATGCTCCAGTTGATATGTTCTAACTATGCTACGCCGGAAAGGAGGAATATAATAATCAGACGTTGAAGGCAGATCAGGCCCAAGTGTTTGAAGACATTCAGAAACCAGACACTATTAGTATTATATTTTATTCATAACATGTCGACCCGTGAAGACCCGGTTTAGAATTGGTCTTCAGCAACCCATACTTGCCGTAAAAAGACGACTATGCATGTCGTAAGAGGCGACTAACGGCATCGGGTGGTCAGGCTCGCTGACTTGGTTAATGAATGTCATCGATCCCAATTGCGTGGATCGATTATCATGATATTAATCACTGGATTATCTGGTCCAGACTCGATTATTTACAGACCGCCGTCATATAGCTAGAATATTGCTGAGTGCGGCGTAAAACAACAAACAAACAAACCAACCAAACAATTGCGTGGATCGATGCTCATGATGTCAATCACTTGATTATCTGGTCATTACTCGATTATTTACAGACCGCCGCCATATAGCTGGAACATGGCTAAGTTCGACGTTAAACAACAAACAAACAAACATAACATGCTGAGTAACAATGAGTTCATAGTTACTGACTACCTTAGGCAACAGTTGATACAGGTCAAGCCTTTATCACAATTTCATATATGTTGTTTTTCATGATCACATAGTGTAGAAGTCTCAAAGTGAAATATTTCTTCAGGAATACAAGCCCCCAATGGGAAAGGATATTCCTATCGACTTCCGTATTCAGTTCCTGAAGAATGCCCCCAACCCACGCGGAGTCTTGAGGGCAAAAGGTAATTATCTTGTTTCAATGTTGGTTAGTAACTCAAGTGTTAGTTGTGAATCTTGGATCAGTGGGATAGAACTTTGATAGGTGAACCTCTCAGGATACGCTCCACACCTTATCTCAGCCTCTCCACCCTCACAAGTATACGTTCCAAGGTCACAGGCTATGTCCTATACACCAGCTGGTAGATGTCCTACACGCCCTCCGATCTATGTCCTATACACCAGCTGGTATATGTCCTACACGCCCTCCGATCTATGTACTATACACCAGCTGGTATATGTCCAATACGCCCTCCGATCCATGTCCTATACACCAGCTGGTATATGTCCAACACGCCCTCCGACCTTTGTCCAATACACCAGCTGGTATATGTCCAACACGCCCTCCGACCTTTGTCCAATACACCAGCTGGTATATGTCCAACACGCCCTCCGACCTATGTCCAATACACCAGCTGGTATATGTCCAACTTCCTATCAGGTACGGTGGGGTAGTCCAGTGGTTAAGGATTAGGCTCGTCACGCCGAAGACCCGGGTTCGATTCCCAACAATCCCATTTGAGGTGTTACCCTTCATGATATCGCTGGAGTATTGCTAAAAGCGGCGTAAAACCATACTCACTTGCCGTCCTGTCAAGTCCGAGTTGTAGAGAAATATATACTATGCCGCAATTTTATATCTGGACGCTTCCTGACATACTCGGAGAATTCAATGAATGGGTTCAATTTGTGAGTATAATAGTTTTGTCCGTTTTTTCAGCTGTCGGCGAGCCACCTCTGTGTATGGCTGCGTCAGCGTTGTTTGCTGTGAAACACGCCATCGAGGCTGCCAGAAGCGAAATATCAAAGGACACATTCTTCCCTCTTGGTATGATTATTCATCTGGTCTTGCTACATTTATTTACATTTGTAAGAAAGGTTCAAACACATCTGTGACGTCATTCTATTGTTTGAACGCTCCATTATTTTTCAGGAATGGAGAGTTGCTTGTCAACTGTACATTATTTTGAAGCAGCATTTGAATTTTTCAAATATTTTCAACTACAGAATATTTTGTCAATGTGTAAAAATAGGGATGGTTTTATGAGGGGAATATCCTCGTAACTCTCCATTCCTTAAAAATAATGGAGCAGATGCCCATTATTTTTAAGGAATGGAGAGTTACTCGGACATTCCACTCTACATAATGGTTGATTAACCATGAGCGATTATACAGAAGATATGCAATTATAATAAAGAAACATTGGGACATTGTTTCATAATGTACCCCCGTGTGGAGAGTTCCCTATTATCAAATAATTGGCTAGTATCTGATTGAAATGAGGGCCCGACGGCTGCTGGTACTTTAAGTGGTGCTGACGGTCATGACTATTTGTGTGTTATATATGTCATAAGTAGCTGCACAGTAATGGTATGTGATTTGGCTTTGTTTATCCAACGATGAGTGGACGTAGCTCATGGTGCGGACACTTCTTTGGCAGGATATCGATAGCATGCTATTAATCAACTGCCTCTTCCAGATGGCCCAGCAACGGTAGAGGTGATTCAGACTGCCTGTCAAGTCGACAACCCACAGCTGGTATATGGTACATAGGCCAACCGGTGTATTGGACATAGATCGGAGGGTGTGTTGGACATATACCAGCTGGTGTATAGGACATAGATCGGAGGGTGTGTTAGACATGTACCAGCTGGTGTATTGGACATGGATCGGAGGGCGTGTTGGACATATACCAGCTGGTGTATAGGACATAGATCGGAGGGCGTGTTGGACATATACCAGCTGGTGTATAGGACATAGATCGGAGGGCGTGTTGGACATATACCAGCTGGTGTATTGGACATGGATCGGAGGGCGTATTGGACATATACCAGCTGGTGTATAGGACATGGATCGGAGGGCGTATTGGACATATACCAGCTGGTGTATAGGACATGGATCGGAGGGCGTATTGATCATATACCAGCTGGTGTATAGGACATGGATCGGAGGGCGTATTGGACATATACCAGCTGGTGTATAGGACATTGATCGGAGGGCGTATTGGTCATATACCAGCTGGTGTATAGGACATTGATCGGAGGGCGTATTGGACATATACCAGCTGGTGTATAGGACATAGATCGGAAGGGTGTATTGGACGTATACCAGCTTGTGTATAGGACATAGATCGGAGGGCGTATTGGTCATATACCAGCTGGTGTATAGGACATAGATCGGAGGGCGTATTGGTCATATACCAGCTGGTGTATAGGACATGGATCGGAGGGCGTATTGGACATATACCAGCTGGTGTATTGGACATGGATCGGAGGGCGTGTTGGACATATACCAGCTGGTGTATAGGACATAGATCGGAAGGGTGTATTGGACGTATACCAGCTTGTGTATAGGACATACATCGGAGGGAGTCTTAGACATATCCCAGCTGCTTTATGGGACATACGTCGTAGGGCGTACTGGTGTATGGGACATGGAACATCGTGTCCATTTGCTAGCTGGTGTAATAGATATGAATCTGAGTGCGTTTGGGCCATAAGTCAACTGGTCTGTTTGACATAAATCTGAGGGTGTTCTGGTCATACAACAGCCAGTGTAAGGTATTAATTCAGTGAGTGTATAACATCTTAGCTAGCTATATATAGTGCATGGTAATATATTTGTGGGTGCATTGGACACCAACCATCCCAGCATGATACATGTGCGTATTGAGTCATCTGCAGTCGGGAGCATAGAGAATTGAATTGAACAGTTTGGACATATTCTGGATACCACATAGCCATATGTATAATTGCAACTGCAGTGTGTTGTAATATTGAAATCAGTTATCATATCTCTCCATGTAAATAATGCTCTTTTGTTTGCTTGTTTGCTTGTTGTTTTACATCTCAGTCATCAATTGCTCGGATAAATTGAGACGACCTGTCAAACTCGAGTCTGGGTCTTGGCACCTTGACTGTTACTAGATAACATGGTCGTCAGTACACTAGTTCCTACCTCGAATGCTTAATATACTTACTTACGTATTCTTGCTTTATTACAGAACAGAACTTGGTTTCATGTAATACATGTATATGCTCCCGCATATGGGGTTTTCAAGAGATTCATTCTACGAGGCTTTAAAATCTACACGTGGGACGTGTGTGTGTGTGTGTGTGTGTGTGTGTGTGTGTGTGTGTGTGTGTGTGTGTGTGTGTGTGTGTGTGTGTGTGTGTGTGTGAAAGTACAAAGTGAAACATTGTTCAACAAAAGTTAACGAAGAAGTCTTTCTATGTGTCGGTTACATAAGTATTTCAAGAACCGCTGTCATAAAATTTTGAACGTGTGTGTCCATTGTTGGCTTGAGTGACTTAACGACACCCCCTGCCAATGGAATGAAGAAGCCTGCGGATGAAACCTTGTGGTATGGTAGTCCATTCTTCCTGAATAGCTTGGCGTAATTGCTGTACATTCTGTGACCCTGCTTGACGTTGACGTAAACGTCTGTCTAGCTCACACCACAGATGCTCTTTTGGGTTGAGATTCGGTGACCCTGAAGGCCACGACAGTACGTTTGTGTTCTCAGCTCTCAGGAATCAGTACAGACGTGGGCACGAGCAATGCCATGTTGGAAATGGAGCCTGGTGCTTGCATTCTCCTAGCGTGGAGTTCTCTACCATTACGGTGCTGGACGCATTGAAATCATGTCAGGGGGATCAACGTAGATGCAAGTTATCCCTCTGTGGGGGACCCGTGAAGAGAATAGGTCTTCAGCAACTCATACTTGCCGTAAAAGGTGACTCTGCTTGTCGTAAAAGGCGACTAACGGGATCAGGTGGTCAGGCTCGTTGACTTGGTTGATGTATGTCATAGACCCCAATTGCGTGGATCGATGCTCATGATATTAATCACTGGATTGTCTGGTCCAGACTCGTTCATTTACAGACCTCTGTCATATAGCTGGAATATTGCTGAGTGCGGCGTTAAACAACAAACAAACCAGCCAACCAACCCTCTGTGGGGTCCTGGAGTTTGGAGTCAGTCCTTTATGTATACACATACTATACTAACTTGTACATCGGCCGATGACCTTTGATACAATAAACGTCTTTGACTTTGACTTTGACAGTGCAGATTGCACTGCTGTGTACTTCCCACCCCCTCCTCCCCTTTTTAAATGATATCAGCGTCGGTCCAACCTGTCTCCTCCGGTATGGTTCTCGGATCAATGCACGCTGCGACAACCAGTTACATGTAGAGACGGAGCCAAGCTACCGTTGCCAATATAGGTGATGGCTATACTGGTTAACTGTCTATAGGTGTCATAGTAACATATACAGATCGTATCACGCATACCACATGCGCCGTCAGTTTAAGGTTGGACCGTCCGGGTCAGCGCACCTAGCGGGTTAGTAAAGGGAAGATAAAGTGAAAAAGATCCCCCATTATCCATCGACACAGATTGCAGGGTGAGGGGTGGGGATGCATCGGTCCCTACCAACTCCATCACCATTTCTCAACACTGTTAACATATGACAATATATCTACCGGGAGGGACAACCATATTCAAATTCAACCACTACGAAGCGAGTAATATTTGGACATGTACATATACTATTGACGTGAGACGAATGTAAACAACAGAACCCTTGTGATGCCTCTTGTTAGAAGAATAGCAAACATAAGCTGTATACATTCGCGTCCTTGCTTGACTACCAGTTAGCAAGGAATAGGTGTATCCTCAAAACACTTACAGTTCAAATATAATATATACAGGAAGGTGGTTTACCTATTACCTATGCATTTGCATTAACTGAACGCCAGTCTGACCTGTTAAACGGTAATGACCTGCACCGGCTTTGACTTTCTTTCCAGACTAAACTGTGTGTGTGTGGTGGCGTGAATATAACGGAAATACTTTTTTAATTTTAGCAAAACACTCATTCATGCACTCAGTCGTTCTGGCAAGGGGGGCGGTCGGGTAGCCTAGTGGTTAAAGCGTTCGTTCGTCATGCCGAAGACCCGGGTTCGATTCCAGACATGGGCACAATTTGTGAAGCCCATTTCTGGTGTCCTCCGCCGTGACATTGCTGGAATATCGCTAAAAGCGGCGTAAAACCACACTCACTCACTCACTCACTCACTCTGGCAAGGGAAAGGGACAACAGGTTCAGGAGTTGCAGTTCTAGAACGCCTGATGACAACATGCTGAATGATGCGGTCATGTAAACAAGGGACGATTCAAACGTCCGATTGTGTACAAAACCAAAGGCGATGTTTACATAATGATAAGATAATATTTATCGTATACAGTCTACAGATAGTCAGAATCAGGTAGAACATTAGACGTACGGTAAGCGTACGATTCAAATCAACAGTAACCTTGACAATATTGACGCAAAGACACTGATAGCAGCGTAGATATATTGATTGCGCACTTTGTAGTATTGGCCTACTTCGCGATAACTCGTTTCACTGCAGATACGGTCTGATATTTTAAATACATTTTCCATTCCTTTTGTATTGCTAAAATTGTCATCAAGAAGATATGGCTGGCCTAGAGTCGAAAATTTCAAATATATTTTGTATGCCTTTTGAACTGCTAAAACTCTCACCAAGAACATATAGCTGCCCTAACAATTTTATTAATCATAGCCTCGCCGGGGGATGTTAAGTGTAGATTCGTTCACCCCATTGCGTCAAATGAGAAGCAATTACTTTGGACTGGTTATTCAAGTTCTGTAATGTGGCTGTATGGGTGTCACATTGCGGTGTGCGGTCCTTGCATGTCCTGTTATCACTGGTTATACTGAACCAGAGTCGGTCAGTTACAATGAGCATTTGATCTGGGTTTAACGCCGCTTTGAACAGTATTCATGTTTTCAGGTGATGCAGGTCTCACCCGTGTACCGCTTTGCTGAAACACCTAGAAATATAATCGGGGCGAAACGGGATTCGTACCCACAATCATAGGTTTCTGGCATGCCTAGGGGACGCAACTCTGCACAGTGAATTGCAGCGCCATGGAGTGAGTGAGTGAGTGAGTGAGTGAGTGAGTGAGTGAGTGAGTATGGTTTTATGCCGCTTTTAGCAATATTCCAGCAATATCACGGCGGGGGACACATAAAATGGGCTTCACACATTGTACCCATGCCGGGAATCGAACCCGGGTCTTTGGCGTGACGAGCGAAGGCTTGAACCACTAGGCTACCCCACCGCCCCAGCAGCGCCATGGACAACTGGGATACCCGTGTCCCCGATTAGTTACTGACCACAGAGCTTGATTATAATTGGTTGTTGTGTTGTAGCCTAGTTATTTGAGACATTGGTAAATGTGTGGAAAATATATACATATACTGAAACACTTTGAAAAGTCCTACTAATGTTCGATATTTTGTAATTTTTGACAAAATGGAGACAAAAATTAAATAAGCTGTTCTTGGTATTTAGGCCTTAGATAATCAAACACGCAATATCTTTGTACGGTTTCAAATGTGTTTGGAAATAGATTCGAGTACAAAAACACATACTTTCTGATTTCGAGATAAAATGGAGTGTGCATTGTCATTGTGTTTAAGTATACTTGTGTCTTTTGCCGTGATGTGGCTTGACTATTGCTACAAGAGTAGCACTCGCTGTATTTCCCACAGTATTTAGCTTATTCGTTCCATCGTACGTGCCCGGGTGGGCCATGTAAAGTCGTCCCAGATAGGAGGTGTTACAGTTACTTATCTCACGTCATGTGACGGTTACAACGTAGACAACGTATGATGCTTGTCACAGATCAGTCAGCAGAGGTAGACAGCCAAGACATGTCGACTAAAGCCCTTGGGAACTTTGTACAATGCCCTGTGTGCAGAACGAGGTATGACCTGTGATTCATTTAGTTGAATTAATTGTATTTCGGTTCAAACATGTTTACCGATATGTGGCAGATTCCAATTGTTCCCGTGGTATCAGAACTATCTGATGTGTGATTGGTAGTCTTTCTACCTGCCCAACCATTTGTTTGTGTCGGTATTTGTTTATAAAATAGGAAAACGCACAACTTTATGGATATCAACTTTTGTTTAATGCATAAGCAATGATTATTAATCTGACGTTCCAGCTTCACAGGGGCGGTCGGGTAGCCTAGTGGTTAAAGCGTTCGCTCGTCACGCCGAAGACCCAGGTTCAATTCCCGACATGGGTACAATGTGTGAAGCCCATTTCTGGTGTCCCCCGCCGTGATATTGCTGGAATAATGCTAAAAGCGGCGTAAAACCAAACTCACTCACTCACTAAAGCTTCACAGGGGTGTGAGAATGGACATACAAACGTCGCTATATGCCATGAACCAGAACTTGTTATCCTTAAATTTGTGCAGTTTTTATTTTACTCTCCAGCTTCTAGAATGTCAATCAACACTTGGTAATGTAAGGTAATCCAGCGTCGGGGATACAGACGCTCTCTTCTTGTTTGATTAATATCAATAATCAAATTCCCTTAATTATACAGACCGCCTCCGTGGTCTAGTGGATAGAGCGTCTGCCCTAAGAGCTGAAGTCCGGAGGTTCGATCCCCGGCCGCGTCATGCCAAAATACGTTAAAAGATGGTTACTTGTTTTAACCCTGCCTGACGCTCGACATTAACGGGATAAAACAAGCACTGGTCGGCTCGGAGTCGGTTTACAGTGTCTGAGTGGAGTATCCATGTTAAACTGCGTCATGGTATCTCAGTGAACTGCATGCAATAATCTCGACATTAAACCCCATTTCACTCACCTTGTCATCATACTTGCGAAAGCTGATTCTTAACGTGTAAATTTCTTACTCGTTCTCCTCGACAGCCACGTCCCCACCAACGGAGCACTGAAGGATGGCGTCTACGCTTCTACCTGTGAAAACTGTGGCCACTTCTTCAAGTTCAAGGCCACAGGTCCTCTCAAGTCATCGGTCAACTTCACCATTAATGGGACTTCCTACTCAGGTACACGCAGAGCTGTGACAGGAGGTAGACTTCTGTATCCTGAAAGGAAGCTTCGCTATCTCGGACGATTCGGTCACTGGTATTCCCTTATATTAATAAAGAAAATAGATAAATAGTGATGTGAGTGGTTTGTCAACCCGTTGATGAACACGGTGACATCTCAACTTTTCGATGGTCTCCGATGTCTCTGGTGTATTCATTGGGCACCGGGTCATTACGACGCTGATGCTTCTCGTAAAAACACCTCAGGATTTACATGACATTAGCTGATGTGAATGAATACCACAACCACATGGTCTGTAACCACTTTACGTAGGTTCACAATATGATCTGGCTGCACCCTGAAACCATGGATCGTTGCTCGTCCTTTCAATTACAAACTAGCTGATTATGAGATTTGATTGTGGAATAGGGGGCACGGGTGACCCAGTCGTCTAAGGCGCCGCGATTCGCTATGCATAGTTGCGTCCCTTAGGCACACCAGAAACCTATGATTGTGGGTTCGAATCCCGGTTCGCCCCAATTATGTTTCTTGGTTTGTCAGCACCATACCCGTGCTCGGTGGTTTCACCGAAGTGGTAAACGTCTGAGACCTGCATCACTTCGGGCTTTCCTCCCACATTAAGCTGACACGCCGCGATATAACTGGAATACTGTTAAAAGCAGCGTTAAACCAAACTCACTCACTCACTCATCACTTCGGGCTTTACTCCGCTGACACGCCGTGATATAACTGGAATACTGTTAAAAGCGGCGTTAAACCCAACTCACTCACTCATTGATTGTGGAATATTGTGTTAAACAGCCAGGATAAAGATGAAAGAAAGAAAGAAAATTTCAATAACACATCGTCAAGTTCCCATTCTCTCTATATTTGGTCTTAACTTTCGAGAATGTTTTTCTCATTCCAGTTGGCAACCAGTATGCCGCAGCTCTGTCCCTGAATGAGTTCATGAGGTCCCAGGGTGTGTCCTATGGCACCAAGGTGATGTGTATGGAGGGAGGGTGTGGCGTGTGTCTCGTCACTACCACACTGTATGATCCCATCACAAAGGCCGTGCAGACCTACACAGTCAACTCGGTAGGAACACAATACATATAGTGTCAGTACATTTGTGAAAAAATAAAAGATAACGAGATAAGGTCTGAAATGAAAGATGTATTTGCCAGTATGATTTATGTTGTTGTTGTTGTTGTTGTTGTTGTTGTTGTTGTTGTAATGCCAGTAAAAAAATATACAAAAACATTTCGACATCAGTAGTCCTCTAACTGTCACGCCAATAATTGTACCTTGCAAATTGATAAGAGCGGCCCGTTAGGATTAATGGGTAGAATAGTGTAAGAGCTGACATATGACATATGTCCCAATGTAATGTATTTATATTGTAGCATTTAACTTTTCACGGTTCACACGTGGTTATCTACACATCATCGTATTATTTAATGTTTCAAGCATCGTTCACTCACTCACAAGCTAAATATATGTGTGGAAATATAAAAATAACGAAATAACCATACAAAAACTCATTAACAAATTATACATGTTTTGTCAGTGTCTGGTTCCTCTCTACACGTGTGACGGGATGCAAGTGACAACCATTGAAGGTCTCGGCAACCCCAGGGATGGCCTACATCCGATACAAGACCGTCTGGCACAGTACAATGGCTCCCAGTGTGGCTTCTGTAGCCCCGCCCAGGTCATGAATATGTATGGGTAAGGTCTTAAATATGCATTATTGACCCCGTCCATTGCTGTAAATTTGATCATTGCCTCCTCCAGGTTTTTAGTTTCAGATCACATCTGACAAGTAGAAACAGATAAGTATGTGAATACCTGAACACATGACACTTTTTTATGGAAAGCAACTTTTTTTAAAAGATAAATTAAAAGAAGTTGCTTTTCATATAAAAAGTGTCTTGTATTCATATTCTCCGAACTTCTAAATGCCTTTTCAAAGACATTGATCTAATTGGTCATTTTGTTCTGTGATGTCAACAATAAGTGACGTTGTTCTGTGTTCCAGGCTGCTGAAGAGAACTCCCAATCCGACCATGCAACAAGTAGAAAATGCCTATGATGCCTCCATCTGCAGGTGTACTGGTCAGTGTGTCCTCTCTACTGTAATTACTAGTAGAGCTTACCCGTTCTCATGGGTTTCACCAAATTGGTAAACGTCATGATCACTTCGGCCTTCCTCCCATATTAAGCTGACACGCTGTGATGTAACTGAAATAATGTTCAAAGCGACGTCAAACCAAACTCACCCACTCAATATTGTAATCGAATTATAAAGAACAATTCTTTTTAGGGATCATGAATATTTTGGGTGACATTTATTTTGTGTAGTGAAGATTGAGTTTCTTTGAATGTGTACGGTACATACAAATTCCTTGATCCCTAACCGTTTCTGTTCAGTATGGAATAAATGTACCATACATTGTACCACTGCTACGTAATTGGATGGTATTGTAGCTGCTGAGGCCATACAGTGAAACCCAAAGGCTAACAACCATGACATGTTACTCCTTTTATCACGATTTAAAAAATCGTTGTTTAACGCCGCACTCGGCAATATTCCAGCCATATAAAGGCCTGTTAATAATCGGGACTGACCCAGACAATCCAGTGATTAACAACATGAGCAGCTTTTGATACGATGATATGCATAAACCAAGTCAGCCTGACCACTAGATCCCGTTAATCGCCTCTCAAGACAAGCATTGGTTGCTGAAAATCAATTCTTTTTATTCAAAGTAGGTTAGGTAGGTGAATAAAATAGACAGACTCGTACAGACCAATAACGAAATCATGGGAGAAAACCTTACTTATTGCTTCAGTTCAAGCTGAAATTAATTAGAAGTCATAGATAGAGAAATTGTTATTTTATTTCGTCATATCTTTTCTCACCTTTCTTCTTTCTTCCGAAGGATATCTTTGAGAAATATCAGAAATATATTCGCCCTAAAGGTACACGTACATTCATCTGAACAGACTGTCGATATCGTATATGTTTATTCCAAAATAAACAGATATCAGAAACAAGCAAATCATTGTAACCAGTGTACTGTTATCATTGTTATCACAAAATACGAGAAACTGCGATACGATTACACGCAATATCTTGTAGACAACGATATTCATGTACGATTCGTTCGTACAGAAAGATAATACTTGATTGATATTGGTATAATATACCAGTTGGCTGTCAGTTAGTCCTCTATATGAAGTCCCAATAAGATCTTTATTTTAAATATTTTAGTTTTAGAAACATACGCTAAAGCGACGCGGTAGTTTTGAGACTGCCCCCATCGAGAATCGAATTTGAGCTGGCCTAAGCTTGTGCGAGGCGTCAAAGTGGGCCGGTTCGGCGGTCTGGTTGTTTGCGTCCCGTCGCACCCCGACACTGGGACAATGCTCATCATATCAATCACTGGTTTGTCTGACAGAGATTAGAGAATTTGCAGACAATCGTTATATAGCTGAACATTGCTGATTGCGGCGCAAACAACATACACACAAACAGAAAATGTAAATCAAGTTTCACTTGTTATATTTGAAGATGGCGCCACGACACCGTTATAGGTTCAAGTCCCTCGTCGTATTCATATAATGTCAAACATTGAATTGAAGATACCAATACAATTTATTGTTTTTCGAAAAAATTAAATTATTTCTTTCTTCAAGAAACTGAATAATGAGACGTTAATGTGAACGTAATGCTTGTCCTTGTGCGTCTTAACAGTAGCACCTATCGATAAAACAAAAACGCTCTGACCCATTCCTCTATCACCATGGTGACGTTTTCGTATACAGTCACATGTTCCCCTGTACGACGCTCGGTTCACAGCTGTGATATAACATAAACTCTCCACATTGTTTTTTGTTGCAGGGGGAACGGGTGGCCCAGCCTTCTAAGGCGCAGCGATTTGCTGTGCAGAGTTGCGTCCCTTGGGCACGCCAGAAACCTATGATTGTGGGTTCGAATCCCGGTTCGCCCCGATTATGTTTCTAGGTTTGTCAGCACCATACCCGTGCTCGTGGGTTTCACCGAAGTGGTAGACGTCTGAGACCTGCATCACTTCAGGCTTTCCTCCCACAATAAGCTGACACGCCGTGATATAACTGGAATACTGTTAAAGCGGCGTTAAACCCAACTCACTCACTCACTTCTTGTTGCAGCATCCTCATATTCTTTCTGAAAATGTGAAATCAGCCTCTTCATCTTCTTAAATGATGAAATGCTTTTAAATTATTTATAGGGTACCGTCCAATCCTGGACGCCATGAAGTCGTTTGCTTCTGATTCTGCACCAAATCTCCCCGGAGGTACCATTGACATAGAGGTAAATATACTAGTTTAAATGCATGTAAATATATGAAAACAACCTTGTGCTCTGTGTGTATGAATGCACCCCAAAGGGCCCCGTTTATCCATAAGAGCAACAATACCAATGCTAAACCGTTACCTGTGTTTCCCATTTGTTATTCAAATAAAAACGACAAAACTCTTTCCATTTTCAATAGAAATCAAACCATGTCATTCTTTCAAGGAACTGGACAAGAAGATATGCAGTAAAACCGGGAAGACCTGCACAGGACGCTGTTCATCTGAGGGACAGACTGACCCGGAGCACGTCCCCCTCCACATTGTGCTGCAGGGGTCACAGTGGTACAAACCCACCACCAGACAGCAGCTGTACGCCCTCCTCGGCCAACACAAGGGGGACAACTACAGACTCGTGTTCGGAAATTCAGGATATGGTATACCATGATTTCTCGTTGTTCATTCGACCCCTTCCCTGGTCTAGTTGATAGAACGTCTGTCCGGAGAGCGAAGGTCGGTGGTTCGATCCACGGCCGCGTCATATCAAAAGACGTTAAAGGATGGCACATGTTGTTACCTGTATCGCGATTTGTATTTGAAGGGTACAACAAGGACTGGTCATTTCGGAGTCAAAATAGTGTGTCTGAGTAGGGTATTCATGTTAAACTGCGGCATGATGTCTCAGTGGGTGAGCACTAAAAAACCGACAAAATGGCGACCATGAACAAACAACCACGTCGCCATATAAGTGAAATAACATTGAACGCGACATTAAACTTCACTTTATCTCACCTCATGGTTCTTTCCATGCTAGAACAAGATATGTCGGTATAAATGGTTGGTTGGTTTGTTGTTTAACGCCGCACTCAGCAATATTCCACCTATATGACGGCGGTCTGTAAATAATCGAATCTGGACCAGACAATCCAGTGATTGATATCATGAGCATCGATCCACGCAATTGGGATCGAAGACATGCATCAACCAAGTCAGAGAGCCTGACCACCCGATCCCGTTAGTTGCCTTTAACGACAAGCATAGTCACTTTTTACGGCAAGCATGGGTTGCTGAAGATCAATTCTACCCCGGAATCTTCACGGGTCCGGTATAAATGGAAGCGGTGGGGCAAAACATCATTCATATTGTCTTTATTCTGACATTTGTTCAATAGTACTGTGTTGTGGTGTGTATGATACATGGACATTTCGTGTGAGTTGTCCTTCTGTCTTTTTGTTAGTGTGTGACGATATTTGCCATGAACCATCTGAACTGTTTGGCGAATAGTGTGAGTTATTGATGTGCACACTTACTGTAGCATATATCTGATGATGTCTTCCAGGTGTCTACAAAGAGATCGGTCCTTGGATGTATGACGTACTGATAGATCTGCGTGGCATCCAGGAGTTCTATGACATTTCAGTAAGTTTCTCATAGACGTTATTACTACTCTGAGAATAGTGAGTGAGTGAGTGAGTTGGGTTTAACGCCGCTTTTAACAGCATTCCAGTTATATCGCGGCGTGTCAGCTTGTGATGCAGGTCTCAGACGTTTACAAGCACGGGTATGGTACTGACAAAGCTAGAACATAATCGGGGCGAACCGGGATTCGAACCCACAATCATAGGTTTCTTGCGTGCCCAAGGGACGCAACTCTGCACAGCGAATCGCGGCGCCTTAGACGACTGGGCCACCCGTGCCCCCTCTGAGAATATGCCTATCCACATCTTTAATACATTATTCGTATTTTTGGAAGCATTGATCCTATGAGGGACCGACCTTTTATTGTTAGGAGGCAGAAAGGAACAAGGGTTTTAAAACCTAAGGAAGGCAATGATCCTACTCCCAGAATATCAAATGGTCTAATGTATTATTCCTACTTTTCGACATTTACAAGAATTTCAGGATCATGGTTTCGTTTTGACAGATTGACTCCTCCAAGGTGCTTTTTGGTCCCAGCATCACTCTGACCAACATGATGGAGGTGTTTGAGAAAAACAGCACCAACCCCGGTTTGTCCTACTTCCGGGATTTCGCCAGCCACGTGGCCGTCATCGCTAACACTGGAGTGAGGAATGTGAGTAGATCCTGATCTCTACATCTCTCTTGGACACACACATGTAGAGAGGACCCATGATCTGAATCTTATAAGTTGCTCAACTGTTTGAAGAGTGAGTGAGGAGAGGCTTTAACGCCGCTTTGAGCAGTATTCCAGTTATATCACGTGTCGACTTCATGTTGAAGGAAAGCTCAAAGCAGGAGCAAGGGTGTGATGCTGTCAAACCTAGACACATAATCGGGGCGAACCGGGATTCGAACCCACAACCACAGGTTTCTTGTGGGCTCAAGTGACGTAACTCGGCCCAACGAATTGCAGACTGGGCCACCCGTGTCCCTTAATCACATACAAAAAACGTAAGCCTCGAGGTGATTTAGGTTTGAATTGGTTCCCGGGAACCTATGCTTGTCGTAGGTGGCGATTTAATAGATGGATGGTCAGGCTCTCTGACTTGATTGATTGCGTGTCATCGTTGGCCGTTGCTCATAATATCAATCACTGGTTCGCCTTGTCTATATTCGATTATTTACAGGTCTCTGTCATAAAGCTGGAATATTGCTGGTCGATTCGTTAAATAACAAACATATAAACAAATACAAAACATGAGCAAGAACGATTGAGGGTGTTGTCCTGTTCTCTAAGAGATACCTGAACAGATGCTTTCTGTTTCATCTGGAAAAAATATTCATGGTAGCTTGGTTATTGTGTGTGTTTAGTTGGGCAGCTGGGCAGGTAACCTGATGCTGAAGAACCTGCACACTGAGTTCCCGTCTGATGTCTTCACTATGGGAACAGACACATACTGGAAAAAAACCTCGTTGCATCAAATATTTACTTCTCGATATGCCGCTTATTTCGAAGTCACTTGTTTGCCTTGATTGCATCAGTGTCAACAGCGTTGCATCCCGCTATAAATCTCTGGATCCATCATAACAATTCCTACCATTATGGCAGAACTGAATTTCTGAGAAGACAGAGTGTGTTTCAGTTGGGCAGCTGGGCAGGTAACCTGATGCTGAAGAACCTTCACACTGAGTTCCCGTCTGATGTCTTCACCATGTTCGAGACAGTCGGAGCAACTCTGTTTATAGGTGAGAAATGAGTATGTTTGTGAAAGAAGTAGAGCTTATCTATAGGTAAAAAGAAAAAAAGGACCTAGTTTGACCATGACATCGCAAGATCTTTCTCTGAATGTATTTTATGTTTCTCTTTGATGCCAACACATTCACATGGGGCGAAACAAAGTGAGACAATATAATCAAATTGACCAGCATGTGTGCACTGACAAAATAAATGATTAGCTGATTTATTTCACCTGAGGTGAGGTGAGGTGAAATGGGGTTTAACGTCGCGTCCAAGATCATTGCACTTATATAGCGACGTGTGTGTGTGTATGTGGCTGCTTGTACTAGTCCGGACTGATGCCGATTTATAGTGCTAGCTCACTGAGATATCATGCCGCAGTTTAACATGAATACCCCACTCAGACACAGTATACTGACTCCGAGCCGACCAGTCCTTGTTTTAGCCCCTTAATGCCGAGCGCCAGACAGGGTAACAACAAGTACCATCATTTAACGTCGACGCGGTCGGGGATCGAACCCCGGACCTTCCGCTCTGCGGGCGGACGCTCTACCACTAGACCACGGAGGCGGTCTATTTCACCTGACCAGCTGTAGTCATGGACACAACTGTATCACGTTCCCGATGTTACGTCATTACTAACATCCGGGTAGTTTTTGTCTTTGTGTCATCTTTGTATGTACGTCTTTCCCACATCAGCACATTTATGCTTGGGCCTCCGTGGCCATTATCTGTTGTAACAATGACAAGACATTATCTAAAATACAAATTTACCACGTGAATAACTTTGTTGTGACGTAAGTTCCGTAGAAACAGTACCCAATGAGGTTCAAGCTCAGGTATTAAAACTCCCTACAGACATGGAATCAGCGTAGAAATCATTTTATAACTGAATGAATTAGTCCTATATCAACTTATGTTACAGGATCGAGTGATGGCTCAGAGAAATCATACAGTCTCATGGACTTCCTGAACCTCGACATGAAGGGCAAGGTCATCCTGTCTGTCATGCTTCCAACATTCCCATCTGGAGACGTGTATGTCAAGACCTTCAAGATTACCCCCAGACACCAGGTAATCTATGACAAACTGTGTTGATGGTGAAACGGTTCCAAGGATCTATTGACATTATATACACAATAGTATCGAGAAGGCACGGGATTACAATGTGTCTTTTAAAACAAGTAAAACACTCGTATTCCTCGACAACGTTGAATGTACATTGCATTGCCGACTTTCATAACTTCATGATCCGAAGCCAGAGTACTTTTCACATCTCATACAACCACCTTGTTCAGATGATTTTTATGTCGTTGTACCACTCACCAAGTACCACTAGAACCTACAACCATATTCCCCTACCATCATAATTAAACTGATAAGCAAAACACTTATAAGCAAAATATTCTACACTTCCCAGTTGATTTTATTTTATGTTTGATTTTCAATTGATTTATCTTAAGATTGCGATATTATATCCAACACTGAACTGTACTGGCACTTAGCACTCAAGGAATACTTTTAAATGGTTTTTGTTTTCAAAATATACTTAGATTTAAAACTATTTGCAATCAGAACAAGTTTGCATAATACACAACTGCCGATGGGTGTCTCATAACATGTTATCTTTGGAAATCAATAAATTTGCTTTTTGGGGCACAATGAACAACATTTCAAACGTGGTAGAGGTCATGTGGTTGCACATTTCTTACCCCAGTTTTCATTGAACCAACTTATTTTTACACAAAATTACCCAGCCACGGTTTTATAAACTGTTGCAGGAATGAGTGATGGATAAATGGATAATAATCAAATCTAGTTCTGTAAATCGTCGATTCCATTAAACAAAACTCGGTATCCTATCTTTTGCCCCTCAGTCTAGTAACTGGGGATCGGAGAATATTTTGCACTGATGAGATGAAGAGGAGATGACTTTGTGACCGCAAGGAGACAGTCCTCAGCTTTAATTGGGCAGTTGTGGTTTGGAAGGGCAATACAATTGAAACCAAAAATACGTCTGTAATACTCGAGCTTTTAATTCAGCGCACACAAAATCCACTCATTTATTTCCTCACTTCAGAATGCCCACGCCTATGTGACAGCAGGCTTCAGGATGCAGCTGGACAGGAACAACAACTTCACACTCAAGACAAAACCATCCCTAGTGTACGGTGGCATCAACAAGACACTAGTAAGTCAAGAATATGCTAAAGGCAGATAGTGGAGTGAGTGAGTGAGTGAGTTGGGTTTAACGCCGCTTTTAACAGTATTCCAGTTATATCGCGGCATGTCAGCTTAATGTGGGGGGAAAGCCCGAAGTGATGCATGTCTCTGACGTTTACCTCTTCGGTGATACCCACGAGCACGGCTATGGTGTTGACAAACCTAGAAACATAATCGGGGCGAACCGGGATTCGAGCCCACAATCATAGGTTTCTGGCGTGCCCAAGGGACGCAACTCTGCACAGCGAATCGCGGCGCCTTAGACGACTGGGCCACCCGTGCCCCCACTTTTATCATGAAAGTCACAGTCGAAGAACATCTTTCCTGCCTGTTTGTTTCCAGTATTGATTATACCTTGTGGTACAACATGGGATTTACAATTATGGCTTTCTAGAGTTTGATAAATAAGCACAAAAACACTCTAAACCTAGCAGCCTCCGTTCCTGAACTATTGTGACTGGGCCACCCGTGCCGCCTCAGATGGTGGAAGCAATACGATTATAAAACCAAGGCAAATACAGGTTATACATATGCAATTATTTACACATTCAGTAATACAGACGTTTTTACAGCATTGTTTTGTTCCATAACTTTGTGAACAAAGGTTGTTTATTTCCCTAGGTCCACGCTAGCAACACAGAGGCGTTTCTCCAGGGTAAACAGTTGGGAGATCCTGCAGTCCTCCAACGTAAGTGACATGAATTGGTCCATTAACATTTAAGCGAAGCACTTTGTGAGCTTTTAGACACAGTCCATTGTAGGTACATAATACCTACATGAATATTTAGATCAAGATGAGCAATTGTCTTGCCTTTGCATGTGTTCGTGATTGGTACCACCGGCGGGGCATAATACGCTCAACTTTTCGCAAATACATGGTATCATCACAATTTCATAGTGATTCATGAACACATGCTAATGATATAGTCCGAATCATACCATCGACTCTGCTTTTTGCAGAGATTTCTATTGTACATTGAAAGACTTTTAGCATTTATGAAGACCATCCAATGCTTCAGGATTCATTCGCTATTGCTGTATCACAGAAAAAGATGAACGGTATCCTAGTTTTGTCCCTAAAAAGATCTGCATGTGTAGTTATGCTTCTTATTATATACCTTTACAAGTATCCATGCCAATGGAATACTGAAGTAATATTGCCTTGAGCATTTCCAGGTAAGATACATATTTATATAATCGGAAACAATGTCAAATATGCGATTTAAAGTAATCACAAACGCATGTAGTTATGTTACGTCTCGTACCTTGTCTGCAAGATTACAACAACTTCAATGTTTTAAACGCCGTAATTTTGCTAAGGCATGGATTATTTTCATTATAGCTGGAATATTGCCAATGGACGATAATTGTCAAGTGCACCTTTCTTTTATAATTGTTTATATTTCTTATATTATTATAACAAAGTTACCATGTTATGTCCTTAGTGGTCACAAGTCTCGATTTGAATGTAATGTATGGTTGGGTAAGTACCACAAATATATTCGTCCTACATTCCAACATGTTACATAGCGGGGATACTTTGATCCATGTATTATGTACAGGTGCTATAGCGACTCTGTCGGCGGAGCTGGTCCCCGACACCACCCCTGGCTTGTCCAGTACAACCTACAGGAAGAACCTGGCCGTCTCTCTGTTCTACAAGGTCAGTACCGTTGTCTGACTGACGCTCGGGCAAGTCTGTATTACATTGCAACATAATATCCCCATGTCAAATGGCCATCTCTCTGTTCTCAAGGACAGTACCCGTAATTGTTGTCTGATTGAACCAGAGCCACTCTTATCTGTTTCTGTTGAGACTCATTAGTTCATTGCAATTTATTTGGACAATGATTAGTTGTCAGGAATGTAGTACTTTTGAATGTAAGCAGTAGCGAGGAAGTTATTAAATTTAGATGCACGAATTGTCTGTAAACTTTCGAAATAGCATGGATGGATGTCAAGCGTTGTATAAAAATGTGGAATATTCCGTGATGTTTTTTGTGTCACTGGACTGGTCAAGCTCTGTGTAGAAAGTACTGAACGCTAGTTAGACTACAGAAGTGGAGCGGGTGCGTGCCTGTCTCATCTCACATTGCATCTCACATTCCATCTTACATTACATCAAGACCAGGTTTGGTGTGAAGACCCCTTATCACCCCGGATTCCCAGCCTTGGCTTAACCACTGTTGCGGATAGGTAAATATTATTCTTACTGAACTGAAGCGTTGTTAAATCCAACTATATCACCTTTAACTACATTTTAGTGTGTGCTCGGCATGTGTGGTGAGAAGGCAGCGGCAAGATTCCAGAGTGGAGGCACAAACTTGATGCGGCCCGTGTCATCCGGCACTCAGACATATGACAGTCATAAAGATGAATACCCCCTGACTCAACCTATGACAAAAGTGGACGCTCCCCTACAGGTAATTCCAACACGTCTTAGAATTATCGAGCACCTGCAAGGATTCCTTTTTGGAGGGTTCCAATCGCGAATTCTCCATGATTATGTGTGTCAGCACCGTGCTTGTAAGTAATACAATGAAAATACGCTTTCGAGCATTAATTTCTATGCATAAGGAGGTATTTGAAAAAAGATACTAGTATATTTTAATGTATGTATATCACTGCATATTTAAATATAATTTTATATTTATATCGTGAAAATTACAAATGTTATCTTTTAGGCAACTTTTGGCCAGGTGTATAGAATAAGAAAAATATTTAAAACATTAAATCAAATGTACATAAGATACAAACATAAAACTATATCATAAGTATTATTAGTAGTAGTAGTCGTCGTCGTCGTCGTGGTAGTAGTAGTAGTAGTCGTAGTAATAGTAGTAGTCGTCGTCGTCTTCATAGTAGTAGTAGTAGTAGTCGTCGTAGTAGTAGTAGTAGTAGAAGTCGTCGTCGTCGTCGTAGTAGTAGTAGTAGTAGTTGTAGTATGTGTTTAGAATGTGATCAAAGTACCCCCAAGAACACAGTGCGATATTAGGATCGAATCATGACAGTATATACTGTCAACAACATGGCCCCGATTCCAGTACTGGCAACTGGAGCAAATATAACTCATGGGATCAGAAACTAACACCACGAGATATGTGAGCTGAGTCCAGAACAATTATTCTTCTTGTTACAAGTGATTCATGAGCCTAACCTACATTCCGTCATTGACATGTTTCCTTCAGACTTCAGGCACTGCCCAGTACATCAACGACGTCCCTCCCGTGCAGCGTGAAGTGTGTGCATCATTCGTCATCAGCAACGTCGGCAACGCTGACATCGACACCGTCGACACTTCTGCAGCTCTGGTAACTTGAACAATTTGATGGACGCCAAATGAGGAATCAGTATGCATACGGGCCTCGTAATACTGCGAAATAAAAAGAAATGTCATGAATATAACGTGGTGTCCGTGCCCGGACGTTTGATTTACAATCGCGATAAAAACGCAAGGATGTCGACTCCCTGCTAACACTCGTAGGAGTCCATATAAGAACGTGTACAGTAGTGACAGATGTCAGAAGACATATAACCACATATAACTGTTAAAATTGTTTCTGTGGGATTGGGTGGCCCAGTCGTCGAAGGCGCCGCAACTGGCAATGCAGAGTTGCATCCCTTGGTAACCTATAATCGTGGGTTCGGATCCCGGTTTGTCCCAATTTTGTTTCTAGGTTTGCCTGCACCATACCGTGCTCGTGGTTTCACCGAAGTGGTAAACGTCTGAGACCTGCATCACTCCGAGCTTTTCTCCCACATTAAGCTGACACGCCGTGATATAACTGGAATACTGTTCAAAGCGGCGTTAGGCCAAACTCGTTAACTCACTTGCTCAAACATTTTTTTTTTATCTTCAAATAAAAGTGACATAATTTTGGTAAAAACATGAAAAAAACGGTCTCCAAAATGGTCTGCATGTTATAGGAACTGTGAAATGTCCTGATCGCACTTAAATCCTATAATATCACTGCTTCATGGCTGTCCGATACATCAATACCAAGAGGACCCGAGTGACATTCCAGCTATCCGTATCAGTATACGTTATATGACTAAGCTCCATCAGGACATACAGATACAAATCTTGAATAGATAGCCAGCAAAGTTATACAAGATCTCAAAGGTCAACTCAACTTGTACACATTCGTACATCAGGACTGATCAAGATTGATGTGGACCGCCTCCGTGGTTTAGTGGTAGAGCGTCCGTCCGGAGAGCGGAAGGTCCGGGGTTCGATCCCCGACCACGTCATACCAAAAGACGTTAAAAGATACTTGTTGTTACCCTGTCTGGCGCTCGGCATTAAGGGGCTAATACAAGGACTGGTCGGCTCGGAGTCAGTATGCTGTGTCTGAGTGGGGTATTCATGTTAACCTGCGGCATGGTATCTCAGTGAGCTAGCACTATACATCGGCATCAGTCCAGATTAGTACAAGCAGCCACACACACACATACACGTACATGCACGTCGCTATATAAGTACAATAATCTTGGACGCGACGTTAAGCCCCATTTCACCTCACCTCACCTAAAGTTTGATGTCTATTCAATGTGAGATAATAGGTCGCTGGTTTGTTATCTTTCCGGGGCGAGGGAGTTAAATGACTTTAAAACCCAAGTTTCCACCCTTGCTGAACTAGACTAGAATTATGGAGTTTTGACTGGATTGACGTGTCTATGTAGAGTCCAATCTAAATCGCGTGACGAAATCGACATCCGGATCGTAAACTGCCGCGCAGATTTCGGTCGACTGCAGGATTTGCAAAGCATGTGTACCGTCAACTGGGCGTCGACAGATATTTTCCAAATCTTTTCATTTTCATTAATCCAGGTGTTCACCTGATTTGAAGCACTTCGAGCAGAAAGACCCGATTTATTACAATACAGGGACCGTATCTAACAAATAACTTAGTTTTGACTTTAGAATACCCTTAAGTTTCTGAAAATGCACTTAGCTCAAGTATTTCACAAATATAAACAATACTGTTCCTGTCAAATCTGTAGCGCTGTATCAGTTCATAATCATCTAATGAATGTAGAACATCTCTTTTCTCATTAAATATTTTTGGATTACGGCTGGCAGCCATTTTGTTTTACATGACTTCAGTCAAAAATATATTATTTAATTCCAGCAAGGTGAGTCACAAAATGACAAAACTTAAGTCTTAGTCTTTTGATAAATATGATATAAATCTAAGTCAATACAACAAGAAAAATAAGTTTTTAACTGACTTAACTTTCATTACTGACTTAAGTTCTTGATTATTGATCAGATCGTCTTCACTGGGCGACGCCATTTTATATGATATGAGAGGTTGAATGTGGATGTGTACCACTTTACATATTTCAACATATTAGAATTCTCAAGTATTGGTTCAAGATTCTTAAAATGCCTATTGATAGATTTTCTAGAAAATGTTACAATATGATGTTAGTGTATGAAAAACATGGAAGCCGCAATTTGGTATATGATGTAAAGTCGTTATTAAATGATTGCGGCTATGGGTATGTTTGGCATAATCAATGTGTACCAAACAATCCAGATTCATTTTTAGTATCTTTACGCCAAAGACTTAAGGATATATACTTGCAAAAATGGGCATCGCATGTTTTAAGTTCAGAAAAATGCAATTATTACAAGTTTTTCAAGAACACAATTCCCCCAGAATACTATGTGTTTGACATCAACTTTAAAAGGTTTAGAATAAGTTTAGCACAATTTAGATGCAGCTCTCATAGACTTAGGATCGAAGTAGGCAGGCATAGAAACATGGACAGAGAATTGAGAATATGTAAGCAATGTGATTTAAATGTGATTGAAGATGAGTTTCATTTTCTGTTAGTTTGTCCAAAATACGACCACCTTAGAAGAAAATATATTGATCTGCCTGGTTATGTACATCCCACTCTACAAAGATTTACAACGATCATGTCAACAACTGATAAAGATACTCTAAAAAATCTATCAATGTTCATTTATCATGCTATGTTAATTAGAATATGACCTGTTAAACGGATCTGTAACCACTCCCGAAAAAAGAATTGTACTATGGGCCTGAGGCCTTTCAGTATGGAATAAAACTTATCCTACATCCTACATGAGAGGTTGAATCTCATTGGTCAGTAGAAAGGACATAGAAGGGGAAAGAAATGTTAATAGCCACTTCGGCCTCGAGTAGATAATTAGGGGTGGGCATTTTTATATTCCGGATGGTGGAGAACTGCGATCTATTTTGCCTGGGGTTTGACAAGAATATGTCGCTGAACATAATAGTTGTCCAGAATAAAAATGTGTTGTGGAAAAACAATAAAAATCACCGGCCCCTCCTTTCGCCAAAAATAATTCGTCTTGAAGCACGGAACGAAATAAAAGTCTTTAACATGCATCCAAGGCTACCTGTTAGAAAGTTAAAAGGTCAAAACGCTCCGACCTGACACTAATGGATGCTGGCTTCCATCAGATAAAGAAGATTGAATTAAATTCAATATGGACATGTTATACATGAGCTTAAAAACATCAGTATAGACACACACGCGATGTAATATTCTACATCTACAATTGTTAAAATATGAAGGTTTCGAGAAATAGCAGCATCTTGAATTGAGTGACGACACAGGTGTGCACACGACGTCGTCAATAACGTCACTAAATATTATCATTATTAATATTTTCACTATTATTTTTATAGAGGTTTCGGAACTCGCTTTGTTTGGACCATAGGGGTAGTAAGTAAAGATGAGTTCACTTTGATATTAACCTTATTCTCATGTATGTTTTCTATGCTCAGAGTTATCCTGGAGTTCTGAAGTACATCTCTGCTGCGGATATACCACAAGGAGGCAGGAACAGTTTCAGTGCGACATTCTTCCTTCCCGAAGAGGTACTGACTAAATATCATTCGATTTGCTGGAGTATGTTAACTGTTTGTTTCCTGTTAACGCCGCACTTGGCAATATTCCAGCTACATGACGGCGGTCTGTAAATAACAGAGTCTAGACCAGACAATCCAGTTATTGACACCATGAGCAACAATCCACACAATTGAGATACGATGACATGCATGAACCAAGTCAGCGAGCCTGACCACCCGATCCCCTAGTCGCCTCTTACGACAAGCAAAGTCAAGCCTGTTTGTTGAAGACCTATTCGAACCCAGGGTCCTGTTGATACCATTTCGCTATTAGTAAGTATCGATGATATTGCTTTGATTTTTACTGATCAGTGGATATATAAATATGAGTGTACAGTCATTTTTTCGCAACGTTTCCTCGGTGCTTTTGTGATGCAAAGATTAGATCATGTTTTGACCCACTCTGGTGATACAAAACACAATTTCCCATTTTTCCAGCCAATGTGTGAAACAGTTTCAGTCCGAGAACCCATCTGTATCTATTTCAATGTGAAGACATACGATGATATTACTCACTGCTTATCTTTGTCCAGATATTCTGCAGTGGCCGAGTTCTCTACAGTGGGCAGCCAATCGGTCTCATCGTTGCAGGTAGGACTGCAAGGCAACAGTGTGATAATGTTTTCTTTCATGCTTGAAGAAACTCAAGACTTCAGGCAAAGGCAGAGTCGCATCCCTTAGTAAAGGTTCTAGACTCACCCCGATAAAGATACTTGGTCAGCACTAAGTCAAACTCATGGGTTTCATCCATGTTGAAGACATCTGACCTACTGATGATATGAATGTGCTGGCTTCACCAATATTGTTGAAATCAGAACTACCTATCTGAGCGGCGTTAAACCTAAGCTACAGTTAAAATATGGTGTTTGGGTAAGATAGGTGTTACGGTTTGTCATACAGTACTACATGTGCCTATATTGAAAATGGTTGACACTTGTGGAGAGGTTTTCAGCAACCCATGCTTGCCGTAAAAGGCGACTGTGCTTGTAACGAGGTGAATATAAGGATCGGGTGGACAGGTTGCTGACTTGGTTCATGCATGCCATCGTATCCCAATAGCGTAGATCGACGTTCATGATGTCAATCACTGGATTGTCTGTTCAAGACTCGGATATTTACAGACTGACGTCATATAGCTGGGATATTGCTGAGTGCGGCGTCAAACAACAAACAAATAAAACAAACGAAAATGGTTCTCTTGTTCCAGTGGACAAACTATCAGCGGACACAGCAGCCAGCATGGTGAAAGTTACCTACAAGAACGTCCAGCCTCCCATCATTACAATGGAAGATGCCATTCAGAAGAAGTCAGTATTTCCAAATGTTGTCAAAGGAATCAAAGTTGGAGATGCTGCAGGTAACCGTATATTCTGACATAAACAGTACGTCATGTAAACATGTTATCAAAGAACATCTTATATGTAATTAAACAATGAGTGAGTGAGTGAGTTGGGTTTAGAGCCGCTTTTAACAGTATTCCAGTTATATCACGGCGTGTCAGCTTAATGTGGGAGGAAAGCCCGAAGTGATGCAGGTTTCAGACGTTTACCACTTCGGTTAAACCCACGAGCACGGGTATGGTGCTGACAAACCTAGAAACATAATCGGGGCGAACCGGGATTCGAACCAACAATCATAGGTTTCTGGCGTGCCCAAGGGACGCAACTCTGCAAAGCAAATCGCGGCGCCTTAGACGACTGGGCCACCCGTGCCCCCTGTAATTAAACAAACCGATTAAACTTGCTATATAAATATGGCAACGGAAGCTGGACGGCAGAGTTCATTCTCAACGAATACAGAATCCTTAAAGCCAATTCTTGTCCACGCCATGGTGCCAAATCGACATGATATCATTCATGAACGTTAATTTGCATAACAGCATTGTTTTAACTTCAATTGAACTCAGCATCAACTCATACTGTGTTATAAGCTATATCTGTTATGAGAACTATTATTTTGCAGCTGCAATAGCTGGCTCGGACCATCAAATCACCGGCCGGATCCAAATGGGGCATCAGTACCATTTCCATATGGAGACACAGGTGAGAAGCTGTTTGCATATAATCCATACGGATTATACAGTGCCTGCACCTTTTGTTCTGGACTACTGGTGCAGCCAGGCATGCTTAATACTTAGACAATAGTAGACGGCAGGGGTTGTCTCAAGACATCGACATAGTGGAGAAAGTTTTTTACATGTTTGGTAGAGTGTCTTCACATAGAGTATATACAAATCACATAATACAATATAACCAGAGATTCGTCTCTCAGCCATCAAAACACAATCCAAGCGACACAATTTATATAATCCAATATACAACTATATTTATGATTTAGAGTCCCATTGTTGAAAGTCGCAGAAGCAGTGGTCACTAGCTGCAAGGTGTCCCAGATTGTATACTCGGACCCCATGGTACCACGGCATTCATCGTATCGCGGCATTTGTGATTTCCGATAGTTCACGCGGGACACGCCTCTTAGCGGCTGTCTATTAATGCAAATCAGTAACCAGGAAGTGCTCACTTCGTAAACAATTTCAATTTCCTCGGAATGTTCCGTCTGCTGTAAGTGAGGAGTTATTAATGCGTTGATACTTACTTCTTGCATCTGTTGTAATATTGCCTTACCCCCATCTATCAATGGCCAACGATATAACCCGCAGTTCCCCAAGTAAACTTTCTCTATCGACCTGAACTAGATCATCTGCATATTCATGGCGACTAACGAGGTAACGTAAGTTACGTAGTCCGCACATTTTTTCCCGCTCTGTGCCCAGAATCTATTGGGAGATCATAAGGGCCATAATGCCAAACTTAGAAATTCGTTCTTCACTAGTAACCAAAAGATAAATACATACTTTGGGCATACTAGGAGTGCTTTTTATATATTTATTGTTGACTTTTAACATTTTTCCATTTTGTGACAAATTATTGTCATCCAATTTTTTTTAAACAATCTTAAAATATCATTTCTGATATTTTGATGTTGACTTATAAAAATATTTTTCTCTTACTTTTCGGCAAATATGCATTGAATACCTATTGCTGATAACACATTTAGAATTTTACTTGTGCTGTCTTTGCACTTGTCAGGACAAATCACTGATGTCTGGCATGATCATACCAAGTGGTTGGTAGAATTATGTCCTCTTTTTGTCCAATTCGGACCTCCATAAACAACTTTTCTCTGTACCGCGATACGATGGAGTTCTCTCCCTTGTCAAACAACTTTTATCAGTAAAATATGCATTGTTTGATAACATGAATGACATCTGATACAGAGAACACGAATAAACATAAAGGTAAGTGAGTGCATTTTGTTCCGTTTGGCGTACATGACAAGTACCGCGATACCCCGAGGTTGCAGGCTACATGTTGGCAAATGTGATCATTTAGTTGTCAGCGTGGAGAATGAAGTTGGCACCTTTAGATGTGTGATTTAGTTTACACAGAGAGAGAGCACACTTCAAGTTATTAATGTCGGATTCATCACCTTTCCCGAGTGGATAAACCGCTTGTGTTGTGGTCCTCTGTCATTTGTGGTAGTTCATATGGGCTCCCTGAAACCATTAGGCCTTCTTTCAGAATCTGTAGTATTCAGGGGTAATTATATAGTGAACCATGATACCATCCGGCTGATCGATGTATAATGATACCTATAGCTTCCTTTTTGGGGCAACATTTAGAGACAAGTAATCAGTGAAAATAGTCCATCGTTGTTTCAAATAGAAAATCATTTTGGTCAGTTTACAGACATTTAACCACCAGATGGTATATTTCATATAGGTTTCAAGTCCATCGATGCTCTTACCTCAGTTTATCCTGTCAGATGAATACAATGATATATCAATTTTCAGCGCTACTTCCTGTGTGCTAAACCTTACGTTTTGATTTACAGAATGTTTTTGCCGAAAACATCCAAAATAATTATATCAAAAACGTATGGTCATAGGTTTAACAGAGGTACGAAAAATGTGCTGTTTTTGTGTGTCAACGAGTTCTCTGTCCATGTTTGGTTAATACGGATATTTAACTTTAATTTCTTTTATAAATTGCATTTTTCTTTAAATTCTTAAGTATTCAACAGCTTGAATAGATGATAGTTATCTTTATTTCACAGGTGAGCATCTGCTACCCAGCAGAGGACGGGGTGGGCGTGAGTCTTCTCTCGTCAACACAGTGGTCGGATATGGAACAAATTGTTGTTGCCAAGCTCCTCAACATCCCTGAGAGCCGGTAAATGTTTGTTAAAGGACAACATTCATGAATACACATGTGTTGTAAACAGTGCATAATGAATTTCGAATAAATGTAAAACATCACAACAGATGTAACAAAATGTTTTATCAAATCAAATGTATACTGTATAAAAATGACACATAACATCCAGTTAATGTTTGATAACCTCAGTTATATGATGACGGCTCATTACTATCGAAAACAACAATTAACTGTTTCATGCTGAAACGACATGTCTGTTGTGTGAAATAAAACGAGTTTGAAACTGGTTCAAGGCGTTCGAAACACATTAGTAAAAGTAGTGATATTCCAGGCCCTCTATCTCCATGAATAAAAAATCGTTGCATGCTTCTAAAATGAAGGCGTATAGGTACCATTGTTTCCTCACTGGAACCGAATGCATTTACTTTGCGAACGTATATAAACACTTTAGGATTTGTACGGAAGCCTTTTAAGGCCATGTGGTTTTTTTATTTTTTTCGATACTATCATGAAATTTCAAGATACTTAGTTGAAATTTCAAGAAACTAAGTTGAAATTTCAAGAAACTAAGTTGAAATTTCAAGATAATAAGTTGAAATTTCAAGATACGATACTTCTATTTCAAGAAGTTGAAATTTCAAGATACTAAGTTGAAATTTCAAGATACTTTCTTGGAACACAAGATACTATCTTGAAATTTCAACTTATTATCTTGACATTTCAACTTAGTATCTTGAAATTTCAACTTAGGATCGATTTTTTTTTTTTTAAATAGCCCTAAAAGGCTTCCGTAGATTTGACAGCCGTCGGTTGGGGAATACGTACACTGCCGTCATGGGAAAGTCGGTCGACTGCAGCGGACTAACTTCGGCTGTATCCGCCAAAAGCCGTTCGTAGACAAGAGACAACACCTTATCCGGAAAGAAAACATCTTGCGAGAAATAGCGACGATAAAGAAATAAGCGACAAGCGAAGAGATTTCTTTTGGTTAGTCTGACTCGAAGTCTTGACAATAAGCATACAATCCACTGTGTAACCAGTGTTCATATGCATCACAATTTGTTATCTTAAGTGGAATAAGTGCTTTCTGGTATCAGTTATCGCAAATAAATGGACAGCAGTTATGTATGGTCTCCGAATACTCTGAAGATGTCTGACATATTTTTTGGACAAATACTAGATCTAGCTCTAAGACGTAAACAGTGAGTGAAATTATGGTAATTTATCTAGCTCTATTACCGATAAGCTCATCCGACTCCCATCAAAATACACCTATAATGCATACAAAATACATTCTGGCTGAAAATGAATAATCTTTATCGAAGGGGAATCATAATTTTCATTCGAAACGCATTAACTTCTTAATTACTATTACATTCCCTGGAAACAAGCGTTGGTAAAAACACTTCCACGTTTCTCTTCTCCACCATGTCAGCTATGTTTCGTGCCCTGGCGACAGTAAGTATAGTTCCGCGAAATGCGGAATTTACCGGATATGACCGAATGTGTTCGTTTGCCGATGCTTTCTGCTCCAATAGCGGCTGTGTAGTGGTCCCATGCGAAGCGCTGTTACGATAGTTACTGCATTTATATCGCATTTAAAACAGTTATTTCGCACTTGGTAGCCATACACACGTTATTGCTTACATTCATTCTGATGATGCTTCTCTTTATTCAAATAGATAGGAGGGCTTGTATTCTAAAAACGCTCGACAAGTTGTAGGTTGGAATAGATTAAAAAAAACACACGATCGTTGTCCGAATCGTGGCCATACTTGCTGGAATAATGCTAACAGGGAGTTAACACTGGCGCAATTTATTCATCCCTTTTTAACTAACTGTCTTCAAATAAACTTTCAAATATATTATACCTTCTTTGTGGGTTCTCGACAATGAGACATATGTGCCATGGATTCTACAATAGTAAATCAAATTTGCATCAAAGCCATCACATTATATTGAATGATCAAAGGAGGACGCACCTCCTTATTTTGGTACATGATTTATCTTCTTATGTCGTGTTTCAGTGTCAACGTGACAGTCCCTCGTCTCGGGGGATCTTACGGAGCTAAAATTACCCGCGCCGCCTTACCCGCCTGTGCTGCAGCCCTCGCCACACACATCCTGAGAAGGTAGGCAACATCTGAGTCTACCTAGAATTATGAAAGTTCAAATTCTATTCCAAAAAATGTCAAATATTTGCCCGATTACACATTCCAAAGAAATCAAAGGAAAAGCCCATGCAAACCAAACAAATCAATTTTAGGAAATATTATTCGGCACTAATATAAGAGGAATCATGGTTTCTGTTCACTCCTTTCATAGCTTGGAAGGAGAGATTTGTTGTGTAAACACTATCCCAACTGAAGGTTCTATGTTTGATGCAATTGGGACATTGTGTGGAGTTTATTCGTGGGGTATTACTGGTATCCCTCTTGGCGGAATCCTTGCGTAGATGTGTCTCGTTTTAGTCTTGACTTTGGTGTCCCAGTGACGGTGTCCTAGTGGTGGTGCCCTAGTGATGGTGTCCTAGTGGTGGTGTCCCAGATGTCTTAGTGACGGTGTCCTAATGGTGGTGCTCTAGTGATGGTGTCCTAGTTTTGGTGTCTCAGATTTCCCAGTGTTGGTGTCCCAGTGATGGTGTCCAAGTGGTTGTCCTCTAGTGATGGTGTCCTAGTGGTGGTGTCCCAGATGTCCTAGTGACGGTGTCCTAATGGTGGTGCTCTAGTGATGGTGTCCTAGTTTTGGTGTCTCAGATTTCCCAGTGTTGGTGTCCCAGTCATGGTGTCCAAGTGGTTGTCCTCTAGTGATGGTGTCCTAGTGGTGGTGTCCCAGATGTCCCAGTGACGGTGTCCCAGTACTGATGTCCCAATGTTGGTGACCCCATTGACGTAGTGAACTGACACCAAAACCCACACGTCTTCCTTTCAAACGCTGTTATGAGTTTAACTGTGCACAGATGCTGAAATGAAAGACTATAAGCCTATTTTGAAACCACCTGATCTATTCTTTGACGCATTATACAAAATTTAATACATAAATTCATATATCAGACCCGTCCGCCTGGCGATGAACTTCCATACCAACATGAAGACCATAGGGAAACGGTTTCCCTATTTGGCGGATTACACAGTAAGACTCCTTCTCAACTTATTTCTTGGACAGAATAATGTAAATATGCATCTTCCAATTCTAAAGTTGGTATAACGTATCACGATTATTACATTAGTTGGTGTAGTCAGTCTGAAGCAAGCGAATGCATTTCTCTATTATTGTCAACTCGTAATGATTTAATGTAGTAAATAATTTTGAAAAATGTCTCCTGTATCCTCATCTACTTGATGCTCATTGTGAATATATACTACTCAAAACAAGTTAAGGACTCCAGATTCTTTCATGTTACCATAGTTAATCTGTCATGCCATGTTCTTTTGAGTAGTCTATTTCATGGTCTCCAGTTTCCAATCATAAAATGCGGCTGAAGCTGTTCCCAGAAACGAAGATGTCCCCAAGTAGGGATTACAGCTGTATACCAACTGTCAATCAGCTGTAAATCTGTCATGTCTTCATGAAACTTTGAGATTTTGAGAGATGCACACACAGAATATCATCAGATGTTTTATATATGCTACTGGAATAGTATTATTAATATTGCCTCAAAGTGAGACTGACCAATCAGAGAGCAGAACTACTGACCCTATATGAGCCCGTATACCGTCAGTAATAATCCAAGATGGTTGCTACTGACATAATATGAGAGCGTATACCGTCAATAACAGCCATCTTGGATTTCACCCACTTCACATATTTCATATGAACATTCTGGTACAGACATACGTTATTCGACACTGTTTTGTGTGTTTATACCATTAATTGATGGGCATGGAAGGACATTGATATGAATCAAATCACTTTTGTGACTTTAGTGATAAAAATACGCCTCGTCCAATATTTTTCTGCTAACCTAATATGACACCTTGTACGACAACTTAAGACACAATAGCTCTAGTAACCACAACATGACATATATATCCGTAGCACATTCATGACATGACTCACCTGTTTCAGGTGGGCGTCAACAATGACGGGAAACTGAATGGAATCAAGCTGACTGCGAACGCCGACTGTGGAGTGTCCCCCAATGATAATGCTTTCATAGCATTCGGCCCATGCATGGACAATGGTAATAATATAATGTGGCTTATTACATTAATTCTTTGCATTTCAATAACTTGAATCAGTTAGAATAAATGATATATTTGAAAAAAATATTAATTCATGTTTGGCATTCATCAAACTTCTTGAAATAACATATGGCCTGAAAATGACTGTATTCGTTGGACACATGGGCCAGTTCGGCATTCTCCCTCGTTGTGCATAATGCTTCTAATAGAAAAGCAACACTCGCTGTTTGGTTGTGTCGCGGGCCTTGGCCGACGATGAAATAATGTTGACTGAGGCGGTGATGATGTATATTACGGTTTATTACTTGCCCGTGAAGAGATCACCCGTTTAATAAACATATAGCTTTATTACACATTGTGTAATACCAAAACGCGTGCTTATGTACTCTCGGAACACGTTTCACGAACAAATATTGAAAGCTCTCAACATCTCTTGGCTTATTCAACGACATTGCGTGTGGAGTTGATAGATCACTGAGAGGAGCTTATGCACACTCGATGACCCCAGCAACCTTGTTGCTAGGCTGACGTCACATGGCATTGTTTCGCCGATGGATCTTGCATCAAAATTCCACAAATTGCGTCATCGGGTATTGTGACGTTATTGAAAACTTTGAGGTGCAAGGCCCGTTCCACAAGGCGATCGTATTGTAGCGCAACGACAGTCGTTGGTCTAAGTTAAAGAGATGCGAAAGTCTTAGCCCTACGATAATTTTGTGAATTCTAAAGGTAGACCCGTTGCATGGTATGAAATTCATACGTTTCAACTTTTGACGTGTTTGAAGTATTATTCTGTTAAACTCAATTGGACTATGTCGTGGATCATGTAGGTGTCAGCCTATTCATACTCAACAGTATAATTAAAAAAACGTTATAAATTGCAAGTAATAAATAAAATACTAAACTCGCTCCCGTGTAAAACCAATTTTATGAAAGTCGTGAATAGTTGTGGTATCTGACTCGCTTTCGCTCGTCAGATACCACAACTATTCACTCGTTTCATAAAATTGGTATTACACGGGAGCTCGTTTAGTATTCTATATTTATGTTCTGTAAAAGATATATAAGGCATCAATATTAAATGATGTCAGAGGTTGGAGGAAAAATGTCATTATCGCTGTGGGAGTGACAACAAGTGGCATTTGAAAGTGACCACGTCACACCCAGGTATGCGCTTGAGATACAACTGGAATGACGACCAGAAGTAAGACTTCGAGAAGAAGCGTACGTGAGAGGAATAATATATGTACGTACTATATCCGGCGACAGTTTCATAGATTGGCTGTCATGATGGAGTATCGTTGGTGTGACTTGCATGTCCAGAGTAATACTAGACTGTCTACAATTAAGCGTCGTGATACAGCTGAAATACTGTTCAAAGTGGCGTTATAATTACACACCACAATCTCGCACTTTTTCACTGATACTAATGTACGTTTGCTAGGTTGGTCTGTGGATATGGCTACTGACTATCATACAACAATATATAATACAACACATAATCAATGGACCCGTGATAGATCCGGGATAGAATAGGTCTTCAGCAACCCATGCTTACCGTATAAGGCGTAAGAGGCGACTAACGGGATAGGGTGGTCAGGCTCACTGACTTGGTTGATGCATGTCATCGTATCCCAATGGTGTGGATCGATTCTCATGATGTCAATCACTGGATTGTCTGGTCCAGACTCGGTTATTTACAGACCGCCGTCATGTAGCTGCAATATTGGTGAATGCGGCGTTAAATAACACACAATCAAAAGAAACAAACATAATCAGTGTTGGTTATGATATTAATTGTTTGTTTTGCCAGCCTACTACTGCCCCACGTGGGACTTCAAAGGTGTTCTCTTGAAGACAAATACCGCAGTTAACACCGCTTGCCGATCACCAGGTAAGATATAAAACTAGCACCAAACAAGACATTCTAAAACGGTTAAACTTTTACCTGAATAATATTAATAATTTCCTACCAGGGTCGTGCCCCGCCAACTTCATCATGGAGTCGATGATGGAACACGTCGCCAAAGTCCTGAACAAAGACCCACTGGAGTTCCGGAAACTCAACCTGTTCAACAAAGGCCAAGTGAGTAATTGCAGACAAGCACTCTTGTGATGTATTGATGTTTTGATTGGAACATTGTCCCCAGGAAGCAATGCCGTAGTCGTTTTGGGTCGTTCCTTTCGAAAACTCTCCAATAATTGCGAAAAGATCATGGAAACATTTAACTCCTCCGAAGTCGCTGTCTAGATACAGTAAACTACGGTTATAACGAACTCAAATGGACCACTCATTTCAGTTCGTTAGAACCGTAGTTCGTTATAAGCATATATACAACAACTATACTGCAAATGGCCGGGACCAAAAATAAAGTTCTTAATATCCGTCAGTTCGTTATAAGCGTGTTCGTTATAAACGTATATATTGTATACAATTGCCCATCATACTATGACGGCCATTACATGTACTGATTATTGTGTATATATTTTGAAAGTAATCAGAAGCCGTGTGATACAGCCTCATTGCAACTACAGGTTCTGTTCTCTTAAGCTGAAAGAGGAGTTAATCTTGCTCTTGTAGTTTGCAAAACGTACAAACCGTCTCCATACATTTGCACCCAATAATATCCCATGATATCCCATGACGTAGTAGCTCTGTTTATTAACGGAAAACTTGCAGGATGAATGGCCATATTTTTCTGCAAATTTACCTAAACAATTAATTCATTTCTGTAATCCAATGATTCCCTAGGATATCCAATAAATCGGGGTTTTTTTGTTACCTTGTAAATTTTCAATATGAATACATCGTAAGGTCAATAATACATGCATTGACCTGTTGAAATCATATGGTTAATCATGAGCTAATTCTGCAACAAAATATATTATATCAAACCAATATGAGTAAATATAATGGTCAGACGTTCGTTGTCCAACCGTCTTTCTCCGTGTTTTGTAACTTTTAACGTTTTGACATCTCATAGCCGTAAGTCAATTGAAACTGTAACATTACATGGATGACTGCTTGTGGTCCCTTGAAAGTGCTTAAAGTGTTCTGGCTCAAGCTGCAACATAAATGCAATTACAATTTGATCAGTTATGGCTGCGACTATGTGCAGTTTAATACTGGGTTGGATTGAACGTTTCATGGACGTTTCCGTTTGTCCAGGTCTTCACATAACCCCAGTACATCTAGTGCTGACGCGTAATAACCATATGAATCTGATTTTAGACAACAGCCGCCGGAATGTTTCTGAAGTATTGCAACATCAAAGACATGGTTGCTCAACTGGAGACGTCAGCCGATGTCCAGACTAGGAAACAACAGGTGGCAGCATTCAACCAGGTACTGTAATTGCTGTCTTGGAAATTAACGACGAATTCTTCAGTTGCAATCTTAGACCTGTTTACAGTAGAACAAACTATGCCTACCTGTCAGCTGATAATATGTGACCAGAAAGGCGAAGGGGCTTATTCTAATTTTGCAAGTATAATGCCGGGCAATAGAAAGTACACACCTAAAAACTGGATTTCATGGAGACAGTACTTGTCTGAACCAAGTCACCGAAACATTGCAAATTTAAGGTATACCCAAATATCAAGTACATCCCAATCGAATATTCATTTCTTGATGGTTTCATTTTTGCCGCCATCAAACATGGGTGTGTACTCTCTTTTGCGCTTCAGTTTATTTGCAAATGGAAGTACATCTGTAGTCTTTATAGGTATTCATTCAACTTCAGATAAAATAACATAAAAAGGAAGTCACCAGTTCTTCATTCAACAGTGAAAGAGAAAACAAATTATGCCATGCGTGGTTTAAATTAACTTCTCTGTGTAAGTGAATGTGGTTTTACGCCGTTTTGAGCAATATTCAGCAATATCACGGCGGGGGACACCAGAAATGGGTTTCACACATTGTACCCATGTCGGGAATCGAACCCAGGTATTTGGAACGCTTTAATCACAAGTCTACCCGACCGACCTTCACTTCTCTGAAGCAGTCTATGCCTTACATCTAAGTTATTTTCTAGGAATCATTCCAGTGTACATTTATGGGGTATGGATCCCGGGCCTTTGGCGTGACTCGATAATACTTTATATTTGTACTCAGGCCAACAGATGGAAAAAGAAGGGCATTTCAGTTGTGCCACTCCGCTTTGACATCCCCTACACCCAAATCAACTACAGCGTCTACCTGACCGTCTACCACGGCGATGGCTCTGTGGCCATATCAATCGGCAGTGTGGAGAATGGACAGGGAATCAACACAAAGGTTGGTATATATACTCTCCAAAAAAAGAAACGTATAATAGATTGCATTTACAATGTGTATTGTTACTTTCACCAAAATGGCTTCAAAATTGCTGAAATACGTAATAAGATCATCTACAAATACGGATGCGAGTATTTGTTATAGGAAATTGAGCCATTCGGTTTTGAATTATTTTTGGGTGCGTTGTTCACAAACTTTTTAAACATGTCGCCGAAATTATGGAAAAAGTACAGACCCTACTTGGCTTTAAAAAGAAGACATCTGCCTACAAATTTGTTGAATGGATTTGCAATTTTCAACGAGCGTAACTATGCCACGACTTGACTTGACACAGAAAAATCGCCATAGGACGAGTTCTAGCTTGAAAGTCTCAGTCATCAGAGTACAATGTCTCGTTGTACAATTTCAACATTCTGGGTCAACCAATGACCGTCCACGTTCCGGCTTACCACGAGTCACTACACCCGCCCAAAATATGTACATCCGGTGCTGCATTTCCGTGATAGGACTGTCACGGCCGAACACAGAACCGCCAACGTGCCAGAACTACGAAGATATCCGCCGAGACTCTACGGAGTCTTCGCGAGGTTTGATTGAGAGCCAGGAGATCTTATTTTGGCTACGTCTTTCAACGTCATCACCGCCTTCAACGCGGTCATTGGTGTACTGATGTTCAGATCTGGAATCTGCGACATTGGAGACGAATATGTTTACTTACGTACCATTACTGAATCATCAACCTCACATTCTTTATGACCGCCTCCGTGGTCTTCTGGTAGAGCGTCCGCCCGGAGAGCGGAAGGTCCAGGGCTCGATCCCGGGCCGCGTCATACAAAAAAGACGTTAAAAGATTGTACTTGTTGTTACCCTGTCTGGCGCTCGGCATTAAGGGGCTAAAACAAGGACTGGTCGGCTCGGAGTCAGTATACTGTGTCTGAGTGGGGTATTCATGTTAAACTGCGGCATGGTATCTCAGTGAGCTAGCACTATAAATCGGCATCAGTCCGGACTAGTACAAGCAGCCACACACACACATACACGTGCATGCACGTCGCTATATAAGTGCAATAATCTTGGACGCGACGTTAAACCCAATTTCACCTCACCTCACCTCACATTCTTTATGCATTGTTACACACATATACATCAATACGACAAATAATAATTATATCTTTCCTGTATTGTTTTTAATCTAATCAATTTAACAACTGTTGAGGACACCATTAGATCATGATGGTAATGATTTTAATGAATGAAATAAAACAACAATTACCAAAAGAGAAAACTGAGCAATAAAATCAAATCATTGTATTTTGTTAACCTGTCATGTTTCTCAAGTGAAATCAGATCAGTATAAGATGGGTGTAGAGCGCGTGAGCTAGCCAAGATGTCAAAATCTTGGCTCACCGACAGATCCGAGTTCGATTCGACACATGGGTGTGAATACCGACAATTTTCTAAATTCCGTCCTATTGTTCGGTATTGTTCGTCTTATGAAATAGTTACGCTTATCGTAGTGTTTGTAAGCGAATAACTATGTACGACAATCATGTTCAAGGCACCAGTATTAGGGACATGTAGTGGTTTTCAAACGAACGTATGTAATTTCACAAATCATTCCAGATAGCGTTGTTATTTTGGGATAACTAATCGTGTTGGTAAACTTGCCAAGACATCGGTGGACAAAGACATCATTACTGAACAGCTTTTAAGTGTAGTATGAGGGTATTCCCAAGAAGAAGGAACTTTGCTCAGGTTTAGATTCTACACGTGGCCCATCCCCAGACGAAAATGACAAGAATTCTTATTGTGTGCTAGATGATGCAAGTCTGTGCCTTTGAGCTTGGTATCCCCCTGGACATCATCACCGTGAAGCCAATGACCACTTTTGTCGACACAAACTCATTTGCAACCGGAGGCAGTGTCTCCAGCGACGTGAACGCGTTGGTAAGTTGTGCATGTCTTGCATTATATTTTGACACTTCCTTTAAAATTCCGGGTCAGAACAGGTTAAGAGACTGATTACCGGTACTAACTGGACGACTATCAGGAATATAGGGCCAAATGAACTCATTGTGCCCGGAAGCAGAGGACCATTGATTTGTTAAAGGTGTCAATTACCAGACACCCTGCTTATCTTGATCACTATTAATGTAACATCTTTTAAATGATATGAAGCGTTTGGTTCCGATCCTGGTTTCGAGGATTGGCGAATCCAAGGCTGTGTGCGCCTGGGGTACGAACCCTCACCCTTTTTTTAGGCACTTAAATGTTAAATGCGCCCTCGACCAAGTATAATGTGTGCATCTTCACCTAAGCACTTTTTTCCAAATCCCGGATCCGCATTTGCTAATTTAAATACTAATATTGTGGACTTGACTGCAACAAATACTCATTGGTTTCGAGGATGGCAGTCTGCTTTGATCGACAATGTGATCATCGGTGGAGCAGGATCAGTCACCTTTTCGCGAACACCTGGTATCGTCACTATTTGATAGTTATTCATAAACACATGCTTATGATATATTTGAGATCGTTCATTGGTTTTGCAGAGAGTTCTTATGATTACGGAAAAGGTTTTGTCGCTTTTACTTACATCCTACTTGTTAATGTCGTATCAATGTCTTGTTAAAGGGAGTCATCCAGTGCTGTCAACAATTGAAGACCCGGATGGCTCCGGTGAAAGCCGAGATGGTCAACCCTACCTGGCAGCAGCTGGTTGCTAAGTGTTACAGCGAAAGAATGGACCTGTCAGCCAGGAGCTAGTAATGTTCATACTTGACTTGCTGTGCCATAAGGGTTGGGGGAGTAGCCCGTATGATAATTCGTATAGCGCATTCGCCACGCCGTAGACCTCAGGTTCGATTCTTCACATGGAACCAGCGTCAGACACACATTGTCAGTGAAACATTGTGAAAAGTAACACAAACACTGCTAGTATAGTAGACACTGTCGGAGTATACATACACTATAACATATTCATCTATGTTTAACGATGGCTAAAACTAAAATGAGAATTTTGATACGGTACCACAGTAATGTTTTGGACCTTAGTTTCCGTTGTTTTAGTGACAACCTTCGGCCTAGATACGTTCTGATAACGTTTGTATTTTTTCAAATCCAATTTTCAAGTGTATTCTTTCTTTTGCCCGGTAGTGTACATCCATTGTAAAATGAATTACAAATGGGAGTGGACCCCGGAAATCTAACGCCGCCGGTTCCAAATTTAATTTTCGAGTATCGAGTATCAATTACACCCGCACATAAGAAAAACACATACAGTTTTTCCTCTAATTCAAGTTTGGATCGGGGTTAATTTACTGCTTTGGAACAAGTTTTCTGGTTAATGCCTTATTTAGATATCATCAGCGAAAGAAAGCAGAGCACGAAAATATTTTTTTTAAAGTAAAGCTAAAAAAATACATGTAGATCTTTCCCCTTTATTACATTTGTAGTAGACGTGGTGATCAGCAAACAGTATATTTAAGTATTCGAAGAATGTTTCCCTCCGTGAAGTCATAAGCTCTCCTTCTTTGCCCTGCGAGTGACGCAAGTGGAGAGAATTTAATAGTCATTGGGACGGAGAGGCGAGTGAGTGATTTTAGCAATAGTCTAGCAATATCACGGCGAGTAACACCAGAAATGGGCTTGACACATTGTACCCATGTGGGGAATCGAACCCGGAACAGGCGTGACGAGCATAAGCTTTAACCATGAGGCTACCCCACCGTCCCTGAGGGACTGAGAGGGGTTGAGAAGTGAAGTGTGTGATACAATAGACTCCAAATCTTTGGCATCATCTGTCTATGATGGAAGCCATTTTTCCTTTTGTAAGGGCGGAGTGAGTGAGTATGGTTTTACGGCGCCTTTAGCAATATTCCAGCAATATCACGGCGAGTAACACCAGAAATAGGCTTGACACATTGTACCCATGTGGGGAATCGAACCCGGAACAGGCGTAACGAGCAAAAACCTTAACCACGAGGCTACCCTACCGTCCCTGAGGGGCTGAGAGGGGTTGAGAAGTGAAGTGTGTGATAAAATAGACCCCAAATCTTTGGCATCATCTGCCAGTGTGTTGGAAGCCATTTTTCCTTTTGTAAGGATACGTCAGGATATAATGACTTAGACTCAACGATAGAAAAATCCATATCTGGTCACTTAATTAGACCACCTTGTGTGAAGTGGGTGCCGAACACCTTGCAGCCTGGATTCTCCTTGAGAGATGTATGACAGAATCAAATTTTTAGTTTTGAGATTAACCTGTTGGGACAGGTACTTCCAACTATGTTGCTTTAAGCATAACGACATAATCGCATGTAATGTTTTCTGAATGGTCATGGAATGCCCGTATGTTAATTTAATACAATACATGATGACTGTGCTTTGTATAGAAAACTGCCCCATGCCTAAGTTGGAAAGGTTTTGTGGGTCCATGGGCAAGTAAATCATGCATATCAACAGATTGATCGTTTGGGCATGCTTATTACCTGGCTATAAGGGAGATCTCCACAGTTTGGAGTTGAGGTGGAGAATATAACACATCGTTATGAAAAAAACTTATGTATATTAATATTCATATCTCCAGCACTGATCCAACGGGCGATAGTACTAAATACAACATCTACGGTGCAACCTGCACGGAGGTCGAGGTGGACGTTCTGACCGGGGAGAACCAGATAAACAGAGTGGACATCCTGTATGACTGTGGGGAGAGGTGAGATCAACAGAGTGGACATCCTGTATGACTGTGGGGAGAGGTGAGATCAACAGAGTGGACATCCTGTATGACTGTGGGGAGAGGTGAGATCAACAGAGATGACATCCTGTGTGACTGTGGAGAGAGGTGAGATCAACAGAGTGGACATCCTGTATGACTGTGGAGAGAGGTGAGATCAACAGAGTGGACATCCTGTATGGCTGTGGGGAGAGGTGAGATCCAGAGAGTGGACATCCTGTGTGACTGTGGAGAGAGGTGAGATCAACAGAGTGGACATCCTGTATGACTGTGGAGAGAGGTGAGATCAACAGAGTTGACATCCTGTGTGACTGTGGAGAGAGGTGAGATCAACAGAGTGGACATCCTGTGTGACTGTGGAGAGAGGTGAGATCAAAGAGTGGACATCCTGTATGACTGTGGAGAGAGGTGAGATCAACAGAGTGGACATCCTGTATGACTGTGGGGAGAGGTGAGATCCAGAGAGTGGACATCCTGTATGACTGAGGGGGAGAGGTGAGATCAACAGAGTGGACATCCTGTATGACTGTGGAGAGAGGTGAGATCAACAGAGTTGACATCCTGTGTGACTGTGGAGAGAGGTGAGATCAACAGAGTGGACATCCTGTATGACTGTGGAGAGAGGTGAGATCAACAGAGTGGACATCCTGTATGACTGTGGAGAGAGGTGAGATCAACAGAGTGGACATCCTGTATGACTGTGGAGAGAGGTGAGATCAACAGAGTGGACATCCTGTATGACTGTGGAGAGAGGTGAGATCAACAGAGTGGACCGCCTGTATGACTGTGGAGAGAGTTGAGGTCAACAGGGGACATCCTGTATTTTCATGAAGTGAGGTGAGATCAACAGAGGGAACATCGTGTATGACTGTGGTAAGAGGTACGACCAACGGATTGGACATCCTGTATGACTGCGGTGAGAGGTGAGACCAAGCGAGGGAACATCTCGTATGACTGTGGTAAGAGGTGCGATCAACTAGGTGGTCATATTGTGTGAGTGTGGATTGAGATAACATTAACACTGAGTGGACACTGTATGACTGTGGGGAGAGGTAAGAGGTAAGACAATCCCGCTGTTATCGTATTTTGGAAATATGGCGCTGGTCACAATGCACGCAATTAAGTTCTATCGAACACATTTCATTTTGACAATTTAGTCAGCAGAAACACTTAGATCAGTTTACATGGTATACAGGCTACTATTGTATGCCGTTTCACTGTGAGTGTTCGGAGTCACTTTTGCAACGTTTGACTGTATCCAGCATGAACCCTGAGATTGACATTGGACAAGCCGAGGGTGCGTTTGTGATGGGCTTGGGCTACTGGATGACCGAACAGATGATCTTTGACCCCACGACTGGCACAGCCCTGACGGATGGCACATGGGTACGTAACTTCAAGAATTAACATAACAATTTACCATATGGCATTTGCCTCTGTATAATTCGCCAGTCGTTGTACATGTGTATTTCTGCCTGTTCTGGTAATATGTTCGACTCACAGTGACTGATCGGTATATGACAGTAAGTGAATGAGTTGGGTTTATAGTATTACAGTTACATTTCGGCGTGTCAGCTTAATGTGGGAGGAAAGCCCGAAGTGATGCAGGTCTCAGAAGTTTCCCACTTCGGTGAAACCCACGAGCACGGGTATGGTTCTGACAAACCTAGAAAGAAAATTGGGGCGAACCGGGATTCGAACCCACAATCATAGGTTTTTGGCGTGCCCAAGGGACGCAACTCTGAACGGATAATCGCGGCGCCTTAGACGACGGGGCCACCCGTGCCCCTCAGTTTATGACAGACTTGTCAATAGTAGATTGTAATCGTGTTTTAAAAACATCTAAAATGAGTTGTTTTACCACCGACTTTCTAAGACGACGGACTGTATAGACAATGAATATAAATAGTACATGTTGATGTTTTTATTATCATGCAAGTTACTGAGGTATAGTGTATTAAAATGCTTGCTTCAGTGTCAACCGAATTCCAAAACAAAAACTAGCCATGACAAGTTCGTCATCAAATGTCCATGTTACAACAGTGTTCAAACTTACGACTAACACGCTATGTTCTGCCTGCACAGGAATATAAGCCCCCACTGGGAAAGGATATCCCTATCGACTTCCGCATTCAGTTTCTGAAGAATGCTCCCAACCCACGCGGAGTCCTGAGAGCTAAAGGTAATAACAGCCACTATTTTTTGAGTGAAGTATATGTATGACAACCGGCTCTTCATTGTGAACTCGAGAATAGCTTGCACTTTTAATGATTTCTGAATGTATGGTGTATGTTATCTTCCAGCTGTTGGTGAGCCGCCCCTGTGTATGGCTGCGTCAGCGTTGTTTGCTGTGAAACACGCCATAGAGGCTGCCAGAAAGGATATTTCACAGGACACTTTCTTTCCTCTCGGTATGACTGTTTATCTGATTACTAATTACAGATGCATAAGTCCTTAAATTATTTAGAAAATGTACTCATTAAGAGTGACACCAGTTTCCTTGACATGTAGGACCTTATGAAGATTATTTTTTGCTGTATTCCTGTTCAAATGTAAAGAATTGCATAATATTATACAGTAAAGAGGACCAAGTTTCGGCTTTTGAAAGTGATATTTGATTGTCAGCGTGATGTTAAAGACCCCGAGTAACCAATTAAAATATATTATTTTTAAAAATGGAAGTTTTCGAAACTATCGAAAGCAAATGTACTTCTTAATGGCGAAGACCGCCTCCGTGGTCTTGTGGTAGAGCGTCCGCCCGGAGAGCGGAAGGTCCAGGGTTCGATCCCGGGCCGCGTCATACAAAAAGACGTTAAAAGATGGTACTTGTTGTTACCCTGTCTTGCGCTCGGCATTAAGGGGCTAAAACAAGGACTGGTCGGCTCGGAGTCAGTATACTGTGTCTGAGTGGGGTATTCATGTTAAACTGCGGCATGGTATCTCAGTGAGCTAGCACTATAAATCGGCATCAGTCCGGACTAGTACAAGCAGCCACACAAACACATACACGTGCATGCACGTCGCTATATAAGTGCAATAATCTTGGACGCGACGTTAAACCCAATTTCACCTCACCTCACCTTAATGGCGAAATTCTAGATTGATGTGTCACAGATATGCAGACGAGTTCCTACTGTTAGACACAGAAGGCATAACAGTCAAACGACATGTGTACATCAAACAGGAACACTGTGAATTTGGGACGAAAGAAAACCTTATCTTTGCTTTAAAGCTATTGATTGTTAGCAACAGTATTAAAAGCAGAATAAATCAGATATTCGTTTATTTCAGACGGTCCTGCAACAGTAGATAGGATACAGACAGGATGTCAAGTTAACAATAGTCATCTGGTGTATGGGAATTAGATGAGTCTACCATGGGATCTATATCAGACAGCCATGGGACATAGATCAGACAGCCATGGGACATAGTTCAGACAGCCATGGGACATAGATCAGACAGCCATGGACAGATCACTGACGCTTTCAATCAACCGATGCTCCACACTTGCAAGTTGTGGCATAGGAAATGGTTTTCCAACGAACCTCGATGCTAAACAGAACGAGACCTTGCTTTTTGCGATTTATGAGACTTATGATTGAGAATATATGTTTCAAATATTGTTTCAAATGTGTTTTCAGTCCGTGATTAAAATTCATATTAAACTCTGAAATGAAGAGCCAAATAATTTTAGGTGGAAACCAAAACGCATAATTTTTTAGAACATCCAACATGTTGGTTGTTTGTATTACCTGACGTCAACTTATCTTTTTCAATTTTTGGGAGGAGCAGATTTTTTTTAATCATAAAGTGGAAAATGGGCTTATGGACTTTTTTTGCACTGGTTGATTGGTAGTTCATTTATACATCTGTGAATGATATCCTGTTTTCAAATTATGGAAAAACATATTTGCACATTTTAAAATGTTTGTAATCGAACTTTTGAAATTTGTTTAATAAATTATAATACAACATGCAGAAATACGCTGTGGTTTTTGTTCTGTTTTTAAAAAATAAACTAATTTGTGTCACACACGAGTACTCTGGGTTGGAAGAAGTCCACCTCACCCCATGCTCATAGGACACACAAGTACTAGTCGTATTAATAGTCAGCTCCAGTGAAGCCGGATCTTCCATCTACGCTATTACCTGAGATAGCATTTGGACTTAGTTACATGTACACTTGCCATATGTGATGTATTCAGATACTATGAACACAATTTCTGTAATGCCGTGGCATGGTGTTTATTCTTATTACGTTTATTCTTTTAGTATTATTGTTGTTTGGACAATGAATATGTAGGAAATCGGTAAATGTCCTTAGCATGACGATCCAGGTGAGCAGAAAGGGAATTCCGACATTTCGTAGTAATAAAAAAAGTCCGCCTCAGTGGGCCTGGCTTATTTTTTACATTCCTTGGGAAATGAATGCAATAACACGTGACCAATTCAATTAATCAGAAGGCAGGAATTTCAATGAACACAACGAAAATATGATATATATATATATATATATATGTTTATGGTAGTTTGTGCATTTTCAAAAAAGTTCAAGGTCCCTGCATGTTTACTGACTGTCACAGCGAAACTATTTGCTTCCATGACTCACGTTTTTTTGGGGGGATATGCCTTTATGACACCATGTAAGGTCCACAATAACAAAATGTATTCTTACTGTAACACAAGTTCTTCTTTGAACTTGTGTTGGCATGCCTACTGAGGTACAAGGTCACAGTTTAACAGGTTCTTTCTCTTTAATACCGAGTCTCAGGCAGGGTACGAAAAGTACAATCTTTTAATGTATTTTGCTATGATGCGACAAGGTACTGAGAAACTACTGCATAGTACTGACAAACATAGAAACATTACCCGGGCGGATCGAATATTCGAACCCACGATCATAGGTTGCTGACACGCCTAAGGGAAGCAACACTGCACAGCGAATTGAGGATCCTTAGATGACTGCCCCAACCCCCAAACCTCAATCCCCAAAACAAGGATATTGACGTTGAACATTATTTTGAAATGTCAAAATCAAGTGCACGAAAGTCCGTACACACACACAGGAAGCACATTTAAACCATGTACACATTAAATTTCATTCGATTCATTAGATTTGTTTTGTCTGTTATGACCTTAAGTAAACATATGAAGCAGTAGAAGACAAGAAGAAATAAACAAGGCTGGCTGAAGTCATTTCATTACACAAAATGCTTTATTGTGGTACGTATGAATATATGCAACATGCCATTTGCAGTCACCAAGGATGGAACTAAATGACTGGATTGTTCTCATCCACATGAATCATTATCATGAAGCGGTATATGATACTAGAGTAAAACACATCCGCCACCAATTATCATAGAACGAACAAGTTTCAACTTCACAGCACACTGAAACCTCTTTTCCCTGAACATTGTCTTTGAAGTGATATAATCCATATTAAGGATGTCTGGGCACGATGTCCTGTTCTTTGCGTGTATATTTCTGAACCCGTGAAGATCCGGGGTAGAACGCGTCTTCAGGATCCCATGCTTGTAGTTGTAGCCGACTAACGGGATCGGGTGGTCAGGCTCGCTGACTTGGTTGAAGCATGTCATCGTATCCCAATTGCTTGGATCGATGTTAATTACATCAATCACTTGATTGTCTGGTCAAGACATGATTATTTACAGACAGCAGTCATATCGGCGTTGAAACAACAAACAAGCAAACAAACTCCTAAAGTCAACCGTTAGGAAGGCTAAAGTACTTCAGAGCATCAAATGTCATCATTCCAGGAATTGGAGAGTGTACTACTAGGAATGTACTACATAATTATGTACACGTCGCCGCTCAGATCAACATGATGCTCGATGCTCTTCAATTCATTGACCTCTACATGGTATTTATCTACCTCCTTTGTCACATGCTGTTACTTTTCTACTGACAATTGTGTGAGGGACAGGTACTACCGGTAGGGCGGGACATACGTACCCTCTTCGCGAACACGTGGTATCATCACTGATTTTCAGTGGTCTATTCACATAATTTTCTTCACTACTTTGCATTTTGCCCTGAATCTGTTTCAGCAGATTTTCGAGACTTTGTTTTGCTCTGGTGGTGACGTTTTCTTATGATGTCACTGTACATGTACATTACATTGATGGAGAGGGAGTCCTAAGTTGGATAACTTGTTCCCAATCTGAATAAAATATGTTGAAATCACATTACATTAAAAACACACTTGTGTTAAAAGGTAACATGGGCCTATCAAATGATTATCAAGGGTTTATTTTCTTTATAAAATATGGTTTGATTACTGTCTGGGAATCTTTCTTCCGTTATAAGAAACCAGATGGAGATAAAATATAGTTCGTTGCACTTATGGAGTTATTTACATTATATTGAGTAAACGACATTCGAATACGTATGGAAATAATCTGTAGTGAAAAGTTATCTACACAGTTTATAACATACAACCTGTAGGACACACATGGTTAAGTAACATTAACAATGACCTTATTGATACATGTTATCAATAATATTATACTCTGTGAAGGTTACACATTAGTGAAATGTGCCAACATATTTTCAAGTTCACGTTCCATGTCATTGAATCAAAATATACAAACAATTATATTGAACTTCTTTACCCCAGGTTGCACCTGCATATATTTGTTGACCGTCAGATAATAACATATCCCTTGTTGATTAGACCGCCGTCATATAGCTGGAATATTGCTGAGTGCGGCGTAAAACAACAAACCAACCAACCAACCTTGTTGATTAACCATTGATCCATAGCATGGGGTTTTTAATCAGTTACTTCAATACAGATATTGCCAACAGTCAGAAAGAGGTAGATATGAGTTATAGTGAGGACTGAATTGTAAAAATTACATTAGGTCGACCCAAAACTGTCTTGACCCAAACCAATGTAGAAGAAGGTGGGGCCATATCAGTGTTACAGTGAGGACTGAGAATTTGTAAAATTTTCACCAGGTCTTCGTTTGCTATCGCGAGCTATTGATATATAGTGTCCAGTGTGTTACTGTTACAGCAGATTCATTTGGCTTGATCATTAGCAATGTATAACTTGTCCGTTGTCATACATAAACACATGATTATTGTGTGATTCACTGACTGAAAAACTGTAGATAATACAAATTGATTGCGACAAGTGTATGTTTGAATCGCGTTGGAATATGTTTGAATTACAACGCTGCATTTTTCTTTAATGTCCAACGCTGATCTATGCCCCACATCACTAATGGGCTGAGTCTGGTTGACCTAGGTCCCATATACAAACTGGGAATTGTCAAGTTGACAGGCTGTGTGAATCATCTCCACCGTTGCGGGTCCGTCTGAAATACACATATGTATTAATTTAGCATGAAATGGATGTAAAGTAATCGCGATTCTAAGGTGATGAAAACAGGCAGTGCATCGCTATATTTTCAATGTTAACATTGGGTTTGCATGTTCAGGATAAAGTGAGCCTTGTTGGGAGATGTAGTGTAGATTGGGGTGCATGGTGGACCTAAGCAGTCTATGGCCTCAGTCATACCGAGAGGGAAGTACGTGTCCTGTGTCATTTCCTTTCTGGCAGCCTCGATGGCGTGCTTCACAGCAAACAACGCTGACGCAGCCATACACAGGGGCGGCTCACCCACAGCTGAAACATGATATAATTATTATCATAGACATACTCAGTGATATATATTGGCATGAAAATACAAGGAGTGTCCTAGAAGAAAATGCTCGACTTCTTTTGGAACTACTGTATTTGTGACATTATAAGGGTAATATTTTCTATTATTATGCATATTCATACATTAGCAACACAGGATGTACTTTCACATATCCATATTGTAAGGTATTCCACAGTGGCTGTCATTACCTTTCGATCTCAGGACTCCGCGTGGGTTGGGTGCATTCTTCAAGAACTGGATACGGAAGTCGACAGGAATATCTTTGCCCATTGGAGGTTTGTATTCCTGTACAGGCAAAACATCACTGCCCTTGACAAAGTGGAGATACACCGTAGATGCATATATATATTTATATGAATTGCTCTAATTTTGTCGGACCCACATTCAAGTATAATATTGACATGCAGTTTTACAAAATCTAGTAAATTGCATCCCACTGTGATACCCGTTTACAAACATCAACGTGGAAAGATATTTTCAATTTCCGAAGACTGTATGATTCAATAAGAAAGTTATGAACCATACAGCAATCGGGATCAATCCAATCGTCATACTCCAGAAGTGTCATTGTACTTCCTACGGAGATCAACCACAACAATATCATCAGAATAATATCTCCTCTTGCTTTACGTACTTCTGGTCTGTGACGTTTTTCCTGTCACACTATAGAAATAAGTGCTTTACATATTAAAATGCAGTTGTGCCTGTTGACAATAACATGACCATATTCGACCACATGCTTTGTTTTCTAATCATTGGATATTACACTTGCTTCAATTGAATATCACGTTTGTGTTCCGATTGAAAAAAATTTTTCACGAGGGACATAAACAAGATATCAAATAAAAGTGCAAAGTTCTACTTATTACAACTTTTGTGAAGTGAAGAGGAATCAACATAAAGCAAACAGTTTTGTTTAGTACTCGGGAGGGCTGACACTTGGTCATGCTTGGGTAATGTCTGAGGATCAGTTCTGGAACCTGTGGTAAAAACAAATAGTGGTAACAACTCTTTTATTATTTTATTTTGTTTTATAACTTCAAGTATAACAAGTTTGCATGGAGGAGGACGAATTGTGTGATAATACCCAGATTGCATGATTGGAATGAGATGAACTTGATTACTCGAGATTGAAACTCAAACAGCAGATATCAATAGCGTTGTAACAGCATTGCGAATGCTTTGTCTTTGATCTTTGATTGATGTTAAGAACGTTCTAGTAAAAAAGTATGTTTTTTGGTCATAGGTGATCGAAACGAAAATAATAGTGTAAATACGAAATAGCAATTATGGACTCGGGTGCGAGGTAACTACCTTGATTCCAACACGATATATTAACATGATTCATTTTAATGAGCGAAATGAACAAAGGCACCTATCACAAACATCGAACTTTTGAAAACAGGCATAAAAACTTGTCTGAATGAACTGAACATGACGTCAACACTTCCGAATACTAGGTGTGCTATGTTACTAAAATTCTGGGAAATTTAGCTCTTTGGCTTTCTATATATGGACTGAGAGAAACGTCAATGTTGATCTTAAGACACCGGAAGTGATTCACGACTAAGTAAAATATAGTTTCTGTTTTGTTGTAAACGGTAAACAACACATAACCATAAGCCTTTAAGAAAATCGGAAGTCCACATCAATGTTTTAACAATGTAATAACGCTTCTTAAAATATTAACGCTGTTTAAAATATAAACGACATCATAATGTCAAACATACTGGTTGTCCAACGTTCAACTTCTCTAGTATTTGTTCTTGTTGTAACAATGCAGCTTTTAATCTAAAAGTCTTCTGTGCAGCAGATATTGTTGGTTGTTTATTGACAAGTTATCGATATATGGTGACCCACCTTTAAGATCCCTTTGATGACAGGTAAGCATCCCCCAGGATACAACGTCCTCTCTTCTGTTGTAATCTTACATTACACATTGGTTCCAATTGTGTAAGTCTAAACTCATTTCCCTTGGCGTAATCTTTATTACGTCTTGTGTTATTTCACTTACCCATGTGCCATCGGTGAGGGCTGTGCCAGTCTCGGGGTCAAAGATCATCTGTTCGGTCATCCAGTAGCCCAAGCCCATCACAAACGCACCTTCAACTTGGCCGATGTCAATGTCCGGATTCAGACTGAAGGAATCATTGAAACAAAATACATTCAGACATTGGGTAAAAACAATACTCATGGATCTGGTCACAACTGTCATCTATATAGATGCTCTTTCACAGCATGTCTCAACCCCTGTTACTCTACCACGCCGCTCTCCTTACACTATCTTCTACCACTATTACTACCATCTTAATTAGGTCCTCTATGTTGGTCTTACCCCTCTCAACAGTCATACAGGATGTCTATTCATTTGATTTGATCACTCTCCACAGTCATACGGTATGTCCACTCTGTTGATCTCACCTCCCTCGACAGTCAATCAGTATGCCAACTCTGTTGATCTCACCTCTCTCCACAGTCATACAGGATATCCACTCTGTTGATCTCACCTCTCTCAAGTCATACAGTATGTCCACTCTGTTGATCTCACCTCCCTCCACAATCATACAGGATGCCCACTCTGTTGATCTCACCTCTCTCCACAGTCATACAGGATGTCAACTCTGTTGATCTCACCTCCCTCCACAGTCAAACAGTATGCCAACTCTGTTGATCTCACCTCCCTCCACATTCAAACAGGATGCCCACTCTGTTGATCTCACCTCTCTCCACATTCATACAGGATGCCCACTCTGTTGATCTCACCTCTCTCCACAATCATACAGGATGTCCACTCTGTTGATCTGGTTCTCCCCGGTGAGGATGTCAACCTCAACCTCTGTGCATATTGCACCGTAGATGTTGTAGTCACTAAAGTCTCCCGATGGAAATGTTCTGAAAATGAGGATCTTAATGTAAATTTAATTTTCTTGAAATTATAAATTAATTCCTGCAGATTTTGTGGTACTTATTGACGTTGGAGTAAACGTCTGTTCAGTTCACCTCACAGATGCTCAATATTCGTTTGAGATAACTTTCACTGTTACAGCAGTACGTTTAGGAACTGAGCTCTCAGGAAATCAAATGCAACGCCAGATTTGGCGAAGCCACCGATGCAATCGACACCACTGCAGCCACATCACTAATGGTGAGATAAAATAACGCCGACTTAAGGCCTTCTTACTCGATTTCCGGCAGGTTATTAACAGTTACGGACACTGCATAGATATGGGACACCAGGATTTGTTCCAGAGCATGTTGCATTGAGTGTCCTGATTCGTAAGTGAGGGACCCACCCAGATGATGAAATATTGGGCTGCTGTGAATAACCAGCTTCAAGTTTTCCAACAGCCTGTTCCTCGCAGAACTATTGAGTATTGGCATGATGGCTTCCCAAATTCACTTACTATCTGACTGATTTATGAAAACGATATGTATCAAAAACTCGTCCAAGAAACCAATGACAAATTCCATGACTTGCACGTGAAACAATACTTTTCTGTTTCCCTAGAAACGATACCATGCAAACGTCAAAGGTCATCAATTTGAACTCGATTAAAGACAATAATACCGTTTTGTGACACTTACAGTAAAGATGAACATGTACGTTCCCCTTTTGTGATGAAGCGGTGCATCATAGAAAACTTTCAATCTGCGAAATTTACAATTCTAAATAGTGTTACAACCCATGCGTTTCTTTTAACATATTCACTATAAAGATACTGAGTAAAGGTTGAAGGCCAACGATCACAACCACTAAAGGTCATCTCATTCAGCGCGTCTCTATTACCTCAGCACTCTCACAACGACTTTCTAACCTTCTGGTTCGGATTTCTCTGTCTGATTGGCATCATCACAACGACCATGGAGCGGTCTAATCGACGCTTACCTATCTCATCGGCACCATTACCATTAAGCAATGTGTTATGCGCGTCTCCATCATATCGCGACTATCACAAAGCCATCTCATTATGCGAGTCAACGACATCGGCAACAGACTATATAGCCATCTTGTTCAGGTTCTATCATATTAAGACCCGTGAAGATCCGGGGTAGAATAGGTCTTCAGCAACCCATGCTTGCCGTAAAAGGCGACTATGCTTGTCGTAAAAGGCGACTAACGGGATCGGGTGGTCAGGCTCGCTGACTTGGTTGATGCATGTCATCGATCCCAATTGCGTGGATCGATGCTCATGATGTCAATCATTGGATTGTCTGGTCCAGACTCGATTATTTACAGACCGCCGTCATATAGCAGGAATATTGCTGAGTGTGGCTTAAAACAACAAACCAACCAATCTATCATATTGACATCATGACGGCGACCATGAATCCATCTATCACAACAGCACCATCTTCCCCGTGCAGTTAGGTTTCAAACCACGTTGTATCAGGCATTGTTTGACATACTTACGAGCTTCTAGCTGTCAGGTCCACCCCATCGCCATAGCACTTAGAAGCAAGCTGTTGCCAGGTAGGGTTGACCATCTTGGCTTTGACTGGGGCCATCCGAGCCTTCAACAGTTGACAACACTGCACGACTCCCTTTAACAAAACGTTTGCGCGTTTTTTAAAAAATAATGAGAAATTTCTGCTACAAGCAGAGTCAATGTTCCATACTGACTATATTATAAACATGTGGTAAAGACTTTCTATCAAATGGTGATGATACCAGGTGTTTGCGAAAAAGGTGAACATATCCTGCCGCCCGGTGGCAAACATGTGAACAGTCAAGTCAACATCGCCATGACGGGAACACAACTGCACTATTTGGGGGTTTGTTGCTTTTATTTAAAGTTTCAAAGAAATAAAGAAAGTTGCAATAAGCACCCAACCTTAACTGAAAACCAACATACTACTGAATTGCACATCCAATTATTAAGCGACAAATCTAATCTGGTACAGCTTACCAATGCATTAACATCGGTCGTGTGGCTCCCTCCAGTAGCGCCCGAGTTAGAGTTGGCCAGGGTGGTCGTTGCTTTAACCTTGATCGTGTCAATGGGGATACCCAACTCATATGCACATATTTGCATCATCTGTAATCAAAAGTGTTCCCACTCGAATATTACATCAAAATGTAAAGATGAAATGTAAGATTATGCAATGAATGTAATGAGACTGTCCAACACATTGCCAGTGGATGCCCAGCTTTGGCACAAACACAGTATCGTAAGCGATATAATGGAGTGGCTCGATCATTTTATTCCCGTTTTCGCAATGCTTGTGGTTTCGACACAGAGGTCCATCCAGGGTACGACCCAGAATAATAAAAGGGCGTCATGGAAAATTATCAATAAAAACTCATTTGGAATTGGCCCATGTACAGTCTCAGACCTATCCAGGCTAACAATTCTGATCTTGTGCTTCTTGTTAAATCCAATGAAATTATATATCAGTGAATTCTCTGTCCATTTTGACACTAGTGTGATTGACAGGATTCATAAGAAAACACGGCAAATATGCGGACCTCGCTTACGAAATGTCCCAAGTACTAAGTTGTCTGACTCCCCATTGTTCTTGGTGCCTTAGTTTTCGTACCTCCAAATCTGTTGACTGACATTGGAAGAGTTCCCTTTCTACTCATCATGCACATTTTCTTGCGAAATTCATGGATATTAATCGTCTGAACCATTCTTCAAAGCCGAAGACCAAGAAGGAATTAAAAAGCAAACGTGCAGGCTCGCTCGCCTGGGTTTCATTAGTAACTCGCTTTGTCTCAACTGGATCTTCCCGTTCTCAGGGAACTATTGTTAGAATCTGGCGGATATTGACCATGTCATTTGAAAGGCCGCCTTCTCCCGGACACATTTGTTCCGGTTCATTACAGTATGACTGTTGCAGTTCGTCTTGACTGTTTGCCTTGATCGACATTTCCTATGAACTTTGTTTGATCCTACCCGCTGTTGTTTGGCAATTTCGTTGAAGTGGGCGTTTCAAGTTAAGTGCATAAATGAAACAGTCACCTGGCATGTTTATCAATGTCGTCAGTATTTTTTTATTCAAATATAACACATGTTTTCGTTGCCGAATTAAATTGTAAGCATTGACTGTATATTTTATATCATAGTATGTGTCTATGTGTCTACTGTATGAAATTGAAATGTGAGATATTATCTGTCTTTATTGAACAACCTTTATGTTTATTCCCTGTCCGATTTCCACGCCACCGATTGAGAGGGCCACGGACCCATCCCCATGGTAGACAGTCAGGTAGACGTTGTAGATGGCGTATCCGTAGGGCAGGTTCCAGCGGAGAGGCAACACCTCAATGCCCTTCTTCCTCCATCTGTTGGCCTACACGTCAAATGGAACAGTGAACGAACAAAACTTAGTCTAAGGCAGTTTGATTGAGACAGAATATGTCCTTGGTGTCTGCTTCAAGTTATACTAGTGTATTCTCTGATATTTAAAACCAAACCGTTTTGTTAAAAAAACGGCACTCTTTTCAGGACATCCAGAGAACAAATGTTCTTTCTTGACCTGGGATAAGCGGTTTCAGAATTAAAAAATCCCCATTGTTATTCGATGGACAGTCAAGGGATACTAGGGATAATATGTACCCTTGAACTCAACATCAAATGGATGTTAAGCGAAATACATATCATGTAACCATTTGGACTATCATTTGATCATTTGGAAAGTTTAACAGACAATTTGCTGGTTTTATACAAGCATTTAACACTGTATAGAGTAAATTATGTAAGTCTGTTCAGTAGTAGCCTCACAAAAATGTAGGGCGTCTGGCGAATATGCTAAAAAATTACAATATAGTAATAGCAATATATTGGAATCAAAGTTATGCTTGATTCTGGGTGTAAAGTTTTGAATAAAAGTGCGTCTACCTGGTTGAATTCTGCAACCTGCTGTTTTCTAGCCTGAACATCGGCTGACGTCTCCAGCTGAGCAACAATATCCTTGATGTTGCAGTACTTCAGAACCATTCCATTGACAGTTGTCTGAGGAGGATTAAAAAATATTCAGCTACTTTGCACAGTCTGAATTGAAAACAACTTTCCAAACATTTCATACCTTGATATTGTTTGAGTCGGTTTAGTACAGCAAATACAGTGTAGTTGAGTGAAATAGTTCTCTGACATTAATTCACCTGGCCTTTGATGAACAGGTTTAGCTTCCTGATCGCCAGTGGATCCATGTTCAAGACTTTGGCGGCGTGATCCATCATCGTTTCCATGATGAAGATAGATGGACAGGATCCTGTAAGAAAACGAAACGAAACGAAAGTTAGCATCAAAGAGATTTAAGAATTTGTATGTTACAGTTCTCCAAAAAGAGGACTCATAATACTTGCAAATTATCAAAGATTATGTTGTGATTATTGCAACCAGAATCTCACAACTGCCGTCTTTACGATAGAAACATTGCTCGAGATGAATGAATGATGATAGTGATGGAAGATCATCACAGTAGTATTAGGCACAAATTTTTGTCACTTCACTTCCTGCTGAAGGTCCTAAACTGGAACAGATTTGATTTTTCTGTTTCGCGTATATGTTTCATGTATAGACATGTGTGTCCCGTGATGGAGGGTATTACCTGGCGACCGGCAAGGAGTGTTGGTTGGGAGATTTGTTTTTAGGGCTACAGGTTTGAAATCCCATGCTGGACAGTAGTATGCTGAAACGAATGGATACATGTGTGCACAATACGCAGTACTCAGTCGGGTAGTCACCTCGAACAGCTTGAGGACAATAACTTATTGGTTACTGATACTAAAAAAACAGAGACTATTCTGCACAGTAGCGAGTATCATGCCATCATGTCGGAATGCGCCGATCATTCAACCATTGTGTCAGAAATGAGCTACAGGTATACATTGATGACAAATATACAACACACAGGGGAAACAAAATCAAAACAAACATTATTTTTTAAAATAATGATAAAGGTGCTCATGTATCACCATTGTCCATAAATCGAGGAAATACACCAAGGGCACAGTCATTGGGCGATATTCCACAGTCAGCATGGGCTGTCAGTTGGATTCCTTTAAGTGTCCCATCATTGTTGACCCCGATCTAATTACAGAGGAATGAGTTAGAGATAAGACATGGTGCTCCCAATTATTCTTATCATAACAACACGGTATTCATCTGCTCACTGATATCAAATACATCCATGAATTAATATTCACGAGTTGTGATGTATGCAAAAGCAATAATGTTTGCATATTTTCTCGTGATCAGAAAATTTAGGCATTAAATGTTTGTCACGGAGTGATCCATACTCTGGTTGATGTGTTGTCAGAACCCTAGTTTCAAAGCAAAACACTGATCGCATTGTTGCCAAGATGTCCAGATGTTCTTACGGTGTAATTCGCCAGATAGGGAAAACGTTTCCCAATTGTCTTCATGTTGGTGTGGAAGTTCATCGCTAGGCGGACAGGTCTGAAAGTTGGAATCGTACATTGTTTAGTCTAGATGTTACTGGCGATCGATATTGAGTTCGTTTATGCAATCCTTAGATAGCTAGCTAGCTAGATAGATAGATAGATAGATAGATAACGTCAACACAAGAGATCTCCATTTTTCTACGAAACTGATTCCATTGGGCGTAAAAGGCAAAATAGCGGTGAAGGTTTCAAGGATGGATAACCGAAGATCAGCGATTACACAAGATGTTAACCTGGCCACAGAGAGAGACATTCCTCTGAAATTGTTCGACCCTTAGCCACTAACTGCTAGATCTGTGGTTGTATGATTCACAAAAGAGATCACATATCTACGAACGTATTCATCTATCAAGTTCTCATCTTGCATTGAGATTCAACGTGTAGATACCAGGGAAGCAGCACTCATCCATTATTCGTTTTTTCATACATTCAACCCACCTCCTCATGATGCGCGTGGCGAGAGCAGCGGCACACGCTGGTAAGCTCGCACGTGATATCCTCCCTCCAAAAGATCCTCCAATACGCTTGACCTTCACGCTTACACTTCGAAATAACATAAGATAAAATTTGAACATATGTCCCGTTTAAGCATACATACAATGTAACAATTTTGTGAAAGTAAATGCTGAAGGGATGTGTCCATTCTGCTACAGTACGTTGTTTGTACAAAGTGTATCATTGTTTAACCGCTTACCAGAACAACACATTCGAAAACTACTTCAACAAGCGGATTCAAAAAATTAAAAGATGTATCTATTAATAAAAAAACTGACAAGACCAACTTTGTTGGAATCTGTTGTAATTTTGTTTTAAGGATTTGATATGCACATTAAATATAACTAACAGCCACTATAATAATTATGTCAAAAGACGATAATGACAAATTTGACAAATGTTGAGATTTTATTATCTTTTGAATTTTGAGCAGTTCAACGGACTACATTGCAAAGGAACTCGAGCTTTTTTGTCTTGTACACGTGCCTCTATTTAGAGTATGGAACCGAGCCAGTAGATGTTTATTTTTTTTTATATATGGATCTAAATCTTTATGAATTACCTCCAAACCATACAAATTAGTGTTTGCTCTTGATAAATGTTGTGCGTTATAAAGAGGCTTAGATTTGTTGTTGTTTAAACATGTATGTACTTAAATGATATGTGCAACTATTATAGAAGGTTATTCAAAAGGTACTTCCGGGTTATGAAAGGTCCACATCAATCTAGGCTTATGATAAGAGGCAACTCCGTTTACCGGGTGGACATGTTCGGTGACTTGGTTTGATTTCGTGTTCTAAAATTGATGACTGGTTTGTCTGGTCTGGACACGATTGAGCACAGACCACCGTCCTTTTAGCTGGAATCTTTATCAGTGCGACGTTAAACAACAAACAAACTAGGTACCTGCTTTCCTTGATGTTAAGTACTGTGGCAACGGCCTGTTGTACAGCACTTGCCCACTGTGTTGCGCAGTGGAGATGTACTCCCTTCCCATCCTCTGCTGGGTAGCACAGGCAGACCTGGGAAGTATTTATATAGCTATGCAGTCTATACCTGCCATGCAAGGACATGTTACAGTGTATAATACATAGCCTAAACCAAACGTTTGAAAAAGCTGGAAATAAAAGCAACAAAACTATTTCCATAATCATAAGAAATATCCTCTGTATGATTCCGACTGTGTCATAAGCATGGTATAATAGACGTCTTGAACACTGTATATATAGTATATAGAATTCCATAGGAGCAGATACCTTTAATAGGTGTGGTGTAAAAACAAAACAAAAAATACATGTTAGGCCTTATATTAAAGCTGGAAACGTAAGTACGTCATTGATTAAATAGGAAACGTAACTACGTCATTGAATAATTAGGAAACGTAACAACGTCATTGATTAAGAAGGAAGCGTAACAACGTCATTGATTACATAGGAAACGTAACTACGTAATTGATTAAGTGGGAAACGTAGCTACGCCATTGGTTAAGTAGGAAGCGTAACAACGTCATTGATTAGGTAGGAAACGTAACCACCTCATTGGTTAAGTAGGAAGCGTAACAACGTCATTAATTACGTAGGAAGCGTAACTACGTTATTGAGGACGCGTTAATACGTCATTGATAAAGTAGGAATCGTAACTATATCCTTAATTAAGTAGGAATCGTAACAACGTCGCTATGTAGGAGGCATAACAATACAAGCGAACAGACCCTTTCCAACGTCACTGATGAAGAAGTAAGTGATTGAGTATGGTTTTACGCCGCTTTTAGCAATATTCCAGCAATATCACGGCGGAGGACACCTTCACACATTGTACTCATGTCGGGAATCCATGACGAACGAACGCTTTAACCACTAGGCTACCCGACCGCCCCCACTGATGAAGTAGGAAGCGCAACTACGTCATTGATTAAGTAGGAAAGGTGACTATGGTATTGATGAACTAGGAAACTTATCAACGGCAATCAACAAATTCTTCACATCTATGCAAAATGTAAAGCTTTTTTCTGGTCCCCCTCTTGACATGACTGGAATGTTGCTGAACATGGTTGCATTCTCTCATACATATGAATATACATCTCCCCATGACATTAGTACTTATGGTATATCTAGGTATATGACGGACCTGTGTTTCCAGGTAGAAATGGTACTGATGTTTCATCTTGATGGTGCCAGTAATTTGTTTGTCAGATCCCGCTATTGCAGCTAAAGAAAAAAAAACTATTTCAATATTTTCCGTTGTCTTATCAGCATCTTGTTAATTTATTTCTATTAACCTAAATAAATAAGTGGCTCACACAGTTGCACTAGAAAACAATATCAGTGGACATTGTAAATCAAATGAATGTTCTCAAGCAAATTCAGCTTGATGTACTGAAACCGATATCTACAGAATAATTGGGCACCTGCTGCATCGCCAACTTTTAGCTCTTGGGCAACATTTGGAAATATGGATTTCTTTTGAATGGCATCTTCCATTGTAATGATGGGTGGCTGGACGTTCTTGTAGGTAACTTTCACCATGCTGGCTGCAGTGTCTGCCGACCATTTGTCCACTGGAAGAAAACATCATACATTTTCACATCAATTACTTGTGTCTCGAAAGTTATAACGTTTGTGGCAGATTTTAGGTAAAACCACATGCATCTTCTGAAAGATGAAAAACGTATCTGTTTCAGCATTTACTCCAATGTGAATTAATTATTTTTGTGGCCTGTTAACCGCCTTAGGTGTTCGATATCTAGAATGTTGATGAAAGGTTATATTGATAACTGTACGTTGTTATTTGGCTGGTGTAAGTATTTTTTTTTTTTTAAATAAAGACATGAACCAAAACAATTTGGACTTGTGAAGTCTGAAAGTCTTGGAAATGCGTGAAGTAAATGGTCAAAATGGTCACTATGAAGATTAACCAACATCATTAACCTGACCAGAAAAGTAGGACTAGTTTACTGAAAACATGTGACAGCTAATGAATGAGTTAAAGTCATTCCAAAGGTATGTATCTTCGTGAACATGTATGTTGGTTGGTTGGTTGCTTGCTTTACGCCAATCTCAGCAATATTCCAGCTATATGACGGCGGACCAGACAATCCATTGATTGATATCATGAGCATCGACCCACGCATTTGGGATTGATGACCTGCATCAACCAAGTCAGAGAGTCTGACCACCCGATCCCGTTAGTCGCCTCTTACCACACTCACAGTTGTCTTTTACGGCAATTGCTGAAGACCTATTCTACGTCAGGTCTTCACAGGTCCAACATGTATGTACAATGTAAGCCGGCATTAGTTATTTTATTCAGACCAAGGCAAGTCGAAGTTTATGAAACTATAGCAATTACATATACACTATGCTTTGTGGTTTTGTTTGGTGTATTTAACATTGCGCTTTTCTCTATTACAGACACAGACAGCTGCATGACCATACAATCCATAAACGAAGGTTCTGTAAAGGAACTCTACCTGCCACAATGAGACCAATTGTCTGTCCACTGTACAGAACTCGTCCACTGCAGAACAGCTGGAAAAAACGGTATGATTGAGACATAATTTTATAGGTTTTTCAAATATATGCATAACCTTTCAGCTACACAATTGGCAACTATGTTTAGTTCATATCATATATGAAAACAACTCCTTGGTGTAATCAAAGACAATTCTATCCCCCATGAGTAGAAATAAATGTAATTGTTAATGTGACAACTTGAAATCATGGACATGATTTAGGAATGTGTTTTGGTTTTGTTAAAAAGTTGCCTGTAACATATGGTGATATAATCACATATCTACTACCATCTACTCCTTCAAAAAGTTATAAGAACATGTAGGCTGTGCAGCTATTTGGTTTGCTTCATTAAAAGAAGGGGGCAGTAACAAAGCATAGAATCCACTTAAGAAACAATGACAAAGAAAAGAGAAGAAGGCGGGGAAAACAGCTGACACTATATATATTCTTGTTGTCAGTACCTCCTCAACACCCGGATTTGGTGTACTGAAACTGTTCCGTCCTCCGGTCGGTATATCAGCTGCAGATATATACTTGAGCACTCCCGGATAGGACTGTGGAAAGATTTTCAAAACTCAAAACAGAAACAATAAAATAATGTCTTCATTTCCCTCCCCTCATATGTTGAATCCATGCCTGTATACTTGTTTAGAAGAATTGGTTTAAAACATTGCAGAATAACATTCCATGCCAAGCCTACTTCGATTCAGGAGTTCGAATTTCAAATTTGGCCCTAATTTGATCTGTCGTTCATGATTTGTAAGCACCTTAGCCATAGGTTTCACCAAAAATAATAACGTTTTCAACAATTTGAGTTTCCTGCACTTTAAGCATACACTGCTGGTTGAAAAGAAATAATGGTCAAGACGGAGTTAAAATTCATTCACTCTCACTCAATTATATACACGATAAAGAAAACGCACTCGTATTCCTCCTTTCAATTAACCTAATTTCCTTCTTTGATATTGTAAAATACTACTTTCCAAACGTCTGAGGTTGCCTGAGTAATATGTAGCTAACCGCCTTTAACAGAAAATTACTGGATGAAAAGACCAACCAGGGCAGGTCGTAGTTGGTGGGAATCAAAATCCAGGTAAATTCTGCATGTAATATTTCATGTTATCGCCACACCGAAATTCATAAAACACCAGCTGCCCTCGTTCCTATTCCACACAAAATATGCCTGTCAGGGATTTATTCCCTGAGTAAACAACTGAAGGCATCTTCAGTGTTGTTACTCAGATGGCACAGGTTGTGGACACGGTATTCAAATGGATGAGCAGACAGAAAAAGACGCAAATGACCACAAAACCTCTGACAGAAGCAGGCAGACCTGGCGTCGGCGCGATCATCGTAAACGCGTCAAACACCAGGAACCCGTTTTAACCTCCATTAAGGAGATTCCCCGCAGTAAAAGAATTTTTAGGGACTATTTCTCCTGCCGTTGTTTTATCGTCTGTTTTACACTGTTTCCGTTTTTCCTATTAAATTTTGATCAAGTCTTTTGGGTTAATTATGCCCTAAAGTATTAAAATCTGCAACGTTGCTAAGATGACTTTACTTGCCCTACACCACCCATGTTGGTAAGACAGTTAGTACTCCCATAACGTTGCTCTTCATACACTTCCGTTACTCGTATCGTCAGGATAGCTTTGTGTAACGGAGCCCAGGAGATACAGATCTAAGTGGTTCATATTCGTCAAAACTGACCACTTAGCTGCCAATGTAACCTGAATTAGCAGCCAGTAATAAGCGTGCCCCACAGATTCTACTGCACTTTGTCCCTCATTCAGTCCTGCTTGACAACGGTATTAGGATCTATACCGTCGCTTTTTGCAGTTTTAAAGAAGTTGTTATCCATAAAATTGTGTCTACCATATTCTACCAATTGCATTATTTAAGGCAGTTATTGCCTCAAGAAGACGATAATACATTGGTTTTCAGGAAACCCAAAATTGATCTGCACCTTCGTAATGTAATACAAATAAGATCTAAGTACAAAAGTTATGGGTACGGTTTCTACAGATTTACAGCTTATTGTCTTTTAAAAGATAAAAAAATTTAACGAACATGTATGAATTCAGTATTTTAATCAATTTAGGTTACCATGGCTGCAGAGGTGTCGACAGTGTCGATCTCGGCGTTGCCAACACTGCTTATGACGAATGACGCAGCCACTTCATTTGGAACCGGAGGTAAGTCACCAACGAACTGGACCTGACCTGAAGTCTGAAACATAACATATACATGTATATGGATCGCATACATGTAGTGGCAGAGTTGAGGAGACGACCTATAGTCTGAAACATTCCATATATAGATCTCATACAATTACTGGATGAGTTAAGGAGACGACCTATAGTCTGAAACATTCCATATATAGATCTCATACAATTACTGGATGAGTTGAGGAGACGACCTATAGTCTGAAACATTACATATATAGATCTCATACAATTACTGGATGAGTTGAGGAGACGACCTATAGTGTGAAACATTCCAAATATAGATCTCCTTTAATTACTGGATGAGTTGAGGAGACATTACATATACATGTATATATATAACATGAACAATCCAGTGACACTATAGCGCATATACTGATTTTGTTGAAACTAAAAACGATATGTTTGAATTAAGTCTGCTGTGTACAGGTTCATCGATTCTGTTAGACAGCTTTCACTGTTAGTTAGCAGCCAGTGTCTTCTTGCTTAAGTAGCTCATCGCTACGTTTACCTATTGAATTATACATTGACATGTTATTATGGCATAGTAACCTTGTGATCGGTATTTCTTTCAAGTGAGACATGCTCAGAGGTTTAACATTTAAATTGTAAGAAAAGCCATCAGGCTTTTCCCTCGCTCGCCATTTTACATTTTGAACCAAAACCTCAGAGTGTTTTATCCTTAACAGAGAGTGCAGAGTTAACTAACCTCCAGGTGTTTGTTTGTCCCAGCCGGTTTAATCAGCAGTCTATGTGTCTTCCTTATTTTCGTATCAGTGTTGGTTTAGCCATCTTATGTAATAGCTGGTATACGGTTGCATAGTTAACGTTTCAATATTTGCTACTACCACAATGATCTGCACCCAAGGCGGCTCCACTCAGGTTCACGCCCCAAGATTGCTTTTTGTATTTATCGGTAGTCTTTGCCTGTCGGGGCGGTCGGGTAGCCTAGTGGTTAAAGCGTTCGCTCGTCACGCCGAAGACCCGGGTTCGATTCCCGACATGGGTACAATGTGTGAAGCCTATTTCTGGTGTCCCCTGCCGTGATATTGCTTGAATATTGCTAAAAGCGGCGTTAAACCATACTCACTCACTCACTCACTTTGCCTGTCACAATTTTGGCCTAGCCACTTTAGATTTTCTCTCGTTGAGTATATGCAGATGATGATAATAAACCTGCGAACATTTACCAGGTTGTCTCGCTTTTCTGTATTTACATTTATGAACACAATAGTAGCAGGAGATCAGCTCCGTGACAGTAACGCTTTCAAAAAGGTTAAAGGTAGACCAGGGGAATTCATTTCCAAATTGGATACATCGGTGTTTGTTCAGATGAACATCTGACTCGCTTTTGTAATAATGACTGGCGTTTAAGCTGGAACAGGATATGACCACCTTTCCGAAAACACCTAGTGCCATTACTGGTTCATTGTCGGGATCGTCCAATGGACATCTTATTTGGAAAGGGTTTTGTCGCTTGCTAATATGTACTTATGTTCCCATGTTTGTTCAGGTGAATACTCGACTTGCCTTGCTGTCACCATATCCATTATAATGCGGTTGACAGGATGACAAAGATAATCATGTTCTGAACACAAATTAATGTTGACAACAAACCAAAGCAAGTCATAAGTCACATATTCGTAGTCTTAATATGTTGGTGAAAATACATACCTGTAAGGTTGCATCTGCTTTTGTCATAGGTTGAGTCAAGGGGTATTCATCTTTACGACTGTCATATGTCTGAGTGCCGGATGACACGGGCCGCATCAAGTTGGTGCCTCCACTCTGGAATCTTGTGGCTGCTTTCTCACTACACATGCCGAGCACACACTAAATAAAGATTTAGAAACGAGCTTGTACCGGTCACAAATTGGATACACCCATACCCGTTCTCATGGTTTTCCCCTACATGGTAAACGTCTCAGACCTGCATCACTTCACCTTTTCCTACACATCAAGTGACACAACTGAAATGTTCACTCGCTTAAACGCAGTAATATGACTGAAACAATGTTAAACCCAACTCACAGACTACTTCCGCCAAGCCTTCGCCCACTTTAAGTAACGAGGACAAGTTCGAAATTTCGAAAAAATGATCAAAATTAAGATGAAATAATCGAAATGACTTGAAAAAAATAGGAATTTCAAGGGTTTTTTTTATAAAATTCAAATAACGAAGAAATAATCGAAATGACGAAAATATGATGGAAGAAACGAGAAAAAATTCCAATCGATAAAATAAACAAATAATTTAAAAAAAATGATGTTAAACAAATAAAATTATGCTACCAAAATGATTTTCAAAGTATTCACAAGACAATGTCTTGGTTCCAAATTTGCAAGCAGTTGAAATCCAGCAGGGTGAGACGGCAACATGAATGCACGTGTTTTGCATCTCGGAGGTAAGTGTTTGGGGCCCTGAATAATTTCACCAGGCCCTCATTCACAAAATGTAGCTAATTGTAACTAATATATTGACAATCAAATTTACAGTAGGTTGATGAAGGCCATAGGCACTTGAGCCCACACTCTGAGGAACGCCTTGGTCGGACGTCATCTATATGGATGGATTTTTATAGGGCAAGAAATAGGGTAACGCATGTGCATTTCAATTTGCACGGAACCCACGTGCATTGGGTTACCATGGCCGTTGCCGTGATGCGTTTTGGCGATCGGTTTTATTGTCATCTGCTTGGTTTTTTAATCATCAAAATTTCATTGTTCCGGACAAGTTAATGTTAAATTTTAGAAACGTTGACAAAAATTAGCCAGATATTTAAATGACAACTTTTCATGCAATGTTACTTGGGGTGACGTTTCTTTTGCGGTTCAGTATATTTTTCAGGGAGATGAGAAATTAGTTTCACTGCACAATACTAATAACGTAATGTATCTGCGCGGCCACTAATAAATGTCATAAAATTGTAATTCAATGGTGAAAAATGTGTTGGAATAGATGTTATGATTACATGTGACTAGATAAATTAAAACTGAAAACATTATTTTGAAATGTGTGAGATCGAATGTAGTTTAAAGGAGTAGTGAGCAGTACACGACAACCTGGATCAGGCAACTATATTAACTGAAAACAATAAACAATGCAAGCTGTGCATGCTTTATGGGACACGGTGACCTGCATCACGCAAGGTCACGAAGCCTGATCATCCGATCCCAGTTTAGCCAGGTCTGACGACAAGCATGCGGTACTTGACCTGACCCGAAATTCTCAACTGACAAATTCAGTGATGACACTTACAGCTCCGCGCGATTGGATCGTGTTTGTTAACACTGATATCGATATCACATGGATAGATGACACAAACCGATATCCCTATAATGATACACAGATCACGTCTAGCGTCTAGATATGTCTAACATAGAGACATTGGAGACTGATGTATAATGACTGACCTTGTAGAACAGACAGATGGCCAAGTTCTTTCTGTAGGCTGGACTCGATAAACCCGCTGTAGCGTCTGGGATCAGCTCGGCGGACAGACTGTCTATTGCAGCTGAATAATGAATTAGGTTGCATGAAGAACGCGTGTACATACCTCACTGTTCAAAACAATAAAAGTAGGACTCATTACCATGATTAACGTGTTTGAGTAATTCCATTCTGCCTTAAAAGAACCAATACACATGCATGTACCCTTGGAACAGCATCACATATACACCGTGTGAGTGAGTGAGTGAGGATGGTTTTACGCCGCTTTTAGCAATATTCCAGCAATATCACGGCGGGGGAGACCAGAAATGGGCTTCACACATTGTACCCATGTCGGGAATCGAACCCGGGTCTTCAGCGTGACGAGCGAACGCTTTAACCAGTAGGCTACCCGACCGCCCCTATACACCGTCAACATGCTGAGCATCCGTCTGATTGCCATGAGAATGCATGTGTGTGAGCAACTCCATTTTGACCTAACCATCACAACTATAGTCTGGAAGGTAATTTAAGGTACCGACGTTTACTGCAATATCTGAAAAATTATCGGACCTACTCCAGTCAAAGCTGGTATGAGACCATTAAACAGTCATACATAACTGGATATTACATTTAAAGACAATAGGTGCATGCGAAAAAATCTGTCTATTTAGCTATCACTATATTTCATCAACAACCAGACCTGTTCATCACGGGTGGAACGAGCATTCATTGAAACAGCCATCTGCTGGTCTGATTGTTGATGAAATATAGTGATAGCTAAATAGACAGATTTTTTATTCATGCACCGATTGTCTTTAAATGTAATATCCAGTTATGTATGACTGTTTAATAATCTCATACCAACTTTGACTGTAGTAGGTCCGATAATTTTTCAGATATTGTAGTAAACGTCGGTACCTTAAATTACCTTCCAGACTATACATCTAAACTATCCACCATGGGAATATTTGTTTTCCATTCGATTCCTACATCGCAACATGACAACCAACCATTTCAGCACTCCCGTCATTATATCAACTTCGAAACCGGATGGCAGCCAACCGATACGGGATCGTCATTTGAATGAAAATCAGGACTTGCCCCTAACCTTTAAGAACTGAAGCATCCCCCAACTGTTTGCCTTGCAGAAACGCCTCCGTATTGCTTGCATGTACCTGTATATATTCAAGTCAATGTTGAATAACAACAGTCAAGCAGGACGACACGTGTTTGTTTTATACATCGAAACTATTACGCATTAGCTGTGCACAGCGGTAATGTTGAACAGCTTGAATTATGTTTCATGTGTGAGTCATAAAATGGCTAGCTTTTCATTCGTCCACCTAAAACTGTCATAAGTGCACGTTACAAATTCATGTCACCCTTAACATCTATTTGAGAAATTGATTTCTATATATAATAAACAAATGGTAGTATGGACGAACGTTTTCTTGCACGGTTCCACTTTATTTGTTCAGTTGCATGTATTTTTGCAAATTTGAAATTGTCATATACGATATTTACAAGAATTCTTATGTTTTTTAGGAGAAATAATTGTGCATTCATGTTTGGTAATTTCATATAATGTCAGGAGCATTTCAACCCATACTCAGGCGTCGAAACCTATATTGATAATGTCACCCTGTTCGTGTCATAGGGAAGCAAGTCATCGGCCTTTCTTCCATTCCTATCTTAAACACCTGAAATGTACAGGTGAGTACTTTCTACTTGCTTTCAACTTGCTTCCGCGAGGGCACGGGTAGCCCAGTCGTCTAAGGCGCCGCGATTCGCTGGAACGCCATAAACCTATGATTGTGAGTTCGAATCCCGGTTCGCCCCGATTATGTTTCTAGGTTTGTCAGCACCATATACCCGTGCTCGTGTGTTTCACCAAAGTGGTAAACGTCTGAGACCTGCATCACTTCGGGCTTTCCTCCCACATTAAGCTGACACGCCGTGATATAACTGGTATACTCATTCACTCACGCATTCAACGTGTTTCCATTTTGCCGTAGGGTTTCACGAACTCCATATTATTGAGAAATCATTCCCCCCCCCCCCCCCCCCCCCCCCCCCCTTCTGACTTGCTTTTTATTTAGCAAATTCCCGACTTACCAGTGTCTTGTTGATGCCACCGTACACCAGGGATGGTTTTGTCTTGACAGTGAAGTTGTTGTTCCTGTCCAACTGCATCCTGAAGCCTGCTGTCACATAGGCGTGGGCATTCTATAACAAATTAGTGAGTGATTATTTTGTTCTCTCTAGCCTACAATGTGTGGTCGTCTCATGAACTGTGCATATCTACCTGATGTCTGGGGGTAGTATTGAAGGTCTTGACATACACGTCTCCAGATGGGAATGTTGGAAGTGTCACAGACAGGATGACCTTGCCCTTCATGTCTAGGTTGAGGAAGTCCATAAGACTGCATGGTTCCTCTGTGCCATCACTTGATCCTGCAATACATAATCAGTATATTTATATGACCAGGAATATTCTTACTTTTACCCACAAAACTGTGTAAAATTGATAGTCACAGAAACTGCTTGATATAACAAGTGTCAGTAAACTGAAGAAAGGATACTTGGCGTGTATATTATGAATATGTGCACTCTGGTCAGTGTTTGTTTCCTTCGTGTAGCGCAGTACAAACCAGAAAACGAAATATATTGTCATATTCCTCTTTCATGTTAATATTGCCCTTCACCCAAAGATTTCAGTTTGCTCAACAAGTAACAATTGTTGTTATGTACACATATGTGGTTCAACACATAATACTCTCACCAAACAAACGTTCAATCTATGATGGTAATATGACTATATTCAAATCATTAAGGCTACAAATAAGTAGAGGTAGATAGATTTGTTATAATTGTTACAACACAACACACAGGAGTCACCAACACGGATTCCATAAATTGTTTTCTTCTAATTGTAGTGTTGTTTTTTTTCCAATTATACCACCAACGTGATACTTTCGTATTTTCCAGTTTTAAATACTGTATACCTTACCAATGAACAGAGTTGCCCTGACTGTCTCGAACATGGTGAAGATATCAGACGGGAACTCAGTGTGCAGGTTCTTCAGCATCAGGTTACCTGCCCAGCTGGCCAACTGAAACAGATAAAGTGATCATCTCGTAACTTCACGACAACACCCCTCTGCACAATCTTATTGGATCAAACATAAACCTTCAGCTAAGTGTACAAAACTTATGATTATGTTTCTTCAAATCAAAGTGATGAAGCGAAGAAAAACAATTCCTATTTGTATTTCTTTTAAATATTCGCTGAGCAGATATGCACGTGCCATACATTTAAAATGGAATGCCAGGATATTATATTTCTTCATTTCTGGGTTTTACTAGGATATTCTGAAGGAGGTAATGATTCCATATGATAATTAATACGACTAAGGCGGAGCTGTGAGTCGATTAAATGAAACTCAGCACCCTCCCCAAAATACCGTGAGATATTCTAATGGAGATTCAAGTTCATCTTGGTAACCGCAAAGGGCACAAAATAGGCATGAATAAAAAACACAGTAAATGATAAATACATGGTCAGTCAGTGATGACATGAACTGGTGTCTTCTTACATTTCTCATTCCGACGTTTCCAATTACGGCAACGTGGTTTGCGAAATCCCGGAAGTAGGACAAAGCAGGATTGGTTCTGTTTTTCTCAAACACCTCATTCATGTTGGTCAGAGTGATGCTGGAACCAAACGTCACTTTGGAGGAGTCCACCTGTGACATAAAAAGCTCTTGCATATGTGGTTCTGGAAAAGTGCACATTTCGTGATGTGTTTGTAAATTACTCGGAGGAATTCGCAGTCTTAGTTATTTTGATTACTCAAAAACAATTCTTTATGTTTCGCATTTAATATTGTATGCCCAGTATATCATTAAACCTGTGTCCACTCAACTTACAGAAATGTTGTAAAACTCTTGGATTCCACGCAGGTCAATGAGCACACCATACATCCATGGGCCGATTTCTTTGTACACACCTGGAAACAAGTCAGTCGTCAATATTCTTATTGGATATGATAGATGAGACATATTTGTGTCAGAAACTTGCATCACTTGGCAACAAATTGTACGGCAGAATTAAATCAAAACAGAAGCCATTGAGAGTCTTTGTGACAATGCATGCCAGTCCTTATCCAGTAATGGACACTTCAACATAAAATAACCATCACAGCCTAAAGTTTTAAGTAGATTCTCTAGTGCACGTTATTCGTCTTCTCTATGTACTCGCATTAAAGCGTTCACATTCGTTTACCGAATCCTGAATTTCCGAACACGAGTCTGTAGTTGTCTCCCTTGTGTTGGCCCAGGAGGGCGTACAGCTGCTGTCTGGTGGTGGGTTTGTACCACTGTGACCCCTGCAGCACAATGTGGAGGGGGACGAGCTCTGGGTCAGTCTGTCTCTCAGATGAACAGCGTCCTGTACAGGTCTTCCCGGTTTTGCTGCATATCTTCTTGTCCAGTTCCTGGAATTAATAATTGAGGGAGACAATCAGTTAAATTTTAATTTTAAAAGATAACATGACTGATACTAATAGTTAATGTATCAGTTTTCAAGTAATACATATAAAGTCACTTATCTATCGTTAAATGAATATTGAAGAACTCATTACATGACATGAGCCATCCCCTCATTCTGCCATATTTACACCTATATGGGGAAAGAACTAAGGAAACTATAGGTCGAAGCAGTAAAAATGATGACCTCCAGCATGTAGGCTGAGGCCCTTTTGTTAGTACCATCCTTCAGACGACCTGATATTCTTTAAATGATAAACATGTTTGCCACTATGAAACTGGATACGTAAGTGCATCCAGATCAGCATTCAGAAATATACAGATTGGTAACATCAACCTTAGTGGCACTGTCGCCATCCCAGTGGTTAACGGTATATATATTGAAAGTTCTAGTTTGTACACTATTCCATTGCTATCACACCCAGATCATAATTAACGTTTCGGAGTATATGCTTACTCCTTCATCTTCATAATAAAGAAGGTGATATCCATAAACTCTCTTGCTTATGTGTATCACTTCTAAAGGTCTTTCAAAGATCAGATCAGTATTGTAGTGAACATATCTATCGTCTTTGAAGCAGGATCACACCAAGGACCACGCTATAAATTGGATGCAATAACGTGAAAGTTTAATATGAAGATGTCCCAGTTTACCTCAATGTCAATAGTACCGCCAGGTAGGCTTGGCGGGGCGTCAGATGCAAAGGACTTCATAGCATCCAGAATCGGGCGATACCCTGCGATAAGAAGAATTATTGACATTTAAAACACTCTAAATATGTACAATACACGATCGAAAGAAAAACCAAGGAACAGAATAAAAAGGTCTACCCCTTTTCCAAGTTCTCAAACACAAACCGACGTTCCAAATATATTTCTGCCAAAAGCTTATAAATGAAAAAAAAGCATTTCCACTTAAAGCAGGTGGGTGTCATCGAGCTCTGATGTTGTAGAGTGTTATGCTATCACTAAACTCCCTGACTATTAAGGCAATCGCTTTATGGTTTGAAACCTTTTGACTGTGTCATTGTGAATATGTACTTTTTAACCTATATCTAACAAATAGTTATTTAGACAAATGTGTGTAATATTTCTATTCGCTAACGTAAAGTGTTCAACTTTAGAACATTTGTGGCATTTTTGTGGTAAACATCATTACAAGAACACTCTTATCATATCTTGTATATCTATAGCATTATTAGCCTAGAGACTCTGTGTTGTAACCAGGCACATATATTTAATTGACATATAGACTCAAGCTTAACAGATATCGCAACAGATAACAACGAGATATAACTACGAAAAAAGGGATGACTCTGACGAGGTGGGTTTATGTAACTGTAAACACACTGTGTCAGGGGATATCATACACCACTTCAAATATCATACCATATCCTGAACCAGTTGAGCTACTCCAACATGTACATGAATACCGTGCTCTACTGTACATGCTTACCCTTGTCACTAATACCGGGTGTCATCACTTATTTTCAGTGATCCAGACATATATATAATTTTCACCACTATTAATTTTGTAAATGACAACATTTGGCCAGCACATGGCAAAGGTTCGTAGGGTAAATATTTACTTGACAGTTTGAGCGTTAGCTACAACTAACACGTGTGGCTCTCTATTTGGCCCGACATGGGTACAATGTGTGAAGCCCATCTCTGGTATCCCCCGCCGTGACATTGCTGGAATATTCCATATTCACTCACTCACTCTCTTCTTGGTTGACGATGAAATTGTATCACTACAAACATCTTGTGTCAAATGGATATGCTACACCCCTTGAAATGCCGAACCATATCTTGAACCAGTTGATAAAATGTTACATGTGAATGAATATCATATTTTATGAATAGTCGTTCTTCAACAACGAAGATTGTATCCATAATCACTTTATTGTTTAGTTCGTGAATGACAGTTTGATTTAGACATATTACAAGCATACCTCGAGAAGGCTGAAGAAGATGTGTCCCGCACTGGAAGTGGACTCTGAAGGTGTATAATAATTTTGACTGGCTTAGAGTGAAACCTCACTGACCTGTACATCGGCAGATGGTTGCATCAAATGCATTTTCTACTTGCTGCATGGTAGGGTTGGGAGTCCTCTTTAGTAGACTGAAACACATATCGAGTTTTATAGATATTCGTAGAGTTTGTTTTAAGGACATTTCGACGTTAGTCTTCACATCGTTATACAGAATTTGTCAGGGTTTGTGTACAGTGAATTCTAAACTTTCCCGGATATTCAGGTTTGAAACATGTGCGATTGTGAGATCATTGTAAGGCCCATATTTACAATCCTACGTACGTTTTGTGTACAGTTTTTGAGATCGCTAATCACTTGTATCTATGTTTCAGTGAACACCAAATTTATAGTCTTACCCATACATATTCATAACCTGGGCGGGGCTACAGAAGCCACACTGGGAGCCATTATACTGTGCCAGGCGGTCTTGTAACGGGTGTAGGCCATCCATAGTGTTGCCCAGACCTTCAATGGTTGTCACTTGCATGCCGTCACACGTGTAGAGAGGGACGAGGCACTAAAGGAATCAGATCGTCTTAAAGTTACTAGTGTATTTTATACGCAATATGTAAATGTATAGTAAAGTACATTTACACCTATCATACTATGATTGACACTAATGAAATAGTGATAACTAAGTGCATTGGCGATACTTGGGGCAGAGAGGTCTTCACGGTGTCCACAGTAACGTCAGAGACAGCAAACAGTTCGACCTTGGACACCTTACTGAACACCAGAGAAGCTCTCCAATGGTTCATCGTCCTACTTTGTCATTTGTTGCAAAGAAGGGACTATTGCATCTGGAGTACAAAGTATTATTAGACATCTCCTTACCGAGTGGACTGTGTAGGTCTGCACGGCCTTTGTGATGGGATCATATAGTGTGGTAGTGACGAGGCACACGCCACACCCTCCCTCCAAACACATCGCTTTGGTGCCATAGGACACACCCTGGGACCTCATGAACTCATTCAGGGACAAAGCTGCGGCATACTGGTTGCTAACTGGAAATATTTATACATAACGAGTACGCAACATGTTTTGTTTTTAACTTGAAATGTAATATCATCACCATTTGACATATACACGGGTCCATACACTGGTAGAGACGTCTTGTAGAAAGGTGTGGTCACTTTTATTTTATTACATGCAAAACAAGACTTAGTAACATCCCCATCTCCACCATTTCTGAATGGTGCAATACTTTCCTGATTAACAAATTAGGTGACATTTAACCAGCAAATCTTTTCACATCTTTGAGACCTTATGTTGTCTATTACAGTACAACTAAGCCCAGTGCTCCTGGTGTCCCTAATAACAAATAATAAGGACTTGTTCCGTTCCCCTTCCTGCTTTAATATCAAAGTTATATTAACTTTAAAACACGGGAGTTCAATACATAACGAAAATGAACTACAGGTTATCACCTTGAGGATGAACTTATGGATGACCATAGACATGACTGTCCCATGTGGCATGACAGAAGAGGAGATGTACAGGATATCCCTGAATATCCAAACACCTTGGGGCGAACAGATTCAGTCAAAACCTCAAAGCATCCCATAATTTATATCAGTGGACAAAGGAAAAGAGAGACATTTTGTTTCCATGGCAAATAGAGACTCATGTATTTAAGAATAGTTTTCCCTGAACTATTATAGTTAAAGCAGGAAGACGCATGGGGATAGAGCAATTGTTATCAATTCTCAAAGATGCCGAATTTAAGACTAACCTTGTGTTTTATTGGAGTTAGGTTTAAAATTATATATGTTAATACCTGTGACATAAATTGAAAATCCTGGAACAGGGCTAACTAACGGGCACTTCAACCTAAACGCCTGTACCCTTACGTTAAGAGACATATTTACGTTTTAAACAAAGTAGTTCACATGTCATTAGCCATTCATTGTGTGGTTATCCATGATGCCATGTACCTTTAAGTAAAATTTAACTTTAAGTTTATTTATCTGTTTGCTTCATTTAAATCACGTGACTCGAAAAATTCCACAACTGCATTTAGGGGCCGAGCTATCGCTTCTCTCGCTGAGGTGTTTTCTGTCGTACAAGTTACAACTTTGTTTCCAGCACTGATGTTAGCAGACTGAAGCAACTGCAAGCCATGAAATAGTGGGCTTACCGATTTAGTTGCGCGCCATGATACCGTTACCCACCTCGCTTGACGATATGGGCCATGATATGACGTCGCCGTGGAACATGGTGGGGGAAGGGTAACAGCGACCGTTTTGTTTGATTGCAGTATCCATTTCTAAATACCGTATGCTGAGCAACAGGTGTACATGTAGCCATGAACCACTTCAAGGAAGCTTATTTCTGTGTCCAGATACAGACATAATTCAGAGGCACCAGCGCCCCCTCGGACAATTTTGTTACTGCTGTCACTGTACTGCAGATTGTGTAATGCAATAAACAGACGCCAACCTTCATGAATCCAGTGACAATTATTGTCATACAAATAAATGACACACAAATGTTAAGCTGTGACGGAACAATTCCTTTAGCTGTACCTGTGTAGGAATTTCTATTTATGGTGAAGGTAACAGAGGACTTGAGAGGACCTGTGGCCTTGAACTTGAAGAAGTGGCCACAGTTTTCACAGGTAGAAGCATAGACGCCATCCTTCAGTGCTCCGTTGGTGGGGACGTGGCTGTGGAGGAAATCTATCCAAGTAACAACTGGATGAAAATATAAAATTTTTATTTTTTATTTCGCCATGCTTAATAATGTGAATACAATATTTAGAAGGTGTAGTAATTTTGTATAAAAATTATTATTTGGCATCGGAAATCATTTTTGTTACTGATACGTCAAGTATGGAAATATCCTCCACGTATCTACCCAAAAACTTTTTGAAAGCTATACTGATGCTTTGAATGTTGTAACCTTGATCAAACAGCTTCTGAACAAGAGTCGTGTGATGCTCTTCGAAATCTTGGAGCATGCTCGATTGTGTCTCAAAAGTTTTGAAATGTGAACATCAATGGCTGGAGCTACAGGAATATCGATCAACATAAAGGAAAGCAGTCTTTTGAAAAGTAATAGTCAACCCTCTTGTCAAACAGTCTTGTGGAGAGTGTTTAGTGTTTTGTCAAATAGTATTTTATTCCGGGTCTCAAAATTAAAGGCATCTGTACAGCTGTTAAAACATTTTTATGGTGGACATGTGACGGACATTTCCAAACGTGTCGCATCAGTGACCAAAATGAATTCCCTATTTTGACATGTGCAGTATGATTCTGTGTTTAGGTAAATGTTTATCTTGCTGTGCATATAGTTGTGACGGGTGCCACCAGTGTGGCAGGATAGGCTCACCTTTTCGCCAACACCTGTTGTCTTCAGTTTTTTATTCATACACACATGCTCAAGATATGGTCGGAATCGTGCAGTGGATTACTATTGATACAAAACAAAATAAAGAATGTATCTTGAAGTGAAAAATGTATCTGTTACGAGGAAGGCATTAAGTTTTTGCCTACAGGATATGCTCCAGTCTGTTACCTTGTCCTACACACCGGGCAGTGCACAAAGTTCCCCAGCGACGTTGTCGACATGTCTGCTGCGTCTGCTGCCGCTGCTCCGCTGGTTTTATTATTATTTATTCCCGGGTTGTCTGCACTGGCAGCGTGATTGTCGCATGACATGCATGTGATGATAATTTTTTTTATGTTGATAAGTCTTTATCTATGTACATTGCATCGAAACAAGTACATGGACTTTGACCTATGTGTAAGTGGTGCAGATACAGTATCAGTGTTCGAAATACCTGCCTGCCCGCCCGTCCGAGACGGGTTGATTTCAACTCGGGCTGCCAGATCTTCAAATCCCACTGCCCGACGGTCGGGTTATATTTCATATGTGACAATACTAAATATTTCCCGATGATAATCATTACTTCACATGTAAAGATGAATGATAAAATGTAACCAAAAGGAAACCCCGTTAGCTTATCCTGAGAAACATATGATTATAGTGGGCAGGCAGGTTTTGGTCAGGGCTGGCAAGTATTTCAGCTAGCCAGTCCTTTGGTCTGTCTGAATTTTTTGGGAGTTTCATACCCTGACAGTATGTATGTTTAGTATGTGTGTGCCTCATAAAGATCCGGGTTAGAATAGGTCTTCTCCGTTTTTAGCAGTATTCCAGTAATATCACGGCGGGGGACACCAGAGATGGGCTTCCCACATTGTTCCCATGTCGGGAATCGAACTCGGGTCTTCGGCGTGACGAGCGAACGCTTTAACCACTAGGCTACCCTACCGCCCCTATATTCAATTTTAAAAGGAATGTGTCGTTGTAGGTGTCAACACATGCATATCATTAGGAACTTTATATTTTTGAAAGAGGGCACTAACTAAACTGCCGGGCAAAAGAACGAAAACATTTATGACTAATGATGCCTAAAAATGAAACAAATGTTAATTCGATGGTGATGTATTAAGTTTTGATACTTGTGTCATAGTTGTGTTTTGGACTTTATGTTTGCAGTGTTTCTGGTGCTGTTTACAGCCTTGTTACGGTTTGATAACGTACGTAATTTTGGGGTCAAATCCAATTTTCAAGTTTATACTTTGCCCGGCAGTTTATGTCCTGTTAACTTCAGTTGACATGTTACATTTAAAGAAAATACAAAGCTGGTGCACATGGTAACATATGCACATCTGAGTGAGTGAGTGAGTGAGTGAGTGAGTGAGTATGGTTTAACGCCGCTTCTAGCAATATACCAGTACGGAGGGGGACACCAGAAATGGGCTTCACACATTGTACCACTGTACCCATGTCGGGAATCGAACCCGGGTCTTTGGTCTGACGAGCGAACGCTTTAACCACTAGGCTACCCGATCGCCCCTCATATGCATATGTATTCTCCGTCAACTGTAATCGTGCTGGGTAGCTTCATAACATGTATCGAATAGATGTGATACAAGACTTGTTTAGCTGCGGTAACGGTGTCTGTTTGCTGCTCGATACAAACGATACTGACTTTGACTAGTGGCTAGACAGAGATATGGGCTGTTTTGCTTATAGATCCGTTACGTCATCCACTGATTGTCACATGTTGATAAATAGAAACTAAGACAAAATTGTTATGGATGAGCAACTTCTTTATTACAATTGGGCGACGTTTCGGTGTAGATTCTAACACCGTTATCAAGCAAATGATGATTGTAATAAAGAAGTTGCTCATCCATAACACTTTTGTCTTAGTTACCATTCCAACTTCTAAGTGCCACTCAAAGAAGATGAATAGAAAGCTGCTTTATTTACTGAAACACCACCAACAGTGCAACCAGTTTTTTTTGTATTAGGCATTAATAATCAAATAAAGACTTACAAAGATCTATGTTTTCATTTGCTGCTACAGTTGGCCCGTTCGTTTTTTTCTAAATATTGTAAAATAGATGGTCATAGAAGAAAGGAACCTTTTTAATTTTGTTGATTTGTAATTGGGTATATTGTTTGTTAAAAAAATAAAACTTACGACATTGTATTTGCTGAATGGTTTCATGGAAAGACATATGGACTTGTTAATATTAATACATTATATTTTATGAATGTCGCAATGAAACTATCCTTGAACATTAGAGGTCTGCATGGTGCGCTAGCAGTGAAATATTTGTTCAGGCAAAGCCCCTGATATATGTATCACATGTGTGCCTCCTACTGGTCAGGTGGACTCCTGAAGGAAAGACGGAATGCAACGACCTATACAGTAGTTGAGGTGGACCAAACCATAATACCGTTTGTTGAGATATTCACTTGCTTTATGCCAAAATGCCTCATTAGGATAAATCAAATTTTGAAAACATACACATGGAATTGGGATTAATCCAGATCTGTAACCAAGAATCGTAAGAAATCATGAGGTCGATATCAAATAGTTGCAAACTATATTGAATATACCTGGAGCGCTATCCACTCCGGCTGAAGCATTGTCAGTTTATACTGTCAGCACCCCTTTAAGGAAACTAATAAGATTGAGAGAATATAACCCGCTTTGAACATGTCACGTTATGTCATGGCGTGTCAGTTTGATGTTAGAAGAAAGCTCGAAGTGTCGCAGGTCTCAGACGTTGACCACATTGGTCAAACCCACGAGCATGGCTTCTGTAACGACAAACCCAGAAGCAACGCATGTCTAAGAGAAGGATCTGCACGGCGCCCTAGCCTATAGGGCTACGCGTGCCCCCGAGTCCAATAAAGAAAGAATAACCAATAACCGTAATGGTATCATATACAGTGTGTCCGTTACTATTGTCTCTTCTCCAGCAGAACCATTAAGGTCTATGCTCCAAGTTTAAACCGACATTTGGTGCCATAGATACCTATGGGCCATTGATCCACTGTATGTACTGTAAAACATATATGTTTATGGTGTAATCGGAAGAAACACCTACTCTCAACTTCCTAAAACAAAATTCATCACCATGGTCTTGGACGTCAAAAGGAGAAGCATCAACAGTAATAGTAATTAAGAGAGCTTTATTGAGCTTTCATTCTACACAAGACCAAGGCGATCACACAAAGAGTGCAATATAACATAGTAATAACAATGCAATTTCAACACGATGGCGACGATTGGTACGCTGGGCTAAGCAGGTTTTATACTTATAATTGTTATGATGTAGTTCCTATCTCCTTGGTGAAATCTACAGCTTAGCAACACAGGAAGCATGATTTGAAGCAGGCGGTATGATGATGCGTCGAGAGGGCACGATGTTGTTGCCGGATACGGGTAAACGCATGCATATTCATGCAAATCGTAACGCAGGTCTCGTCATAACTGAGTGATTGGCATTCTAGAAATTTGTGAGTAAGTAACAACGTACAACTTTATGTATTGCATATAGCGATGTTTCGATGTAGATTCTGACACCGTTAACAAGCTGGGTTGACACCAACCTAGTTATGTGAGGTATATATGCATGATATGTTGTGATAAGAAGCAGAGTAACATTTGCAACAACAGGTAATATTTAACAAGTACTGTAAGAAGAACAAACAGCACACTGGTAATGAAGCCAGATGTACAGTAAGGATAAGAATAAGAAGGATTAAACAGTTGTGACAAGCTTATAGGATCACCTTGTCATGTCTTGTATGTGTACAGTTAGTGATAGTAAAATTTGAACAATTGCAAAATGATAATTTAAGATTAAACTTGAAATGTGACCTATTTTGGCCAAAACACAGGGAGGCAATGTTGTGAATATTTCCTTAACGACTTTTTTAGATTAATTAATCACTTTTCGGAATACTTCCGCCATATAACGACAGGAGCAGCCTACACATGTTTTGTAAAAAAAACGTCCACGAAGCACGATTTTAGAAGGTTTAAATATAAAACAACTAACTAATGACTCGCATTACACTAAAAACTAAAAGCTTTGATACAGATGAAAAAGCAAACCGATTAAACGGGCCATTATCAAGCCCGTTGTTAGGTGACGTCATAGGGTAGAGAAAAATGACGTCACGTTCAAAAGTGACGTCATCTGGTTTGTTCTATGACGTTTCCATATTTGTAAAAGTTGGTCAGTGACATTGGTGTCGATTGCAGTAAATGTTTCAAAACCGATATTGTTGTTTCTTTTTATTTGATAACAAATATCATCCATTTTAGCTATAATAACGGTAACGCTATTTTTCAGGGCATTATCATTTGCAGAAGCCCTCGGTCTTTTCAACTGCCCTTCTTCGTCGGGCAGTTAATGGAAGACCTCGGGCTTCTGCAAATGATAATGCCCTGAAAAATAGCGTTACCCTTATAGTAACATGCTATTTGCAATCGCCAAAAAATGAATAAAAACTAGACAATTCTCACACAAGTCATTATCATAAGGCAGGATATATGAAGGATAATATAAGTAATACATTTTAAGTATTTGAATGGCATTTAGAAGTGATACACATAAAGAAGAGAAGTTATGGATGTCAACTTCTTTATTATGTAGAAACACAACGTTTCGGAGTATATGCTTATATCTGTTGGCCTCCCTTGGTCCACCTTTGTTATCTTATTTCTTTTGGTGGACTTACAGGTATTCTTTCACCTGATGGGGGAGTGAGCATATACTCCAAAACGTTGTATTTCCTCATAATAAAGAAGGTGACATCCATAAATTCTCTTCCTCATGTAATACATTAAAATACTAATTTACATAGAAAGAACCATATAGCAAAATATATGCACAGTAAATATCAGAACAGTGTCGTTCCCGGTGATATTGTCCTGATTAACAGATGTCCGGATTAACGAAGCATGGGTTGAGGCTAGTGTTTTTTTGTGTCGATTTTCTATAACATACAACACATCGTTGAATAACATTAACATTGACCTGATTAATACATGTTATTAGTTATTATACTCTGTGAAGGTTACACATGGGTATCAGTGAGATGTGCTAAACCCTTTTTCAAGTCTTCCTTACATACCTGTGTGTTGTAAGAGTGAGGACAGAAATTCTACTATCACGAGGTTTTGGTTAGCAATGCTTTACTGTAACAGCAGTTTGATTTGGTTTGATCAATATCAAAGAACCAGTCCATTGTCATACGTAAACACATTTACATAGTGTGATCACTGAAGGAAAATCAATAGCCAATACGAGTTGATTACTTCAAGCGATATTTCAACCCTGTTTGTTTCTTTAAGCTCCAACGCTGATCTATGCCCTGTTGGGCTGAGTCTGGTTGACCTAGGTCCCATATACCAACTGGGAGTTGTCAAGTTGACAGGCTGTCTGAATCATCTCCACTGTTGCAGGGCCATCTAAAATGTATATAAACATAGTAATTTATCATTTAATGAAACTTGGTTTTACGATCCCATAAATATGGAAACGGGGTTCTCACACAGGCACTACTGATGAAAGTTCCATGCATTGATCGTTAAACTATTGCCTGGTAATCCCAATAAGTTTAGGTGAATGTTTCTCGAAGTGTGGTTGTTTCTGTACACAAAGACTCACGTAACACATTGTCTATTCCTTTGATACTTACGGTACAGAAGCACAATGCCTTTGGATGTATCTACGATGTTAACATTAAAATAAACACCAATTATTGTCCTAAAGTATAATACCATGTTGTTGTTTTCAATTGCGCTATTAGAACAATCATCATACCGAGAGGGAAGAAAGTGTCCTGTGACATATCCTTTCTGGCAGCCTCGATGGCGTGTTTCACTGCAAACAACGCTGATGAAGCCATGCACACGGGCGGCTCACCCACAGCTGAAACCCAACATTAATTATGTGTTACTACCCAGAGTAAATTGCTGGTATGAAATTTCAAGTAGCTCGCTGGGAGAATAATATTATTACAGATGTTTAAGGCGTAGAAACACGGGATACACTTTCATATGTTGATGATATTGTAAGTATCTGTCATTACTTTTCGATCCCAGGACTCCGAGTGGGTTGGGTGCATTCTTCAGGAACTGAATACGGAAATCGATAGGAATGTCCTTTCCCATTGGAGGCTTGTATTCCTGTACAGACAAAACATCGTGTGCAATTTTACAAAGCCTAGTAAATGGTATATCACTATGACACCAGTTGCAAACATCAACATGAATAAATCAGAGGATTACATGGTTCATAAGAAAGTTATAATGATGCATATGATAAGTTTACTAATTATAGGATACCACACATATACAGGTTTTAAGATGACAACCACTGTCAGTAGCCAGACATTGTAGATTGTTAGGTTTTCAATTATCAATTGCCTCCGCGCGTCCTTCTTGCAGCACACTCAGTTGGTTGTCCTCCCACATTATATTTGAAGATGGTCTTACTACCAGTGTATGATGGCCAACCCTTTAGATCACTCAGTGTCAAAATGCATAAAAGAGGTGTTCTAAATGTATTGAATTCTAACTCGAATATGTCTTTCTATTTTGATTTCAAATATACTGGGTTATCCAAAGTTTCATATCTCTAGAATTATTTTTTGTGAACCATTACCTTTTGTGAATTTCCAGAAAGGTCTTCCTTTTCAAAGAAATAGATAACCTTACATTGTGGATAGCCCGGTATTTTATCACCCATGACGCCTTGACTCGAAAAGTCTTTCGTTCAGCAGATATTTTTGGTTGTTCATCCACATTTTATTGACAGGTTACTATCGATAACATTTTAGATCACAATATTTGGAGAGCTCCTGGACCACAGGGTACCACGTCTTATCTTCTATGGCCTCTAACATGTCACATTGGTTACAATGGTTTCTGTCTGAACTCCTTGTCCTTGTAGTGCTCCTTGTGTTATTTCACTTACCCATGTGCCATCAGTCAGGGCTGTGCCAGTCGTGGGGTCAAAGATCATCTGTTCGGTCATCCAGTAGCCCAGACCCATCACAAACCCACCCTCAGCTTGGCCAATGTCAATGTCCGGGTTCATACTGAATGAACCATGGAAACAAAATGTAAAAGAAATTGGCCAAAATCTATTCTCATGGACCTGGCACACAATTGTCATCAGCGTGGATGTATACACTGTCATCCCTTCAGTGAACAAACAGCCAAACAGTCAGTGTACTGTTGGCAAGCGACCAGCAATAAACCATTGATCTTCCTCCTATCACTTTTACGTATGGTATTACACACCCACCCACCCCCACAACTACCACCACCACAACAAAGACACACCACCACCACAACACACCACCACCACCACAACACACCACCACCACAACACACCACAACACACCACCACAACACACCACCACAACACACCACCACACACACACACATCTCGCACTACATCATCACTTACTATGAGCATTACGTCTCCTTCCCTTCTCACATCACATAACGCTCCACCACACTACGCATTACCGCGAGCAAACCTTCTTCTGCAACACCACTACACCACTATCTTTTGCTACACCTACACCACACTGTACCACCATGACGACACACTCAACTATCTTACATTCCATCACGATTCTTAACACCCGCCTCAACTATCCACTGTCACGCCAAACCCTACCTCTTTAACAGCATATCTCAACCCCAGCACACGTTATTGTACACGCCGAATCTGATGCTCTCACCTATCTCCACAGTCATACAGGATGTCCACTCTGGTGATCTGGTTCTCCCCGGTCAGGATGTCTACCTCAACCTCTGTGCATACTGCACCGCAGGTGTTGTAGTTACAGAAGTCTCCTGTTGGATTTGTTCTGAAAATGACGATGGCGAAGGTAGTGTTGCGATCTTGACCTGCACTGAATGGCCAACTTAAAGTCTACAAACAGCCTGTTTGTCGCAGTACTGAGTACTGACATGATGGCGTTTACGGCTAATTGACTTATTCGTGTACGTACACTATATTTGTTATGACGTTGTGCCACTTTAAGTACTTTCCATCTCTGAAATTTACATTCCAAAATACTTGATTGTACATGTTACCAACCATGCATTTATCTTCACTATAAACATTACTCAGAAAAGGTTGCAGGCCATCGAAAGAACCACAACGACTATGAAGCCATCTCGCTCTGCGCGTCTCCATTACATCATCAATCTCAAGACGACTTTCTAGCCATCTGGTTCGGATGTCTCTGTCTGATTTGCATAATGACAACAACCATGGAACTATCAACTCGGCGCTTCCCTGTCACATCAGCACCATTGCTACGAACCTGAAGCCATACGTGAGGACGTAGATCATGACCATCACAAAGCCATCTAATTCTGCGAGTTAACTATACACATGCACAGAAGTTAAGCGCCACCCATCATATTTGTGAGCTGTTAATTTTGGCACTTAATGATGACTATTATAACGAGATGTACGATTGTTATAAGCCGTATATGTAAACCTCATGTGATGCAAGAGTTGTCCCAAAGCAAGTTTATCTTGTGTTCCAAAAGAATATGAGCAGAAAGGAATTTTACCGAAGACCAGAAATTGAAGGATTAGAAAACATTGAAAAAACGTTTTTGTCATGTAACTGTCATGATATCGATAGCAGACCATATCAGGTGTCACATAGACACCCTAGGGAGTGCAGAGTCTATTGCAAGACAGAAACGTCAGTAACGTGTGTATGACCACCACTGGACGAAGAACGGTATCTTGGTATTGTTGGCCATTCAGGTTTCCATGAATTGTCACCAGCGGAAGTTTGCAGCCGAAGGAAACACAACCCCATATCTTCTGGGTGTTACTTGGTGCAAAACAAGTGTTACGTTGCCTCCAAACACGTATTCGACCATCAACAGTTCGTAGCAGCATTCGACACTCGTCAGACCAATGGATCCTTCTCCAGATGGCCAAGTTCCATCGACTACGGGCACGACACCATATCAGACGATTCCGCATGTGCCTCTCAGTCAGTTGAGGACGTTTTACTGGTCTTCTGGTGTTATAACCAGCCGCCCTGAGGCGACGCCTTACGGTCATCGTCGAGGGTCTCTGGTGGGTAATCCACTGCAGTCTTAAATCTGTTGAAGTGGCAAATGGATTTCGTCTGACTATCCTGAAAAGGCGTCTATCCTCTCTGTTAGAGGTCTTTCTTGGCCTACCAGACCTATGCCTGTCATTGACATCATTGGTTTGACGTTGTTTGAAAATCAAACGAGTGATAACACTGTGATGACGACCCATTTGTCTTGCAATTGCCCTGCATGACATGTCAGCATTTTTCATGCCTATCACTTGCCATCTTTCAGCCTTTGTTAACTTTCTCCTCACCATGGCTGGTTTTCAACCTCTATTGGAAGGGGAATCACACACAGGAGCAAAATGCAACCACGTGTCTGAAACTTGAATTTCACTATTTATAGGGTAGGGGAACTGCAGGAACACGTAAATCACGCTTTCCTTGTGGTATCTGGACAAATTTGGGTTCATAAAACTATGAAAGCCTAATTCAGTCATACATCATCATATTTCGTATTTCTGATTCCCACACGTGAAATCAAGAGACTATGAATATGGTGGCGCTTAACGTTTGTGCATGTGTATACATCGACAACAGAATATAGCCATCTCGTTCTATCACATTGGCATCATGACGCCGACCATGACCATGACGCCACCATCAATCATCAGCATTTCACACCATGTTATATTTGGTAGAAATGGACATATTTACGAGCTTCTGGCTGACAGATCCACCCCTTGTTTGTAGCACTGAGCAACAAGCTGTTGCCAGGTAGGGTTGACCATCTTGGCTTTGACCGGAGCTATCCGGGTCTTCAACTGCTGACAACACTGCACGACTCCCTTTAACAAAACGTTTGCGCGCTTTTCAACAATATAAAGAGAAATTACCATTGAAAGAAGAGTCCACTGTACGATTCCAAATAATTCATAACAATGTGTTTATGAATAACTATAAGGGTAATGCTATTTTTCAGGGCATTATCATTTGCAGAAGCCCGAGGTCTTCCATTAACTGCCCGACGACCGAGGGCTTCTGCAAATGATAATGCCCTGAAAAATAGTGTTCCCGTTATTATAGCTAAAATGGATGGAATTTGATATCAAATAAAAAGACACAACAATGTCGATTTTGAAACATTTACTGCAATCAACACGAATGTCACTGACCCACTTTTACAAATATGGAAACGTCATAGAACAAACCAGATGACGTCACTATTAAACGTTACGTCACCTATCCCTATCCTATGACGTCACCTAACAACGGGCGTGACAATGGCCCGTCGTCAAGTAATATGAGGGCATCATCAAGTTACAGTGGCCCGCTCATTTCTGATAACATGCGGGCGTTTCTATGATAATTCTATCCATTTTAGCTATAATTGATATTATAGCTATGATAATTCTATCCATTGTAGCTATAATTGATATTATAGCTAAAATGGATAGAATTATCATAAAAACGCCCGAATGTTATCAGGAATGAGCGGGCCACTGTAACTTGATAATGCCCTGAAAAATAGCGTTACCCGTATAATAGTGATGATACCAGGTGTTTGCGAAAAAGGTGTACTTATCCTTCCAAACCGGTTGCACCCATCAAAAAAACGTGCGCAGCCAAATCAACATCATCATCATGGGAACACATCACCTCTTTTGGGGGTTTTGCTGCTTTTACTTGCAGTTTCGAAGAAATAAACACAGTGACAATAAGCACCATACGTTACGAAACCGAATTGCTCATCCATATAAAGAGATATGCTCTATCCTTGTACAGCTTACCAAAGCATTCACTTCAGTCGTGTGGCTACCTCCAGTAGTGAACGAGTTAGAGTTGGCCAGGGTGGTCGTTGGTTTAATCTTGATCGTGTCAATAGGGATACCCAGCTCAAAGGCACAAATTTGCATCATCTGTAATCAAAAGTTTCATCATCACCATCATCATCATAATAATAATTATACATTTATATTGTGTGTTTTTTCCATGATAGATACCATGTTAAAAGCGAACGTAATATGTAATACATATTTTTTTGTAATTTAAAAATAAGCTGCTCTACCATCAGTGGGATGTTCGTAATAATATAACTGATACCAGCCGAATACTACAGGTCTGGCAGCACATGCTCTACCTTTTTTTCCAAAACACGTGTTTCTCCTGTATGAAATTCAAATATGAGATATTATTATATTCTTCAGTGTGACAAATTGAGTTTTCGGAAGTTGAGAAAAGTGCTATTGTCCTTGCAGTGAACATAACACTTTGAAGGAACTATTGTCATAAAAGAGCGACCTCCCCGCATATTGTCTCCCATTATCGTCAGTGTCTGGCCCGTACTCCCACTGCTGACTTCTTTTTCACGTTAGTTCCACATCGACAAGGCAAAATAATGACAGATGGTCATTTATGAAGTTAATATCACTTCTCGCCATTTGTTATTCTCTTGAAAATGTTTCGTTATAAACTGAAAATGTCTCACTTAACTTGTCAATCGAGACTAGTCGTTTCGCAAAGCGGCATTTTTGTTACCTGACCAGTGTGTATTCCTTCGCTTCCAACAGTGGTCTCGTAGCTCTCAAGAATATTTTTTAGTAGATTTTGTATATAATCATGTCCAAATGTATGATAAAGAATTTTAGTGACCTCAAATATTTTAAAATTGTGGTGTAGCTTAAATATTAGTTCAGAGTTTGCAAAATCTTAAAAAATATATAAAAAGTAATACAAAATATCGCTAGATATTTCACTGTATTTATCTTCCTAAGCTGAACAACCTTTATGTTCAATCCCTGTCCGACATCAACTCCACCGAGAGAGAGGGCCACGGACCCATCTCCATGGTAGACAGTCAGGTAGACGTTGTAGTCGACGTGTGTGTAGTTCAGGTTCCAGCGGAGAGGCATCACCTCAATGCCCTTCTTCTTCCATCTGTTGGCCTACAAGTAAAATGGACGAGTGAAAGAACAAAATTTTAATCCCAGGTATTTTGATAGAGACACAATATTTTTTTGCTTCAAAATTCAGTCAATCAGTTTATTGTATTTCAAGGCCATATGACCCATATTACATACATGTATATCATACAGTCATATCACATTACACGTGCATCATAGTATTGGATAACATTACGTTCCCGTTCTAATTTTACATACATAGATTTTGACAGATGAAATATTTTCTCACGAATTTTATAATTTATTAAATACATCAAAATATACAATTGAATTCTCAGATATCTAAAGCCAAGCCGTTTTTTTAAATCACAGCATTCAATTCTTTCAGGACATCTACGGAACAAATGATATTTATCATAGTGCCTTGGTATCAATTGTTTCTTTCTAGATCTGGGATAAAAGTGTTTCGGATATTGAGGGTCACACGTGCCCTTGGACTCAACATCAGATGGATGTTAAATGAAATATGTATCATGTCACCATTTGGACTATAGTTTGAACCTTTGGAAAGTTTAAAAGACACATGTGAGGATGCTTCTTAATCATGTAAAACTGTACAGACTAGATTAAGTCTTTTTTTTAAACATAAAGTCTACTTTTAGAAGCTGCACAAACAATGCTAAGGCGTCTGGAGTAAGAATCTGCCAAAGAATCTGATATACTTGACTCAAAGTTATGCTTCATTCTGGGGGTAGCGGGTTTTTTCATTGTGGAAGAGTTAGGTAATGAAGCTGTTTCGATATTCTAATCAACATTCAAAGTAATATAAAATATCAGTGCCTTTACCTGGTTGAATGCTGCAACCAGTTGTTTTCTAGCCTTGACATCGGCTGACGTCTCCAGCTGAGTGACAATTTCCTTGATGTTGCAGTACTTAAGAACCAATCCACTGACAGCGGTCTGAGAAAGTAGAAAAAACTTAGGCTACTTTGCACACTATTGAAACAACTTTCCAAACATTTCGACCAGGCCATGCCTGTATATTGTTTCGGTCTGTTTAGTACAAAATAAGAAGCATAAATCTTTGAAAGGCATTTAGAAGCGATACACATAAGGAAGAGAGTTTATGGATGTCAACTTCTTTATTATGAGGTGAATTCACCTGATGAAGGATTAAGCATGTACTCCGAAACGTTGACATCCACAAATTCTCTCCCTTAAAAGCAGTGTAGTTGAGGGGAAGTTGTCTGAGTTGTGTGGCATCAACTTACCTGGCCTTTGTTGAACAGGTTCAGCTTCCTGAATGTAAGCGGATCCATGTTCAAGACTTTGGCGGCGTGATCCATCATCGTTTCCATGATGAACATTGATGGAACGCATGCTGGAAGAAAACATAACAAGCACTGCAATATATTAGAAATTGTTTGTAACAGTCCTCCCAAAACAGAGTTCATTATGTTGGCAAATTATCAAAGATTACATTGAGGTTATTACAACCAGAAACTCTTTGTTGCTCATGAACATAGAATGGCATAGGATCCACTTGATGGGCACGGAATTAATTACCCAAAGCAATGTCCCGCCAGGTTGCGTCTTTCACAATCGTCCTTGCGATGGAAACATTGTTCATGAATAAATGGATGAATTTTGTTTTACGCCGCACTCAGGAAAATGCCGGTTTTATGACGGCGGTCTGTAAATAATCGAGTCTGGACCAGACAATCTAGTGATTGATATCATGAGCATCAATCCATGCAATTGGGATCGATGACATGCTTCAACCAGCGAGCCTGATCACCTGATCCCGTTAGTCGCCTCTTATGACAAGCATAGTCGCAGGCAAGCATGGGTTGTTGCAGACCTATTCAACCCCGAATCTTCACGGGTAATGAATGAATGAATGCGATGGAAGATCAATATTGTAGTATAAACATCACAAAACTTTGTCATTTCTATCCCTGCTCATGGACTGCGATCGGATCGATATTATCTTTAGTTTTCGCGTATATGTTTCATGTATAGACATGTGTGTCCCGTGATGGAGGGTATTACCTGGCGACCGGCAAGGAGTGTTGGTTGGGAGATTTGTCTTTAGAGCTACAGGTTTGAAATCCCATGCTGGACAGTAGTATGCTGAAAAGAATGGATGCATGTGTGCACAATACGCAGTACCCAGTCTGGATAGTCATCTCAAAAAGCTATTTAGGGAAAAAGCGAATTGTTACAGGGGTAAAAAAGAGCACAGAGAAAATTCAGCACAGTAACAATTACCATGGCATCATGTCAGAATGTGTTGATCACTCCTACTATTGTATCAGAAATGAACTACAGAAACATACAGAGAACAAACCGATCAGTCCCAAAATAACGAAAAATCATCAAAAGGTATAACCTTTATCTTCCTTGCAAATAAAGCAATTGCCAATATTTATTTTATTGCCAATATATATAGGGGAAACCTACTACAATACAAAATTCAAAGGATTCTTAAAATTAGGATCAAGGTACTCATGTATCACCATTGTCCATATATCGAGGAAATAAAGCAAAGCGGTTGTCATTGGGTGATATTCCACAGTCAGCATGGGCTGTAAGTTGGATCCCTTGAAGTTTCCCATCATTGTTGATCCCAATCTGGTTACAGAGAAACATTACTGAGTGGGTGATAAGACATGGGGCTCCCAATTATACACAACAGACTGAAGCAAGGCAATTATCGTATTGGTGCCTACATTACTTCAAAGAAGAATTTTACACTGTCATTTTCTGTATTAAGATGCCCAGATGTTCTTACTGTGTAATTCGCCAGATAGGGAATACGTTTCCCAACTGTCTTCATGTTGGTGTGGAAGTTCATCGCCAGGCGGACTGGTCTGAAAATACGAATCGTACATTTTTTCAGCCTAGTTGTTACAAGTAATCGATATTTAGTTCCATCTTTCATCTGCGCATCCATAATATATAAAACGTCATGCCAGTATCGATTAACCGACAGATTCCATTGGGTGTAAAAGACATGATGGAGGGGTAGCTGATATGAATGGATAACTGAAAAATCAGTGATGACACCACGTGTCAACAAGCCCAGGGTAAGGAACATTACTCTGAAATTATTTTTTCCCATGGTCTATATAAGTACAAGATCTGTGGTTGTGGGATTCAAAAAAGAGATCAAATGACTACGAACGTATTGGTCTGTTAAGGTCTCATCTTGCATTGAGATTGAACAAGTACATACTAGAAAAGCAGCACTCATCCCTTTTTCAATTTGTCATCATCCAACCCACCTTTTCATGATCTGAGTGGCGAGAGCAGCGGCACACGCCGTCATGTTCGCTCGTGTTATCCTTCCTCCAAAAGATCCTCCAAGACGCTTGACCTCCACGCTTACACTTCGAAACAAAAGATAAAATTGAACTTATATCTTGTTTGAGCATATTTACAATGAAACAAGCAGGTAAAAGTATATGTTTAAAGGGCAAGTTCACACGGAAATGAACCTATTTTTCTTGTACTTTTTCCACATTAAAAGTGTTAACCTAGAAGTGTCATAGACAAAAATATAAAAATATCACAATTAATCAACATATTTTTCGCATTAAAACGATTTATATTTTTCACATTTACCAAGTGTTCTATTTCCACAACAAAAACACCATGGCTTATGCCCCTTGCAATATGACGTCATTGGTGCCAATTGATAAACATTATGACGTCATCATGCTTTGTTAGAGCCGCTTCACGTGGTGTAGGTACAGGTGTGTGATTCTAGCGTCTCAGATGCCAGCCAGCATAGTGTAATGCTGAGTCACCACTGCGCCGGAGTGTGTCGTAGGCCATGTTGTTTTACCGCAAACTGGTACTTGATATCTTTTGCGTTGAGAATAGACAGGGACCCAGTTGAATTGGCACCAATTACGTCATAATCTAAGGGGGATAACTCAGGCCTGTTTAGCTCGAAAAACGAAGGCCTCATAACGGCATATCACTTTCACACTATTGTGAGCTTCCTACTTTCACTGTGAAAAAAATGAGTGTATATTTTCAAACACAGATACTAATTAATTCTAAAATTGCGTTTTGTTTAGAAAAAGAAAGAAAGTGATTTTTGCGTGTACACTTCCCCTTTAAGGGACGTTTCCTCTCTGCTATTGTACGTCGTTTGGACAAAGTGTCAATGAACCATGGCGGCGTGGGGCCTTAATAATATCCATCACTGGTTTGTCTGGTCTAGACTCAATTATGTACATGCTTAATGTTAATGTTAAACAAGAAACAAACTGTAGGTACCTGCTATCCTTGATGTTAAGTAATCTAGCTACGGCCTGTTGAACACCATCTGACCACTGTGTCGCGGAGTGGAGATGTACACCTACCCCATCCTCTGCTGGGTAGCCCAGGCAGAACTGGGAAGTATATGTTATACCTTTAATTACAAGCCAGGCAAGGATATGTTACACGTAACACCGAGTGTCATACATAGCCTACACCAAACGTTTGAAAAAAAACCCAGAAAATAATAGCGACAAAACCATTTTCATAATCATAACAAATATATGTTTAATAATATGCTATTCCGAGTAAACTGACGTACATGTTTTTGATCATTCTAGCTTAAAAACCAAAGATAGATACATGAAGTAAAATGTTAAATTCGATATTCGCATGAGAGTTGCCGGTGGGGTAGCGTCAAATCAATAGTGTGAATGACCACCCCATGCTACACGACACATCCGGCTCACAGAAAAAGTCAGTCATCTGATGGCGTCTCATGGGATACGTCGCCATTATTCTTGGAGGACCTGGGTCAGTCTGTCTGTAACGTTGCATCAGATAACACGGGAGTGAGTGAGTGAGTGAGTGAGTTAGGTTTAACGCCGCTTTTAACAGTATTCCAGTTATATCGCGGCGTGTCAGCTTAATGTGGGAGGAAAGCCCGAAGTGATGCAGGTCTAAGACGTTTACCACTTCGGTGAAACCCACGAGCACGGGTATGGTGCTGACAAACCTAGAAAAATAATCGGGGCGAACCGGGATTCGAACCCACAATCATAGGTTTCTGGCGTGCCCAAGGGACGCAACTCTGCACAGCGAATCGCGGCGCCTTACACGACTTGGCCACCCCTGCCCTGGTTAAAATGGACCAGTTGATAACAGAGCAACGGGAGCAACCAAAAGCTCTGGCAATTAAGACATGGGTGGCACCTGTCTGTATCATACCCAGGGCCCGCTCGGTATCACTCGTGGCATGTGTGGTCAGTGTAATCATGAAAGTCATGCTATGGTACCATGTATGTACCCTCACTGCACGTATAGTTTCGGCTGCGCAAGCTGCTCGTGTTTTTTCAGTTTTTGTCATTTTCTACAAAGGAAACGTGCTGTGGACGTGTATCACGTTCTGCACAGAGCATTTTGTTCTGACGATGTGTTTTGCAAGGATTTAGTTTCATATTTAAAGTGGAAATATTTCTTTTAGCCGTCAGTTTCTATCATGAGGCTGATATAACAAACGTAGAAAAAACAACGTCAGTGATTAACTACGAAACGTAACTACGTTATTGATTAAGTAGGAAGCGTAACTACGTCACTGATTAAGTACTAAACGTAACAACGTCACTGATTACGTAGAGGAAAGGTAATAATGTCATTGGTGAATCAAGAAAGGAAGCGAGAACTACGTCTTTGATTCAGTAGGAAGCATATCTACGTCACTGATTAAGTAGGAAACGTAACTACGTCATTATTTGGGTAGAAAGCGTTACTACGTCACTAGTTATGTAGGAAGCGTAATAATGTCATTGATTGAGTAGGAAAGGTAAAAACTATATTGGTGAAGTTAGGAAGAGTAACTACGTCATTGATTAAGCAGGAAGCGCAACTACCTCATTGATTACCACGAAACATGACAACGTCATTGATTAAGTAGGAAAGGTAATAACGTCCTTGGTTAAGTAGAAAAGGTAATGTCATTGGTTAAGTAAGAAACATCACTAAGTCATTGAATAAGTTGGTAATCAAGTCTGATGAAGTAGGAAACGTAACTACGTCATGAATAAGGAAGGAAGCATAAATACTTGTTTAGTAGGAAGCGTAACTATGTCATTGATGAAGTAGGAAAGGTAACGTCATTGGTAAGTAGGAAACGTCACTACGTCATTGAATAAGTAGAGGGCGTAACAACGTCACTGATTAAGTAGGAAACGTAACATCGTTATTGGTTTAGTATTAAGCGTAACTAACATCTCGCCGTGACATTAGTACTTATGTGATCTCTAGGTATCTGACTTACCTGTGTTTCCAGGTGGAAATGGTACTGCTGTTTCATCTTGATGGTGCCAGTTATCTGTTTATCAGATCCCGCTATTGCAGCTGAAGTAAAATTAACAATTGTCTTTTTTGTGCCTTGTTTATCTAATTCTATTAAACCAAATAATTAATTTGCTTACATAATTAAATCAGTGAAACAATCTGAACGGACAGTGGGCGCCGCGATTCGCTGTGCAGAGTTGCGTCCCTTGGGCACGCCAGAAATCTATGTGGGTTCAAATCCCGGTTCGTCTCGATTATGTGTCTAGGTTTGTCAGCACCATACCCGTGCTCGTGGGTTTCACCGAAGTGGTAAACGTCTGAGACCTGCATCACTTCGGTCTTTCCTCTCACGTTAAGCTGACACGCCGTGATATAACTGGAATAATGTTAAAAGCAGCGTTAAACCCGACTCACTCACTCACTGAATGGAAACGAAAAATGTCCGCACATTCAGCTTGATGTACTCAAACCGATATCTGCAGAATAATAGGTTACCTGCAGCATCACCAACTTTTAATTCTTTGGCAACATTTGGAAATATGGAATTCTTCTGAATGGCCTCTTCCATTGTAATGATGGGAGGCTGGACGTTCTTGTAGGTAACTTTCACCATGCTGGCTGCTGTGTCTGCTGATGGTTTGTCCACTGGAACGAAACATCATATATTGTTGCACCGATTATTTATATCTACAAACACCAAACGTTTGGTTTTCTTTTAGGTTGGACCAAATGTATCTTCTAAAGGGGAAGAACCTATCTATTTCAGCGTTTACACTAATGTGAATTAATTAGCAAAATTATGTGGTCGGGGCACGGGTGGCCCAGTCGACTAAGGCGCCCCAATTCGCTGTGCAGAGTTGCGTCCCCTGGGCACGCCAGAAACCTATAGTTGTGGGTTCGAATCCCGGTTCACCCCAATTATGTTTCTAGGTTTGTCAGCACCATACCCGTGCTCGTGGGTTTCACCGAAGTGGTAAACGTCTGAGACCTGCATCACTTCTGGCTTTCCTCCCACATTAAGCTGACACGCCGCGACATAACTAGAATACTGTTAAAAGCGGCGTTAAACCAAACTCACTCACTCACTCACTCATTATGTGGTCCCTTGACCGCTGTAGCTGTTCGATAATTTGTATGGTGAAACGTAATATGGCCAACTATATGGTGGTACCTGGTTGGTATAAGTGCTGTTTTGTTCCAATACTAAGGGGCATGAACAAAATCAATTAAGACTTGTCACGACTGAAAGTCATGGAAGTGCATGAAGTAATTGGTCCAGATGGTGACTTGGATTTAACTCATACATCATTAACTTTTCCAGAAAAAGTAGGACTAGTTTCCCAATGAAGTGACAGCAAATGATGGAGTTAAACTCATTCTAAATATATGTATCTTCATATCATGTATGTACAAGGACAGCAGGCATTAGTTGTTTTGTTCAGAACAAGATGAGTATAAGCTTGTAAAACTTTTAACCGTTCTGTCAAGGAATTGTACCTGCCACGATGAGACCAATTGGCTGTCCACTGTACAGAACCTGTCCACTGCAGAACAGCTGGCAAAATGAAAGGGATCGAGACATAATTTTAACAGCTGTAATTACTTTTCAACAATATGCATTACCTTATAGATACACAATTGACGAATTTGTGTAGTTCACATTATATATGACATTATAAGACTTCCTTGATGATATCAAACCAAATTATCTAAACCAAATAAATAAATATAAATGTTAATGGCGCCAATTTTTTAAGTACATGATTTTCATAGTCACTAGCAATAAAGTGTTTTCGTTTTGCTTTTACTTTCTATTTTGATATCTATTCTAATTATATTTGAAACTTAAAATGGGGGGGGGGGGGGGGGGGGGGGCACGGGTGGCCCAGTCTTCAAAGGCGCCTTAATACGCCGTGCAGAGTTGCGTCCTTTGGGCACGACAGAAACCTATGATTGTGGGTTCGAATCCCGGTTCGCCCCGATTATGTTTCTAGGTTTGTTAGCACCATACCCGTGCTCGTTGGTTTCACCGAAGTGGTAAACGTCTGAGACCTACATCACTTCGAGCTCTCCTCCCCCATTAAGCTGATACGCTATAACTGAATACTGTTAAAAGCGGCGTTACCCCCAACTCTCTCACCGAAACTCAAAAACTGCCTCCATAGGTTCTCTTATAAGAATTAAAGAACACGTAGAATATGCAGCTATTTGAGAAGAAGAGAACTTTAACAGAGGATGGAATCTACTAAAGAAACGATAACAAAGAAACAGTTGCTCGTATATATATTCTTGTTATCGTACCTCTTCAACACCACCGGCAGATGGTTCCCTGAAATTGTTCCGGTTTGTCCCTATATCATCTGCAGATATATACTTAAGCACTCCCGGGTAGGACTGTGGAAACATACATCATGAAATATCAAGCTACATGCATAAAAATAATTTTATCATTCCCCTCTCCTCATTTGTTGGATCCGTGTCTGTTTATTTGTAAAAAAGAAATGGTTCAAAACATTGCAGAATAATATCACTTGCCACGCCATACGTACTGATTTCAAATTTGGCCTGGTTGTGATCTGTGGTTCCCAATTTGTACCCTACCCGTGGGTTTCGCCAAACATATTAACGTTCTCTGGGAAAACCTCTGCGCATTTATACTCCTGACACTACAGAAATATTGTTCAATGTGGAGTTAACAAATCACTTATTTTCACTCAGTCCTATATACAGTAGTGCAATGAAAATGCACTAAGATTCCTTCTTCCAATCAACCTAATATATCGTTGATTTTGCACAATGCTATTTTTCAAACATCTGAGATTGCTTTGGAGCCCAGGAACAACACGGAGGCATACACAATCGTTCATAATGCAGCAAAACTGACTACTTAATCACACATGTATCCTTATTAGCAACGAGTAACTAACACAATTGAGAGATTCTACTAATTGCATTCTTGAAGGCTGCTGTTTACACAGGAAGTTGAATCCACAATCTTTTTCAGATAACCCAAACACTCTGTGCACATTCGTAATGTAAATACCTATTAGATATAAGTGCAAAAATAATGGAAACGGTTATAACAGATTTAACACTCGGTGTCCGTAAAGAAGATAATTGCTTTTTTCGAATTTGTATGAATTCAGTATTTTAGTCTGTTTAGGTTACCAGGGCTGCAGAGGTGTCGACAGTGTCGATCTCGGCGTTGCCAACACTGCTGATGACGAATGATGCAGCCACTTCATTTGGAGCAGGAGGTATGTCCGCAACGTACTGGACCCGACCTGAAGTCTGAAATATATACAAAGATCTCATACATGAAGTGGATGAGCTGAGACCACCTGAAGCGGGGGACACCAGAAATTGGCTTCACACATTGTACCTATGTCGGGATTCGAACCCGGGTCTTCGGCGTGACGAGCGAACGCTTTAACCACTTGGCTACCCAACATGAGGTTCCATTTGTCACTTCATTTACATCGATTACACTTGTCTCAGTACAAACTCATACCAATGAATTGCACTGATAGGAATTTGAAATGTGAATATAAAATATGAAACGTGAACACCAGAGAATAACCAGTCTCGATTATCCGCTAAAAGAAGATGATGTAAATGTGTCACTGAAAATCCTTTATGACACCAGGCGTGTGACAGTACCTCTGCCATGGGACGGCGGCTGCAAATAAATTTTTGTTGAAACTAAAAACTTTAATTTTGAATTAAGTTTGCTGTGTACAGGCGCAAGGATTCTGCTGCTTATAAGAAAAGAAAATCGTTTAAGAAATATATTCGATTTGCAACACAGTGGAGCGCAGTTTCAATGTCTCGGCCCAAACATTTCTTTTGTAGTTGACTCAGCATAGATAAATGCAACTGGGCTTTTATGATATTCGGGGACTTCATTCCACCAGCAGAAACGTCGACCCAGTTCAAGTAAATATAAAACGTCAAGCCAGAGAATAATCAGTGTCGATTATCCACTGAAGTAGATTTCATTGGGCGTAAAAGGCAAAATAGTGGTGAAAATTAGAGGAATTGATGACTGAAAATCTGTGATGACACCAGGTGTTCGCGAAAAGGGTTAGCAAGTCCTGTAAATAGTAATTGTGTGGAGCAAAGAGGAACATTGTTTGGACATTCTATTGTATACTGTAGCAATACTGAACACATGTATCAAATTTGTACATCACATGCTATAACATACTATTCGCAAATTACACCAGATACAATACTAACGCACTGTACCTTTTGAGGTACGATCGAGCTGTTCCAACAAAGATTTTAATATCTTGCTAAAGAGTATTTGGTTCAGGGTAAAAGCATTCAAGGCCTTAGAAAAGCTTTCAAAACAATTTTTGTGGACATTTGGAGATGATTTCCAAATTGGGAGCATCATTGACCAAATTGTTGTCCGATGCAGTTCTCTATTTTGAATTGTATCGTTTGATATTTTAGATAAACACCTGACTTGCCTTTGCATGTATGTGTCACGTGGCAGGATACGATGATAGCCTTTGCAAAAAGCCCAAGTATCATTGCTAGTTCATTATCTGAAACGTCCAATGGACTCTGCTTTTAGCAGAGATTTCTTCTGATTTTGGAAAGTGTTTTGATGCTCTAATATGTACAATATGCTGCCGTCATTGTTCAGGTGAACACTTGATGGGTCTTCGTGCCAACTTATCCATTTATATCCATTATAAATGCTGTTGACAGGATGACAAAGGAAATCGTTTTCTTAACACAAATTAACGTTGACAACAAACCAAAGCAAGTCATAAGGTCACACATTCGTAGTCTTAATATGTTGGTGAAAATACATACCATTAAGGTTGCATCCGCTTTTGTCATAGGTTGAGTCAAGGGGTATTCATCTTTACGACTGTCATATGTCTGAGTGCCGGATGACACGGGCCGCATCAAGTTGGTGCCTCCACTCTGGAATCTTGATCCTGCTTTCTCACCACACATGCCGAGCACACACTAAAGTAAAGAGACAGAAAGAGTTTGTACCCGTCACACATGGAGGCTTGGAAGTCGTCTAAGGGGCTTCAATTCTCTATGCTTGGTGGGGGCGGTCGGGTAGCCTAGTGGTTAAAGCGTTCGCCCGTCACGCCGAAGACCCGGGTTCGATTCCCGACATGGGTACAATGTGTGAAGCCCATTTCTGGTGTCCCCCCGCCGTGATATTGCTTGAATATTGCTAAAAGCGGCGTAAAACCATACTCACTCACTCACTCACTATGCTTGGTGGTGTGGACGTGCTAGAGCCCTCTCTTCGTGGGTTGAAACACCGGTACACCATATAGGTTTGTCAGCACCATACCCTTTCTCATGGGTTTCAACTAAATGGTAAATGTCTCAGACCTGCATCGCGTCGCGCTTTCCTCTTACATTAAGCGGACGGGATGTTATGCATCTGAAATGCTCACTGCTTACCCACATTTATATTTCTGAAATGTTGTTAACACCGCTCACGGACTATTTACTCCAGGTCTTCAGCCCTTCCCCACTTATATTACACAGGTAGAAGTAACGACAAAAACATCAAAATTTCAAGAAAATATCGAAATTACGATAAAACTCTCGGCTGTAAAAAAAATTGAATTTCGAGTTTTTTAAACAATATTGAAATAACGAGAAAATAATCGAAATGACGAAAAAATAATCGAAGTAACGACAAAAAATGACGTTTTAAAAAAAAAAAAATTCTCAAATAATTATATTGAAATAACATGATACAATTGTTCTCTCATAATGGCACTATTACACTTTCATAGTATTCACAGCAAAATGTCTTAGTTCCAAATTTGCCTTATTTAATCGAGCAGGCAATTGAAGTCAAGTTGGGTGAGACGGTAATATGAATGCACATCGTTCAGCATCTCATGGTAACATGGGTTGTATGATTTCCAGGGATGTAAGAAATATATTTGACTGCACAGCTGTCTGTTGACCGGAGTGAAAATGGAACGTACCTGGGTGACCAGTGAACAATATCATGAAATGGTAATTCATTAGTTGAAAATGTGTTTGAATAGATGTTATGTTTCTGACCAGTAAAATTGTAAGTGGAAACATTATTTTAAATTGTGTGTGATTGATTGTTGTTTAAAGGCGTAGTCAGCAATATTCCATCTGTTTCACGAAGATCTGGATCAGGCTAACCTATAATTGAAAACATTAAACGCTATAGGGGCATTACGTGCATTACGCTAGGTCATGGAGCCCGATCATCCGATCACACTTTTAGCCGGGTCTCACGACAAGAATGAGGTACTTGAGACTTGACCCGAAATCCCCAAAAGCGATGACCCAGCGTCGTACAACGATTGTGTTATGATTGTTGAGACAGTTATCAGTATCACATAGATGCGTGTGACACATCCATGTATCTCTGCACTTGTACACAGATAACGTCTAGCTTCTAGATTAGTCAAACATAGAGAAAGTGGCGACTGATGTATATTGACTGACCTTGTAGAACAGGCAGATGGCCAAGTTCTTTCTGTAGGCTGGACTCGATAAACCGGCTGTAGTGTCTGGGATCAGCTCGGCGGACAGACTGGCTATTGCAGCTGAAAAATGAATTAGGTTGCATGAAGAGCGCGTGTTCACACCTCACTGTTCAAAACAATAAAAGTAGGCTTCATTACCATGATCAGTGTGTTTATGTAATTCCATTCCGTCTTAAAGGTGCCAATATGCATGCATTCACCCATGGAACAGCATCACATAAACACCATCAATATGATGAGCATCCATCTGATTCCTTGCTTTGTTAAAGTTACTGTATTTAAGAAGCATTTGTAGAAGCAAAATATCAGGCACATATCAGCGTCTCTATCACGATGCACTATCCACCATTCCATCCAAACATCGCAACATGACAAGCAACCATTTCTGTACTCGGGACCTCACCTCGTAGAAACGTGACACCCTACCAATATATTGCTCTCTTCATAATCTAAGCTTCAGAGTGGAGGCACGGGTGGCCCAGTGGTCTAAGGCGCAGCGATTCGCTGTGCAGAGTTGCGTCCCTTGGACACGCAAGGAACCTATGATTGTGGGTTCGAATCCCGGTTCGCCCCAATTATGTTCCTAGGTTTGTCAGCACCATACCCGTGCTCGTGGGTTTCACCGAAGTGGTAAACGTCTGAGACCTGCATCACTTCGGGCTTTCCTCCCACATTAAGCTGACACGCTGCGATATAACTGGAATACTGTTAAAGCGGCGTTAACCCTAACTCACTCACTTACTAACTTCGGAGCATCATGGCAACCGACGGATACAGGATCTTCACTTGACTGTAAGTCAAGACCTGCATCTCACCTTTAAGAACTGAAGGATCTCCCAGATGTTTGCCCTGCAGAAACGCCTCCGTATTGCTTGCATGAACCTGGATGTATAAACAAAAGTTAATGTTGAATAGCAACAGACAAACAGGATGGCAGAGGTGTAGTTTGAAAATCCACTAAACCTATAAGTGTATAATATATATCGGAGTATGTAACCTGTATTACGCATCAGCTGTGCACAGCTGTAACGTTGGGCAGCTTGAATGATGTTTCATGTGTGAGCCACAAGAAAGCTAGCCTTTCATTCGTCCTTATAAAAGTGCCACAAAAGCAATAAACAACTTCATGTCATCCTCAACACCAGTTTCAGTAAATTGATTTTAGTTAATAGTATACAATGGGTAGCATAAAAAAACGATTTCTTGAACGGTTCTTCATGTTTTGTTCAGTCGCATTGTGCAGTGCTCAGCGTTGTGGATAAAACGTTAAACATCAGAAATTGTTATCCAGGGTATTTTCAGACACAAAAACAAATAGTCGCTATCTACCGTGTCTAATATTAATGTGTGAACATCTTTAGAATTGGGTGTATATTTTCTTAATCTGAGTGATAGTATGTTTGATAAAGTTTAGACGCACACGCACACGCACACGCACACGCACACGCACGCATGCACGTCGCTATAATGCAATATAGTGCAATAATTTTGAACGCAGTGTTAAACCCTATTTCATCTCACCTCACCAAATCCCATGTTTCATTAGGGGGCACGGGTGGCCCAGTCGTCTAAGGCGCCGCGATTCGCTGTGCAGAGTTGCGTCCCTTGGGCACGTCAGAAACCTATGATTGCGGGTTCGAATCCCGGTTCGCCCCAATTATGGTCCTAGGTTTGTCAGCACCATACCCGTGCTCGTGGGTTTCACGGAAGTAGTAAACGTCTGAGACCTGCATCACTTCGAGCTTTCCTCCCACATTAAGCTGACACACCGTGATATAACTGGAATACTGTTTAACGCGGCGTTAAACCCAACTCACTCACTCACTCATATTCCATTAACACAATTTGTGATCTCACTTAGGCCACACATTAAAGGACGTAACGAAGTTTTGTCTGCTTTCTTAAATAATCCCAAGATGTCTTCGAGATCAACACTTTATGAAACCAAACAAACCACATGCTTCAACTCGCTTTGTAGTCTGTATTTTTTATACTTTGATTTTCTACAGACATCCAAAACTGTCTCCCACAGGATATATGGCTTGGGTGAGATCAAACGATTTTTACATTGCAGGTATCGCTGCAACGAAATGGCTTCACAATGCTTTCCATATCATTGTGACGTCATTGTTACTAATGGCTCTGCTACTGAAGCTGACAGCAGTACGTTTTACACTTAAGGCACTCCTTATCACTGTCTACAAACTGAAAAAGTTGGACGTTCCATTATGCCTTAGTGTAACACAAAATCCTTGGTATTGGGAAATCTTTTTCAACCTTCTGACTTGCGTTCACGTATTTCTGTCTTACCAGTGTCTTGTTGATGCCTCCATACACCAGGGATGGTTTTGTCTTGAGAGTGAAGTTGTTGTTCCTGTTCAGCTGCAACCTGAAGCCTGCTGTCACATAGGCGTGGCCATTCTGTAAAAAATGAGTGAGTTATTTCATTGTTCTTTAATCTACAATGTGTGGTTGTCTCTTGAACTGTGCATAGCTACCTGGTGTCTGGGGGTAACCCTGAAGGTCTTGACATACACGTCTCCTGATGGGAATGTTGGAAGTGTCACAGACAGGATGACCTTGCCCTTCATGTCGAGGTTCAGGAAGTCAATAAGACTGTATGACTTCTCTGTGCCATCACTTGATCCTGCAATACATAACCAGTATATTTTCATGACCAAGTACATTCTCATTTTTAACAAACTGTCATGTTGTAAAATTGACATGACTGAAAATGCTTGATATAACAAGTGAAAGTGAAAGAAGAAAAGGACACTTCGTTCACTCTATGTGATGAGTAGTTGCACTCTGGTCAGTTCATATTAACTTTTGGTTTAGGTATTCAACATCATAGCACACTATGCAACCAGAAAACAAAAAAGTGTTATATTTCTCTCGCATGTTAATATTGCCATTCACTCAAAGGTTTCAGTTTATTCAACAATCAATAATTGTTGTTATGTACATACAAGTGGTTCATCACAAGTTACATGGGAACATACTACCCCCAAGCACACTGTCAATCTATTATCGCTAATATGACTATATTGATGTCATTAACTACAAATATGGAGCCTACTAGTTTTCTTCTAGTTCTAGCGTTTTTTTCAAAACCAACGTAATATTTGAGTATTTTGTACCGATGAACAGAGTTGCTCCGACTGTCTCGAACATGGTGAAGACATCAGACGGGAACTCAGTGTGCAGGTTCTTCAGCATCAGGTTACCGGCCCAGCTGCCCAACTAAAACAGATGATGTGCTCTTCTACTACTTCAAGCCAACCTCCCTCTGTATCATGTTATTAGTTTCACCTAAGTGTACAATAGATAAAATTGTATTTCTTGAAATCAAACGAAATAATAGAATGAAGAAAAAGAAATTCAAATTGGTATTTTTTTAAATATTCGCTTAACTGGAATGGTTTTAACTTTCTGCGTCTACTCGGATATTCCGAAGAAGACCACTGTGTGTGATAATTACAAATACAATAAACGCTGAGCTGTAAGTCGGTTAACTGAAGCACAACACCCTTCCCTCAATACAGTGATATATTCTAATGGAAAGTCAAGTTCATGTTGCCAACTGCACAGGATGAAAAACAGAAATGAATGCAAAACATAGAGATGGTAAATACATGGTCAGTCACTGATGACATATAGTGTGTCCTCTTACATTCCTGACTCCAGTGTTAGCAATGTTGGCCACGTGGCTGGCGAAATCTCGGAAGTAGGACAAACCAGGGTTGGTGCTGTTTTTCTCAAACACCTCCATCATGTTGGTCAGAGAGATGCAAGGACCAAACATCACTTTGGAGGAGTCCTCCTGTGGAATAAAAAAAACCTTTGCTGATTTGGTGCTGGATATGTGGACTCTGCTTAATGTGTCCTAAAACAACAGGGGGATACTCGCAGTCTAAGTTTCTTTGCATATCTAATAATGATTCCTTTTGCTTGGTATTCAATATTGCATGGCAAGTGTATCTTTAAACCTGTTTCAACTCAACTTACAGAAATGCTGTAAAATTCTTGAATTCCACGCAGGTCAATGAGGACATCATACATCCATGGGCCAATTTCTTTATACACACCTGAAAAAAAATCAGTTTACAATACTTTATCTGGATAATATAGATGAGAGATATCTGTGGCAGAAACATGCATCACCTTGAAACAAATTGTACGGCAGAGTTGAATCAAAATAGAAGCCATTGAGAGTCCTTGTTACCACACACGACAATCCATATATATCTAGTTATGAGCACTTCATTATAAAATACCCATCACAGTCTATTGTTTTAAGTAGATACGCTTGTGCATGTCAGCGATCACAATCGTTTAAAATCGTTTACCGGATCCTGAATTTCCGAACACGAGTCTGTACTTGTCTCCCTTGTGTTGGCCGAGGAGGGCGTACAGCTGCTGTCTGGTGGTGGGTTTGTACCACTGTGACCCCTGCAGCACAATGTGGAGGGGGACGTGCTCCGGGTCGGTCTGTCCCTCAGAGGAACAGCGTCCAGTGCAGGTCTTCCCGGTTTTGCTGCATATCTTCTTGTCCAGTTCCTGGAATTAATAATTGAGGGAGTCAATCAGATTTTGATTTTTAAAGATAACATGAGGGATAATTATAGTCCCTGTATGAGTTTTCAAATAATCGAGATAACATCACTTATCTAACTTTAAAAGGATATTGAAGGACTACAGCCATTGCATGGCATGAGCCATCCCCTCATTCTGCCATATTTACACCTGTATTTGGAAAGAACAATTGAAACTATAGGAATCGGAAATTGTGACCTCCAGAGTGTAGCCTGAGGCACTTTTGTTAGACATCCTGGTAACCTTTAAATGATGTTCGCCGCTATGAAACTGGATCCTAAAATACATCCAGATCAGTACGAAGAGGTTAGTGGCACTGTCATGATCCCTATTCATTTGCCATTCCACCAAGGCAATTATTGTAGTGAACCTATCCATCGTCTTTGAAGCAGTATCACACCAAGGCAAGTGCAACTATAGACTGACGCGACCTGTAACCTTCATATTATAAACCTGTTCGCCGCTATGAAACTTGTTACTTATATACATCCAGATCATTGCAAGGAAATTTATACACACTGTCATCATCCCTGTGTTTAACCATAAATATATTAACAGTTGTAGTTTGTAAATTATTTTCTTGTTATCATACCCAGGCCATTATTGTAGTGAACCTATCTATCGTCTTTGAAGCAGTATCACACCAAGGCCATTTCTAGGAAGTGGGTGCAATAAAATGCCAGCTCCAAATGTCCAAATTCACCTCAATGTCAATAGTACCGCCAGGTAGGCTTGGTGGGGCGTCTGAGGCAAAGGACTTCATGGCATCCAGAATCGAGCGATACCCTGCGATCAGAAGAACGGGTAAATTCCTGAAAATTTAGAAGACTCGAAATATGTACAATATATCAAGGATTCCGAATCAAGTGGTCAATTCCATGACTTGAAGTTTAAGTCTCACTCAAGCACAAACCTTCCAAATATATTTCTGCCAAAGACTGATTAATGTGAATACACCACACCAGCTTCCACGTCACGTCACACACTATGGACTAAAATCATTGCTTCATATGACGAACTACTGATCGCAATATTGCCTTTCCTGATTTTCAATTAACATCAAGTTTTATTCACGGGGGTGTCTGGTGGTCACAACTGGTGACCAGGTTGACTTGGTGTCATCGTGCTCTGATGTTGTGGAGTGTTGCTCATGCTATCTGTCACTCGTTTCCTGATGACAACTCGATTATTAAGGCAATCGGTTTATGGCTTGAAACCTGTTGACGGCGTCATTGTGGGCATATACCTTCTGACATTTATGGAACAAATAGTTTTCAGTAAGTAAATATTAAAGTAAAGTGTTCAAACATAAGAACATTTGGTACAAAGCTATGGAGTTTCATATAGTAAATATCATTAGAAGGACACTCTTACACTATCCTATAACAATATATGTCTAGAATTATTAGCCTAAAGCCTCTGTAATGTAACTGGGCATGTACAAGTATCTATCCTGATGTATAGACTCATTCTGAACGGATATCTCATCCGATAACAAAAAGTTGTTTCATAGGCATTACATAGAAGTTGACGAATGACAAAAAAAACACCATGTTTGGATAACTACTTCATTTACAGTGAAGAGGACGTTTCGTTTTTTATCCGTATACCGTTGTCGCCTTTACAATAAATAAAAAAGTTATCGATAAATTGTGTCTACTTTCCGATAACAAGGAGATATAACTATGATAAACTGTTGTGTCAAGTGGATATCCTGAACGAGTTGAGATACTGTGTAAACGTGGTGTACCGTACATGCGTACCCTTTTCTCCAACACCTGGTGTCGTCACTGATTTTCAACGCTATTTTGCCTGTATTGCTTTATGGAATATGTTTCGGCAGTCTGATTATTCTCTGGCGATGACGTTATATATTTAGAAATAGCTTCAACCGCGTTCTTGAAAATTGTATCCAAAATTACTTTTCGTGTTGATTGATAAATGACATATTGGTTCGGGGATATCACACGCTTACCACCAGAAAGGCCTAATATTACCAGCTGAAGATGTAAACAAGATACATGTTTCGTTTAAATACAAAAATGGCCAGCAATTGGCAGATGTTTTCATGGCGTATACTTGTTTTCACAGTCTCAGCATAAGCTACAACTTACACGTGAGGCTTTCCTCAAGGAAGACGATGAGGAGGTTCATATATATACCTATATGATTGCGTTTATATCACTACTAATATATTGTGTCAAATGGATATGCTTCCCTTCCTGAAATACCGAATCATTTCCTGAACCAGTTGAGACGTTTTTACATGTGAATGAAAATCGTATTATATAAATAGCTGTTCTTTTACAACCAAGATAGTATCCAGAATTACTTTCGTGCAGACATCGTGCATGAAATTTGGGTTCAGACATATTACAAGCATACCTCGAGGAAGGTACACATCACAATAACTTGAAGAAGACATCAACTTTTGAAGGCACATATAAATTTTGACCGGCTTAGTGTGAAACACCACTGACCTGTACATCGGCAGATGGTTGCATCAAAGGCATTTTCTACTTGCTGCATGGTTGGGTTTGGTGTTCTCTTAAGCATTCTGAAATGTTTATATCAATATTCATAAAGTTTGTAGCACATTTCGACTTAGTCTTCATATCCTTTTTCAGTAGTTTTCATACTATCTTCGACATACGTCCTGAATGTAAGCGTCAAACAAAGTGTGCCTCTCTCACCAATATTGTCACTGGTCCAAAACATGTCATCTGATACAGTGTATGTATAGATGAAAAACATTAAAGGGAAGTAGAATGACCATTTTAGAATTAAATATATGTTTATATTAGGTCAGAATTCTGTACAATTTGTGAGAATTTTTAATGTTACAGTTGAAAACATACTTGTATCTATGTTTCAGTTGACTCGAAATTTATAGTCTTACCCATACATATTCATGACATGGCCGGGGCTACAGAAGCCACACTGAGCGCCATTGTACTGTGCCAGACGGTCTTGTAACGGGTGTAGGCCATCCCAGGGGTTGCCCAAACCCTCGATGGTTGTCACTTGCATACCGTCACAGGTGTAGAGAGGCATCAGGCACTAAATGAATAAGAAGACAGTTTCTAGTGTATATATATAACACCATCGTACGCAATATGTAATTGCATACCATTGATGACATTAATGAAATACTGACAGCTAAATGTATTGCGATTCTTGTGGCAAGGGGATCTTTACGGTGTCCATAGTAACCTCACCGTCAGCAAACAGATAGTTTGACCTTAGACACTCCACTGCAGGCCAGAGAGACCCTCCGATGTTTTATGGCTATACTTTGACATTTGTACTATAGAAGGGACTATTGCTTGTGGTGAGCAAGAATTATTAGACAGCTTCTTACCGAGTTGACTGTGTAGGTCTGCACGGCCTTTGTGATGGGATCATACAGTGTGGTAGTGACGAGACACACGCCACACCCTCCCTCCATACACATCACCTTGGTGCCATAGGACACACCCTGGGACCTCATGAACTCATTCAGGGACAGAGCTGCGGCATACTGGTTGCCAACTGGAATTATTATACATAACGAGTACCAATGTATAATATGCCCAAAAAGGAGCAAAGTGGGAATCATAAAGACATATCTTCTGATCTATATGGTATTGGCAAATGCAAATGATATGATCATATCTACTGAGGAGTAGGCGATCAGATCTAATATGTTCTGATGTTTGGTGTGGTGAGATGGTGGCGCACTAGTTCACTGTTCTTGGCACATAAATCACTTGCTTTCATTGCCAGATATTGGTGTATTTTCCTGCAGTTTTACCTCAAAACGAAATTAAATGTGATGTTATCACTATTTGATATAATCAGAATCGTACACTGATGGAGACGTCTAATGATTATGGAAAGTGTTTTGTCGCTCATTTTTACATGCAAATTGAGTAGCATCCCCATCCCCACCATTTCAAGAATGCCCCAATATGTTCCTGATTCACGTGACATCTAACCTTGAACATCTTTGAGCCCTTATGTTGTCTACTGCAGTACAACTTAGCCGACCCGTGAAGACCCGAGGTAGAATAGGTCTTCAGCAACCCATGCTTGTCGTAAGAGGCGATAAACGGGATCGGGTGGTCAGGCACGCTGACTTGGTTGAAGCATGTCATAGTATCCCAATTGCGTGGATCGATGCTCATTATGTCAATCGCTGGATTGTCTGGTCCAAATTCGATTATTTACAGACCGCCGTCATATAGCTAGAATATTGCTGAGTGCGGCGTTAAGCAACAAACAAACGACTTAGCCATCTGCTTTTGTCTTACGTAAGGTAAAAAATAATAAGCAGTAACTACCCTCATATGAAAGTAATATGCACATTCAACAACAGGGGATGGGGTGGGTGGCTTGGTTTCAGTACATAACGAATGTGAAATTTTTTTTCAGGCTATCACCTTGAAGATAACTTTGGCCTTGAGTGGTCCTGGCATGACAAAATCCAGGGGTTAGAAAGTAGATGTAATTGATATCCCTAAACATCCAAGCGCCGTGCGACGGCCAGATTCAGACAAAACCCCAAAGCATCCCATCAGTTATCAAAGGGACAGAAAAGATTTTTTTTTGTTTCAATGACGAATAGAGCCTCATCTATTTATATATTTCTTTAAATTTTGATTTGACTTAAGGTCTAAATCAATATATACACTCTCGACATCTTTGTACTGAAAAATTTGTCATACAAATAAGCAGACGCCTATATCCATAAATCATATGACAATAAATTGTAATACCAAAATTAACAAAGAAATGTTTATAGGTGACGGAACAATTCCTTTTGCTGTACCTGTGTAGGAAATCCCATTGATGGTGAAGGTAACAGAGGACTTGAGAGGACCTGTGGCCTTGAACTTGAAGAAGTGGCCACAGTTTTCACAAGTAGAAGCATAGACGCCATCCTTCAGTGCTCCGTTGGTGGGGACGTGGCTGTGGAGAAAACTATCCAAGTAACTGTGCAAGGTGAATACATCATGAACGAGGTATCATAATCTTGTATAAAAAAAATATTATAATAATTCTAATACTGACAACACAGAACCTCGTTAAGTGTGAGTGAGTGAGTTGAGTTGCCGCTTTTAACAGTGTTCCAGTTATATCACGGCGTGTCAGCAGAATGTGGGAGCAAAGCCTGAAGTGGTGCATGTCTCAGACGTTTACCACTTCAGTGAAACCCACGAGCACGGGTATGGTGCTGACAAACCTAGAAACATATTCGGGGCGAACCGGGATTCGAACCCACACTCATAGGTTTCTGGCGTGCCCAAGGGACGAAAACCTCGTTAAGAATATCATACAATGATTAGTCAATAATGAACGCAAATATCATCTGAGTATACTGAGAAAATATGGTACGGTATGGACTTCCTCAATGTGAGATTTAGGGAAAGGACATTTAGGCAAGAAGTTGGCATTCCCATTGACACCAATTATGCTCCCCACCTTGTTGATCTGTTTCTTTATGCATTGCTGCCAGGAACAATCAAAACCAAGGAATTCAACTGCAGCTATGTCGATGATTTGACATTATTCAATAATGGACGATAGCTAATTCTCTTGCACTGATTTACCCATCGGGGTTAGAAATAAGACATACCAGTGAGACCGCTACATCTGGTTCATATTTTAATCTCGGCATAAGTGAGTGAGTGAGGTTTTACTCCGCTTTTAGCAATATTCCAGCAATATCACGGCGGGGGACACCAGAAATGGGCTTCACACATTGTACCCATGTCGGGAATCGAACCCGGGTCTTCGGCGTGACGAGCCAACGCTTTAACCACTAGGCTACCCGACCGCCCCTTATCTCGGCATAAAGATTGAAAGTGACAAGAAATTATCGACAAGATAATATTGCAAGAGGGATGACTTCAACTTTACTATTATCAACTCTACCTTATGTCATACAATATAAAACGAAATCTAATCTAATAGTGTCTACATTTCACAACTTTTGAGGCTTCAATCGAGCAGTTTTAGATGACAATCATACGACACTTGCTGATAAGTTGTAGATCAGTTTTAAACATTCAAAGCGTCAGTGAAGCTTTCAAAACGTTTTATGCGAGACATGAGGAGGAGATTTACAAATTCGACGCATCAGTGACCAAAACGATGTCTTCACGATTATATTTACAAGTTAAAGACATTATGTTATCTGTCGAGCTTGTTAATTAATATAAGGCATGGTGAGTGAGTGAGTGAGTTTGATTTTACGCCGCTTTTAGCAATATTCCAGCAATATCACGGCGGGGGACACCAGAAATGGGCTTCACACATTGTACCCATGTCGGGAATCGAACCCGGGTCTTCGGCGTGACGAGCGAACGCTTTAACCACTAGGCTACGCGACCGCCCCTGTCACTGTCTGAGTTCAACGTGGCAATGTTGGTATTAATAAACATGCACACACCCGAATCGTGTTGACATTGAAGCTTAAGTGAGTCATGTACTTGCCACCAGAAATGCATTACGATACATCTTCAGGGTCCGTTCCACAAAGCGACCGTAGCGCTATGACAATCGTGAGGTTACAATCACCTTAGGGCTTCGATCGTTTTGAGGAACCGCCTCCAGGATATGTTCCCGTCTCTTACCTTGTCCTGCACACCGGGCACTGCACAAAGTTCCCCAGCGACGTTGTCGACATGTCTGCTGCATCTGCTGCCGCTCCTTCACTGTTCTGTTCTTAATACTTGTTCTGAGTAGCCAGTGCGCAGCTGCATCCTAGTCACATGACCTGCATGTGATGATATTTTTATGACTCTTATCTGTGTACAGTCCATCCAAACAAGTGCATGATCACATATGTAATCATACAAACGCAACAGGTATACATAAATTGTACACCTAGTATGTATGTAATTAATTATGTGTGCAACTAAGTATGTGTGAGTGAGTGAGTGTCCTTCTATGGTTATTTGAGAAATATGAATTCAGAAACATGACGGACACCAGAAATGAGCTTCACAAAATGAACCATGTGTAGAATCGAGCCCAGGACTTCGTCGTGACGACCCAGCAACTTAACTACTAGGTTACTCCTCCACTTACGGCAGTGTCCAAAGTGCAGCAATTGATTGTGCAGAGTTTCGTCCCATATTCATGTTCGAATCCGATAATTGTGGGTGCGAGCCCCTGTTGAAGATTGTTGGCATGCTTGCGCCATAGTTGTGCACAACTTAAATGCTACGATGCATTGATCAAATGGGTATGATTACATGGACACAATGAAAGAGTGAGTGAGTGAGTGAGTATGGTTTTACGCCGCTTTTAGCAATATTCCAGCAATATTACGGCGGGGGACACCAGAAATGGCCTTACACATTGAACCCATGTCGGAAATCGAACCCGGGTCTTAGGCGTGACGACTGAACACTTTAACCACTAAACTAACCAACCGACCCACACGGACACACAATGCCTCAGTGTACACATAGCGCTGATACCTGTGTCTGGACACTGTGGATTACCACCGTGGTGGAGTGTATGGAGAGCCGAAGAGCGAAACATCGGTGGTTCCATCCCCAGCCGCGTCATGCCAAAAGACGTTAAAAGATGATACGTGTTGTTACCTTGCCTGGTGCTAGGTATTAAAGGGATAAAAAAGGACTGGTGAACCGGGACTCAGTATACTGTGTATGAGTTGGGTATTCATGCTAAACTGCGGCATGGTTTGTCAGTGCGCTAGTACTATAAAATAAGCATGGATGATATCAGCGTATTTTTAAGTTGCACTCTAAAACCTTGAGAAGTCCAAAATACTATTAAAATATTCTTTTTAATATCCAATTTTGAAGAAAATAAATATATCCCCCCCCCCCCCAAAAAAACAAACAAACAAACCAACAACAACAAAAACAAAACAAAAAACAACACACACAACAACAAAAAACTTGAGAAGTTCATACATGTATTAACCAACTGTGTATGAACCTTGATATCAGATAATGACTATCAGATAATGTCCTACTCATTACTTATAGGTATATGTCGTCAACACTGTATGATATCATTTGAACATAATATTATTGGCAATGTGAGAGCCTAATCTATTAGTAAGATCCAATCTGGTAAGGATACAAAGATCTCGAATGAGTGTTCGCTCAGTGATCTATAGCTAAGTGTATTGTATTGAGATAAATGCCGGACAAAAGAATGTATACACCCATGTTTGATGGTGGCTTAAATGAAACAAACAAATGCAAGACATCATAGTTGTGTTTTGGACCTTAAGTTTGCAGTGTTTCGGCGACTGTTCAGCCTTGAAACGTTTTATAACGTTTGTAATATTTTGGTCAATTCTAGTTTTCGAATCTGTACTTTTGCCCGGCAGTTCAGGGGCATTTAACGCCACGTCAGTTATATCACAGCTAATCAGTTTTATGTTGCAGGAAGGCTCAAAGTGATGCACGCCCTCGACGTTTACCCATGAGGCATCGGATTCTGGCATGATGAAGGGACGCAACTCTGCACTTTAGACGACTGGGAAACCCATGCTCCCATGTACGTTTTAATCCATACCTCGACAAGTTTGTACCCCGTGAAGATCAAGTTAGAATTAGTCTTCAGCAACCAATGACTGTCGTAAGAGGGGACTAACAGGATCGGGTGGTCAGGCGCACTGACTTGGTAGATGCATGTCGTCGTTTCCCAATTTCGTAGATCGATGCTCATGATATCAGTCACTGGATTGTCTGAATTGCTGATTAAGCTGAAATATTGCTGAGTGTGGCATTAAACAACAAACAGACAAAGAAGGTTTATTTGAAGTTGTTGTACTGTCAATAAAAAATCATGATTTCATGAATTAAATTAGAACACGAGGTGAACAAATGGAGACCTAAAGCGAAAATTGTAAGGATAACGCCAAGGTAAACTCACAGTTGTCATGCACAAATGATGTCCTATTTTGTCGAGATTGCTAGTGGTACATTCATCATAGCATGAATTATATCTACCTCGCATACCCACACATTTGATATTTGTAAACAACACTTCCACACAATTATAAAACACACACAGACAGAGTGTATGAATACAGATAGGTAAAGTACGTCTGTGAACTTTGTTCTTCATTGTGTGGATACATGATGTACATTTCATCTACACCGCTTCCACATGTGTGCAACTGCAAGTACGTTTAGATGGACTGTACACAGATAAAGACTTATCAAGATAATAAACATATCATCACATCCATGTCATGTCATGTGACAATCACGCTGCTAGCGTAGACAACACGGGAATAAATAGGACCAGTGGAGGAGCGGCAGCAGACGCAGCAGACATGACGACAACGTCGCTGGGGAACTTTGTGCAGTGCCCGGTGTGCAGGACAAGGTAAGAGACGGGAACATATCCTTGGGGCGATTCCTCAAAGCGATCGCAGCGCTAAGGTGATCGTAGATGTATGATTGTTGTAACGATACGGGCCCTCTAGACGTATCGTAATGCATTTCCGGTGGCAAATACATGACTCATTGCTCGTTGATCATTGCTCACAATACCAGTCACGGGAGTCGATTATTTACAGTCCGCCTTGCTATAGCTTGATTGCGGCGTCAAACAACAAAGATCAAACTGTGCATTCGTATTGAAGGCATACACTTTTTTACGATTAGTGTTTTGTGAATCGCCCTAATCCTTAATTTATCCTCAGTTCATGCCTCAGTAATATTGCAATTAGTTTTGGAAAAATGTCGATGTCATTCCTCATCATAATAAATTCACATAATAAGCATCACGAACTGATATCATTTGTGTTTTTATAGTGTATGCAATTGTTTCTTGGACAGTTATTTCTCCACAGCCACGCCCCAACCAACGGAGCACTGAAGGATGGCGTCTATGCTTCTACCTGTGAAAACTGTGGCCACTTCTTCAAGTTCAAGGCAACAGGTCCTCTCAAGTCCTCTGTTACCTTCACCATCAATGGGACTTCCTACACAGGTACAGGAATTGTTCCGTCACATGTAACGTTTCTTTGTTATTCATTTGTATAACACTTTATTGTCATGTGATTTTTGAAGGTAGGCGTCTGTTTATATGCATTCCAAATCTGCAGTACAGAGATGTGGAGAGTAGATATATGGTTATCAATAATGAAGCCAAATCAGAATGCAAACAATTATTGAAACACGAGACTGTTCCTTATAAAATTAAGAATGTTCTTTGTGTGTGACCCTTGTTCGCCAATATAATTAAGCATTTCAGTGTAAATGGGGAGCATTTGTATTTTGACTGGGTTTTTTTTAACCACACGGAGCCTGGATATATTGGTGATGGACATAGCTTTTATGCCCGTGATTTTGTCTTAACGACGAGGTGTCATCCTCAAGATGGTGGGCTGCAGACAAATTTATTTTCATTGTGTTCCGAAACACCTGTGTATGGACGTGAATATAACTTTCATATCAGAGGCATTTGGGCTTTCTTTAAATTTTCAGAGTTGTCTTGCATTTATTATGTTTTAACCAAACCGGAAGTGTATTCATTCAACCGGAAGTGCATATAATATATTCTCTTGATGTTGCTAGCATCACGGAACTTTCATTGTGCATATGATTGAGTGAGTTGGCTTTAACGCCACTTTAAACAGTATTCCAGTTATATCACGGTGTGTCAGCTTAATGTGGAAGGAAAGCGATGCAAAGTGATGCAGGTCTCAGACGTTTACCACTTCGGTGAAACTCACGAGCACGGATATGATGCTGACAAACCTAGAAACATAATCCGGGCGAATCGGGATTCGAGCCCACAATCAAAGGGTTTCTGGCGGGCCCAGGGGACGCAACTCTGCACAGCGAATCGCGGCGCCTTAGACGACTGGGCCACCTGGGCCACCCGTGCCCCCTACTGCATATGAAATTTCTCCAAGGACATGTTGTCATTCAAAAGAAGTGCATATATAACTTTATGTATTAAGGTAGTTGAGAGGCTTTATGTTTCAAAGTGTTGCTGCATTAGGCATATGATTATCCAAACTGGAAAGTATGTCATTAATCGGGCTGTTTCAAAGCTGAACTGTTTTGAACACGTGGATAACAGAAAATATAGTTATTAAACAAGAAGTGCTTAAACTTAGCTATTAAGGTGCCCGTTTCAAAGTTGGACTGTATCGATTTTATGGTTTTGTGTCTTATAGCTTATGTGCAGCCCTTTCAAGTTTTAGAGCCATACTGCTTTGTACAACAGTAGGAATCAATTATGGATATTGGTGTGGTCAAATACTATAAGATTTAGAAAATTTGAATGATTCATGATACATATTTGTCATGATGAATAAATGCCGTTAAAGGTAGAAAAAGTATTTCTGGTAGGAAGTTTTCAGGATGGTAAGGGAATAGTGCTGATTGGGTTGCTACAATTTGTGCATATAATGTAAACACATCTTCAGTGATACAAACACATACCTACTCGCCATGTGTAATAATTCCAGTTGGCAACCAGTATGCCGCAGCTCTGTCCCTGAATGAGTTCATGAGATCCCAGGGTGTGTCCTATGGCACCAAGGTGATGTGTATGGAGGGAGGGTGTGGCGTGTGTCTCGTCACTACCACACTGTATGATCCCATCACAAAGGCCGTGCAGACCTACACAGTCAACTCGGTAAGAAGTTGTTTAATAATGTTCACTACATGCAATAGTCCCTTCTTAGTTACACATGACAATGTATGATATGTCAATAAAACATTGGAGGCCTCTTTAGACTGCAGTAAAGTGTCAAGGTCGAAACTGTCTGATTGTTGATGGACATACTAAGGATATCTTGGAAACCATGAAGACCTCCCTGATTAATAGTATTGAAAGTATAGATGTATTACTGCACAATTACATATCTGTGAGTGTTATTTCAATTTGAACCTAAAGTGCGTACGATGGTGTATTACGTACACTAGAAACTGAAAAACGTTCTAATTCCATTAGTGTCTGGTTCCTCTCTACACCTGTGACGGGATGCAAGTGACAACCATAGAGGGTCTGGGCAACCCCTGGGATGGCCTACACCCGTTACAAGACCGCCTGGCACAGTATAATGGCTCTCAGTGTGGCTTCTGTAGCCCCGGCCAGGTTATGAATATGTATGGGTAAGACTATGAATTAAGTGTTTATTGCAACATAGGTACAAGTATGTTTTCACTTGTATTAAAGATTTTCACAAGTTGTACACGAAACATGTGTGAGTTTGTTGCACTGGGCCTTACAGTGCTCCCTGCAACAATTGCTCACGTTTCAAATCTAGAAATTAAATTTGGAATTCACTCAAAGCAAACCCTGCCCTTATATATATCTAAATTTTACATTTTACTCCCCTTTAACTTAGTTTCATGTAAACTCCTTCTGTATTTTGTACAGTGGTAATAGAGACATACTTTGTTTCCTTGACACGTACACCCATAACATATGCCGATGGATAGCATGACAAATCTTCTAAAAGAATATAAAGACTTGATTTGTGTTTCAGCTTACTGAAGAGAACACCCACTCCTACCATGCAGCAAGTAGAAAATACATTTGATGCAACCATCTGCCGATGTACAGGTTAGTTGTAGCTCAAAATGTCGAAATAAACGCAACGCCCTATAAATCTTGCTGGCCAAGTGATTTCATTTAAAAGAAACATGTATCTTGTTTTCAAATTGTAATTATGTACTTTTCTGACTGTAATACTCCTGAAACATCATTTCACTTATCAGTCCATACTAAAAGTAATTTTGGATCCAACTTTTAAGAACGCAGTTGAAGCTATTTCTAAATGTAAAAGGTCAGCATCAAGGAATAATCAGTCTCGATTGACCAACTAACAGATTCCCTGTAGGATAACAGGCAACATATCGATGACAATTATCACAGAAAAGCAGTCGTGACACCAGTCATGTCAACCTAGAAAATGCACTTTTATCATAGTCATATCTCGTTGTTATCGGGTGAGATAACCGAAGAGCTTGAGTCTATACGTTGGGTTAGAATATGTGATCGTGCCTGATCACATTACAGAGGCTTTAGGCTAATAATTCTAAACATTTATAGTTAGAGGAGAGTACAACACTATCCTTCTTCATTCTAAAGATATAAGTGTCCTCGTCATGATGTTTACCACATAAAACGCCACACCTTTGTGTCACATGTTGTTTTGTTGAACACTTTACTTCAGTGAATAGTAATATTTTAAGCATTTGTCAAGACTATTTTTTAAATAAATGTAAAAAGGTATATATCAACAATGATGCAGTCAACGTGATTCGAGCCATAAACCTATTGCCTTAATAATCGAGGCTTGGCCAGGGAAACTTGTGGCTGATAGCATGAGCAACAATCCAATCAGAGCACGATGACACCCAACCATGTCACACATTGTTATCACCAGACACACCCGTGAAAATATCGTGATGTAGTGGGAAATCAGGAAAGGGGACATTGCAAATAGAAGGTTATAGGAAGGAAGTCCATTGTATTTGAACTGACGTGGAACCTGGTATCTTCTTATAGATGATCGGTTTTTCTTACATATATCAGCATTTGGCAGAAATATATTTGGAAAGTGGGTTCGTGCTTGAGTACTTGGAATACATGAATACTAGTAGACCATTTAATTCTGAATCCTTGATTTGTTTGCGATCATATATTGAGGATATTAGTATTTACAGTGTTGATCATGATAATGAAGCTGCACATTCTTCTTATCACAGGGTATCGCTCGATTCTGGATGCCATGAAGTCCTTTGCCTCTGACGCCCCACCAACACTACCCGGCGGTACTATTGACATTGAGGTGAATTTGGACATCTTCATATAGAACTTTCACATTATTGCGTCCAATTCCTAGAAATTACCTAGGTGTGATACTGCTTCAAAGAAGATATATAGGTTCACTACAATAATGGCCTGGGTGTGATAACAAGAGAATAGTTTACAAACTACAACTGTTAATATATATATTGTTAAACAATGGGATGATGACAGTGAGTATATATTTCCTCGCACTGATATGGATGTATTTAAGTATCAAGTTTCATAGCGGCGAACAGGTTTGTCATATAAAGGGGTACAGGTCGGTCGGTCTATAATGGCACTTGTTCTTCCCTAATACATGTGTAACTATGGCAGTATGAAGGGATGGTTCATGTCATGCAATGGTTGTAGTCCTTTAATATCCATTTACAGATAGATTATACAAAAAGCGACAAAACCCTTTCCATATCCAATAGAAATCTCTCATAAAGCAGAGTCGATTGTACGATTCCGACTGTTTCATGAGCATGTGTTTATGAATCACTATCAAATAGTTATGATACCATGTGTTCAAGAAAAGTGATGTTACCTCGATTATTTGAAAACTAATACATAAACACTCATGTTATGTTTTAAATATTGAAGTCTAACTGATTGTCTCCCTCAATTATTAATTCCAGGAACTGGACAAGAAGATATGCAGCAAAACCGGGAAGACCTGCACAGGACGCTGTTCCTCTGAGAGACAGACTGACCCGGAGCACGTCCCCCTCCACATTGTGCTGCAGGGGTCACAGTGGTACAAACCCACCACCAGACAGCAGCTGTACGCCCTCCTCGGCCAACACAAGGGGGACAACTACAGACTCGTGTTCGGAAATTCAGGATTCGGTAAACGATTGTGATCGCTGACATGCGAGTACATAAAGGAGACGCATTACGTTCCAGAGAGACTCTAGTTAAAACATAAGACTGTGATGGGTATTTTTTCATATGTTGAAGTACTTATTTCAAGATGAAGACTGGCATGGTATGGTGACACAGACTCTTAACGGCTCTTTTCATCAACTCTGCCATAGCTATGACTGACAGTTTCTGACACAGACATCGCTCATCTGTGTAATCGAACTAAAGTATTGTTAACTGATATATTTCCAGGAGTGTATAAAGAAATTGGCCCATGGATGTATGATGTCCTCATTGACCTGCGTGGAATTCAAGAGTTTTACAGCATTTCTGTAAGTTGAGTGGACACATGTTTAATGATATACTTGGCATATAATATTGAATACCAAACAAATGGAATCCTTCTTAGATATTCAAAGCAAGCAAAGTCCACATATCCAATACCAATAACGCAAAGGCTTCTTATTGCACAGGTGGACTCCTCCAAAGTGATGTTTGGTCCTTGCATCACTCTGACCAACATGATGGAGGTGTTTGAGACAAACAGCACCAACCCTGCTTTGTCCTACTTCCGGGATTTCACCAGCCACGTGGCCTACATTGGTAACATCGGAGTGAGAAATGTAAGAAGACACCAGTTTATGTCATCAGTGACTGACCATGTTTTTATCATATATTATGGGTTTTTTTATGCCAGTTTTTCATCTTGTGCAGTTAGCCGTATGAACTTGACTTTCCATTAGACTATCTCACTGTATTGAGGGAAGGGTGTTGTGCTTCAGTTAACCGACTCAGCCTAATCGTATTTGTAATTATCACACACCATTATTATCTTCTTCGAACTATCCTTGTAGATGCAGTAGGACTGACAATTGATATGAGAAGTCATGTGGTCCTGCCGTTCCAGTTTACATGTGCATTTATATGTCATATGCAGGGGGCACGGGTGGCCCAGTCGTCTAATGCGCCGCGATTCGCTTTGCAGAGTTGCGTCCCTTGGGCACGCCAGAAACCTATGATTGTGGGTTCACCCCGATTATGTTTCTAGGTTTGTCAGCACCATACCCGTGCTCGTGGGTTTCACCGAAGTGGTAAACGTCCGAGACATACATCACTTCCGGCTTTCCTCCCACATTAAGCTGACGAGTCGTGATATAACTGGAATATTGTTAAAAGAGGCGTTAAACCAAACTCACTCACTCACTCATATGCATATTTGCTGAGTAAATATGTAAAAAAATACCACGTTTGAATTGTTTTTCTTGGTTTCATCACTTCGTTTGATTTCAAGGAATACCTTTTTGCCTAATGTACACTTAGCTGAATGTAATAACATGATACAGAAGGGGTTGTCTGGAAGTTACTAGATGACCAAGTCATCTGTTTCAGTTGGGCAGCTGGGCAGGTAACCTGATGCTGAAGAACCTGCACACTGAGTTCCCGTCGGACGTCTTCACAATGTTCGAGACAGTCGGAGCAACTCTGTTCATCGGTAGGCTGTATGTTAGTGCTCAATATTGGAACTGGAAAATACGAAAAACATCAGACTGGTAGTATACATGTAATTAGAAAAAGATATGTTCCTAATTGACATATCACATGTGCTTCTGGATCATGGTCAAATCCCTGACACAGTTGTTGACACGACAGCATGAGCATTGATATTTAAATATATACCGAGGGCTTAACTAAAGTGTATAGTGCTAAATGTATACCTGCAAATACAGAGTTTCGAAGGATTCATTGAGAAGTGGACAAGCTTGGTCCCTAATGCATTCAACTTGAAGCAAACAAATGTGTTCTGGTGTAGAAACTATAATCAATTTACCTACCTGTCCATATTTGTAGTCTATATCAATCTCTAAATAACAACATGTAGAACGGTTGAACAAACTGAAAGATTTGAGTGAATGGCAATATCAAAATGTAAAAGGGATAAAATATTGGAATAGTGTTGGTTGCAGCGTTAAACATCAAACAAACACAAATCAGAGTGCAAAATCCTCACTATTAACAGTGAAGTTCAAGTATCCGTTCCTTCTTTCCCAGTCATTTGTTATATCAGGCATTTTCTATGCTGTTCACTGAATGTCAATGTTGAAACAACATTTAGCTAAAGATGAGAATATACCCCATCGTGAAAATATACTGGTTACGTTTTCCAGGATCAAGTGATGGCACAGAGAAGTCATACAGTCTTATGGACTTCCTGAACCTCGACATGAAGGGCAAGGTCATCCTGTCTGTCATACTTCCAACATTCCCATCCGGAGACGTGTATGTCAAGACCTTCAAGATTACCCCCAGACACCAGGTAGCTATGCACAGTTCATGAGACGACCACACATTGTATATTAGAGGGAACAATCACTTCACTCACTCATTTGTTACAGAATGCCCACGCCTATGTGACAGCAGGCTTCAGGTTGCAGCTGGACAGCAGCAACAACTTCACTGTCAAGACAAAACCATCCCTGGTGTATGGAGGCATCAACAAGACACTGGTAAGTCAGGGACATTCTAAAGCAAGTCAGATGATTTCTCAAAAATGTGGTGTGTGAACCACGACGGCAAAGATGAAGCAATTAGGAAGCACCACCATTTCCGGTGGTAGAAATGAAATACTAAATATAGCTACATATGCCTATTTCCCGAAATCCGAGTATGGATGGCACTAACTACAGGGACTCCCAGGTCTGAGTATGAATTGAAATGCCCCTGACAGATTATTACATTTTCTACAATTCTGATAAATCTTCAAAGAATTAATAGTTCATCCAAAGATCATATATAATAATTTTCAAAAGCCCAAAACAGGAAGGATAATCATTACATGTTAAACCAGACAACGACACTGACACGATTTTCAATCCCGAACAGACGCACGAAACACATACGCACAAATACCGCTTTTAGAGAAATCCGCAGATTGGCCCTCTTACCACGCCTCTATGGCATCCTTTACGTCCTCGTCACCCTGGAAGCGTCTTCCACGTAGGGCAGATTTCATTTGCCGGAACAGGAAATAGTCACTGGGGCTAAGTCTGGGAATGGCCTGGATAACAATTCCTAATTTGCAAAAACTTACACACAACGTGCATAAATGCACAGTGCGACTGAACAAAGAGCCATGCAAGTCTTTCTACCAATCGTTTCTGGTTATTATAAATTAAAATCTAATGTTGGTATACATGTTATATATCCAGATATATATTGTGCACTTACGGATTTAGTGGATTTAAAAAACCAAACATTTGTCATCCTCTTTGTTGTTATTCAAACATTAACTTTTGTTTATACATCCAGGTACATGCAAGCAATACGGAGGCGTTTCTGCAAGGCAAACAATTGGGGTCTACTTCAGTTCTTAAAGGTGAGATGCAGGTCTTGATTTACATTCAAGTGAAAATCCAGTATCAGTTGGATGGCTTCGAAGGATAAAATCATGATGAGAACATTGTAATGGTAGGGTGCCATGTTTCTACAAGATAAGATACTGAGTAGAGACTTGGTTGGCTGGCATGTTGCGATGTGGGGATCGAGTGGATAAAATGGTTGCCTTTGGTAGATAGTACACCCTGGTAGAGATGGTTACAATGGTATTGTTGAGCTCATGTGTTGCTGCAACCAAATCTAGTTAATTTCTTAGCTTTATTGAGGCTAGGAATCAGATGGATGTAAATCCTGTTGATGGTGTGTATACATGATACTGTTTCACGGGTGCATGCATGCGTATTGGCTCTTTCATGGCAGAATTTAATTACTCGCTCTCGTCCGACCTATGATAAAATGGTGGTGAATCCTACTTTTATTGTTTTGAACAGTGATGTATGAACACGCGCTCTTCATGCAACCTAATTCATTATTCAGCTGCAATTGCCAGTCTGTCCGCCGAGCTGATCCCAGACGCTACAGCGGGTTTATCGAGTCCAGCCTACAGAAAGAACTTGGCCATCTGCCTGTTCTACAAGGTCGGTCAACATACACAGCCGAGGCCTTGTATCAGTCGCCACTGTCACGGTGTCAAACTTATCTAGAAGCTAGGCGTTATCTGTGTACAACTGCAAGGATATTTGTCAATCTCATTAAAATTAGATCTTAGTTCTCGCTACCGCTAAACAAAAATCTGAGGACATCCCATTAGGGGTCACGTCAGACCGACCTTGCGCGAACTTTTACCGACCAATGGAATGACCAATCAGAAGGCAGCTTTCTCGTGCTTTACGGCACGAGATTTCAAATTCTCGATTACAAATTTGAAACCTGAACAAAACAACATTCTGGAATGGCTAGATTGTATGGATTCAGTCGTTAAACCCGTAACTATCGTACGGAGTTAAGTTTTCGAGGCTGCATGGTTAGAAATCACATTCCGACTGTCACTTTCATGATCTGGTAAGCGATGCTCTGATTGGTCGGATAAAAGGTCGTTCTGACGTGACCACTAATGGGATGTCCTCAGACTTTTGTTTAGCGGTAGCGAGAACTGAGGTCTGATTTTAATGAGATTGGGATATCTGTATATGTCACACACATCTATGTGATATTGATAACAGTTTCAACAATCATAACACAACCGACGCCGTAAATGTCATCGCTGATGACAATGATAAACATTCGCTGACGATTTGGGGTCAGGTTTCAAGTACCTCATCCTTGTTGTGAGCCCCGGCTAAAGTGGAATCATATGATCATGCTCCGTGGTCTGGCGAATTTTTGTTCTGTTTAATTTTATCTCGTCACAAATATCCAGATATGCTGGCATGTTAAAATAGCATCTATTCATATCCATATACAACTATTATATTACAATTTCATAATCATAATTACATTATTATCTGGTCAACGGATAAGAGTGTCGTAAAATTATATTCTCAGCTCCCCATGAAGTATAAACCCATGTTCCCTCTGACTCTTTACTTTAGTGTGTGCTCGGCATGTGTGGTCGGAAAGCAGCATCAAGATTCCAGAGTGGAGGCACCAACTTGATGCGGCCCGTGTCATCCGGCACTCAGACATATGACAGTCGTAAAGATGAATACCCCTTGACTCAACCTATGACGAAAGCGGATGCAACCTTACAGGTGTGTATTTTCATTAACTTTTTACGATGCTTATATCAGAACACGAGTGTCATTCTCATCATGTCAGCTGCATGGAAGATGGATATGTACGACAGACGCAGGCCTCAACTATTCCACCCATTGGCTCGCATTTTCACTAACATATCAATTCAGTAATGTCTGACCTTATGTCTGGATACTTCTGTTTTTCTTATGTTAACTTTACAACGTTAATTTCGGATTTTATCAGAACATGATTATTGTCATCTTGTCAACTGCATGGATAAGGGATAATGCATGTAAATGCCGAACGCAGGTTTCAAACATTCAACCCGGCGAGTCAACCATTTCCGGAAATTATAGCTATACTTGCTGTTAGAACTCATTTTATGTTATCGGATAAATGAATGTCATTCTTGATCCGGCGTAGGCACCCCTTTGCCTTTTTGCACTGGTACATTGTTCTTTACTTACGCTCCACGTACCATTTGCGAAAGAACGGGGTGTAAGAGTATGTCATGTTCTTTTGCATACGTGTATCGATCACCATCTACATTTTTCAAGGTTTTGGTACTGGTTTTCAATATGATTACATATATACTCTTAAATGGCAAAACAATGTGTTTCTATGCTGTAAATTACAAACAAAATTCATCTCCTCATCTGTATTTCGCTGCAATAAAATTGCATCACAATGCTTTGCAGACCATTGTGACATCATTGTTACCATGATGTCACAATCAAATGACATCACTAATGGCTCTGCTACTGAAGCTGTTAGCAGTACTTTTTCCACGTAAGACACTGCTCATTACTGTCTACAAACTGCAAAAGTTGGAAGGATGATATTGGATGATAACTAAAATCTCACCCTCGTGTCTTTTGATATTAAACATATCAACACACTCGTTGATAGAAATGACACTCGGGTGAGATTCTCTCTATATATTTCAGACTTCAGGTCGGGTCCAGTTCGTTGCGGACATACCTCCTGCTCCACAAGAAGTGGCTGCATCATTCGTCATCAGCAGGGTTGGCAACGCCGAGATCGACACTGTAGATACATCTGTAGCCATGGTAACCCAAACAGATTAATAAACTGAATTCAAATATATTCGTAAAATATCAATTATTTTCTTGAAGGACAAGTGTAGTTTTAAATCTGTTAAAAGTGATTAGTGTTTTCATTAACTTTGTATTAAGATCTGGAAAATATTTGCATTATTAATGTATAAGAGCAGTTCTGTGTCTCCTTCCAAAATATTGTTTTATCCTTCTTGCTACGGACCTTTAAATAGTGAGCTGTCTTCATGAATGATGTTGGTAATGTGTGTCATGAAAAACACATGGATTCCAATTGTCTGGCCATGCACAGTACCAATATTCCCCTATAGATCTGACAGAACACACTAGCTTCTATCTGTGTGTGAAAGTGTTAAAAGATGATATGAGTCGATGTTGTAACACTCTTATGATCAGTACTGACAATCCTAGCAAAGGCCCAAAGCAGGTGAGAACGATAATTGATACACAGAAGAGTGGCCAACTTGCATGATCAACTCGATCAGATGTCAATTAGACGGGATGCAATGGGATAGCACATGCATGTACCGAAGTTAATAAGGTCGACCAATTGTTAGTCTCCATCATGAAATAATAGTTTCTTTACATTTCTGTGATAAGTTAAGGTTGATTATGGGTAGTGTTCGTCCAGCTTGCTAATGATGAAACATCGGTTACGTAGTCAATGTTACTATAACATGAACCATCGCGCTGTGCAACGTTCACCTGGATTTGGGTTCCAACAAACTACGACCTGCACTGGTTAGGTTTTTCATCAAGTCAGTTTCTGCTAAAAGCAATGTATATATTCCTCACATAACCTCTTTCTTTTGAAAAGGACCATTTTACAAAAGCAAAGCAGCTTGAATGAAAGCATGAATCAAGTGCAAAATTTTACTTACAGTGCTGTCTAAATAAGTGAATGAGAATGACTTATTTTAACCCCGCTTTGAACACTATTTCTGCTCTATCACAATTGTGAGCTTAATGTTTGGGGAGGTCAAAGTGCCGATGGTACCCGCGATTCCTGATGGTGCCAATAAATGAGGAATCACTGATCACATTCATGCCAAATTTTAAATTTTGAATCCACATCAGCGGATCATGGTGTTCAAGTGATGCTATTCTGCAATGTTTATAAATAGTTCTTAATTACAATAAATAATTGGACATGGATCCAGAAAATGAGGAATGACAAAATAATTCCTTGTATGCAGCTTGATACTTAATCATGCTATCTTTGTTTCCACAGTCCTATCCGGGAGCGCTCAAGTATATATCTGCAGCAGATATACCGACCGGAGGACTGAACAATTTCAGAGAAGCCACCGCCCTTGCTGAGGAGGTACTGACTAGAAGAAGATGTACACTCGATGTTGTGCACTTCAATTTAACTACTGTCTTTGTTTGCATTGATTTTATTTTGAATCCACCCTCATTGATATGTTCTGTCGTTTCAATCAAACAAACTAAATAACTACACAGCCTATATGTTCTTTATTTCTTATGAAAGGACATTGGGAAGCATTACTTAAGGTTCAAATTTCAATGATGTCAATCATCCATACTGGAATGGATATGCGATTTACCACGGTATGGTAAATGCAACTCAAACATTACAAAACAACCAAATTAAAACACACCCTTCATAACCGATATGCAATCAATATAAGGACCTTCAAATTAATGCTTTTGAAACCATAGTTAGTTGTCGACATAAACATGTGTTATTAGTACCCATATGGGATTACAATTTGATTTCATATTATAGATTAAAGGAAAGTTATATCCGATTTAGTCATATGTGAAGTGAACTGCACTTAAGGTGGACATTAATCTGCGTTTGTCAATAGTTGTCCACTGTGTGGCTAAAAGATTATGCATTTATTTGGAAATTAGTTACAGCTGTTAAAAATTATGTCTCAATCCCTTTCATTTTGCCAGCTGTTCTGCAGTGGACGGGTTCTGTACAGTGGACAGCCAATCGGTCTCATTGTGGCAGGTAGAGAACCTTGACACGACCACAGTATTTGGACTGTATCATCCTCTAGCTGTCATTTATCTGGAATAGTGATGTGTAAAACATCAAAGAGATAAAACAAAACATAATGTGTATTTGATCATTATAGTTTCAAAAGCTTTGAACTATCTTGTTCTGAATAAAACAACTAATACCTGGTATCATTGTACATACATGTTCAGGAACATACATACATTTAAAATGATTTTAGTTCATTTATCAGTTGTCAAACCAGGCATATTTATCTTGTCATGTTGATGACGTTTGTTTAACCTTCATTGTGACCTCATTGTATGTTTTACCTGCGCGCTTTTCCATGAAGATCAGACATGTTATGTATGGTATGACTCCAAATTGTTTTGGTTCGTGTCACTCATGACTGGAACAAAACAAGTAAATCATCACCCAACCAAACAAACAAAACAAACGAATTTGAAACATTTGTCTCGAGACATTATTTCTTGAAGCTAATATGTGTGAGTATTAGGAATTGACTTCAATATGTTTTGCGTTATGAAGGTATAGACTCAAAAGTCTCTGTGCAAACTGTGTAAATTCGCGTATATTTACATAATAAGTCAAATAGTCAATTCTTATAAATAAATACGTCCAAAATAATAGTGAGTGAGTGAGTGAGTATGGTTTTACGCCGCTTTTAGCAATATTCCAGCAATATCACGGCGGGGGACACCAGAAATGGGCTTCACACATTGTACCCACCAAAATAATAACTTCACAGACAGCTTATTTCTTCATTAACACATAAAAACGGTATACGACAACACGAAATTAGTGACATAGCTAAGCGCAAAAAGGCAACACAAGCCCCGCCCGTTCTGTTATCAGCCAATCAGGAAATAGTAGTCCATTAGCAGGCGTGGCCTATCTTTTTCGGGATATGGAAACATTAACAGTAAGAATTTTGCTTGGTTAACAAATCAAATTTCACTTGCACTTTATCTATTTTCAGTGGACAAACTATCAGCGGACACAGCAGCCAGCATGGTGAAAGTTACCTACAAGAACGTCCAGCCTCCCATCATTACAATGGAAGATGCCATTCAGAAGAAATCCATATTTCCAAATGTTGCCCAAGAGCTAAAAGTTGGCGATGCTGCAGGTGCCCAATTATTCTGTAGATATCGGTTTCAGTACATCAAGCTGAATCTTGTTATGAATATTTTTAAAGTGACCAGTCATATTGTTTCACTGATTTAATTATGTAAGCCCGGTGAACAAGTCACTGAACAGACAACGGAAAATGTTGAAATTGTTGTTGTTTTCAGCTGCAATAGCTGGGTCTGACAAACAGATAACTGGCACCATCAAGATAAAACATCAGTACCATTTCCACCTGGAAACACAGGTCAGTCATATACCGAGAGATCACATGAGTTCTAATGTCATGGCGAGATGTATGTTTATATGTATGGATTGGTTGTCTTGTTGGATTGTTGTTTTACGCCGCACTCCATTCACGTCAAGAGGTGGCACCAGTGATGAGCTTCACATTTTAAACGTCGATTATCTTACCAAACAGATTCCAATGGGCGTAAAAAGCAAAATAGCGGTGAAAATAATATGAAAATATTTCTGAAAAGCAGTCATGACACCAGGTGTTCACGAAAAGGGTAGGCATATACAGTAAAGCACGATATTTCATGTACATGTGCAGTATCTCAAGTGGTTCAGGATATGATATGGTAAGGTGCAGTTGTGTAGGATATCCACTTGACACGTGTTTCTAGTTACACATATCCCCCTCGTCCCATTCAGCCTAGAAAAGTCATTAATGTCCTACCCTTTTATTATAAGTTTCTCGTTGTCATCGGGTGAGATATCCGTAGAGCTTGAGTTTATATGTTGGGTTAGAATATGTGTACATGACTAGATACATTACAGAGGCTTTGGGTTAATCATTCTAAAGATATATAGCTACAGGATTTAATAAGTGAGCATGTCGCCACCACCCACCATGCACCTCTCACACCCACCCCCATCGACAACACCCGACAATCACACAATTTGCTTTAAAAAGAACGGTGATATAATCAATGACGAAGTTACGGTTCCTACTTAATCAATGTTGTAGTTACGGTTCTTACTCGATCAATGTTGTAGTTACGGTTCTTACTTGATCAATGTTGTAGTTACGGTTCTTACTCGATCAATGTTGTAGTTACGGTTCCTACTTAATCAATGTTGTAGTTACGGTTCTTACTCGATCAATGTTGTAGTTACGGTTCTTACTTGATCATTGTTGTAGTTACGGTTCTTACTCGATCAATGTTGTAGTTACGGTTCCTACTTAATCAATGTTGTAGTTACGGTTCTTACTCGATCAATGTTGAAGTTACGGTTCCTACTTAATCAATGTTGAAGTTACGGTTCTTACTCGATCATTGTTGTAGTTACGGTTCTTACTTGATCAATGTTGTAGTTACGGTTCTTACTCGATCAATGTTGTAGTTCCGGTTCTTACTCGATCAATGTTGTAGTTACGGTTCTTACTCGATCAATGTTGTAGTTACGGTTCTTACTCGATCAATGTTGTAGTTACGGTTCTTACTCGATCAATGTTGTAGTAACGGTTCTTACTCGATCAATGTTGTAGTTCCGGTTCTTACTCGATCAATGTTGTAGTTACGGTTCTTACTCGATCAATGTTGTAGTTACGGTTCTTACTCGATCATTGTTGTAGTTACGGTTCCTACTTAATCAATGTTGTAGTTACGGTTCTTACTCGATCATTGTTGTAGTTACGGTTCTTACTCGATCAATGTTGTAGTTACGGTTCTTACTCGATCAATGTTGTAGTTACGGTTCTTACTCGATCGATGTTGTAGTTACGGTTCTTACTCGATCAATGTTGTAGTTACGGTTCTTACTCGATCGATGTTGTAGTTACGGTTCTTACTCGATCAATGTTGAAGTTACGGTTCCTACTTAATCAATGTTGAAGTTACGGTTCTTACTCGATCATTGTTGTAGTTACGGTTCTTACTCGATCATTGTTGTAGTTACGGTTCTTACTCGATCAATGTTGTAGTTACGGTTCTTACTTAATCAATAAAGTTGTTACACTTCCTATTTAATCAATGACGTAGTTGCGTTTCCTACTTACTTAATGACGTTGTTACCTTCCATCTTTATAGATGATGTAGTTATGTTTCCTACTTATCAAATTATGTAATTACATTTCCTGCTTTACTAATAGTTACCGTTCCTACTTTGGCTTGGTGTTTCCTGCTTAATCAATGGCGTTGTTACGTTTTCTACTTCATCATCCTTGTATGTCCCGAAAAGGCTCTGTATAATTACACTGTGTTAGGTGTAAAATATCCTTGCCTAATGCACTGTGTTAGATGTAATACGTTATTGCATGGACTGTGTTGGCTATGCATAACACACTGTGTTAGGTGTAACATTTCCTTGCATGTCAGGCACAGGCTATGCATAATGTACGTGTTACATGTCCTTGCCTGGCTGGTATAGGTGTAACAAATATCTACTTTCCAGTTCTGCCTGTGCTACCCAGCTGAGGATGGGGTGGGAGTACATCTCTACTCGGCCACACAGTGGTCAGACCTTGTCCAACAGTCCGTAGCCAGAGTACTTAACATCACGGAAAGCAGGTATCTGTGATTATTGGTTGTTTAACGTCACACTAATAAATAATCCAGCGAAATGACGGTGGTCCGTACATTCTCGAGTCTGGACCAAACAACTAGTGATTGATATTATGAGCAACGTTCCACCCCGACAGGATGCATTGACATACAATGAACCAGACCACTGTGCTGACCGTCATAGTTCCATAATCACACATGTACATACAGAAATCTGAGATCGTACCCTACCCATTGGCAATTTAATCAGGTTTGCTCTAAACATGTTAGGCATAGAGAAATCAAGTCCCTTTAACAAAAAGAGGTTATCCTTTGTCCAAACAGCGTATAATTACAGAAAGAGAAGCACACAAATAAAACATGAATGTTTACTCTATTGTTCCACTGTAAATATGCTTAAATGGGGCATGTGTTCACATTTTATAGCGTAAGTGTGAAGGTCAAGCGTCTTGGAGGATCTTTTGGAGGGCGGATAACACGAGCGAATATGACAGCGTGTGCTGCTGCTCTCGCCACGCACGTCATGAAAAGGTGGGTTGAATACTGCTTTTCTGGTATCTAAGGTATTCTGTATCTCTGTGTGCGTGTGTTTGTTTGTCTGGGTGTGTCTGTGTGGTCTGTGTCTGTGTGTCTGAGTGTGTATGTGTCTATGTTTGTCTGCGTGTCTCTGTTTGTCTGCGTGTCTTTGTTTGTCTGCGTGTCTTTGTCTCTGTGTTTGTGTGTCTGTGTCTGTGTATGTATGTGTGTGTCTGGCTGCGTGTGTCTGTGTCTCTGTGTCTGTGTGTGTCTATGTATGTCTGTGTGTGTCTGCGTGTGTCTGTTTGTCTACGTGTCTGTCTGTGTGTGTGTCTGTATGTGCCTGTGCATGTGTGTGTGTCTGTCTGTCTGTGTATCTGTGTCTCTTTGTATGTCTGTGTGTGTCTGCGTGTGTCTGTTTGTGAGTATCAGTGCCTGTGGGTGTCTGTGTATGTCTCTGTGTGTATGTTCAATATTAATGCAACACGAAATTTTAAGTAATTTTTGGAATGTTTATGGTTAATGACTGAGACAAAAGATTCCACTCGTGTCCTAATAACAGAGACGTTGAATTGTTATGTTTCAAACTTTCAGACCTGTCCGCCTGAATATGAATTTCCATACCAACATGAAGACAATTGGAAAACGTTATCCGTACCTGGCGAATTACACAGTAAGAGATAAATGAAAATGCCAGTGTCACGTTCCTCCATTTCAACTAATGTAGACAAGAACAGGATCCGCTTAATTATCATCGGTCCAATTCTGGGTTCTGAAAGTACTTCAGTTTGAAGTGTGCCACGTTAGTCACCTCCCTTTGCTATAATGGCTTGAGATATGATACGCAGCTGCCGGGGTCAGGGGTGGCCCAGTCGTCTGAAGCGCCGCGATTTGCCGTGCAGAGTTGCGTCCCTTGGGCACGCCAGAAACCTATGATTGTGGGTTCGAATCCCGGTTCGCCGCGATTATGTTTCTAGTTTTGTTAGCACTATACCCGTGCTTATGGGTTTCACCAAAGTGGTAAACGTCTGAGACCTGCATCACTTCGGGCTTTCCTCCCACATTAAGCTGACACGCCGTGATATAACTGGAACACTGCTAAAAGCGGCGTTAAACCCAACTCACTCACTCACTCACCCATACACCCACCCACCCACCCACTCACCCACCCACTCACCCAACCACTCACCCACCCACCCACCCACCTTCTCACTCACTCACTCACTCACTCACTCACTCACTCACTCACTCACTCACTCACTCACTCACTCACTCACTCACTCGCCCACCCACCCACTCACTCACTCACCCACTCACTCACTCACTCACTCACCCACCCACCCACCCACTCACTCACCCACCCACTCACTCACTCACTCACCCACCCACCCACTCACCCACTCACTCACTCACTCACTCACTCTGACAGCAGCCATGGTTGAGCGATGCAAGTGATGTCATCATTATTTAGTATCTTTTACGAAGATTTGTCTTTCCCAAACCGTATATCCCCGTGTTAAGTTCTAAGACCCAGAAGGCCAATGTGTGTTTAACGCCGCAGTCACCAATACAGTATACACCCATGTTTGATCGTGGCTAAATATGAGACAAACAATAAACCGTTATTCATTGGAGATGCATTAGATACGGGAATCATAGGTGTGATTTGGGTCTTACGCTTGCGGTGTTTCGGCCTTATATTTTCAGCCTAGTAACGTTTTGATAACGTTTGTAATTCATGTTTGAAGTGCATACTTTCCTTTGCCCAGAGGTTTACATCATGGCGGAACTAGTGGTATTTATATGGTCACTGGATATTTTGAATTCATATTCAGGAATGTTTGGAGCCATGGCAGGAACAAAAAATATTGTCCTTGATGATATTCCTGCCATTGTGAAGATTGGGCTTTGAGTGGATTTGAATGCGTGATCCACCGCCTGTCAAGATATCCTTTGTGGCAAGATATATGAGACATGTTGTTATAATAGGAACAGTCTGCTGTTTATGATGTGGCTGACTCGGAACAATGTCTTATCACTCACTCCGTATCATTTCTCTGTAGACCGCCTCCGTGGTCTAGTGGTAGAGCGTCCGCCCGGAGAGCGGAAGGTCCGGGGTTCGATCCCCGGCCGCGTCATACCAAAAGACGTTAAAAGATGGTACTTGTTGTTACCCTGTCTGGCGCTCGGCATTAAGGGGCTAAAACAAGGACTGGTCGGCTCGGAGTCAGTATACTGTGTCTGAGTGGGGTATTCATGCTAAACCGCATGCGGCATGGTATCTCAGTGAGCTAGCACTATAAATCGGCATCAGTCCGGACTAGTACAAGCAGCCACACAAACACACACACACACACGTACATGCACGTCGCTATATAAGAGCAATAATCTTGGACGCGACGTTAAACCCCACCTCACCTCACCTAATTTCTCTGTATCCAGATCGGGGTCAGCAATGATGGGAAACTTAATGGCATCCAGCTTACAGCCCATGCTGACTGTGGAATATCACCCAATGACTGTTACTTTCTTGACTTTCCTGGACATATGGACAACGGTGATACATGAGCACACTCATAATTTTAAGAAATAATGTTTGTTTCAATTTGTAATGTCGCTGTAACCCTTATGTAGTTATTTGGCTGAAAAAAACCAAAATAAAACTATTTATGGATACTTTGGCATTTAATGGTATGTGCTATTTCTTTGGGGTATATTCATAGCTCATTTGTGACACAAATGATTTAATGATTGATACATTTCGACATATCTCAAGAGTAATTATTACCGTGCAGATTGGTCTGTTATTTAACATATAAGAGTAAGTTATTATCCTTAGGTTGTTTAAGGTGATTTCAACAAGGCACTGCGTATTGTGCACACTGGTGTCGAATCTTTTCAGCATACTACTGTCCAGCATGGGATTTCACACCTGTAGCCCTAAAGACCAATCTCCCTACCAACACATATTGCAGGGGGCCAGGTAATTGCCATTCATAATACATATGTAGACATGATTCCAGTTTAAACATCTGGGACTTTCAGCTGGTTGTTGGTTGGTTGGTTGGTTTGTTGTTTAACGCCGCATTCAGCAATATTCCAGCAATATGACGGCGGTCTGTAAATAATCGAGTCTGGACCAGACAATCCAGTGATTGACATCATGGGCATCGATCCACGCAATTTGGATCCATGACATGCATCAACCAAGTCAGCGAGCCTGACCACCCGATCCCGTTAGTCGCCTTTTACGACAAGCGTAGTCACCTTTTACGGCAAGCATCGGTTGCTGAAGACCAATTCTACCCCGGAATCTTCACGGGTCACTTTCAGCTGGAATAGAAGTGATAAACATTTGTGCTGTTAATGCTACTATAATGATCTTTAAAGGTTACCTTTTTCATTCATTCATTCATTCATTCAGTCATCACCGCTGACGGGGTTACGGGTGGCCCAGTCGTCTAAGGCGCCGCTATTCGCCGTGCAGAGTTGCGTCCCTTGGGCACGCCAGAAACCTATGATTTTGGATTCCGATTCACCCCGATTATGTTTCTAGGTTTGTCAACACCATATCCGTGCTCGTGGATTTCACCAAAGTGGTAAACGCCTGAGACCTGCATCACGTCGGGCTCTCCTCCCTCACTAAGCTGACATGCCATGATATAACTGGAATACTGTTAAAAGCGGCGTTAAACCCAACTCACTCACTCACTCACTCATCACCGCTGACGGTTATGACAGCAGTTGAAAACCACGAAATATCTGCCCATCACAGTAATCCTGTTCTTTCGGGTGTTCATGAAAGAGTAACTAAATATCCTCAGGATACAGATATACTAATTGCAGCGTTGACCACTATTATAATGACCACAGCGTAAGCGTTTATAATTTGTCCAACGTATGGGTCATATATTATGGAAGGACGGTTACATACAAATTGCAGTATCTTTTAATGTTCCTCATGTTTTCTTTCAGGATCCGTTCCATCAATTTTCATGATGGAAACGATGATGGATCACGCCGCCAAAGTCTTGGACATGGATCCGCTGATGTTCAGGAAGCTGAACCTGTTCAACAAAGGCCAGGTGAGTTAATGTCAGAAAGTTCTTTCCCTCAACTAGACTGCATGTGCTGCACCTGGCTGAAAAAGAATAAAAGCGACAAAGCTCTTTCCATTTTCATAACAAATTTCTCCCAAAAGCAAAGCCGATGGTACGATTCCGACATCATCATGAGCTTTATGATTTACTTTTGTTTGTTTGTCTGTTGTTTAACGCCACACTCACCAATATTCCAGCTATTTGACCGGGCCCACCGGTGGCAACCGTCACAAACACATGCAAAGAAATGTAAAGAAAACACCTGAAAAAACAAGGGAATATATGGTACAAGTCAAAATAGGGAATAGCATCGAACATCATTCTTGTCATTGACCACATCTCGAAATGTCCCCCACAGGTCTACCATAAAACTGTTTGTGTTTGAAAGCTTCAATGAGCCCTTGAAGGTTTTAACCTTGATCATACAGCTTCTGAGCAAGAGTCGTTTGAGGCTCTTTGAACTCTTGGTAGAAAGAGCATGCTCGATTGTACCTCAGAAGTTGTGAGGGGCGGTCGGGTAGTCTAGTGGTTAAAGCGTTCGCTCGTCACGCCGAAGACCCGGGTTCGAATCCCGACACGGGTACAATGTGTGAAGCCCATTTCTGGTGTCCCCCGTCGTGATATTGCTGGAATATTGCTAAAAGCGGCGTAAAACCATACTCACTCTCACTCACTCTCTCAGAAGTTGTCAAATGTAGACACCAAGGGCTGGAGTTGCAGGAATATTGCTCGACATAAAGGGAAAGTTGAATGTGGAACGTTGAAGTCATCCCTCTTGTCATAGAATCCTGTTGAGAGTGTTTTGTCACTCTGAATCTCTATTCATAGATTTAAATATGAAACAGGTGAAACTCCTGGTCTCGTTTATTTCTAGTTCAGGTTGGTAAATCAGTGGAATGAAATTTGCCATTTATGGTTATTAGACAAAATCAGACCATCGATATACCTGAAACTTAAGTTGAACTTCTTGGCCAGATTACCTTGTTTTGTCTTCGCCAATCCGAGCAGAAATTGCGATTCATGTGTATGATGAAACAGATCAGCAAGACGAAGAGCACAATTGATGCATGGGGATGGATACTTCTTGCCAAATGTCTTACCCAAACAATTAGGACGTCCAGCATTTCATATATTGTTTTATCATTGTTTTGGTATTGGCTTTATTTTTTGGCAAACTGACCTGAACATCTGAAGATAGATACGTAACTGTATCTATTGTCACCACGTTTTGTAACAAAAGCGCAATGGATCAAGGAAGGAAGTGTTTCTTCAAGTTCGTCATGTTAGTTAGTTGTGTTCAAAGTTCCTTTCTGAGAAAGGAAATCCTTTGAGTCATGGAGAATCCACATGGTATTTATTCCACCTGTCGCAAATACATAAATACATATGAATATAAAAAAATCCTTCCTTGATTGTATTAAGGATTGTGATTAATCGTTGCAACAGGGTTTGGTGTACATTTGCTGGAACCTGCAATATACCTCTCTGTGTACGGATTGTTATGGAGCTTTGCAATCCAGTACAAATGAGGAATGGACCAACCTTCAGGTTTTAGAGTCAAGTAAAAAATTTAGAATACTGATGCATGGTTTGGGCAAGTTTCTTCCTCAGTACATACTGGCCTTAAATGTTGCATTATTTTATAGGTCACTTATACCAAGTTCTTTGATCAAACAATTAATGCAATCATGCTTACGTGTAAGATCCGAAGTGAAAAGTTTGAAAAGTTGTTTTCAATTAAGACTGTACAAAGTTTGTTTTTGTTCTTCCTCAGACAACTGTCGATGGAAGGGTTCTGAAGTACTGCAACATCAAGGCTATTGTGGCTCAGCTGGAGGCGTGGGCCGATGTCAAGGCCAGAAAACAACAGGTGGCAACATTCAACCAGGTAAATATACTTCTATTTTGTTTTACTCTGAAGAATATTTGATTATTAAAACATCGAATCAGCTTCAAAACTTGACTTTATTGTAGTCAAAAACGATAAGAAGTGCATCTGATCCTGAGGCTATTACAAGTTTTGTGTTAATATTGCTGATAATGGTGATTCCAATGTGAAAGATGTAACCCCAAAATCGTTGTACAGAACTGAATCGTGAAATTGGTGAAATCCTCAAGTATCCCTCGTGTTGAACCTATGTCATCACGAAACTACTCGAACGATAAAGCTGTCAACAACTGAGGGAGGTACCTGTAAGTCACACACCCAAATATTTGAGGAGCGTTTCACCCATTTGCTGCCACTGATAGACTCTACAAATAAACTAACAACAAAACTTCAACATAACAGTTACAAACATAAAAAAGAAGGATGAAAAAGAGCAGAATATTTTACTCTTGACAGTGTTACATGGTTCATAAGTCAGCACAGATGTCTATTAAACTATGTAAGGTTCAAATGATATTCCAAATAGCTACGTGACCCGTGAAGATTCCGGGGTAGAATAGGTCTTCAGCAACCAATGCTTGCCGTAAAAAGGCGACTGTGCTTGTCGTAAAAGGCGACTAACGGGATCGGGTGGTCAGGCTCGCTGACTTGGTTGATACATGTCATCGGTCCCAATTGCGTGGATCGATGCTCATGATATTAATCACTGGATTGTCTGGTCCAGACTCGATTATTTACAGACCGCCGTCATATAGCTGTAATATTGCTGAGTGCGGCGTTAAACTACAAACCAACCAACCAACCAACCAACCAAATAGCTACGTGATATATTGTTCTGCAAACACCTCCACCTATCAGAAAATACAATTGTGAAACTTGAAGGAGTAACCGGGAATGTATTCTGTCTGAGACATAAAATTCTTTTCTTTCACTCACACAATTTGATTTCTAGGCCAACCGATGGAAGAAGAAGGGCATTGCGGTGATGCCTATCCGATGGAACGTGGACTATCGCCATGAAACGTTCAACGTCTACCTGACTGTCTACCACGGGGATGGGTCCGTGGCCCTCTCAATCGGTGGCGTGGAAATGGGACAGGGAATCAACATAAAGGTTGTTCAGTTAATGAAAATAAAAGAAACAGTATTCATATACGCATCTCACAGATATACGGGGCGGTCGGGTAGCCTAGTGGTTAAAGCGTTCGCTCGTCACGCCGAAGACCCGGGTTCGATTCCCGACATGGGTACAATGTGTGAAGCCCATTTCTGGTGTCCCCCGCCGTTATATTGCTGGAATATTGCTAAAAGCGGCTTAAAACCTTACTCACTCACTCTCAGAGATATACAATAGCATACAAGAGCTACAGTGCCATCTTTATCAGAATTCGTAGGTCACCAGTATCCCTGATTGTCGTAAGAGCCAACTAAAAGGGGCACCGGGTGCGCATGATCTGTAATTTGGTTGATACTGTTACTTGCATGATGCCATTATGGCGTGGATCGTTGCTCATGCTTTCTCTTTGCCTTGTCCAGACTCGATTATTTACAGGCCACCATGTTGACGACTCTGTGTTTGCGTGTATGCTTGTTTGTTGTTTAACACCGTGCTCAGCAATATTCAAGCTTTATGTAAATAATCGAGTTTGGACCAGACAATCCAGTGATTGGCATCATGAGCATCGATCTACGCAATTGGGAAACGATGACATGCATCAACCAAGTCAGCGAGCCTGACCATCCGATCCCGTTAGTCGCCTCTTATGACAAGCATGGGTTGCTGTTATATTGTTATATATCTGTTATACTGTTACTTTTGAATGTATGTTATACTGTTATACATATATTATAGACCCTTGAAGATCCGGGGTAGAATAGGTCTTCAGCAACCCATGCTAGCCGTAAAAGGCGTCTATAGCTGGAATATTGCTGAGTGCGGCGTAAAACAACAAACCAACCAACCAACATATATTATACTGTTATATATTACTTTTACTCGAACAGTTTATAACTAAAGTTAAATACACAAGGATTTGAATACTTGAAATTGCTTACAGATGATGCAAGTATGTGCCTTTGAGCTGGGTATCCCAATGGATACGATCAAGGTTAAAGCAACGAACACCCTGTCCGACTCTAACTCGTTCACTACTGGAGGCAGCATCACGACCGAAATAAATGCTTTGGTAAGAATGTATCTTTATATTGACCAGGATTTTAGAACGTTCAGTTGTGTTAGTTTTCGGTTAAGGTGGAGTGCTCATTGCCTCTTACTGTCGTTCGTCGGAATTGTGCAAGCAGCTTTTTATGTATTTGTATTAGTGGTAGAGCGGAAGGTCCGGGGTTCGATCCCCGGCCACGTCATACAAAAAGACTTTAAAAGATGGTACTTGTTGTTACACTGTCTGGCGCTTAGCTTTTAGGGGCTCAATCAAGGACTCGTCGGCTCGGAGTCAGTATAAAGTGTCTGAGTGGGGTATTCATGTTAAACTGTGGCATGGTATCTCAGTGAGCCAGCTCTACAAATCGGCATCAGCCCGAGCTAGGACAAGCAGACACACACACACGCACGCACGGACGCACACGTGCATGAACGTCGCTATATAAGCGTAAATATCTTGGACGCGACGTTAAACCCCATTTCACCTCACATTACATGTATGAACTCCTTAAAGCAGATGACAAAGACAAAAAGTTGCTTTGACTTTCTTAAATCTCTTACATTTGATCTTTGTTTCACTGAGGTTGCATACCATATTAAACATTTGTTGCACGTTTGCGTTCAACGTATTCACTCAATCATTATCTCAACTAGCTGGCAAATAACGATGTTGTCAAGCTTTCGAATATTTTCTTAAAGGGGGTCGTGCAGTGTTGTCAACAGCTGAAGGCTCGGCTGGCTCCGGTCAAAGCCAAGATGGTCAACCCTACCTGGCAACAGCTTGCTGCTCAGTGCTACAAACAAGGGGTGGATCTGTCAGCCAGAAGCTCGTAAATATGCCATTCACAATAAGATATGCGTTGCTCTAAAAACAAACTGCACAATTGTAAGTGATGACGCCGAAGTGATAGAGACGCGCAGAATGAGTGAGAGAGTGAGTTTGGTTTTACGCCGCTTTTAGCAATATCCCAGCAATATCACGGCAGAGGACACTAGAAATGGGCTTCACACATTGTACCCATGTCGGGTATCGAACCCGGGTCTTCGGCCTGACGTGCGAACGCTTAAACCACTAGGCTATCCGACCGCCCCACGCGCAGAATGAGATGATGGTAGTCGTTGTGTTGATGCTGTTGTGATGGAGCCGCGGAGAAAAGGATTTTCCATAGTCGTTGTGATGGTACCCTTGTGATATAGATGCCGACAGCGACGCACAAGACAAGATTATTCATAGTCGTCATAATGGTGACATAGAAACACACAAGGCAAGATGCTTCATAGCAAAGTTTTCCTAGTCTTAATATCGACGATGAAGTTACTATATTATAAATGACCATAATGATGAATTAATACATATTGTTTTTTTGCGCCGCATCCACAGGACATAAGGATGGCGGAACTGGTTGGTTGTGCTTGGTCAGTTCCAATCATTAGTTTTATACAGGAAGCTAAAATCGGTACGATATTTGACCAAAATGCCTGCCATATAAAACTCTGGGAGATCAAATGTGCTTCATGCAGAGTCAAAAGTTGGGCGTTATGAGGCAATATTTTGTTACACGAGGTTATTTACGGATCAAGAAATCTCTAGACGCGTTACATTGATTTCATCTTTTTTCAGAACCTTTCCAACAGGAGACTTCAGTAACTACAACATTTACGGTGCCATATGCACTGAAGTTGAAGTAGACATCCTGACCGGGGAGAACCAGATCAACAGAGTGGACCTTCTGTATGACTGTGGAGAAAGGTGAGACCAACAGACTTGACCTTCTGTGTGTGATTGGAGAGAGGTGAGACCAACAGACTTGACCTTCTGTATGACTGTGGGGAGAGGTGAGACAACAGAGTGGACCTTCTGTATGACTGTGGAGAATGGTGAGACCAACAGAGTGGACATTCTGTGTGACTGTGGAGAGAGGTGAGATCAACAGAGAAGACATTCTGTATGACTGGGGAGAGAGGTGAGACCAACAGATTTGGCCTTCTGTGTGACTGTGGAGAGAGATGAGACCAACAGAGTGGACCGTTTGTATGACTGGGGAGAGAGGTGAGACAACAGACTTGACCTTCTGTATGACTTTGGGGAGAGGTGAGACAACAGAGTGGACCTTCTGTATGACTGTGGAGAATGGTGAGACCAACAGAGAAGACATTCTGTGTGACTGTGGAGAGAGGTGAGATCAACAGAGAAGACATTCTGTATGACTGGGGAGAGAGGTGAGACCAACAGATTTGGCCTTCTGTGTGACTGTGGAGAGAGATGAGACCAACAGAGTGGACCGTTTGTATGACTGGGGAGAGAGGTGAGACAACAGAGTTCACATCGCGTATGACTGTAGAGAGAATTGAGGCCAAACAGACTTGACCTGTATGACTGTAGAGAGAATTGAGGCCAAACAGACTTGACCTGTATGACTGTAGAGAGAATTGAGGCCAAACAGACTTGACCTGTATGACTGTAGAGAGAATTGAGGCCAAACAGACTTGACCTGTATGACTGTAGAGAGAATTGAGGCCAAACAGACTTGACCTGTATGACTGTAGAGAGAATTGAGGCCAAACAGACTTGACCTGTATGACTGTAGAGAGAATTGAGGCCAAACAGACTTGACCTGTATGACTAGAGAGAATTGAGGCCAAACAGACTTGACCTGTATGACTACAGAGAGAATTGAGGCCAAACAGACTTGACCTGTATGACTGTAGAGAGAATTGAGGCCAAACAGACTTGACCTGTATGACTGTAGAGAGAACTGAGGCCAAACAGACTTGACCTGTATGACTGTGGAGAAGGTGAGATCAACAGCGTGGACCCTCGGTATGACCGTAGAGAGAGCTGAGATTAACAGAGTGGACCTTCTGTATGACTGTTGAGAGAGGTGAGAGCAACAGAGATGACCTTCTGTGTGAGCACGGCAGAAATGTCTTCATGACCGTTTCCATAACCAGGCGGTTATTTCTTCAAGCTGGGAATAGGTGGAAAGCTGACGGTGCCAAATCTGATGATACGGAGTATGTTCATTGAGTTCGAATCCACAGTCATACATTATGGCTGTGGGGGAAACAGATTTGTGCACAGGAAAAACACATCTTCTGCGAGTTTTCCAAGATGTTTAGTATTGAATGTCCTAACATGTTGTCTTACCAGATTAGCATAAGATTGGCCATTAAAGGTCAGATCTTTCGGTAGGTAGTCTACAAGTAGCAATCCTTTGGAATCCCAGAAACCGAAGTCATCACCTTTCCAGCTGATGGAACAGAATTTGCCTTCTTCTGAGGAGGAAACGTTGGCTGTTTCCGTTGCTGTTACTGTTTGTAGTCCCTGGCTGACATTGGTGAATCCAATACTCCCCCATGGTGAACAGAATCATCTGGGTCTGCTTCAAGACGAAGTACATTCTCACAAAAGATGACAAACCTGGGGCGTTACTAGTCAGAAGTCGGAAGTCTTGGTACCCAGCATGATTAAACCTCTGTCCTGCTCAGTACATTCCTCAGAATGTTTTCATTGCTCTAATGAGATATGCCTACTGTATTGTCTATGTGACGTGTGGTGAGTCGTCGTAAGGGCGGTCGGGTAGCCCAGTGGTTAAAGCGTTCGCTCGTCAACTGGGTTCGATTCCATTGGTACAATGCGTGATATTGCTGGAATATTGCTAAAAGCGCCGTAAAACCATACTCACTCACTCACTGTGGTGAGTCGTCGGTCATCCATAATTATAAACTGTATCAAAAAACATTTTCCTTAGTGTCGGCATTTGAAGGTCTTGGGCCATCTTCGAGGCTTTCTCTTCCCCTCTTCTCCACGTTTGCGAAAGAAGGGTAATCAAACCCTAGAGTGCGTGGATGGCTATTGGAGCCCTTTCAGTTAGAGATACTTGAAGACAGCACAGTGGCCAGTTTTGTCTATTCTCATGAAGAGAGATACTAGCCATTTTGATTCCTCCAGAAACATGCTGTCTGGTTCTGTATTTCCTTCACATGCACGCTGTTAGCATGGAAAGTATTGTACTTGATACAGGTTAACTGTCAAGACTGTACATCATTCGTAGTTGGGTTCAGAACGTTTCAGCAACCCCTCATACAATGGGGTGCGGCAACAAAGGCGATGTGTAAAGGTGGAAAGATTATGGTTACTGCGTGTAATTTTTATTTCGATCAGTTTGAAAGTAGAAGAGTGTGTTGTTGAGGTATGTGTTGTGATATATGGATGACCAATGTTTCATTATTGGCCGAAAGCTGCCAGAAAGTAGAAGAGTGTGTTGTTGAGGTATGTGTTGTGATATATGGATGACCAATGTTTCATCATTGGCCGAAAGCTGCCAGAAAGTAGAAGAGTGTGTTGTTGAGGTATGTGTTGTGATATATGGATGACCAAAGTTTCATCATTGGCCGAAAGCTGCCAGAAAGTAGAAGAGTGTGTTGTTGAGGTATGTGTTGTGATATATGGATGACCAATGTTTCATCATTGGCCGAAAGCTGCCAGAAAGTAGAAGAGTGTGTTGTTGAGGTATGTGTTGTGATATATGGATGACCAATGTTTCATCATTGGCCGAAAGCTGCCGAAAAGTAGAAGAGTGTGTTGTTGAGGTATGTGTTGTGATATATGGATGACCAATGTTTCATCATTGGCCGAAAGCTGCCAGAAAGTAGAAGAGTGTGTTGTTGAGGTATGTGTTGTGATATATGGATGACCAATGTTTCATTATTGGCCGAAGGCTGCCAGACCTTTTGACTGGGCGTTGACTGAAGGCACGGTAAGATTTTCACGAACTATTTTATTCATGTATGCCCCAGAGCAAATTTGTTTACCAGATACTACTTGTTTACTTTATTTTGTTTCCATTGTTCATTCAGTATGAACCCGGATATTGACATCGGCCAACTTGAAGGTGGTTTTGTGATGGGCGTGGGATATTGGCTGACCGAACAGATGATCTTTGACCCACAGACTGGCACCGCCCTGACGGATGGCACATGGGTAAGTATAATAATATCAGAAGATCAGCTGAACCGACTTCAGAAGATACAGAATAGAGCTGCCAGAAAAGCAACAAGAACAAACCTTTGGTATCTATATGTTTATGGGTGATAGCATATCCCTGGTCATTGACTGGTTTCATAAAATATTTACGTCCTTGAATGCATGTGCAGCAAAGTGACACGGAGCACAGATGTATCTTAACAATATGCGGGGCGGTCGGGTAGCCTAGTGGTTAGAGCGTTGGCACGCCACGCCGGAGACCCGGGTTCGATTCCCGACATGGGTCAAATGTGTGAAGCCCATTTTTGGTGTCCCCCGCCGTGATATTGCTGGAATATTGCTAAAAGCGGCGTAAAACCATACTCACTCACTCACTTAACAATATGCCATAATACAGCCACCTGGAGCTCCGTTCAAGAACGGTCTTGACGTAGGAACTGTGTAACGAAGTCGCAGTGCATAACAATGTTATACAACTTAGTATTTGTTTTGCGCGAAAATTTTCCCTCAAGATATGGTCATGATGACATGTGCAAAATGTGTTAATGTTACAGCACATATATCTTTGAAAATATATGAATTTGCTTTTTCCGGCACAATTTATATTTCAAACATAGTAGGGGGCATGTAGTAGCAAATTCGTTTCTTTATTAAACCAATACACCTTTACACTCAATTATCTAACAACCGATTGCTTTTTAAAACTATTGCAGGAATAATAAATGGCTCAATAGACACATTGAAATTTAGCAAAAGCTTCTTTGAATTTTCAATTGCATAAAAATCAAACGCGGTATACTTTCTTCTGCCCCTCAGTATATGTCCTGTTTGATGTATGATTCATAACTTTCTAAAGAACAATGAAATTTGCGGATTCGGATCAAATAGAAAACATCTGCCCATGTTGATTTTTGCAAACTCCAAACAAATTGAGATGCCTGTTGCTAGATTTTTAAAATTGCAACATTATACTGAAGTGTGGGTCTGCCAGTATTGGACGAATATGTACATATGCATGCAGCTACGACGTTGCTCCGCTTGGTCAAGGGCAGTGTAACCAGTACAACACGATGTTTTGTCTGTACAGGAATACAAGCCTCCAATGGGAAAGGATATTCCTATCGACTTCCGGATCCAGTTCCTGAAGAATGCACCCAACCCACGCGGAGTCCTGAGATCAAAAGGTAAATGACAGCCACTGTAACAGCCCTGTAACAGTGTCAGCATATGAAAGTGCAGCTCAATGTTACCACTGATTAAATATGCATTATAATATAAGGGTAACGCTATTTTTCAGGGCATTACAATTTGCAGAAGCCCGAGGTCTTCCGGCCATTACCTGTCCGACGAAGGAGGGCAGTTGAAAAGACCGAGGGCTTCTGCAAATGATAATGCCCTGAAAAATAGCGTTACCTTTATAATAGCTAAAATGGATGGATTTTTTTATCAAATAAAAAGAAACAACAATATCCTATGACGTCACCTAACAACGGGCGTGATAATGGCCCGTCGTCAAGCAATATGAGTGTATTATCAAGTTACAGTGGCTCGCTCATTTCTGATAACAGGCCGGCAGTTTAATGATTATTCTATCCATTTTAGCTATAATATATTTTATATTACCTTTTCAATTTCCCAAATACAGCAGTTTCAAAAGAAGTCGAGCATTTTCTCCTATGGTACTACTTGAAATATGATGCCAGCATTTCCCGTTGGTATTTCATAGTTAACAGTAAATTGTTGTGTTTCAGCTGTGGGGGAACCACCCGTGTGTTTGTCTGCATCAGTCTTGTTTGCTGTGAAACACGCCATCGAGGCTGCCAGAAAGGACATTTCACAGGACACATTCTTCCCCCTCGGTATTAATGTTGTGTCATAATGAAATTTAAAGAAATATATTTTACTGTCAGACAATAATATCTTTAAAAAGACTAAAACTATTCATATTTTAATGAATCCATTCATCCAAAGTCACTTTCACCTTGGAAATGTACACATATCTTTCAAAAGAGGACTGATTCATAACGTACTAATCACTGCATTGTGTGACATCAAGTCTGGCTGTTCAAATCCCGATTGTTATATTAACCAGCAGTATTTTCAGTTTTTGTATTCCCTTAAAACGAAGACAAGGGATTTTTGAAAGTTTTCTTATCTTTAACGGCATGATAAATACTGTTATAAGACAACCGTTATCCTTTAACGTTATAGTTTCGGTCCAGTGTTCGTCGTTGTTAGACTGCTTACGTGGTTCATGATATGATTCGTACACAAATAAAAAAAAGCGTCAACGCCAGAGTGTGATCAATCTCGATTAAATGCCGAAACAGATTTCATTGGACTTAAAAGGCAACATGGTGATAAAATCATGTAAATGGGTTACTGAAAATCAGTGATGACACCAGATACAAAACAATGATCAATTCTACCTGAACTACGTTTTCAAGTAGATAGAACTACATATGACGGATGTGGTCATTAATTAATACATTTTTATCAGTGATATATAGTTCATTATATTTGATGTATGTCATTGCTCTATTTGTCATCAGGTTTATGAAGTTAAAACCCCATTTTGGGCAGAATGACATGATTCTCTCATGATTTGATGCATCCACTACACAATCGAATAAATAATAAATTACTATGTTTCAGACGGCCCTGCAACAGTGGAGATGATTCAGACAGCCTGTCAACTTGACAGCTCCCAGTTGGTGTATGGGACCTAGGTCAACTAGATTCTGCCCAGAAGTGTTGTAGAGCATAGATCAGTGATGGAGATTAAAGAAATATGCAGCATTGAAATGCTGATTTCAAAATATACTTCGCGCAATTATACCTTGATACTGATCACAATCAAACTGCTGTTACAATAACGCATTGAAAGTCAAAATCGCTATAACACGTGATAGCAAGACTCCTCCTAATGTAAAATTTACAATTTCCATATCAGCATTTGTACAACGCATACCTCCCCCCTTTCCACCCCAACCCAAAAAACACACAAAAGAGCGATCGACCCATGTTACATTCATAAGAAAATCGGATCTTCCGCTTAAATTTATGTTTGCGGGTTTAATGTTTTATGACTGAATCAGATCTAGATCTCTGAAGAGTTTTTACCATAAGTAATCAAATGACGTAGACCAAACATGACAAAAATGATTCCTTCAGTGGAACGTTATGTATGCTACATATATCAATCAGGTCATTGTCATTGTTAATCAACGATGTGTGTCGTGCGGGTTATATGTTTCAGAAAATCGTTAGAAACAAATTTGTTTCTGTGGAGGCTACGTTTCAGCGGAGAGTATTTCCATATGTAATCGAATGTTGTTCACCAACTTTAATGTAAACGATTACTTTATTGACACGTACTACATTTTATATACATGTGTTATAATCGACGAATGATTCCTGGACACTAACCAAACCATATCAAACTGTTTTGTTCAATAAAAAAGAACCCTTACCCTTCAATATTGACTGCTTGAGCCATGTTACCTGTTAACGTCAGAGAAAAATCGGTCTCAAATACCTGCCGAAATAGAATGCATAGGCGTAAAAGGTAAGATTGTGAATGAAAATTATATACAGTAAACTACGGTTATAACGAACCCGCTCTACTGGTAGCACCTGCTATTCGTGAAGAAAGTAAGAACCGGTGAGAAAGGAGGTGCGAAAACTCCATGTAAAGGCAATTGCAGGGGACAGCATCGCGCATCATGTATTAATAAATTCCTCTGAATGTCTACCATAACATTTCTGGAATTACTAAACAAGGGTTTGATGGTAAAACCTTGATTTAAAATTTCAATGCTCTGAAGTATCCAAACATTTGAGAAAGGAAGACGCCATAAACTGGTGTTAAACCCAGTGTTCCACACGATTGCAGTCAGAAACGTCTCCAGAAATACACACAAAGGATATTCCCCCCAAGCCATGCTTCGTTAAACCGGACAATATCGCCGTGAACGACAATGTTAAGATATTCAAAATGTTGACATGTTTGTATCTGGTTCCTTCTAAAATTAGTATTGAAATGTATTACTTATAATTGTTTTGCATATATCCTGCCTCATGATAAAGATGTGTGTGGTTGAGAAATCTTCCATTTTTTTAGTTCCTTCTTTGGTGATTGTAAATGGCATCTTTTAGACCGAAATAAATTCTTCTATGCAATGCCGTGACTTGTTAACTTAAAACATACCCTGTTTCTTAAGGATTGACTTTGTATTTTTTTTCGATTCATTGAGGTATGAATCGAAACACCGATGTGCAAACTGTATGAATCCGCATTGCGGAGGATGTGGTTGTGAGGGGTATGGAGGGGAACAAATTCCTGATGTAATTGAGGTTTATGCACAATCATAAGTATTATTTTTTTAATTATTATTATTATTTTATTTCTTTTTTGAGTACACAAACAATATGTTTACAGAATATAGTTCACATGCAATCTTAAATACATACAAGTTACAAAGTATATCTATAGATGATAACAAACAAAATCTATTTCAGTGTCATATTGTTGGATTGTGCAAGTTGGTTTTAAACGAATAGGTGGTGACAGAGAGACCAAAATGTTATGAACTGTGTGTATTTACATTGTGAATATGATATATTTCTGTCGATGTAATATAAATCGGTTATTTCTTGTTTGATGTGTGGTAGTCGGAAATGTTTGATTTGAATATGTTTTGCTTTGTTACAGTTAGAATATGATTTAATACATCATTTCGTTTTTGTTGATATCCTAATAAAAATGTCAATTTTGAAAATTCTAGTTCTATTCCAGTTTTGTCTTTGATCCATTTTGTAAGGTTGTTCCAGATATGTTTTACAATTTTGCACTCGAAGAACATGTGCACTAAGGTTTGTTTTTCTCGATTACAAAAATGAAATGATTCTTTATATCCCATTTTGTACAGTAACTCGTTTGTTGGTATAATTCTATGAATAATACTGTATTGGAACCATTTTTGTTTTGAGGACACATTATATCTGTGGGGGCTACGATTAATCCTTTGCCAATCTTTTTCCGTCATGTTAAGATATCATGTTATTGGATACTTTATTTGACATAAAATGCCCATTTGTGAAGTAGGAATGCATATGTACATGTACACATTTCGGGAAAATGGAAATTGTTTACCTGATGTTTTCACCTTACTTTCTTTTGACGTCGGTTCGTCAGTTCGTCAGTTCGTAGCCCGTCATTCCGACGTCGCTTCCCGTTCTGTGGATGAATTCTTATAGCGTTACTTCTGGTTCTGACATTACGTTCCGATGTCTTCTGTGACGTCACTTCCTGTTCGGATGTCTTCTGTGACGTTACTTCCGGTTATGGTGTCTTCTATGACGCCACTTCGTGTGCTGTCTTTAATGACGTCACTTCCGGTTCAGAGACCTCTTATGACGCGACTTCCGGATATGTTACCTCTTCTAGGCCTTATTATTTTACTGATGACGTCACTTAATCATATTAAAACGTATAGTTTGACGTTATCCCAGGATCATGTAGATACCAAATATCACCTCATATAATATAGTTACATGATAAATCGCAAAGAACAATGAAGAACGAAGCGGGAATTATTTCACGATAAAACATTGTTCTATCTTGACGTCATTTCTTGAGATTAAAATATGCGCTCGCAACTTGATGACGTCATATATTGGACGACGGCATTTTTGGGAGTGTCTCGTAAGTTGTTCCCCATACATGTAGCTGGGCTACGCAGATAAACGAAGTAGCCGAACGATCGCATTAAAAAGTGGGAGGGATCTGACAATCTGTATTAGGAGAAAGGGTACAGATCATCGACGACATGATTGTTAGAATATGGGGTAAATACCAAACTTAACCCACCTGTTAACCCACCTGTTCGTAAAATGGACATTGCCGAGGTCGGATTCTATTCATTATAAAATTACGGTAACTATTTTTAAAGCGTGCACATTTTAACAACATCCTTAAAATGGATGTACATAATGTTGACATTTCATAAAAGAAATAAACGACTCGTGTTCGTTGTTTATCGTACAATAAAACAATGAGTTCTGACATACTCCTGGAATCTTGATCCCTGCCAGATGGAAACAGTGTCCAGTCACAAACACGAATTGGTCGTTGCAGGAAATGCAGCTTGTACACTTTTCTTATAATTTCTAACAGCCAGGTGCATTCGTCACCACTCGCCCCTTTCCGTAACCTGCAAGAAGACTCGTCCCCCTATCGATGAATGTTATGTGCGAAAATACGACAAACCAATCAGAATGCGCGTATGATTTCAAGTTCTTCGTCAAAGAATCCCTCAGAAACAATTTTTAATTTAACATACGTCTTACATCTAAAAATATACCCAAGACACAGTTAAATGTGGTCAATCATACTGTAAAATTCCGCATGTCCCGATGTGCTTTAAATTGCATCTAAAATATATATAATATATGGGGGAATATATGTGAACCATTACGCAACGAGTTGACAATTGTTTTAGGTATGCCCGTTTGCGCTAAGACGGAACCCGGTCGCAAAAATGGCCATGAGAGGGGCACGAGTCGCTATTCGGCTTGTCCCGGAATAACACGAGTTGGTCACGAATGTTTTCTTATAATTTCTAACAGCCAGGTGTCGTCCGCGATGGTTTACCAATTTTCTGAGTATTGCATCATACGGCCGACCTGGGGTTGGCATAGTGTTGAATATCTGTAGTCAATCAATGTCTGTGAGACAGGCAAGGTCGACAAGATTTGGAGAGATGTGCTGAGCTTTTGATGAGGGCTGATCGCTCTTGGAGAGTCTGTCATGGAACGTGAAGATATATCCTTCCAGATGGTTGCACTAATGGCCCCGGCGTCTCTAGGCTTCTCTTATGAGGATCTTGCGGGCTCTGGTAGTCCCTGCCAGTCGCTTCTGAATCTTCGACGTCATTTTGATGTTGATTCCTGGAACCTCTGGTTGGTTGCCCTGGTGATCTCCTCCTTGGCGCCCTTTAGTCTCCCACTGAAGACCTGTTGAGCTGTAAAAGACTGAGGCAACATGGACCTCTGGAGGAGTGTGGTGTGTTTTCTGAAGCAGATGAATTACGTTGCATGAGTAAGAGCTGTGCCAACATCCATATCGGCGCTGACTGGAGGTCATGGTGCAGGGTCATGTTGACCTCTGTCCGTGAGGGAAGACCTGCGCTCTGGTCAGTCGCAAGGGTGACTTGGCGAATGCTGCAGCAACATATATGCATAGTCGGCTCGGGGTCAATACGATATGATTGCCACTGATCAATCAACGAGGGGTATAGTTCTTGGCTATTCAACTTTTCGAATAACAACGTGTGGTTCATTGCATATAGCAACGTTTCTTTGAGATTCTTACACGGTTAGCAAGCTGGAGTGACATCAACCATGTGATGAGTTTGTTTCTTTTTTTTTTGTTTAACGCCGCACTCAGCAATGTTCCAGCTATATGACGGCAGTCTGTAAGTAATCGAATCTGGACCACACAATCCAGTAATTGACAACATGACCATCGATCAACGCAATTGGGGTCGATGACATGCATCAACCAAGTCAGCGAGCCTGACCACCCGATCCCGTTAGTCACCTCTTACGACAAGCATTGTCGCCTGTTACGGTAAGCGTGGGTTGCTGAAGCCTATTCTACCCCGGAATCTTCACGGGTCCCAAACGATGAGAGGTATATATGCATGACATGCTGTGATAAGCAGCATATTAACACAGATAAAACAGGCAATAGATAACAAGTAGCATACAGATAATTTGATCAAGCCAAAAGTACAGAAAGAATAACAAAAACTAAAGTTGCGAGCGCATGTTCGAATCTCCAGAAATGACGTCAGGATAAAACAATGTTTTATCGTGAAATAAACCACACTTCATTTTCACTGTTTATTGCGACTTATCCCGTAGTTATTTTATATTTATAATTAACGAATGATTTTTAGATACTTAGCAAACCATATCAAGCTTTTTATTAAATAGAAAAGAACCCCTACCCACCGACACCAACTACTGGGACCATGATACCTGTTAACACAAGTGTTTGTTTGCCTAAGGTACATTTTCAGTGGACCCCTGAAGATCCGGGGGAGAATTGGTCTTCAGCAACCCATCCTTGCCGTAAAAGGCGACTATGCTTGTCGTAAGAGGCAACTAACGGGATCGGGTGATCAGCCTCGCTGCCTTGGTTGATGCATGTCATCGAATCCCAGTTGGGTGGATCGATGCTCATGATGTCAGTCACTGGATTGTCTGGTCCAGACTCGATTATTTACTGACCGCCGTCATATAGTTGGAATATTGCTGAGTGCTGCGTTAAACAACAACGAAACAAATATGTCCAGTAACATCGTTAACGAAAGCCAATACGAAAGGGCAAGCATGTCCTGCTCTTCTGGTAGCACAAGCAACTCACACAATTTGCATTATCAAAGTGCCAGTGAGCAAGAAGGTGTGAAAACTCCATGTAAAGGTCATTGCATGGGATAGCATTGCGAAACATGTTGACAAAAGTTTAGAGTCTGCAGAAAGCATGAACGACAGACGTATGTTGAGTTTGCCAGAAACAAGGTTATGATGTTTGATAGATGGTGTTCCTCCAAAGAGATAAAGAAGGATTTTTAGAAGTTGAAGCGATATTTACTGTCATATTTACTGAGTTCCTCCGAATGTCTAACATAACATTTCAGGAATTATTTGGCAGGTATTTCATGGTTAAACCCAGACGAAAAAGCTCAGTTGTAAGCAAATATGTTTTTCCTTGGCACTGGAATAATATTTCCATGCGCTTAAGTAGTTAAACAAATAAGAAATGAAGACGCCATACGCTGGAGCCGAACAAGTCAGTGAGTGAGTGAGGTTTTACGCCGCTTTTAGCAATATTCTAGCAATATCACGGCGGGGGACACCAGAAATGGGCTTCACACATTGTACCCATGTCGGGAATCAAACCCGGGTCTTCTGCGTGACGAGCGAACGCTTTAACCACTAGGCTACCCGACCGCCCCGGAGCCGAACAAGGTTTCCCTGACTGTTGTATTCAGCAACCCCTCAGAAACGCACACAAGGGACATTAGCCTCAACCCAAGCTACGTTAATCCGGACATCTGTTCATCCGGCAATATCACCGGGAAAGAGACAGTTCTGATGTTCACTGTGCTGATATTTTGCTGTCTTGTTCCTTCTATGAAAATTACTTTGGAATGTATTACTTATATCATCTTTCCTGTATTCTGCCTCATGAAAATAACTGGTGTACGTGAGAATTGGCCTGTATAGAAATATATATATGTGCGTGTGTGTGCGTGTGTGTGCGTGTGTGTGTGTGTGTGTGTGTGTGTGTGTGTGAGTACGTTTACCACTTCGGTGAAACCACGAGCACGGGTATGGTGCTGACAAACCTAGAAACATAATCGGGATGAACCGGGATTCGAACCCAAGGGACGCAACTCTGCATGTATGTATGTATGTATGTATGTATGTATGTATGTATGTATGTGTACGTGCGTGCGTGCGTGCGTACGTGTGTGTGTGTGTGTGTGTGTGTATTGCCTTTCATGAAGAATATATTAAATATACTTAGTTTTCATCAACTGCATATTCATCCTTTCCATATATTATATTGCTTGTGTGGGGATTACCGTGATTAACACTGATTAGCACTGACCAATTATACACCTTACATTGTCTGAGTTTAAGCCTCGCAGCTCACGGCCAAGTCAAGACTGGTGTTATGTAATTGTAGCTTGGCTATTTATCTCTT